CTAATATACTAGGCCTAGGAGTTAAACTACAGTTATTACTACTATACTATAGAAGTAGAATAAGCCCTAATACCTAATTAGATAGAAGGAAATTCTTTTAAATTATATACTATTACTTAGGCTCTACTTTAGAGATATATATACTAGCCTAAGTAGGAGTATTAAATAGTATAGTCTAGATAGGTAGGCTAAGATAGATACCTAAAGTATCTATACTAAGAGTTACGTAACTAAGGGGAGCTTATTTTACCTTAGGTCTCCTACTTCCTAGAACTAACATAATTATAACTAGGTTAGTTCCTACTATTGTTTATTAATTTAGTTACTTCTACTATATTTAACATCTATATAAACCCTATAGAGTAGTCTTAGCTTAATAGTTTAGGTATTTTAGTAAACTAAATAGTAAGATTAAATAGTAAGTTAAACGCTATTATAACAAGTATAATATCGTTCCTATATATAAAGGAGAAGCGCACCGCTCTACGCTCTATAAGGTAAGAGGGAGAGCGCTCTATCGCTCTCCTAACGGAGCGAGAGAGCGGTTACGTGCGCCAAGCCTGGGAGGCTCGCTCGTGCCAGGCTCGATCCGTAACACTCTCGTCGGTTTGGCGAGAGGCTCAAAAAGGCTCGGGGACATTCGCTAGCGTCGCAGGGGGTGGTGGCCAATTAGAGTCAGGCTCATGGCCTCTGCTGTCACATGAAAGGACGAATCGAGACGACATCCGTAGCTTGCTCGACTCAAAACATGGATCCAAGCCTGAGAAATGCTGCGTATGAAGCGCTTCTATGGATTTCGGAAATCCATCTTTGTATCGGAACAATTTCGACTCACTCCATCGACTTCGACCTCCTTCCGGGAGTCAATCAATTAATCAAGGGAAGATCCTAGCAATAAGTTGTCGTACATGTCGCTCCTAAAAAGTACACATAGCTTTTTGGCATAAAATCGCCTATGCAAGATCGCAGACTAATAAGTCATAAGCTAGCTCTCGATCTTTCCCTTTAAAGGGAACGGTAACATCGGCGCAAAGGAGGGAGAGGGCTTTCAAAGTCTTTCGGGCAGGGGCTCCAATCGATATGGTGTGAGTAGCATTCTGATCTGTGTGATAAGGCTGTAGCGGACACGGCTAGGAGGAGAAGGGCTGTAGAGAGAAACACCGACATTTCGACTGAAACACAAGGCAAACGACGAGACGACCAAGACCATGCTTAAGAGTCCATATAATCATCAGATCCTATATTCAACTTTTTGTGCGAGGTGGTTGGTGTCTGCTCCTTCGCATGCAGAAGTCAGTGCATGCACTGTTGACATACAGTACATGTACTCTTCTTGTAGGACGATCTTGCACGGTTCGGGCGAGGCTAGCGAACTTTTGCAGCCTGACATTCCCAGCAGCCGCGGGATCCGCGCCAGGATCGTAGGGTGCGATTAGACAGCCTGTTCGTTCGGTAAGCAATCGGTTGTGGCATTGTTCAGTGGCTCTGCAAGACTCCATCCTTTTCTAGCATGCCTGAGGGGTTAAATGGCGGTCGCGGTGTATTGAAGCCAGCGTCCAGGTTTCATGACAGGTTTCAGACTTATGAGCTGTCTATTGTAGTTGCTTGTTAACAGACAGGGAGGGTTTACTGTCGCGCTTTCAAGTTATCACTCCTCACGGTAGATTTTGTGTTGTGCTTGATGATGATCATCGCATGGTCTGTGCGAAGATTATGGGGTGAAGCTTTGGCAGCGTTGGTCAGTCGTGATGATATGTGATCGATTTGTACTCAAGGCCAGACCGCTGTTATTTCCTAAGCTGAGCTTTACTCAAACCACCTTGCTTTTCTCCAGACTCTTCACACTTCAGTCCACTGACCTTCCGAAAGAGCCTCGTCCTCTCACCCGAAAGTTGCGATTTCGCCGCCACGGCCGCTGGCCCGTTGGATGAGCGACAACCCCCCACGGAATCTTCTCATCCATGCGTCGCGGCGATCCAGAGCTGTAGTAGTCTCCCTCGCCTCTGCCAGCTTTCATACGATGCCGCTCCGACTCTTCCTCTTGCATAGCAGTGCGCCTAGCTCTGGCAAGAGCCCTGTCCCTGAGCTGCTGCCCGATGAGTTCTCTCTCACGAGCCACAGCGTCTCTCAGCCGGGGCGGTCCCTCCTCTTCATCGTTTGCTTGGTAGCCTCCTTTGGCAGTAGAGTAGGTGCCAGGCACAAATGAAGGAGCATTCGCGGTCGGCGCTGTGAAGGGTGAATGTCCGGTTGGGCTCGCGTTCTGTGACTGGGAGACCCATTTCGGAGCTGTCGGCTTGAGTTGCGACCTGCTGGCGAGGGGCGATGAGACGTGGGTGTTTTCGTTCGGGTTTGACTGTGGCGAGAAGATGTTGGCGGTTGAGCGTAATGTGCTGACTTTGCTGTGACTGTTGCTGTGCGGACTCGATTGACGGGGAGAGGTGAGCGAGTGATGTGTTACGTGAGATGGTCGAGCGGTATTGGTGTCCACGTGCAACCAACCGTCGTCTTCGTCTTCGAAGTTGCGTGCTGCGTCGAAATGGCGACGGTATTGCTCTGCTTTTGCTTTGGACATTTCCTCCGTTGGTACCCTTATTTCGGCGGTAGCTTCTCTTGCCGACTTGATCCTCCTGGTCACCTCGTGCGATGTTCCCTGAAGCGGCCTCGACCCCTTCATCCTTGCGATCTGGTCCTTGATGATGGCCATGTTGAAAGGATGAGTAAAGTAATGATTGCAGGCAGGAGTTTAAAAGTGAGAGGTGTGTCGCAGTTCAGATCGCGCGAAGTGACAGCACGGAGGTGAATTCACTCGCCCAGCGTGACTTCGTGAATGGCGTAGCTATTTCTTGTGTGAATGCTTGATGAGAATATGCTGTCGGAAACGAAGCTCATAGTCGTCGGTTCGAGTTGGGCTGAGCCTTTGAGTATAGACGAGCGAGGCCGTAGCGCGGGCGTCTGGTAGGCACTCGGTAGGGGTCACAGTTGCCTTGTGCTTGTAGACTGCTGAGAGAAGGTCTCGTGACTTCCTGAAGAGCGGGAAGCGGGGCTTCTGCGCCTGGGAGCCTTCTACAAAGCGCTGATGTAGAAACTCCATTTCACGATTGATTGGGCCGCTGATGAGGGTTCCCTAGGTGTTGTATCCAGAGTTTCGAGCTTCTTGCTTTCGTATGCAGTCAAGCTTCGGGTCATTATCAAATTGCTTCCAGACCTCAATGCGTTTGTGCCAAACAGCTGGGACTCTTGATTCAACCATGAAGTTCAGCCAAGCTGCTCCTTCAGTACGGCCTTGTTTCTCGAGAATGTAGCTTGCCCTGAACAGATCGCTGCCGAAAGCATTGAGCGCCGGCATCGAGGCTCGCCATATTGTGGACAATTCAGATAGGTCTCCTTGAACGTATCGCAACATGGGTTCAGCATCTGGCGTGGTGGGATGCCACAGCATCAGTCGAGAGATTTCCTGTTCCCGAACGATGCGTGCAATCGTCAGGCGTCGAAGATCTATAAATAAGTCGAAAAATTGGCCCGGATAGGGTTGCAAAGTCCTATCGAGGATGATGCGCTTAATCACCATTTCGAGAGCAACGTAACATATGCCATCAGCTCTCCGCTGTTGTACAGGGAACGTATTGATTGCTCGTTCTAGGACACGTAGCGACGGTTCTGCACACTTTCGCCCAGTCCATTCAAAGTGCGCGGACGCTGTGTCTGCCAGCAGGCGCTCGGTATGGACCAAGCTGTTGGGTTTTAGGACACTACTACTGTGCTGCTGCTGATTTTGCAATGCGAGATACCGCCAGATGCTAAAAGCGCAAAGCAGAACGTAAGCGAAGATCTCAGACACGAAGTCAGATACTCATAGCCTGAAGTATACGTACTATTCTTCGAGCCCCTCACCTATTATGTGCCAGCAGAGCAGTTCGCCCAGCGCGCTATGGTTGGTGAACATTGTGTCAAGGTCATTGACCTTTTCCTCGAGTAGCCAAGTGAACATTCGTGATCCCTTTCCTACACGTATGCACGCATCCTTTCGCTCAGCCATGGGTAGAGCTTCGATCTCCTCTTTGTGTTTCTTCATACAAGCCACGGCATGGGCAGCGTCGGCGGCATCTTTTTCCGCAAGAGCTTGGAAATCGTCGATACTCAAGGGCGGTACAGTCGTGGCAACTATTCGAAGAGGCCTTTCTCGCCTCGGGAGTCGATATCTTGTTGCCGACACGCTGGATATCGTGCAGGTATGGGAGAGAGGTCGGCATTCTTTCAGACAGCTACCGCAGAGACGTAGGATGGGACATGTTGCGCGGAGGGCGGGTCGGAAAGTCCCTGATAATACGGTTGACTGAGGTTTGAGTGGCATCGAGGGTTGTCATCTGTCGCGGCACCAAGGCCAGCATCGGGGTGAGGATGGTGTTGCATTGAGAGGTGAGGTCAGCTTGACGCGCCCTGCGTTGGCGGGTCCATCAAAATTTGATTAACGGCCCGCCTGAATTTTCAACATCACCAGGCTTCATCTCTCCTTCCGCCGATATCATTAGGATACCACCATCCATTCGTACGACTGGGAGTCCCATGAAACATCACCAGCGATTGATGTTGGAGAGGACGACAGCTCCGCGGACAGTGCGAGGAGGATCTCGATGCGCGATGCTTGAGGCCTCGCTTGGCTGCTTTTGGCTGACTGTCGGTCCCAAGCGCTGACCACGTTCTCGAACGGCCGTATCTCTGCAGTCTGCACAAAAGGCAGCACGCCCATCACCCATTTTCCAGATCGATGCAGACTGCCTGGCGTGGGTAGAGAGAAGGACGGCGTAGTGATCCTTCACCCCCGTGCCCTCAGAGCCTTCGGCTGCACGCGACGTCATTGACTTTGGCTGCGCCTGGCTTGGCCGGTCTGCGTGAATGCTCGCGGCCTGATATACCACTACACCTTCACCAAGGCTGTGGAAAGCCCGGACGGGAACCGCCAGAACCCACACCATGTCCAACACACCAGCAGCAGCCAAACGACGGAAAGCCTGCGAGGCCTGCAGAGTTCTTAAAGCACGCTGCGACCCTAGCGTTGAGGATCCAGACGAGACCTGCGAACGGTGTTGGAGGGCCGGCAAGGAGTGTGTACCGGCTCAAAGTCGCCGCCAGAGAGACCGAATAGCGGATTTGGAGAACCAGGTGGCCGAGCTGACGAAAGCCCTGCGAGAGCAGAATATCTCACTCCCGGAATCCCAATCGCCTGATCCCACGGTGAAGCGGAAACGCCAGAAGAGCACCCACGACGATGAATGCGATGCGGTCACAAATTTCGTGTCGCCAACAACAGCCAGAACCGTCGACCCGGCGACCGACGCCGCCCTCGCTTTTCTCGACGAATGCGTGCCTCGCTCAGTCCAGCAGGAAGCTTTGGACGTCTACGTAAAGCAAATGGTACCAGTCTACCCGGTCGTACCTATCGATCGATCAGACTTGGCTGGACTTCGAGAAACCAATCCTCTCGTACTCCTCTCTGTCATCACTTTTGCAGCAGCCGGCGATCTCACCGAGGATGTGCAGTTTGGTCTTGTCGAGCGGATTATGCATGTCTTTGCACACAATCTGATTGCCACCGGAAATAGATCGCTCGAACTGGTGCAAGCTCTTCTAATCGCGGGCTTCTGGTTCCGTGTACGACCTGGATTGAGGCACGCAACCATGTGTCAGCTCCTGCATCTGGCAACCAACGATGCTATCGATCTCGGCATTGCTGGTCCTCAAGCTCTCAGATCGCCTGGAGCTGGTCCGATCAAGAAGTTCGACATATGCTCACTCAGCGCACGACGAACCTGGCTGGCTTGTTTCGTTGCACAGGCCAGTCTTTCCAGCGTGACTAGACGACCAGACGCAGTGACTTGGACACCGTACCACGACGAGAGCCTCTTGCACTTGACTACATCGTCAGAGGCCCTCCCGACCGATGGCCTGTTCGGTCAGATAGTATCAGCGGAGAAACTCCTTTACCAGATTGCTACGTGCGTTGGACTATGTGATCCGTCTTCGATCTGGGACCCGAATACTCCAGCATCCAAATTCATGGTCTCAACTCTTCGGCAAGAGATCGCTCGATGGAGGATCGGGCTTACTGGAGACCCAGCTCTCAACTTCTATCTGCACATTGCTGTGGCGTACTTGAACGAACCGATCCTACACACGGCAACGAACAAGCTCTCGTTCGCCGTCCCGCCTTCTCCAAACAAGATACAACCAGAAGACTTTGCCGCTATGCCCGTCACAGTCGAGCGCTTTGCGGCACTCTATGCGCTACGGGATGCTCTTCATGGTGCTTTGGACGTTGCCCTGGAGTTGGATACGAACACACTTTTGGGCGTGACATCCTTATCATATATTCCCAGGATCCTCTACTCGCTTTTCGTGCTTATCAAGCTCTACATCGCGGTTAGTGCCCCTGGAAACACTTATGGAGCGGTACTGGATCGAGGCGAATTACGGATAGAAGAATACTTCGCCCGCATGAAGCCAGTCGCAATAGCTCTTCGCAACGCCAACCAGAGTTCCTTCAACAGCAAAATCCTAGGCGCCTACGTCCTCTTCGAGAACTGGTTCAACGACTACAAGGCCATTATCGACGACTACCAAAAGAACACTACCGCCAACGCTGGACCCGAGATATACTACCAGAGCGATTCACTATTCGGCCAAGAAGAACTGGCAGACTTTTACAAGGAACCAATCTTCAACGATGATCTGTCGCTGGCTGGTTTGCAGGATCAAGATCTGATGTCTAGCATCTTTTCGGATCAGCTACCTTTCCCGATGCCTGATTTGCAGTCTGTATGGCAAGGCGGGCTTGAGTGAGCCATGGCAGAGTGATGGATTGAACGTATTACATTGGCATCCTGAAGATGTCACTCTGTGACTGCTCATGGTTCCGGAAAGGCGAAATATACATCCCCACGCTCCTGTCCTGTCTGTTAAGACTCTGCGATCCCAGCTCACATTACAACCTCTGGACGACTAGGCACGACCAGAGCACCACTCTCAAGATCAATCACGTACCGAACGAGGCCAGAAAGCAGAAATCGAAAATGTCCATAGCCTGGGCGTCTGGGCAAATCTCCAAACCCTGACAGAAAATGCCAAGGCGCAGTTGTGGTGGCGGGCTTTTGTCGCCGCCGCGAGAGTTTGACCTCGCCAGGGACGGTCCACATCGGTTGCACGTGTGAAAAAGCTTGGCTTTGACTTCAGTGCGTACAACAATAATCACGACGACCCTCAATATCCAGCAGCCTCGTCGCTGCTGTGTTATCACAATCTGGTATGATCGCTGAATCAGGAATGCAAAGACGCGAGCTCTCGGATCCCGCTTGAAGATTACCTTGCACGACACATCGTCACTCACTAACGCTGGCGCAATCGGGGACGAATAGGTTCATGGAGCAAAGATTAGGCTTGTGGCAGATCTCCTTTCGCTAGACTGGAAATACTTCAAGCTTTGAGTCTGTTGTTGGAGGTCGGGCCGCATTGCGAGATGCTTGGGCTACGATATGGAGCGTTGTTCCTGTTATGGGCTTGGATTGAAGCTACGAACGTGGATTGAAGCTGTGGACTACGCGCGAGGATTCTCGGCAGTGTTGGGGATGGGGAAATGATCAAGTTGAGGGTGAAAGAGATTTTGTATACGATGTAACGGCCGACGATATAAAGGGCGCAGGCGCTGCGGTTATTGTTCATCAATAATATCTTCCTCCTCACATACCTCATACAACATTCTCTTCCTGCTCCCTCACCACCAACATGATCCTCCCCCTCACAACCCTCTTCCTCATCACCCGCTCTCTTGCCCAAACCAAGCATGGCCTCACCGTCCTCGACTTCCAGCCCGACCTCTTCGTCCCCACCTCCCTCCTCCTTCCCCTAACAAATCTCGCAACTTCCTCTCCACAGCCACCCAAAACATAATCCTTCTTGCCCCCTCACTCGGCCCCCTTCAGAGACTCGATCGATTTCAACGCCCCCGGCGCTGATAGAGTACAGTTCGAGGGAGCCGGTTCGTCTGCACCTCTGCTTGAGATTCACAACGCGTCCCAGAGTCCGTGTCCGGTTGTGAAGGTCGTCGTGGCGGTAGCGGCAGCGGCAGCGGGTGGAATGTTGTAAGGTGAAACGTTTTGATGTGGAACTTGTGTTCCATGGCGGTAGACGGGGTCCCGAATTGGGGGAGATTTACAGTTAGATGCCATGTAAAAAGCAATGACGGAGTCACTCAATGCCACCCTGCGTGGTCGCTGAAGGCATCCATCATCAACGGGAGATTGATATCAAAATCCTGGAAAATCGAGTCGTCCAGACCGTTGATCAAATCCAGGCCACCTGTTGCATCCCCGCTTTCGAGCAACGAAGGGGCCTCCTGAGCATCAACAATGCCCAGTCCTGATTGCGGAGCGGCGCTGTTCGTCTGAACTCCAAACCAGGCTGCATAATCAGCTCCAATCTCATGATCAGCTGCGCCTGAGCCGCTGCTGGTGATCGGTGGCGGCTGCTCTTGGTTTCTATGATCCTGCCAAAGCCCCAGTGCAGCTTTGCCGAAACGTTGGACGATGTCATGGCAACGAGCAGCCAGTGGCCAGGTCTCCTGCATGACCTCGAACAGCATGAGACATTGCTTGATGTTGGAATCCACGACTGCTGGGGTTGTTTGTTCACGAATCGGTGAGCTGACCCAGAGAGTATACAGCATCGTGATGCTGGCCATGAGGAGAGAGTGGAGCGTGATCCAGGTATAGGCCATCTTGTTTTTGGCGTAAAGCGAAGAGTAGGAGGTGATGAGGTTGATCGCGTTCTCCGAGCATATCTGTAAAGCGTCTTGGCTTGCGACAGGACAGGCCGGCGAAGGGCGGTAGAGCAGTAGGAGGGATTGAGAGTAAGTGATCTGAAACCACTCATTGGTTTGGAACGTCAACACCTTGGCCTGGTTGTAGCGTGGAGCGTTCGCGGCCCATGTCTCGAGGTCTTTGTGCATGGATGATCGAATAGATACATAAGCAGCCTCGTGGAGCGAAACTTTTGCGGGATAGAGGGTATCTTGGATCCTGGCACGGAGACGACGTAGCTCGACAATGTGGATGAAAGAGGAGGTATCGTTTGGTGTAGGTAGGCGGCGCTGGGACGTGTTCGCTGAAGCTTCTGAAGACACCAAATCGTCGTCAGTCGTACAAACAGGGAGATCAACATCAATGTCGGCATCTCGAATCGCCGGCGGGCGACCAAGTGCTATTGAAATGTTTCTGTCAATAGCATAGGCGCACCAAAAGATACGCTTCCGCATCTCCTTGTGTAGGAATGACGAGCTTTCAGAAGCGGCTCCGTACTGTCGATGTAGTCCCATTGCGATGCTCGAGCGTACAGCCTGCCCAGCGACCTGCCAAGCGTTGATGCCACAGGAACGGTTCAAGGCGAAGGTGCTCAGCAGTAGAAGAGCCTGGATCGCTTTTAAACCGCCCTTGCGAATGACTGCATCGAAGTGCTGGTCCATTGCCATGGCAAAGCACAACAGGGAAAGATTTTTCAGTGATCTGTCCTGTCGCTCGAGGTAGACTGCGCCCATTGCGCATACCATGAGTGCCAAGAAAATTGAGACTGAGCTAGCATCCTCACGCTGGGTCAAGAACTCTTGGAGATGTCGTTCTCGAAAAGTGGGTCGATGGAGAAAGGGCGCATTAGGCCAGCGGTGGTCAAAGAAGGCATCTTCCAGTCTGAAGATGAGCTCGGGAGGCAACCATGTTTCGTCGATTCGTCCAGAAGGACTTGTGAAGGCTGCTTTGTTGGCCTCTGCTTGATTGTTGAGATTGAGTCTAAGCGAGCTGTGAATGGGACCGTTCTCTTGCTGGTAGCCCGAGCGCATGAGAGTCTTCTGAACTAGCGTCCCGAAGAAGGTACCACCAGAGTCGCCCAGATACATGTCACCTCCGGCAGTCGTGTGATGAAGAGCGGTTCGTTCCAGCGAAACATCGCTTGGCGTTCCATCGTCCGGCACTGGTACTGGAGGCGGAGATAGAGGTGTCGTGACACCGTGCACTCCATTGAGAGCACTGCTATGCTGCTCGAGCATCTGAATGCGCCGACGTAGCTCCTCATTCTCCCGCTCCAGTGCATCAACGTGACCACGAGGTAGCGGCCGGTGGGTCAAGCGATCTACAACAATGCATTCGGCACCGGCTCGCTGACATTGCGAGCACACGGGTGAGGCGCCATCGCACTTGTTCTTCTTCTCTCGACATCGCTCGCAGGCGAGGGCAATCCGGCTAAGTCCGGCGCGATGACGGCGACGAGGACGGGTGGTCTCAGCCATAGGGCGGCCTCCAGTTTTGTGATATGCGATGTAGTCTTGGCGTAACGTCTTGGAGATTCATACTATTCGTTCTTGTTCGTTGTAAGATGCATAGAAGTGGTCAGGAAGGAGCACACACGAGCGGTCGCGGCTGGCGAGGCTTCAGGTGGCGGGGATTGAGCAGTTGCCGACGATTCTCCGCCGGATCCATCCGGACAATCCGACTTCACCTGCTCCCTTCCGTTGCATGCCACGCCCACATTTTGCGTGTTCGGCTTGCCTCTCTGTGCGAGCCTGCCAGCCATGGCATCAAATTCTCCACAAGTCTGTTCTACACCCTGGTTCCCCATAGTTCATGGTCGGCACAGCCGGAGAGCATGGCAAACAAGTCCTTGGCATCACCCGGATTGCCTCCGTTTTCGTGAGCGCCAAGCTGCCATCGCAAAACCTGGACGATGAGTGGCAGCTTGTTGACGAGTGTTGATTCCATCAAACGTACCATCATGGTCTCAGCAGAGTGGAGGGCTGTTCTTGCGGTCTTTTGGGTCAATTGCGCACTTCGCCCCCAGTGACCTTGCACAGCACGGCTGCATCCCTCACCTCGGGCAAACTCCGACGCCAAGTTGAATAAAGGTAGTCCAAGGCCCATTATCTGCAACTAGTACCTAAAGACCTACATGCTGCAAAAGAGCGCGAGACTTCGAGCCTGTCTACGGAGACCGTTACGAATTTCACGCTTCCAGCATTTTTCAATCGACCAAGTTACCAACATGCCGCATGCGACTGCTGGCATCCAAAATGGCAGCGATTGTCGAGTCATACCGAGTTCGCTATCGCAGCGTGTTCACATGAACAACCTTGAGTCAGACAGCTTCATCGACTATGCCAAGATGAAAAGCACATTGGACGTTGTCCGCAGCCGGCTTCAGCGGCCGCTTCTATACGCCGAGAAGGTGCTATTCTCCCATCTGGACGACCCGACTCAAGACCTCGAACGGGGCAAGAGCTATCTACGTCTGCGACCTGACAGAGTTGCGAGCCACGATGCCACGGCACAGACAGTGTTCCTGCAACTGATGAGTGCTGGCCTCACAGACACCAAGACTCCCATGACAGTATATTCAGATCATCTCATTACTGCCCGTGTGGAAGGAATTGAGGATCTGGGAACCGCTTGGGGCGAGAATCGTGAAGTATGGAACTTTCTGAGTTCAGCCTGTGCGAAGTTTGGCGTCGGACTATGGAAGCCTGGCTCTGGTATCTTCCATCAAGTTCTGTTGGAAAACTACGCCTTTCCTGGTGGCCTTACTATCGGCACAGACTCGCATACTCCCAACGCTGGAGGACTAGCAATGTGTGCTATTGGAGTTGGAGGAGGTGACACAGTGGATGTTTTGGCTGGCCTTCCGTGGGAAGTGAAGCAACCGAAGATCTTCGGTGTGAGGTTGACCGGACGCCTGAACGGCTGGGCAACCCCCAAAGGTGCGAGGGTCCATCCCGACAGCGCAGACGTTGGAAACTGACTTAATCAATCCAGACATTGTATTGAAGCTGGCGGGACTGGTGACAGTGAAGGGTGGAACAGGTGCGATCATGGAGTACTTTGGACCCGGAGTCGACACGCTCTCATGTACTGGCATGGCGACAATTTGTAACATGGGCGCAGAGATCGGCGCTACGACTTCAATATTTCCCTTCACCGACAGTATGTACGACTACCTGGTTGCGACCAAACGCTCCGAGATCGCAGAGTACGCTCGCCTATACGCCGATGATCTACGCCCAGACCCCGAATCAGAGTCCTCTTACGACCAAATCATCGACATTGATCTTAGCAGTCTGGAGCCACATATTAATGGACCATTCACTCCCGATCTTGCAACGCCTATTAGCGAGTTTGCACGCACAGTACGCGAGAATGGTTGGCCCGAGAAGATCAGCGTTGCACTTATCGGATCTTGCACAAACGCATCCTATGAGGACATGTCTCGAGCGGCCAGTATAGCTGCTGACGCCCTGGACCACGGAATGCCTAAGTCTGCCTGCAAGTTGACTGTGACACCTGGATCTGAGCTCATTCGTGGTACCATTGAGCGAGATGGACAACTAAGCACGCTCAAGAAGATTGGTGGCATCGTACTTGCGAACGCATGCGGTCCATGTATCGGGAATTGGGATCGGTTTGATATGCCCGATGGACAAGACAACTCGATTCTGTCATCCTATAACCGCAACTTTGCCGGCCGCAATGACGGAAACGCAGCAACGCATGCCTTTGTTGCATCGCCTGAGCTTGTGGTGGCGATGTCGCTGGCAGGTACCTTACTTTTCAATCCCCTCACAGACGACCTCAAAGTTGGCGACAAGAGCTTTCGATTGCAACCTCCGTCGGGTCGCAGCTTACCGTCGAACGGATACAAGGCGACTTCCGATGCATATCAGGAGCCGCCTCAAGACAGAAGGGACATTGAAGTCATAATCCCGACAGATTCAAACCGTCTTCAAGCCATACCTCCATTTCCTGCATGGAATGGACATAATGCAGTAAACATGCCCATTCTCATCAAGACAAAGGGCAAGACCACGACAGATGCTATATCAGGTAAGACAAAATCCTTCGTGTATTTGGATTAGCTGACTGGCGATACAGCTGCGGGGCCCTGGTTGAAATACCGTGGTCACCTCGACAACATTTCAAACAATCTCCTCATTGGCGCCACAAATGCAGAGAACGATCGCAAGAACAAGATTACCAACGTCCTCACCGGAAAGACTGGCGCGGTCCCTGCAACAGCCAGAGAATACAAAGCCAAGAATCTGCCCTGGGTGGTAATTGGCGACAACAACTTCGGCGAAGGCTCTTCCCGTGAACATGCCGCCTTGGAGATACGCCATCTAGGCGGATTTGCTGTGATTGCGAGATCCTTTGCTCGCATTCACGAGACGAATCTGAAGAAGCAAGGAGTTCTGTCTCTGACTTTCGTGGACGAGTCCGATTACGAAAGAGTGCATGCCGACCATCGAATCGATATCTTGTGCAAGGATATAGCTGTCAATACACCGTTGACAATGGTGGTGCGGCCGAAAGACGGTGATCCGTTTGACCTGCAACTTCACCACTCATTGAACGAGGCGCAGATCGAGTGGTTCAAAGAGGGTAGTGCACTCAATGCGATGGCGAAAGGGACGGCCACCACTGCATCTGTAGAAGCATAAAGCAATGTCTATCTCAGCATCCAGGACTCCCAATTCACGGGAATCAATATGAGGGCCTCTACAGTACCTTCAACCCAAAGCACATTCACTCAAACGGGTGAGGTATCTCTATGCTAGCTATGCCTCTCCCGACGATCTGAAGGGTTATGTGGAACTTCTGTCAGGGTCTGGACAACTAGACGATGGCACCCTCACCGGTTCACTCCTTGGACAGAGTACATGACACAGTAGAGCTGCGGTGTAGCAGATTGACATGCCGAGATAGGAGAGTGAGGCGTTCGTAAGTCCGTCTTGGCTTCACGGACCACGGCGACAGTCTCCATTCTCAACGACCAAAACCGGCTCAGACGGCGCTGGCGAACCAAAGCCAAGCCTGGTGTTGCCAATAGCAGTCTCTGGAGCCACCTGTACAACGTGGGGAACGCGCTATATCCCTCAATCATGCAGAGATATCACTGGCAGTGATCCATCGTCCAGCCCATTGGAGCCCAGATCAACACATGACCGACTCCGGATGCATCCGGCCACTAGGTATTGTGGCTCTTCTCCCTGGAGGGTAGCATCTGACCCCGGGCCACATGGGTCTACTGCACCCCGTAGGTCTTCCTGTGGTGCGGGGATAGCGACTATAACTACCAAGCTCTTAGCACGAGCAACAAGCACGGCCGAGTCTTCTTAGTTTGTCCAACACTTTGGAGGAAAACGCTTGACTCTACACCACTCCAACTTTGCAGACCTCCCTCCATCATGTTCACCAAACGCTTGCAAGGCGCTCCTAAGGAGATCTTGAATTGGAGGCTATGGTATATGGTCTTTGGTATGATCGCCGGACTCTTCACTCCAGGCCCCTGAACTGACCGCACTGCTAGCCTTCGGCCTCATGGGCGCCTCTCGTGGCATCGATGAGGGTCTCACAGGCACGACAGCCTCGCTGCCGAGTTTCTCCCGCCTCTTCAAGTTGAAGGACCCGTCAAAGACAGAGCAACAGCAGGCAGATGAATTGTCAAACATCACATCTATGGTGCAGATGGGCTCAATCCTCGGAGCCTTAGTAGGCTTCTATCTGACTGATAAGCTCGGGCGACTCTGGGCTACCAGAGAGCTTTGCATTGTTTGGATTGTCGGAATCGCGATGTACCTCAGCTCCGCTGCCAACGGAAGCTTGGGTTTGCTCTATGCTGGGCGTTTCATTGCTGGCATTGGTATTGGCCAAACGGTCGTGGTCGGTCCTACCTATCTGGCAGAGATTGCACCTCGCTATTTCCGTGGACTCTGTGTTTGCTTCTTCTCCGGCTCCGTATACTTTGGCACAATGCTGTAAGCTACCGTATCCCTCTCCTCTGCTTGCGTCTTCTGACCTTTTGTCACCAGTGCCTACTTCGCCGCGTACGGCTCCAGCATTCACATCAGCGGCAACACGCAGCTGCAGTGGGTCGTGCCAACACTTCTCCATATCTACGTCGCCGTCACGATCATCATCCTCTCCTTCGGCTGTGTCGAAAGCCCACGTTGGCTGCTCAAAGTCGGCAAGCCCGAAAAGGCCGCCATTTGCCTGTCCAAGATTCGACATCTACCTGTCGATCATCCCTTCCTCTTGGATGAGCTACGAGGCGTCACAGAAGAGCTCGAACGTGAAAGAGAGGCGACCATGGGAACTACGTGGTTTGCTCCTTTGCGAGAACTTGTGATGATCCCCGCGAATCGCTACCGACTTATGCTCTCGGTCATGACACAGCTGTTCAGTCAATGGAGTGGAGCGAACAGCATCACCATCTACGCCGTCGAGTACTTCGATATGGTCGGCATCTCTGGCTCGCAGGAGAAGCTCTTCGCCACCGCGATCTTCGGCCTCGTCAAGTTCATCTCTGCGACTGGGTGTGCTTTCTTCCTGATCGACTTCATCGGGCGAAAACGTTCGTTGCTTTTCGGCGCCTCGCTACAGTTCATTGCCATGCTCTACATGGCGATCTTCTTGACCATTGATTCGTCTGCTGGGGATGAGGGGGCAGTGCAGAGCGCGAGTGACAAGCATGCTGCCACGGGAGCTATCGTCATGAGTAATTTGTGCCCAGCAAGTATGTCTTTGCGAACTTCATCGGTACTGACTATCAACAGTCTACCTTTCAGGCTTCGGCTTCGCCCTCGGATGGAACTCGTGCCAGTACCTCGTCAACGCCGAGATCTATCCTCTGCGCCTGCGAGCAATCGGCGCTTCTTTTGCCATGACGTGAGTCCCAACCAACCCCCTGACAGTGACCACGACCTAACAAGTCAATCATACAGCTTCCACTTCGTCAACCAATACGGCAACTCAAAGGCCGTTCCGTCCATGTTCCTTGCTCTGTCGAATAACGGCACGATGTTCTTCTTCGCCGCTGTCATCATCTTAGGTATGGCCTGGGCATGGTTCTTCTTGCCAGAATTGGCCGGCATGTCACTCGAGTCCATCAATGCGGTGTTTGACCTGCCATGGTGGCAGATTGGACGTCGTGGAAGGAAGTTTGCTGAAGAGTTGGAAGAGGAGAGACGTGAAGAGAGGGACGAGAAGGGGGCTGTGGTTACTGTGGAGAGGATTGAGAAGGATTGAAGGTGGGAGGACATTTCGCTCGGATTCTCGAGCGTAGCAAACAAGACTAACAGACTAACGGGGTCTGAATGATAAGACTCATGATTCAAGACGATGAGAAAAGAGATTGAGTTCATCAAAGTCATGTCTTCATTCCACGCTCATACCTAAATGAAAGCTTTTGATACAAATACAGCATGTTCCGCTTTTGAACCTCTCCAATGTGATGATATCCACCTAAATCGTAAAGACCTTATCTCATGTCGATGTCGTCAAGAGTTTTGTAGACTTTTCGTTCGTGATGGGTCCTTACCTTATGCCCAAGTCGTCAGGAGTCTCGTAGACTTAGTGTTCGTGATGGGTCCTTACCTCATGCTCATGTCGTCAAATATCTCGTAGACTTAGAGGTCGTGATGGTGTTGCTCAGTGATACCACTGCGAGCCACGCATAGGTAGGGTCACGAGCAGGCTCTTGGGCATCGGGTTGGCCCCCTCGGCCGCCTGACTCTCCTCGGCTACTTTCTCGACGGGGAAGTTGCTTGGTCGTGGCTTATTCGACTTCTTGTACCACATCATGTCAAGCTTCGCTCCCTCAGTCTTCAGCTCCTCACGCTTTGGGTCAAGTGGACCTACCTTAGCCTCCTGGTTCTTCTTGGCCTCCTGGTTCTTCTTGGCCTCCTCTGGCTTCTGATGAATCTTCGACATGACCTCTTGTCCAGCCGTAAGGAATTGCATGGAATCTTCATCTTCATGTGCTCCATCTAGTCCGAGAGAGGGCCTTGGAGGATTCAGGATCGGATAGGAGGGGGGAGTCAGCGAGACTTGCATGGACGAGGGGCTCGCTTTGAGGTTGACAGGCCGACTTGCGAACGCGTCTCCGGTGATGTCGTGGCCGTGGTAGCTGGCCGAACCCATGACATCGTATCGCATGAACTCGTCCGGTGCGGGCAAACCTGCCAACCAGGTCATGTGTCGCTCGAACTCGAAGTTGCGTGGCTCGGCTGGAGTTCGCTCGCGGTAGCCTTGAGTTGGCATGCGTGGCTCCTTTGCGAACTCGGTGTTCGTGTCCTTCTCTCCCTCCTCGCTGCTTCCGAAATTGAACATCTGTGGCAATATCTCCCTCATGCGCCTCTTGCCCATCTTGAGCTTCTTCGCAGCTTCGTAATCTCCCTCGTAAGCCTTCTTCCGGAGATTGTCCTGGCGTCTCTTCTGGATTTCCGCTTGGGACTTCTGTCTGAACGCGATACGTCCCAGGAGCTCCAGATCATCGATCGGTTGACCTGGGCTGACCTTCTCACCCCTCGCCCTCTTGTTCTGGTTGAAGATGTCCGTGATGCGGTCTACGCTCCAGCCTAGCTTCATCGCTGCTTCGAGATCGCCTGCACCAGCTTGCTTTCGCAGAGCCTTAATGCTGCGAGAGCTGTTCTCGCCATGGCTGCGACCTTTCGTCTTTGACTTCTTCGTTGGCATGGTGATGCCTTGTGGCTGCAACGGTGGCATGGCCTCTTCGGTCTCTCGGTACCCGTCGGCGTCGGCGTCAGGGTTCAGCAGGCACATGTCGCGGTTCTGGATTCCAAAGGGAGTCGCGACGGCTAGCTTCGGAGCGATAATCTTGACGGCAGGCTGCTCAAGCTCCGGAAACAGCTCGAGCAGCTGCTTGTCCTCTTCTGAGCTTGTGGATTGATGCATTGCTTGTCAGATGGATAATGTTGTGGAAGTGGAAGAATGTCAGTGAGCTGACGTGAATGCAAAAAGATGGTAGAATGTGAAGTCGAGTCTGAAACAGCTTTCAGCTGGATCAGGCAGGCGCGACTCGCGTGGCATGGTGCACGTGGCACGTGGCAGACTCTGCACACGCTAGCATGTGAAGATGGCGTTGCATGTGATGTTCAAGCTGCGCCCAGATTTATCTACATTTTTGGCAAGATCGGAATCGGCAGAAATGAATCAATTTACTCAGGAGTGGTGGCTACGTGCGGGTTCACTCCGTTCTGCTCTGGAAAAGGTTACTGCAGCATGATGATGCCTTGCAGGCTAAGCCGTTACAAGCCGCCAGTATGCGAGCTTGCCAGAATGAGAATTAGGCTCTGCAGAACATGCTTGGAACGGTCCATTAATGTGGAAAGTGGTTTTACAAAGGGAAAACGACATTGTTTGGGAGATTGCCTCTTTGGGATGTTCGGAATGACTCATTGTGTGCTAGCTTCGTGCTCTGCATGGACGGAGTCCTTCACCCATTGATTCCATCTTCTGCGTTTGCACACTACAGAAAATGACAGAAGAAGGAGCTGGGAAAGAGCAGCAGTTCACCGCCGCTGAAGCTCTAAGGTTGGTATCTGGTTATTTCGACACCGAATGGCCAGCAACCGACCTGGAGGATGTGGAGTTGCAAAAAGTTACGGGCGGGTTTGTCAATCGCTTGCACATACTCAAGCGTACCAATGCGAATTCTACCAATCGAGAGCCGTCCTCTGTACTCATTCGACACTTCGGTCGTGGAGAGAAGAAATCTCATGAAGAGCCTCTTGCCAGCAATACCACTCTGTCCGCAACGGATCAGGCTGTCATATATTACGAAATGGGGCGGAGGGGATGGGGGCCCTTGCTCTATGGTGCATTCCCTGGAGGAAGACTAGAGGAATACCTCGACGCACATCCGCTCACCGCTGCTGAATCCTGCGAACCATCGATCAGAAGAGATCTAGCGAGGAGTTATGCGAGGCTCCACTCTCTACAACTTCCGTTCAAGAGGAGGAATTTTGGCCTGGTGGTGGATGACTTGAAGGCGGCTATACTGAAACGAAGAGACTCAAGCGTCCGAAAGTTGAGAGCATCTGCAGACCCCGAATCGTTGGAGCTGGCCTCTCAACTGGAAAACAATGCTTGGGATCAAGAACTGGAATGGGCTTCGAATCTCTTCGAAAGACATCAGTGCAAAGCTACACTCGCAGTGGGAGACGCCAACTATCTCAATGTCATGGTGAAGAACTACGAAAGCGAATGCCGAACAGTTCTGATTGACTACGAGACGTGCACATACAGCTATCGCGGGATCGACATAGGAGGCCACTTCAATGAACGTATGTACTGCTGGAGTAACCCAGAGACCAACATGACGGGTTACGATGCTCCTGCAAGGGACGAACAACGACTCTTCTGCCAGTCTTATCTCGAGGAGATGCGAGCCCTGGGACAGAGCATCGACTCGATGGATACGGAGGAGCATTTGTTGCTGGAAGCCAGAATCGGACAGATGTGGCAGCTTTTGTTCTCAGTCATGATGGGTTTCGTCGCTGATGATCTCCCCAATGACCCTGTGCTGCATGCTGGGCTGGCGCACATGCTGAACTATTACTGTCGATTGAAGCAAGAGTGGCTTGCATGATCAAGATGTCTATGTATCCCGTCCTTGTGGCTCACACGAATGGCACCCTTTCAAAGACTGGCAGAAGATATTAGACTGTGCGTAGCGTTGAAGAAGTCTAGATGACACATAACGAGTTCAGTGGTCCGTTGAGGTCCCGGCTGCCAAACTCAAACTTCTGCCCATACCAGTCGCTCTGCATACATATTGAGCAAATCATGGCTTTAACTCTATCCATTACCGCGCCTCAAAGAAGCTTCGAAGTCTCCATCGTGCGATCAGACAGAAGCAGCGCCACCTAGGCGATAGTGACCCACAAGTTTGTATCATGCCGACACCCACAATCGACCAAGAACACCAGCCCCCAGCCCCATCGTAGTCGACAAGCTCCGCAACTTGCTTACATTGTCAAGGTTCATGTTCCAGCCAGGTCGAAGTTACTTGATATTGACTCTGGCCTAGAAGCCAGTAAGCTCTTGACACGGTGGGCCCCATAGCACGATTTCAATGAGCGATCTTGATTCGCGAAAGACTTCGAACGTTCTATCTGCGAAAGTCGGAAACTTTATTGGCGAGTGAATGATGAAAAGATGGGTGTGAGCACACGCTGGACGTGGGGTTGGCATAGTCCAGAATGTGCGGAACAGGCAATCAGAAGATGTTGAGTGTTTTGATTGCTACATCAGGCGATGGTCAGCAATGTGAGCATGGCCACAGCAGACTCATGGGTGGATTGTACTCACGCAATTTTGCATGATAACACGGTTCCAGTGCGTCTGCAATGCGAAGGCACCCACGCCCACTGTCGCAATGGCGAACGGATGCTCGTGGAAAGCCGTCGACATCTTCTTCAAACACATCGATGGTCCCCCATCCTTCATACATTCAGGAAAATGTCACCTCATCAGGCTGTCGATTGATACCGTGCACGATGGAATTCAGCCGATCGCTTCCGATGATGTTGGAGCTATTCAAGCCTTTCAGTTCTTGATCGATTGCCTGGGTGCTACCAGCGAATCTCGTATGGGAATCAGCGTTGCCAGAATAGTGATGCCGTCGTCCAGTGGATACATCGTTCGATCTGACATCGTCCCACTTCGAATGCTCGACTGTCCGCTGATCACGACCGCTAAAAACTTCTCACAACCTTTGCAGTTTTTCGCTGGCAATGCCGATATTCCAGCTAATTTACAACAGCTTCTCGAAGTGATAGCATCATCGGCCGGGGGCATACTTCTGAAGAACACCCCTTCGGACGATCTGGACAACCAAGAATCTCGAATCAAACTTCTCGATATTGAGCTCGAAAACAGATTGTCTTTCCCGTGGCTTTCGGAAGACAAGCCATCTCGACAAACCTTGGTCCTGGTAGATGGTGGCAGCCTTAGTCCCGATCAAGGAGGTTGCGGTGCTTCGCTATTTGGAGCAGCTCAAGCGCTGGGAATCAATACGGTCGTTCTGGATCATGCAGCCACTGGCTTGAAGGCCCCAAGTGGTCGCACTGGCGTAAAGCATTCATACCTATCGACTGTACTATGCGCTGTGAGGTCCCATTCGCACGTCGTATCGTCAAGGGCATTCTCGCATATGGCAGCCACGTGGACGGTATCGTCACGTTTTGCGATCGTTATAAGGAGCCGGTCGCCGAGGCTGCTCTGGAGTTGGGCCTTCCCACTTACCCTCCTGAAGCGTACTCGCTTGCCCTCAACAAGTTCCAGCTGGGCCGCTTCGAAGGGCACCCAACGTGTCTCGTTCCTTCAACTGATTTGGAGCACGCCGCTGCCATCGTAGCAGAGCATGGCCTTGAGTTCCCTTTGATAGTCAAGCCTTGCACTGGCTTTCTTTCCGAGGGAGTCTTCAGAGTCGAGAATACAGAACAGTTGATGGCTGGCATCAAGAAAGCCGTGGAAGTGGACCGCCAGGATGCCAATATCGCAATCGAAGCGTACTGCGGCGGACCAGAAGTCGATGCAAATTTCGTTCTCTGCGACGGCGAAGTATTGTTCATCGAAGCCTCAGACGAGTATCCCAAGGGCGCCGATGTTAACGCTCACGGGAACGTGGAGAACTTCATTGAGTTGGCCAACGTTCTTCCTTCCAAGCTTCCAGCAGACGAACTAGCTGTCCTGCGAGAGTCGCTGCTGCAGAGCTTGCTTCGTCTTGGATTCCGCGATGGTTTCTATCACCTTGAAGCGAGGGTGAACAACTCAACGATGGAGTATGTCATGCGTGATGGCATACTGGACTTGGAAGAGCGCCCCGCCGGAAATGACCACAAGCCATCGGTGTGGCTGATCGAGATCAACCCTCGTCCTCCTGGTATGCACACGTCTGAAGCCAGCAAACATACATACGGCGTGGATTATTGGGGACTCGGCCTGCTCTTCGCGCTCGAGGATAAACAGCGAGCGAAGCAGCTCTCATACCCGTTCGGTCGAGGCCCACAGTGCTTTTGTGAGATGGTCTTCATTCCCGTCGAGCACGGTGGTAACTTCCAGTCCGGAGATGTATGTGCTGAGCTTTTCGAAAGGCGTCCAGACTTGAAAGGGTTTGTATCATTCAGCTGTTGCTTCTGGAAGAAAGGGCAGATCGTGCCAGACCCTATACACACTGGCGTCAACTCGTGGGTTGCACATTTTAATGTCTTTTCGCGGGAGTCGCGAGCGCAGGTACTCGAGATCGCCGAGACCGTAAGGCTTGAGGTGAGATTTTCGATAGTGTAGCGATGTAGGCACTGTTTTATGGGACTTTGTTAAATGACATTCTATGCAGCAATTCCCTGGTCGTATACTTCAGTATGCAGATGTGTAATCAGTAAAACACTGTGCAATGAATATGTCAGCTTGAGCCAAGCCTTCCACGAGCCCCCAGATCGCTTGTCCGAGTCGAATCGCGGACGAAGATACCCAGAATGGCCGGAAGCGGGTTGCAGCCACTGATATCTGACTGTCTCGGCGTATTGCTTCTCACTGACCGCAGATGGCGATTTCATTGGGGCCAATCAATTTCCGCATGCGGCAAACAGTACACGGAGACTTTCGTAGGGAAGTAATCGCACCAACCGATGATAATTATAGAGACCAAGAGAGCACATATACGATGCCTCTTGGTCGGTCTGTCGAAACGGCGTCTTGTATCTCTCCTAACACTTTTTGCGAATCGAGGTTGGACAGGTTGCAGTACTGATTGATCACGTTGCCCTTCACAACAACGACAAGACGCAATGGCTGGATTCGATAGTGCACCTCGCCCTGTCAAGACGTGGCATTCGAAATCATACGATCACGTCGATCCAAAAAGGTCCGCGTTTGACGGCAAGGGCAAAACTTTGCTCATCACTGCTGGAGCAACTGGGAGTAAGTGAAGGTTCTGCTTTTGGTCATTCTGTTCACACTGACCTCAGTTTACAATTGGGTTTTCCATTGCAAAGTCTTTTGCGGAGACAGGAGTCGAGCGTATTGTGATTTTGTCACGCTCTCCCGGCCCACAGCAAGAGGCCAAGTCGGCATTGAATTCGCTTTATCCCAGCTTGCAGGTCCTGCCATATCAAGTCTCCATCACAGATCATGGCCGTATCAACTCAATCTTGAAGGATATTGGGAAGATCGACGTGCTGGTGATGAGTGCAACAGCGACTGAGCCAGGCTTTGGAGGTAGCAATCTGGACGTGTCCGTTGACGATATGCAGCTCATATTCGACACAAATGTGATAGCGGCATTCAACTTGGTGCAGACGTATCTGAGCCTTCCGGAGCCTGTGGGCAGACGCAAGACCATCATCAACGTCTCCTCTCTGGCCTCGCACATAGTGCTGCCCGGACAAGTCGGTTATGGTCCAAGCAAAGCTGCGGTAAGTCAGATCTTCAACCACTTCGCCAAAGAGCTGGATCCAACGAAGGCGACGTTGCTTTCGTATCATCCCGGCGCTCTGTACACTGCTAAAGCCGCCTCATATGACATCAAGGATAAGTTCGATTGAGACGACATCGAGCTGCCGGGGCACATTGCGGTTTGGCTTGCAAGTCCTGAGGCCTCGTTCCTTCACGGGCGCATGGTTTGGAGTAACTGGGATGCTGCTGAGCTTGTAGCCTTGAGAGAAAAGGTCGAGAATGATCCAAATTACTTGACGATCGGGCTCCAGCAGTAACACTTTGGGCGCTCACATGCCTGGAATCTGTGTCCAGGAGTACAGGCCCGTTGTTGGTCATGTTGGAGATTTCCCGCCAATCACAAGATGCGACAAAAGCGGACTGGGAGATAAGGCAGCTGTTCCATACATGTACGAATCTTGCGGGTCAGCAGTTCAGCAGTACTTGAGCATTTGCGGAACATCGTGATTCTGCTACACACGGTAAGTTATACTCAATGGCAATGCTCTGATCTCACTCACTCGCAAAAGTGGGCCCTCCATGTGATTGCCAAGCCGCGCTTACCTGACCGACTGGAAAGCTCCCCAGCGGTAGTCGATGCAGCACTCGATACACTCTGGCTCCCTCTGTCTGGCTATGATAGGGCTGCAGCAGGCTACAAAGTGACAGATACGAAGTCCAGAGTATCCGCCATTAAGATAGGGAAGATGTCAGCCGCAGTCCAAACGGAAGGCCTTGCCAACCCCTTCCTCAAACGCTAAGATAACACTAAGCTTTGAGGGGACGCCCAATCAGTGATAGTCCCGTATCTCGGATGGCTACCCGAGGCTGCATCGACTCACGTGCGCGACCGGGCTTACCTTCCGGTAGCAGATCCCAGCCTCAATCTGGGGTAGTACACGCGAGCGATGTGTCACAATCTCCGAGCGATTGGGCATGCAATCCTGAATAATGCTACCTCACGGCGGACACGGCCTACTCGAGCAAGGCGTAACGCGACACTGTGCGGGGGCCACATGGCCGTATTGCCCTGATCCACTTTATATGTAACGCTGGGAGACCATGCCAGCGCTGTTCATCGACTTCACGCGATCTCCTCGGGCCCAACAAGTCTGTTCTACATAGCCAAAATGCAGGCCGACGACCAGAAGCCGGCGTGGAATGGCTACGGCATCGGACAAGAACCTCGAGCCTCGTTCGGGATTGGAGAGAAGCGACGGCTGTCCTATGGATACGATCCGAATCTTGACGCATCAACAACCAACGATGCGGTCTTTGGCGATGTTTCGAATGGACCCAACTATCGTGCTGTACGCATGGTCTTATTCCCCAGGCATGCCGAAGGCTAACAAATTGTGCAGGTGGGATGGGCAGGCGCTGTCGTCCTCATGTTGAAGACACAGATTGGCCTCGGAGTGTTGGGTATTCCTTTGGTCTTTGTGAGTGTCTGAGACTACCATATCTCAGTCTGTATACTCATGCGATGCAGGACACCGTTGGCATGGTACCGGGTGTGATTTGCCTCTGCGTGATTGCTATCATGACCACCTGGTCAGACTACATCGTGGGCGTCTTCAAGATTAATCATCCAGAAGTATACGGCATAGATGATGTGGGGGGGTTGATCGCGGGAAGACCAGGCTACATTATTATGGGTACAGTATTCTGCCTTTGTGAGTGGCTCAACTTGGACAATTCGCTCAGGATCGATCGCTGACCGCTGAGCAGTCTGGATCTTTGTTGCTGGATCAGCCATGGTCAGCATTTCCATCGCCCTCAACGCCCTGTCCCTCCACGGCGCCTGCACTGCGATCTTCGTTGCTGTCGCCGCAATCATCGACTTCCTGTTCTCAAGTATTCAAACACTGCATCGCATCTCTTGGCTGGCGTGGGTCGGAGTCGTTGGCATCATCTCTTCAAGTAAGACGAAGCTGAAGTACGTTTGGAAATGATGAGCTGCTAACATCGCCTCTTCAAGTCCTGGTCCTCACAATCGCCGTTGGGTTGCAAGACCGTCCGGCTGATGCACCACAGACGGGCATATTCCACTCCGACTACAAGATTACTGCGAGTCCAACCCCGGCAAGCGCTTTCTCGGCCTTGTCGACACTGGTGTTTGCGTACGCAGGCACGCCAGCTTTCTTCTCGATTGTCTCTGAGATGCGTGAGCCACGACAGTACGGCCGCTCGATGGCCATTTGTCAGACCATCGTCACAGTGCTGTATCTGGCCATTGGCATTGTCGTATACTACTACTGTGGGTCCTATGTTGCGTCGCCCGCACTGGGATCCGCTGGAACTCTGTTCAAACGGATTTGTTACGGTCTTGCTTTGCCAGGGTTACTAGCCTCTATGATCCTACTCAGTCATGTATGTCGCGCCACTTTCTCATCGCTTCGTAGCTAACAAATCCGTAGGTCCCAGCCAAGTACATCTTTGTCCGCATTCTCAAAGGTTCTCGACATCTTAGCAGCAACACGCCGACTCACTGGATTGTCTGGTTCTCATGCACCTTGGCCATCACCATCGTATCCTATATCCTTGCTGAGGCTATACCTGTCTTCGGCGAGCTGGTGTCCTTTGCTGGTGCTGCCTTTGGGACTCTTCTCTGCCTTCAGCCGATGGGTTTCATGTGGCTTTACGACAACTGGAGTAGACCGAATCGCGGCCTGACGTGGAGCTTAATGGTAGCCTGGTGTGTATTCATCATTGTCGGTGGCACATTCCTCACCGTAGCCGGAACTTACGGGTCGATCGTCGGCATCATCAACGCGCTGAACGAAGGAGACGGCACAAGTCCATGGTCTTGCGCAGACAACTCAAATTCGAGCTAGAGTAAGAGGTATTGACATACTAAACAAGACTATACGTGGCGACGGGATTACTTGGTAGATTACTATCAAAAGTTTGATTACTTTCGTCGACAAGCGCGGACTTGATAGCCAAATGAAGACTGGCCCGTGTCATAGCTGGACAGCGCCGGAAATGGCTACTTCATATCATGGGCGTGGTGTGCAATGACACAATACGACTAACTACTCTCCTAGCGCAACAGAACTACTGGAATCAACCAGTGCCGATCATCCGAAGTGTGCTCCGACGAACATGACGGTGATGATGAAGTATGTACAAGTACAAGCCAGGAGAGCCTGATCTGTTGGCTCTGTTCTCTTCCTTCCAAATTTACACTCACTCGTCCCTCTAAAATGCACCTCCAGGCTCTCGTCTTGCTAGTCTTTGCGGTGGCTTCTTCGTCGCAGCATAGAGTTGTGCACGAGAGAAACCAGCTGACACCGCAGCACCACTGGTTCGAGCATTCCATACAAGATACAAGCCGAGTAGTTCGTGCTACTATTGGCCTCAAACAAAGAAACTTGGACCATGCGTACGATTATGTACTCGATGTGTAAGTGAAGAAGCAGTTGGCGAATGATTGACACTGGCTCATTCACATCGAGGTCTCACCCGGACTCGGCCAACTATGGCAAGTTCTGGAGCCGTCAAGGCGTAGAAGAGATCTTCAGTCCCTCGTCGGAGTCTACTGACGTTGTCATGGACTGGTTGAATCAGACTGGCATCCGTGATGCGCAGCAATCTACCAACCGCGGCTAGATCTCGTTTGATGCGTCGATCCGACAGCTCGAAGATATGTTCGGGACAACGTACCATCAATACCAGAATGTCAAGACTGGTGCGTCTAGCTACGCTTGCGCTCATTACTCGCTGCCAGCCGAGGTGGCACTTCATGTGGATTACGTCCGACCTGGTGTGACGCCCATGTTGAACTCCCAAAGGGCAAAGAATGTTCAAGGCATTCAACGAAGGGATGCCCCTGTTCCTTTTCATCAAGGTCCGGCAAAAGGACCTATAATTCCCTATCCACCCCATATTCCCCCGCCTGCAAAGCAACTCCCGCCAGAGCTCCAGTATTGCGGTTACAATATCACTCCACCATGTCTGCGAGCTTTGTACAATCTTCCAGTGCCACTCAAAACCTTGGGAGATGGCGAGTTGGGTGTTCAGGAGAATGGTGCATACTCACAGGAGGACCTTGACGACTTCTTTGCAAAATACGCCCCTAGTGTTCCGAACTCAACCCATCCACACTTGGTCTCGATCAATGGAGGTACTGCACCCACCACGACGGACATGGCAGACGGAGAGGCGGATCTCGATTTTCAGGTTGCTTACGGCCTCTTGGGCCCTTCCAATATCACTTTGTACCAAGTCCAGGATCCTGTGAATTATCACAATATCACACCCTTGATGACTGATCTTCTGGACGCCATTGATGGTTCTTTCTGCGATGAGGATCAGCGTCAAGGTGGTTTTATGTGCGGCGGCGACTCCCTGACGAATGTTCTATCTGTGTCTATGGAAGACCCGGAGCTCTTCATGCAGTGCTCGGTATACCAGCAGCGGGCTTGCAACGAGTTCATGAAGCTGGGCCTCCAAGGCAAAACGACCATCTTCTCATCTGGAGATTATGGTGTGGCGGCATCACCAAGGTTTGGCGAGCCTTTGTGCTTGAACAACGGCTGTGCACCCCAGGATCTTCAGAATCATCCTCTGCAGGACCAAATCAACAACGGGACTATCTTCATGCCTGGCTTCCCGTCAAACTGCCCTTATGTATTATCTGTCGGTGGCACAATGCTCGAGTCTAATCAGACTGTGCGAGATCCCGAGACAGCCATGAATCTGCCAAATGTTGGAGCCTGCCCAACTTACCCAGCCGTGCGATTTTCAAGCTCAGGCGGCTTCGCGAACTTCTTCGACCGGCCAAGCTATCAGGATCAAGCCATTACCAACTACTACTCGAAGTTCGGCCCATCTTACCCATCGTACGATTCAAACAAGCTCGATGTGACCGACAACGCCACAAACATTGGCAAGAACGGAGGTATTTACAATCGCATTGGCCGAGGCACTCCGGATGTGTCGGCGAACGGAGCGAATTTCATGAGCTTCAATCAGGGCCAAGACAAACCTACGGACGGTACGAGTGTGGCGGCTCCGATTTGGGGGTCCATCGTGGCGATAATCAACGAAAAGCGTGCGCAGGCCGGAAAGGGACCTGTGGGGTTCATCAATCCTGTACTTTACGCACATCCTGAGGCACTCCATGACATTACCAGTGGGAACAACCCTGGATGTGGGACCGCTGGCTTTGAGGCAGTCGAGGGATGGGATCCTGTAACTGGGCTGGGGACGCCTAATTTTCCAGCGCTGGAGCGACTCTTCTTGAGTCTTCCCTGATCGTCTTTTCAGTCCAGTGGCATGCGATCCTTACGGCTCGTGGCTAGAGCACAGTCGGGCTATTCCTGTCAAAGTTAAACGTTCTCGTCCATGCTCAACTTTTGCAACTCGCCGCTTGAGCGCAAGCCTTGCAGCCTGGGATGATCGGACACATTTGATCATTCCAAAGCCCAGCTAGCATCTTTTTGGTGAGTACACAAGTCACGCCAAGTCGAGCATGAGCTCCATTTGCACTGAGGCATATGCCACGAGCGTCTTCTGCGATCCTTCTTGTCCGCGGTCAGTCCGAATCTCGGACAAGTTCAGTCGAAGGATTTCGAAGTCCTGAGTAGGGCTTCACGATGGTCTGGCCTATGCATATATATCACAGAGCAGGCAGATGATTTCCAGATCTAAAGCAGCTTCTTCACTCCAAACTTGAGGAGCTAATCACCGACTTCACGGTGTTGTATTTACAAAATCACATTCTCCACCATGGCGGTACCCAACGACTGGCAAGCCTTGTCCAAACCTGACCCTGAATTTGCTCAAGTATGGATACCTAAACACGAAAAATTTTTATGATTGGCCTACTTACTCAACTTCTCATCAGATGATCCAAGATCGATTTGGCGGCACGGCGCCTGGATTCCCAGGATTTCCAGACATCACCAAGATGCGGGCCCTCATGGCTAAGTCGAAGCGTGCCATGACTGAGCACCACGGAGGAACGTCCTTCGATGGCATCCAGGAGAAAGATCATCACATTACCGTCCGCGATGGATCGAATATCGTTTGTCGTTCGTATACACCAGAATCTGAGCATTATGGTGGTCGACCGGTCTATGTGGTCTTTCATGGTGGTGGATTCTGTTTGGGCGATCTGAGCAACGAGGAGCTACTTTGCCGTCTTCTTTGCAAAGAGTTGGATATCATTTGCATCAACGTGGAGTATCGCTTGGCGCCAGAGCATCCGTTTCCGGCTGCTCCCAACGATTGCTTTGATGCCACGAAATGGGCAAGTGTGCCGTTACCAGCAGCACAGAGCTTAGCCGCTGACAATTGATAGGTCTCTCAAAATGCTTCGGCCCTCGGTGTGGACCTCAGAAAAGGCTTCGTGATCAACGGAACTTCCGCCGGCGGCAACCTGACCATCACTGTCTGCTACCAATGGCACGACGAAGGCTTACAACCGCCGATCACAGGCTGCCATCTCATGAACGGCCATTTCGTCGACAATGAACACGTCCCAGAGCGAGCTAAATCTTGCTATCAATCTTGGTGGGAGCTCGCCGACGCTCCGATCCTCAATCACCGTTACAGCGAGGTCTTCATTGGTCACTACCTGCCCGAGAAGAGCAAACGGGGCGATCATCTATTCAGTGTGATGCGAAGAGAGGATGGGCCGAAAATTCTACCTGCGGCGTATTTCCAGATCAGCGGTCTGGATCCAGTGCGAGATGAGGCTCTCATCTTCGAAAGCTGGATACGCGAGGCTGGGACGCCTACCAAGTTGACTTTGTATCCAGGCCTGCCTCATGGCTTCTGGAGTGTGTTCCCAACACTGAAATCTAGTGAGCGCTTCTTCAAGGATGCTATCGACGGTGCTCGTTGGCTTTTGAAGAAGTGATCAATATAGCCTGGGAGTGTACTACCCTCTACTGTATTGCTGTATGAATGGTGTTTTGGCCTGAAGAGATTATTGCGCTATCAAACTCGACTCTCTTGCATATCTGTCACGATCAAAGCTTATGCGATATCTAATAATACTTCACGCCCAGCGATGTCAGATACGGCTTCGAGCTTGGCTCATGGCTTATGTAGTTGATCAGCGTCTTCATTTCAGGTTGCGTTCCGCCCTTGCAGAGAACCATATCTCGATATCGACGGCCATTCTCCTTGCTCAACACGTCCCCTGCGAACCCAGCTTCAAGTATGTTGATTGCGAATAAACGTCCTCTGTAATATCACCTGTCAACGAATGCAGAAATCAAGGCTGTCTGTGAGCTTCGACTTACAGCAGATAGGCGTAGTATCCCGCATCGTACTTCCCCTGGATAGCTCGGAAGACAGTCTGACCTTGACTGTACTACCAGCCGTCGCCCAGTGCCTCGCCCCCGTGAGATTTGAAGATCTCGCATCGCAGTCTGTTGTAGAGCTCCGGTAAATTCGTCTTCTCGAGATCTTCGTGAGAAACCGGGCTGTGGATGAGCATATCATACGTGGAGAAGAAGAGCTCGTTGAGTGACTTGCGAACGCGGCGAACGGCTTCGTTCGCCCCGAGCTTTGCAGCGTATTCGATACTGATCTTGAGTGGAATCTCAGGGGTAATGTCTTCTGAGTTGTATCCTCGACTTGCAAGCCAAGCACGTCGCATCTCTGGACTGATGTGGGAGTAGTAATGCGAAACTTCGTGGATGATCTTGGGGTCCCAGAAGAACTGCTCGAGCATCATGCTGAGAGTTTCGACGAAGTCACTGTCAACTGCATGGAGTTTGGCATATCGAGATCGACTCAATAGTCCGTGATACATATGGCCAAGCTCATGGAATAGGCTTCGTACGCCGTTGAAGTCAAGCAATGTTGGTCTCTCGAGCGACGGTTTCATGTAATTCATGACCAAGCAAGCACATGGGTTGAAGTAGGTACCGTCTGACGTTTGGTATCTCTGCGATTGGATCAGCAAGTGAAATTGTCTTAGGTGCAATGCCGCTCACTCGTTGCAACGCATACTGCCCAGCATGCGTATACTTCCCCTCACGAGGAAACAGATCGAGGTAGGCATATCCAAGAAACTCAGGCCCAGCCTGATCCACATTCCACACAGAGAACATCTGTACGTCTTCATGCCAAACAAGCCCCTGTTCCAGCAAGTCGCTGCCAGTTTGCTCCATTGGAAAGAATCTGACGCCGAAGATCTGAAGGTATACGTCCAGCAGCTTTCGTAAAGTCGTACTGAGTTCAAAATACTCCGAGGTCAGGGACTCTGCGTTGCCAGCCTGCTCGTCCAATTTTGTGTCGAAGTATGCCCTGTCCCAGTGGAACAACTTGACATCGTCCACCGACTCGCCACGAGACGAGGTTTCGGCCACTTTTGATTCTCGTAATTGCTCAGCAGCCTGCTCTGCGACAGGCGTAAGGGCAGACCGGACTTCAGCGAGCAACCTGTGAATTGCTTCGGGAGATCCGACCATCTTCTGCGATGTCTTGAATACGAAGTGATTTGGCCAGCCCAGTAACCGAGCAGTCTCATCTCGAAGAAGGACTAGTTCTCGATGCAGAGGGATGTTCTCCGGCATTCTGTTCATCACGGCGTAATAGACCCTTTTTCGTGTGGCTTCTTCTGTTGCATAGTTGAATATGGGCAGGCTGAATGGGTTCTTGGTGGGTACCCATAGATATCCTGCATGCTCATCAACCCCTTCAGTGAGTTTGCTCAAGAAACTCTCGGACATGCCCCTGAGCTCGTCGCGCGTGAGCCAAAGGCCAGTCTTCTCATTTGCCATATTTTTTCTGGACTGCTTCGCCAACTCGCTGATTCGTTTCTTTTTGCCCACGAACTCGCTCCGGACTTCAGCATTGGCAATACCACATCCACTCATCACAAAACGTTGGTGAAACTTGATCAAATAGTGCATTGATTTGTCGTCCAGGGTGGGTGGATGAGCGGCTTTCTCCTTGTCCAAAACGCTATCGACCAGGACAAAATAGTCTGCACGGGAAAAGAGATCGGCCTCAGAATTATTGAATAGATCCGCAACAGCATAAGAGGCTCCGCGAAGCTCCTTAATGGGATGTGTTGACGCATAGAAGCGCAAGTGATTTTCTTTTTCCGATCTCAAGTTCTCGTCTTCTGCAAATGCTCGTATGGTGTTCTCGAAGTTCGCACTCCGCGGATCAATCTCGTTAACAATTTTGTTGCAGAGATGAGATGTGGCTTCTATCAAAGCTTCTGCGTCGGCTTTGATCTCTGCGGCTGTCGTGTTAAAGGACGGCGGCGTTTTATAGCGAAACGGATTCAAGTCCATATCTGCCTGGCGATCAACAAGAGCTCTGCTTCCGAATTCGATCTTGCTGCCGCCCATTCGACTTCATCGCCGCCACTTTCACGTCCTTGCCGCCTTTTCGAAGTCACAGTCTCCATCAAGCCGTGCCGCTCTTCCATCAATACGATCTTGTGATCTACTCCTTCCGTTGCCTCATCAAGTCCACAATAATCAGGGTGTCGGGAACTGCATTATTGCGCTCCAACCACACCTTGTCTCAAGCGATCATGCCCTTTTTCTCGCCCTGTGCTTCCGCCACGACCTCTTCAACAACAACTCCGACCTCTATGCCATCCAGAACAAAATCGACTTGACGTCCCAGACCCGGCGGCTGAGAAAATTGATTGAGGGCGTAGTAGAGGCCTCCACTCACCGCATAGCCGAAGAAGAACGACACCTGATATATACGATACCAGCCTGTCGCTACTTGCGGGCCCCCGACTGCCTGAACGAATCCCGGGAGAGCCCATGCCATCCCCAGGAAGTAGGCCGCATAAGCCCTCCAGTTCATTCCGTGCCAAAACCAGTAGACGCCACCTTGACGATAGAGATCCGGGATATTCCACTTGCACCTTCGGACGAGCCAGAAGTCGACGACCAAAATCGAGGCAGCTGGCGACATGAACACGCCAAACGATGATAAGACCGTGATAAAGGTCTCCGCTTGTGTGAGAAATCGCCAGGGGTTTGCCAATACTCCCAGTATTGAAAAGATGATGCTGCCCCTTCGCCTCGAGACATACTTTGGTATGAGCATGGCAACATCCATGCCCGAGCTGTTTTGTGTATAGTTGATGAAGACAGTCACGAACAGCAGTCCAACACCAGCAAAGAATGTTCCCGCTCGGCAAGCTGGCGTATACCATGTCATTTGGACCTGTTGAAGCATGACCATCGGATTCCATTGGGTCGAACCAAGAAGTTCTGACGTTGCAGAAGTGGCGATTATTCCAATGAGGGCTATGAGTGTCACTGTGATTGGGAGTGCTGTCAGTTGGGCTGCTGTTGGAGCGTGTCTGCTTTTTGCATATCGAGTCCAGTCTGACACGCGGTCACTGCCTCCAGTATACGTTCCAGCAACTGAAGCGATGCCTTGCACCATCAAAAATCCTATCTGGGACTGAGGTATCTTCACTGCTGGTGAGACGAGGTTGCAAGGACCTCCATTTGCCGAGACCGCCCATCTCATTATGCCCAGAAGCGTTGCGCTGGAGACGACCAAGTTCACTTCCAGCAACCTTTGGACCCGATGTGGTGGCACATAATATATGATCGGGAAGTACAGACAGATGAACAGCAGGAACCCAATCAGCTGTGGCGTGGTGATGCCAGCGCTTCTTGGTAGGGTATTTGCCATGTGCAGATAGGTCGGAAAGATGCTGTTCAAGATGAGAACGAATGCCATGCCTAGAGTCGAGATCATCAGCACTCACTTCTTCTGAAGATGGCCAAGCCGACTCACCTCCAAAGTACATCTGAGTGCCGTAGAAGATGAATGATTGGAACACATTCAACATGACCACGAAGTAGCAGCCCCAAAGACCAAACGCCGCGCGAGCGAGCGTTCCGTATCCAAGATGGTGTATTGCCCCGGGAGCGCCGTTCAGATATGCAGAAAGAGACGCAATCACGCAGCCAACCACGACGACACCGCAAGCCTGGCCTGCAGTCAGGCCGATTCCAATGAGCGAACTGCCGATGGTCCAAGATGAAAGTGAGATACCACAGGTCCCCCAGTAGGCATAGAAGGCCAACCATCCATACGTGCGTTTGTCACGCGGAATAGGATACACATCTTTGTTGCCCCATCTTGTGGTCTCGAGTGCCTCAAATTCATCGTCCGTTGGCTTGACCTCGAGCTTGCCGATCAGACTTCTCAGACCCATCAATGAGGCGGTGCGACGAGAACCAGATGTGAGCTTGGTGAGCGGGTCCAAGTAACTCCAAATGAATCTGCCAGAAAATTCCTGAGTTCAAGATGCGGGCTGAAATCTGCCAGGCCGAGAGGTTCATCTTTAAGTGACCGAGCTCTGCTGTGCTTCCCCCTCTGCGGCAATTCCAAGGACTATCAGTGACACCTACTTCAATTCCTCAAGCAGCAGATCCATCGAAGCGAGAACATGAACAGGTAGTGATGCAGGGTCTACACAACCGATGCCCAGACTGAATTCTGCCCGTGATCGTTATCAGCTGCGCTCGCCTATGACAGTATACCCTGTCTATCTTGATCTAGGCTTCGAAGATCTTCTCTGACGACCCTTGGTGCCAGATTGAAAAGTCTCAGAACCAAAGCAACACAACAGTGGCTGAAGGTTCCTTGTTCTGGTACCTTAACAGCTTTAACGAAACCCAGGGTAACGCCACATGACAGTCCCAAAACAGGAAGCCCTTGGAATCATGGATCGAACGTACGACTTCATCGTTGTGGGCGGTATGCAGGTACTACGAAAATATATGAACAGGTTGTTGACCTCTTCGGATAGGAGGAGCCTCTGGGTGCGTAGTCGCCGCCCGACTCGCACGATCTGCAACCAAGCCTTCAGTACTTCTGTTGGAAGCTGGAGGAACAAATGACGGGGTTGATCATATGTCTGGCGCCGAACGTTTTGATGTTGCTTTCAAACCCGGATCGAAACTCAATTGGGGATACAAGACGACTCCTCAATTTGGACGAAAGACCGACTACTCACGTGGCAAAGGGCTTGGAGGGAGTACAGCAATCAATTTCTGTGGTTGGGTTGTAGGCGCCGACGAGGACTACAACGAATGGGGCCGGCTCGTCGACCATGACTCCTTTGCTTGGCCTCACGTTAAAGACTGTCTGAAGCGGATCGAAAGACTGCATCCCGAAGTACCTGCAGGCTTCGATCATCATATTCATCCACATATAGAAGGTACATTTTGACCTTCATCGCATTCAGTCGACGCTGACCGTCACCAGAACATGGCGTCGACGGCGTCATCGACGTTGCTTATGGCAATGAATGGCTGCAATCCACGAAAGATGTCTTCAAAGCAGCCGAGCAGTCAGGAATGCCCTTAAATGCCGACGTGAACTCGGGCAATCCTATTGGGATGGGAATCAGTACTGCTTGCATCTATCAAGGAAGAAGAATAACAGCATCAAGTGCCTACCTGCATGGCTGCCCAAATCTTACCGTACGGACAGACTCTCTGGTACGCCGCGTCTTGTTTGAAGGCAATGTGGCAATCGGTGTTGAGACCATGGACAATCAGAAGTTCACAGCCACCCGCGAGATTGTACTCTCAGGAGGTGCGATCAACACACCTCAGCTCCTTTTGCTATCCGGCATTGGCCCACCAGAGGAGCTGAGGGAACATGGCGTCAATATAGTGTACGACCTGCCGCACGTCGGACGAAATTTACAGGATCACTGCTTTTCCAGCGCTGGTATCGTTCTGAAGAAAGGAAATGGCCACTTGGCTGAAAAGAAGCAAAGCCCGTCGCCCATGGGATGGTTCAAACTGAAAACTCTGGACCGCTCCCCAGAACTGGAAAATCTGCCAGAGGACATGAGGAAATATCTGGCGAAATCGACAGTCCCGCATTGGGAGCTGGCTACTAATACACCATTCTTTGATGGTGAAAGTGTTCAACCTGACGAAGAAGTGTTTTCGGCAATATGTCTTGTCATGAACCCACAGTCGAGAGGCAAGATTTCGCTGGTCTCATCAGATCCTTTGGTGGCACCGCAAATCGACCCAGCGTTCTTGTCGCATCCATTCGACAAAAAAATCATAACGGAGGCCATGCGAGAAATGCTTAGGTACTTTTCGGCCCCAGTCTTTCGAGAAAGAACAGTCAGAGGGCTGGGTTGGCCTAAGGTTGATACGGACGAAGCAATTCTGGTACGATAACATTTAGTCTGTCTTGTTCGCACACTGACAAGGTTACAGAATCAATGCAAGGCACATCTACAGAGTTCCTGGCACGCGTGTGGCACAGCAAGAATGGGACGGGATGAGAAGGATGCATGCGTGGATTCAAATTTCAAGGTTTTCGGATTCAGTAACCTACGTGTAGCCGACATGAGCGTCTGTCCGCTGATTCCGAAGTAAGTGCCGATATCAGCTCGTGGCGATGGTGATGATGGCTGACTTGCGTTAGCAATCACACGCAAACCACGGCCTACGTGATTGGAGAGATTGCGGCCGAGAAGCTCATCGCTGAGTATCGCCTCGATCGGATGGGGACGCTGTGAGCTTGAGTACTATCTGGAAGTATGGTTTTGATAGGCAGACGTGCGTTATCTGAGCTGTTAGTGGAGCCTGGTGCAGCCTTGGCCGAGAAGCTACCCCTGAAATTCGGCTTCACAAGATCTGGAAGTTGAGAGCGTTAACAACTGACAAGTCAAATTCTGTCGCAAAAGCACCCACGAGGCCAATTAAACCACTGACTGGCGTCGAAACAATACCCAGAATGGGCCACGATAAACAACATATCGACATTGCCATCATTGGAGCAGGAATAGGAGGGCTCGCACTGGCCATTGGCCTTACCAAGCGTGGCATACCTGTGACAGTGTATGAAGCTGCCGCCGAGTTCTCAGCAGTCGGTGCCGGTATAGGACTCGGACCAAACGCACTACAAGCAATCGATCTCTTAGATTCGCGCTTCAGGAGCTTATACGAATCAGCAAGCACCGAGAACGAACGACCAGAATTCGAGAACTCTGTTTTTGATGCATTGTACGCAGACGAGAGTCTGGATTTTGGCGAGAAGATTGGCTGGCAATGTGGACTGGTTGGGGCAGAATATTTCAAGCGGAGCAGCGCTCATCGAAAGGATCTGCTCGAGATCATGAAGTCCCTGATTACTCAAGACACCGTGAAGTTCGGTAAAAAGGTAGATCAAATTGATAAAATCAACGAAAAGGTGCAGGTCACATTCCAGGATGGCCATACTATTGTCGTTGACGCCTTGGTTGGATGCGATGGCATAAAAGGCATCACAAGGCGTGCGGTGCTGCAGAACGTAGCTCCAGAAGAAGTACCGGCAAAGTATTGTAACATGTACATATACCGCGGCATTGTCCCAATGGCAGAAGCGAAGAAAATCTTGGCCGCCCACGCAGGGGACGCAAAGTGGTTCATGTCGAAAGGAAAAGGCCTGGCGATATATCCGATTTCAAAAGGCAGAGAAGAGAACTTCGTCTTCTTCATTCATGATCCGAGTCCCTGGAAAGGACCGCAAGAAGCTGTTGACTGTTCTCGAGATGAGATGATCTCCGATCTTGCTTCATTTGACGGGCGTCTGTTGAAGCTTCTCAGCTGGGCGAAACCGCTGCGATGGCCAATTGTTCACCATCCTACGACTCCGACCTACTACAATGGAAATGTATGTCTGCTGGGTGACGTTGCTCATGCGTCGTCTCCTGGACAGGCTGCTGGTGCTGGTCAAGGATTGGAGGATGCTGTCGTACTCTCACATCTCTTATCACTAGTAACGTCAACAGACCAGGTGCAGAAGGCATTCATGGCATACGATTCAGTCCGTCGGCCGCGGGCACAGAAGGTTGTTCAGACGAGTGAAGAGGCAGGAGAGATGTACATCTGGAATGCTCCACGGATCGGAGACGACATGAGTAAGATCGTTGACAACGCCAATTCTCGACTTCACTGGATCTGGCAGCACGATTTGCGGGAAGATATAGCACGAGCAGAGAATATGTTCCGTGCCGAAGTTCAAGAAGAGGATACACAGCCTCCGTCATACCATGATGCAACGATCAACGATTTAGGATCGGAACCGAACAGAATAGCTGCAACTGCGGCTGGAATGATGGCTCTTAGATAACCTATCAATGCTCAGACAGCAACGACCCAAATCCTTCGATCTTGTTCTCTATGCCATTCGTTCTATATGCATGCCACACTGTGGCAGTATTCACTGCAATCACCGGCTTTCCAAGCTCCTTTTCCATTTCAGCCGCAGCCTTGGCCGCAGGAAGATTCGTTCCAGCTTGGAAGAGGGCATCCACACCATCGACGTTGACTTTTCGGAAAGCTTCTTTGATTTCATCTGGATGAACCTCTGCGATTGAAGTAGCGGTCTCACAACGCAGGCCGATGATGGCGTGGACTTTGAATCCCAGTCCTTCGAAGAAGTCCACTACTTGTTGATCCCCAACAGGCTGGTAGGGTGTCACAATGCCAATGTTCTTTGCACCATATGCATCCAATGCAGACTTGGCAGCATGAGCTCCAGTCGTCACGCGAAGGCCAGAAATGTCATGCATGAACTTCTCGAATTGCTCTGCGCCGTCTTTACCTCCCCAGAAAGTCTCGGCGCTCATTCCTATGACGAGATAAGTCGGTTGGCAATGAAGGACACTCTTGACTGCAGCTTCAATGGTTGTTCTCAGGTACTCCAGAAAGGCGACCATGGCTTCATCGTCTTTGAGTGATGGATTCGCGATTTCAATTCGTCCGCTGTGCCATGACACTCCCTCAGCTCGCATCCAGCTGAACTCGGCTTCCACAACTGTGTTGGTGGCAGGTCTGAAAAGCTACAGTCAGCTCTGGATGGGAGATTTGGTTATTAATATACATTATGAGTCCGAAACGGGCTCGAGGAGAGACATGGCTAACCACTGCTTGAGATGGTGTTGGTGCCATCGTCGTTTGCAAGTCAATCAAAGACCACTGCCAACGATTTCTTCCAGGCACCCATAAGATCAATCAGTTTAGAGAGCATTCCAATGCCATCACAGAATGCCGTTGCGATGTCGGGTTACGCTCGAGCTCGTGGCCGCGGCCAACTCCACGTCATGGATGCTTGTAGGCGAGGGCATATCTCCAGCTCGCCTCTGGTAGTGTGTGGTGGTACACGACGTCGTAGCTCCGGAAGATCTGTAGATCAATCGACCGGGGGCTACTGGTATCATCTTGGCACTGACAGCCTCCGGACTACAATCGGTATCCCGTATCGCCTCAATGCATGCAAGTGTCGACGGTGAGCCGCGGCTGGATTGCAGTCTTTATTGCGAGGTTCGACACATGCAAGCCACGGCATGGCTATCTTCCTCGACTATTAACACATTAGTCTTCGAAAAGTGAACATCTTTGGTTCCTTAATTATTTCAGCGATTCTTAAGATAGTGCTGTCCAGGAGCCGTAAAGTTACAATGGCGACTCTGGCCAGTATGAACGAGAAGACGCCCAAAGATCCAGCGAACACATCAATCGATGCGGTGAGCGTCGAAAATGGACATCTCGATGTCCAAACGAGCGACAAGAGTCTGGATCGTCGTCTGCTGCTGAAGCGTGACCTGGTGTTGCTCCCTTCGGTCGGCTTGCTGTACATGATTGTGAGTCCACCAAGAATACAGACTCATTTCCGGCCTGATATTCAGCAATAGATGTTTCTCGACCGCACAAATATTGCAAACGCAAAGATCGAAGGTCTAGTCCAAGGGCTAAACATGCCCTCAAACGGCTACAGCACAGCCTTGTGGATTTTCTATATCCCGTTCATTTTGGCGTGAGTGATTTGTAGCCATGACAACCAGATCATCGTCTCTAATTTGACTTGTGCAGCGAAGTGCCAAGTAACCTGATACTGAACCAAGGCAAGATCCCACCAAACTACTTCCTGGGAGGAATGACCTGTGTCCTCGGGATTCTCGGCATGTGTCAGGGGCTGACGGCATCTTATGGCGGGCTGCTGGCACTGCGTTTCCTAATGGGCGCTCTTGAGGCTGCCTTGCCGGCTGGAGCGGCGTATATGATCTCCATCTACTATACGAAGAAAGAAGCTGCGGTGAGGTTCGCAGCCTTCTTCAACTTTGCTCTTCTTGGACCTTTCTTCTCGGGTCTCCTAGCATATGCGATCGTCAACCTGGATGGGACAGGTGGTTACGAGGGATGGCAATGGGTGAGTTCAAACCTTGTCCCTGTGGTATTGGTCCCACTGACAATTAGAAGATCTTTATCATCGAAGGACTGATGACAGTCTTCTTCGGCCTGATCGCGCTCATCTTCACGCCAAACTTCCCCAAGAAAGCCCAGCACTGGTTTTTGAAGCCCAACGAACGAGAATACCTCATTGCGAAGCTGGAAGCATCCAGGGGTCTAGAGGAGAAGGGCTCTGTAGCCGACGACGTCTCGATATGGAAGGTAATGAAGTCCAACTTCTCCTGGCGCGAAGCACAAGCTAACTCTATCCAAGGTTCTTGTCGACTGGAGGATCCACCTCTTCACGCTGTGCTTCTTCTGCTGCGATATCACAGCTTCATCGATCTCTGCATTCATGACATCCATCCTCAAGGAGCTCGGGTGGACGAGCAGCAGAGCCCAAGTGATGACGATGCCTGTATGGGGATCAGGTATCTTCTTCACCTTCCTCGTCACCTGGACCGCCTCACGAGTCAACTTCCGCGCACCGTTCATTCTGGCCTCGACCTGCTCCCAATTGGTAGGCTGGGCAATCATGGTCGCATACGTCCCAGCACCAGGGGTTCGTTACGCGGCACTGTTCTTCATGAGCATCGGCACATTCCCACAGATGCCCCTTTTGATGACTTGGCTGAGCAACAATCTTCGCGGGCGAAAGTATCTCGCCGTGGGAATGGCGTGGCAAGTGGGCTTCGGTAATCGCGCGAATTTTGTCAGCAGCAATGTGTTCATCACTGGGCAGGCTCCACGTTATCGAACTGGATTCGCGAATGGGCTGGGCTGGACATGTTCTGGGTTTGCGTTGGTCTGCTTTACCACTTTACTGCTCTCCATCAAGAACAAGCGAAGAGCGGACAGAGTATCTCGTCTAAGTGTCGAAGAGAGGGCGCCGGAGGAACAGAAGTCTTTCAAGTTTCTGTTGTAGCCAAAGAGACAGTACCATTTTGAGGTCAGATCTGGGCAGTATCTCGATAACGTTTGAGGATCCTTCAATCACAGTTCGCCAGTCCACTCACTTCACCGTCAGCGGCTCCCAGAGTTGCTGACTCTGATAATGGAGAGTCGTGCTTCTTTAACGATAGGACACGCACAACGATGGACCGGGGGAGCATAGGCGAGGGTCAAGATAGGGCCACGGCTGGAGGACAATGCCCAAGCCGCTCGTGCAGCATCCTTCGCCTCATCAACACGAGAACCCTGCGGCGATCTTGACTGGGACCTTTGATCTCGTGGCGACGATCCAGAGCCGAGGTGATGTTGACGGGCTCTGACCGCATTGCAGGAAGTTCGGTTTCACAGAGCAGTCCACGGTTTCCACACTGGACGCGTCCAGCATTGCCGCCGGCTAAGGTCTTTACAATATGTCGAGCGACAACCTCCCAATCGAAGCCAAGCTCCTCATCAACGGCTCGTTCATCCCCAGAGATACGTTCGACCTACACTCGCCCTACTCTGGCGAGCTCGTGGGCAAGATCTCCGAAGCCACCGTCGAAGACGTCGACGCGGCCGTTGCAGCAGCCAAAGCCGCCCAGCCAGCATGGGCAGCTCTCTCACCACAGCAAAGAGGCAAACCGCTCGCCAAACTCGCCCAGATGATCGAAGACGCAACGCCAGAGCTCGCTCGTCTTGATGCACTGTCCCTAGGCCGCCCGATCTCGACCTTCTTCGATGGACATTATGCTGTCACGCACTTCCGATACTTCGGCGAGGCAGCATATCCCGTCGGAACGTCTTCGCTGAACACACCCGGCTTTATGAATGTATCGCTTCGCCAGCCATATGGTGTTGGTGCAGCCATCATTCCGTGGAATGCACCGTTGGTCTTCCTTTCCAAGAAGCTTGCTCCAGCTCTCGCAGCTGGGAACTGCATGGTCCTCAAGACATCCGAGAAAGCACCCCTGAGCTCGCACCGTGTCGCCGAGATGTTGAACGAGGCTGGCTTCCCTCCTGGCGTGATCAACATCCTCCACGGACACGGCCTGCCGAGTGGAGACGCTATCGCTCGACACATGGACATCAGAGCACTGTCATTCACAGGTTCGGTGAGGACCGGTCGGGCGATCCAGAAAGCTGCTGCAGACTCCAATTTCAAACATCTTGTTCTCGAGCTTGGTGGGAAGTCGCCGGCGATTGTGTTTCCGGATGCAGATCTGGAGCGAGCTGCTCAGGAGACGCAGAATAGCATTATGTTTCACTCCGGCCAGACTTGCATGGCGAATTCCAGAATCTACGTGCACAAAGATGTGGCTGAAGACTTTGTGGACAAGTTTGTCGCGTTTGCGAAAGCGAGGAAGCTCGGCGATCCGTTGGATGAGCAGACGACTTCTGGGCCGCAAGCCGACAAGACACAGCACGAGGCTGTCGTGCGGTATGTTGAAGAAGGGAAAAAGGCCTCCAAGACGATTGAATCATCAACTCCCATGCCAGCGGACAAGGATGATCTATTCGTCCAGCCGACCGTCTTCCTACAAGTGCCCGAAAACGACAAGTTAGAAAAGGAGGAAGTCTTTGGGCCCGTCGTCATCATAAACACTTTTGAGTCAGAAGAGGAGGCCGTCAAAATAGCAAATGATACCGAGTACGGGCTGTATGCGGCAGTCTATACACAAGACATCGATCGGGCGTTGAGAGTGGCCAAGAGTTTGGAGTCTGGTATGGTCGGCGTGAATTGCACGAGCCCGACTGGTGCTTGGGATATGCCCTTTGGTGGATATAAGCAGTCCGGACTAGGTAGAGAAAGTCTGCTTGAGAGCTTGGAGGACTGGTTGGAGAAGAAGTCTCTGTACATAAGAGTTAGCGGGTTGAATTCCGCCGAGGCTGGTAGCAGTACAGTCTTGGGGCGATAGTCGAGATGGAGGTCAGAGCCGGTGGGATGGAGGAGTGCAGTCCATCTTAATTACTCCCGACGAAGAGCATCTGCTCCAGTTCTTGTGCTTCAGTATTGCGGCTGTTTCGGGGCACTCCAATCTCCCCTTCCCACAACCTCCCCTTCGTACCGAACAGCTTTCGCAAAGTCCATCAAGAACTTCCAGCGAGCTGCTTTCACCCATCCTCTGCTCATAAAGTCATTCGCTGTCTTCGGAAAGAAATCGACAATGCTCAGCAAAGACTCGTCGTGTGCCGCAACCATTAGGATGTTCTCCTGTACATCGGCTTGTTGAAGCTTTTCAATGGTTCTCACGGCCTGCTCAGGATCGAGGTGCATCTGTACTATTTTCTGCGAGGAAGGTCTATAGATGGGTTTGGTACGGTCGTCGTCCCTGAGAACTGGTTCGAAGAGGTCACCGGGACAGGAGGAGGCGCTCAGCGAGGTAACTATAAGGAGGATAGCAGTCAGCCAGAGTCGAACGAGTCTCCAATTTTCATAACTCACATGGGTGAGGCTTAATAGTCTCAGGAAGAGGCATGTACGGCGAAGGTCGAATCTCGCCACAATGATGCCAGGCATCTCCTCCCATCATGATGAAGCTCGGAGGATCCGCTTTGACCCTGGCGAGAGCACAGATATGGGCATGAGCATGTCCAGGTGAATTGAGGAAACACAGAGAGCCGTCGCCAAAGTAATCGAGTGCATCCATCTCTCCACTCTTCAGTCCCGAGGTGAAGCTCAGTTCGATCAATTGTCGGCCTTGGAGGTCACTTTCCAAGATGGAGCTGTCGGGGTTGGTGGGATATGCTGGAAGCAGATTCTCTTTGAAGCCCGGCCCGACGATGAGTGCAGTCGATCTCTCGAATTCCGCCGGACTTCCCGTATGGTCGAAATGCCAGTGACTCCAAACGATCGCCTCGAGCTTGGTGGCGTCAAAACCGACGTCTTCCAAAATCTCCCTCACACTTTTGTCAACATTGAGAACATAACCGCCTTTCTTGAATCGATCAAGCAGGAAGGGGCTGCAGTTCCACCAGTCCTTCCGGAGGCCCAAATCGAAGACCATTGAGCGATGAAGAGTCGGATGCTCTATCAGAAAAGCGAAAGCTGATGTGGCGAGGTGCTCGTGCCCGGGGATAGATGGCTCCAAGAACTTCCATGCATCGACTCCTCGGATTGATGTCGTAGTATCGATGATGGATACATTGACCGTGGTTGAGGACTGCGGGATGCGGAGATCTGGAGTTGGCAATGTAGCCATGCTTCCTGGATGGCTGGCTTTCAGTATGAGTAGGGTTTGTTTGGTTCTGCTCCAATTCGTAAGCCGACGCGAGACGAGACAGAAGTTCGATATCTTGGAATACAGTAGCAGCTGAGCCGAACATGTCCCCATGCTCTCTGATCGGGCAACTTCGATAACGCTCGCCTAAGTCGCCAGGTACGTCAGAAGTAATTGTGGCAAGATTGGCACACATGCCCGCCATAACATGCGCCGCGGACGCCGTTTGAGCAGGCAGCCTTTCGGCATTCAATATTTTGATGGCAGGACGCGTGTTTCCATGTGGAATACTATCGCAATGTTCGAAATGGAAAGATGTCGAAAAAGAGTCGAAGGAGATCTGGCGCTTTTCCTGCAAGCAAGCCAACTGGCATTCAGTTGATCTGGGATCAGAACAGACAACTCTTGTATGTCGGACACGTTGTGGCATCATCACATTCTCACTCACAGACTTTCCTTCCTCGTCGTCTCATCCTCAATCTTCTCCGGCATGTCCTCGCGCCCAGTGACAGACCATCTGCGATCCTGAAGCTCGTTCTTGTACGCAGCACTCTTCCAAGCCAACTTCACATTATCATAAAGCTCGTTGACTTGCTCGAGCGTGGTGTCCTTGGTCTCGTAGATGAGGAGGTAGACGAAGACCACTGAGACCCAGCAGAAGCCACCCTGCAGTTAATTGTCAGTGTTTGCATCAAGTCATGAAATGGGTTACCATAGCATACCCAGATCCAGAAGACGTTGGTGCCCAAGTCCGCGTAGTTGGCGCCAGTAAGATATGGCGTGATGAAGGAGAGAAGCCAGTTGAACAGCCTGCGCAAAGCCATATCAGTACATTGTGGTATGCAAGAAGATGCAGGTGGCGGCATACCAATTAGAAGCTGTAGTCATAGATAAACACTTAGCACGGACTTTGAGCGGGAAGATTTCTCCAGTAACAACCCCTGTAACCATATCAGCATGTGGTTCAACTAGAGCCAGCTACGGTTGTCTTACAAGCTCCTGGCCCGAAAGTACTGGCAAAGAAGAAGATATATATGCTATTCACTCGAGTCAGCGCTGTCTCGACAGGCCAAGCATCATAAACTCACCAGATGAAGGCAAATTGGGCTCGTGCAGAATCATCGTTACTAGCGGGAGTCGCAACCCCCAAAACTGTGCACGTTAGCGTCATATCTGCCAAAGACTCTATAATACGTACTGGATACGATGTACTGCGACACACCCATGCCCAGGGCTCCGACGAGAAGGACGGTGCGGCGTCCTAGGGCATCGATGGCCCAAAGTCCCGGGAACGTGCTGACGACATTGACAACGTTCGTGATGATTTGGAGGATGAACGGAGTTGGGAGCGCACTTCCATACGCAGTTGAAAAGTACGTGGTGCCGTAGTAGCTGCACGGACATGTTAGTCTTTGATGACCATGCAGAGCATCAATCAACTCACAAGATGAAATTGACGCCAACAAGTTGCTGAAGGCATTGGAGCCCGATGCCAGTAAGCGTCCGCTTTCCCACATTGCCACGGAAGCAGTCCAGGTACGATGCCGAGCCTAGGCTCTTCTCATACTCATAGTTGCCCTGAATTTCCTCAAACTCGGCTCGAATAGCTGGGTGATCGGCAGGAAGCCGTCGCAGTTTTGTGAGCGACTGGATCGCTTTTGAGTCTTTCCCACATTTGACCAGGTATCTTGGTGTCTCGGGTAAGAATGCCAGACCGCCACACAAGATGAACGCCCACGCGAACTGAATGCCAAGTGGGATTCGATATGCACTGCTGTCCGATCGATTCTCTGTGCCATAGTTGACAAGGGCGGCAATAAAGAGACCGAGAGTAATGGCCAATTGGTAAGAGCCAACGATGAAGCCACGGATCCATTTTGGCAGAGTTTCCGATTGAAACTGCAAAACATCAGCACACAGTCTTCGCAAGATTCGATGAAAGTGCGTACCATTGGGACCTGGACAGAAACGAGTCCGACGCCCATTCCCGCGAAGAAGCGTCCGGCAATAAAGGTAGACTTGTTGAAAGCACCAGTCTGCAGTGCGACACCGAGATTGAATGGGATCATAGCAGATGCAATGATTCCCCATTTGCGGCCCAACTTATCAGCGACGATGCCAGCCATCAACGCTCCTACGAAAGTTCCGACTGAGAGAATGGACACGATGAGGGAGATCTGGCCAGAAGGAGGAGTCTCGACGTCGTTGGGGAAGAACTGTTGCTTCCAGGCGGTCATATTTTGAATGCCGGAAATCGTGCCTGTATCATATCCATATCTGACAAACACCATTAGCGACGACATGGTTCAAAGTTGGCGTTTATGACGCGTACAGAATACCGCCAAAGGCAGCAAAGAGACCAACACAGATCGAAGGCCATGCAGCGCCTGCTTCGCCCTCAGGGCGTTTGAGGAGAAGGCCCATCTTCAGAATTCAGTCCTTGAGTTGCAACTTGACGTGCAAACGTTGTATGGGAGAGTCATAAACAAGCAATAACAAAAGGACAAGAAATGGGGACGGCGCCTTGGTACACTTTGAATGGCGCACACCGGATCTATGATTGTGAGTTGCATTTCCCGCGGGCGGGGGCCCGCAACGGCTGAACGCGAATCGTTTTGGATCGAAAAAGCATCGTGACTGCGGGAGGATGAAGTAATGCAATCTAGCAGGTGGGACCGCCGACAATTTCGCCGTCAATTACGCCGTGTCTGGTTCAACGCGTGTGCGCATGTGGTTTTGATCAGCACGAAGCATGGATCAGCTCTATGCTGTAGCATGCGATGGATTGGACCAGGGAAGCTCGCCGATGACCGAAGCTTGTGCTTCTTGTACACAGGCCGGACCTCACCTGGCAGCGATACATACGTAGCCTCGTGCGTGATCTGCGTTTCAGGAAACGTGATATACAATTGTATTCAAGACCGCTCCCGCACTTTCTTGGGAGAGACAAACGCAACTTCTTGAGAATTTCCAAGAGCAATGGTCGATTCTGGTTTGGCAGGCAAACGTGATCGTTTGATCACAGCCTTGAGGAAGCGTCCAGGCTCTCTGTTGTGGTCGCGTAGACCTTCTATCGGTATCCTGTTGGAGGAAGCATTGCGAGGCCGATCTCTCTGATATGTCCAGCAGACGCGCATACCTGGTTTAGCGATTGACGCCGGAAAATGTCGTGCTGCATCCCTCAAGAAGTATCAGCAAGGCTCCATCCATGTCTCTGTGTGCTGAGGGTGATATTCCTTGCCAGGCAGTGTTTGGGTCTGGAAGTGAAAGGAGAAGCCGGAATCTGAAAGAGGAGCCAGATTTAGAGTTGAAATTAAGCTTTCGGCTGGCACAATGATCTACCGCTTTTAACGTCACTCCGAGGGCTCCAAAAAAGTTCAGCGCCAGACTACAGTCAAGCCAACATACAACAATTCCATCCGCTTGCAACAACGATCAAAATGGCGACGGTGCTCCCTCCTCCGTCCAAGCGACAAAAGACCGCAGCAGCGGCGCGCGCCCGCGAACAGGTCTCCCCACCACCAGCGACGCCCGAGGGCACCCAGCGCATTCAATTTCGAGATGCAGATACTGGCGCAGCGCAAGGGCCAGTAGTCTCCGTCTCACTCGCAGATCTATCGCCGAAGAACCTCTCCCTACTACTCAACAGCCTGCTTGGCAACACCGACCCAGCAGACCGGTTACCGTATCGATTCTACAACCCGTTCGGCGACGGCGGCGAGTTCGACCAGGCGGAGATTATCAAGAGATATCAGGATGGCACAAGCAATACTGAGTTGCAATTGGATATTCCATGTCGAGCTGAGGCGGTGTTCAAAGTAAAGCCAGTGACGAGGTGTTCAGCAAGTATCAGCGGGCATGGCGCATCCATTCTTGCGACTGCGTTCTCGCCGGCAACTTCGTCGAAGCTAGCGACTGGGAGTGGAGACAATACTGCACGAATTTTCGATTGTGAGACGGGGACGCCCCAACATACGTTGAAAGGTCATACAGGATGGGTGCTGGCAGTCGCGTGGTCTCCAGACGAGGGCATTCTTGCTACAGGCAGCATGGACAACACAGTACGGTTATGGGATCCAGCGAAGGGAAAGCAGCTTGGAGGACCGTTGAAAGGACATACAAAGTGGATCACCAGCATATCGTGGGAGCCCTATCATGCGAGAGATGCCGGCCGTCCGCGCCTCGCTTCGGCATCAAAAGACTTCACGATCCGTATTTGGGATGCGGTGAGCGGGCATACCGACATGGCACTCACGGGTCATAAAGAATGCGTGACATGTGTGAAGTGGGGAGGATCTGGCTGGATCTACTCTTCATCTCGAGATCGAACTGTCAAGGTGTGGGATGTGTCGAGAGGTACCCTCGTGCATACCTTGAACGCTCACGCACATTGGGTGAATCACCTGGCACTCTCCACCGAGTTCGCATTACGGACTGGCTACTTCGATCATAAGGGGCGCAAAGAAGCTCCTGATACCGTCGAGGGCAGGAAACAGAGGGCCAAGGAGCGCTACGACGCAGCCTTGAAGACTTCTGGTGGCACCGAGCGTCTCGTGTCTGCCAGCGACGATTGCACAATGTATCTGTGGGAGCCGTCGAAATCAACCAAGCATATTCAGCGCATGGTCGGCCATCAAAAGCAGATCAACCATGTCACATTCTCAGCCGACGGCGTGCTGATTGCATCTGCTGGGTTCGACAATCACGTCAAGCTCTGGCAAGCGAAAGATGGCAAGTTCTTGCACACGCTACGAGGGCATGTCGGTCCAGTGTATCAGTGTTCCTTCTCGCCGGACAGTCGGCTCCTCGTGAGTGGATCGAAGGACACAACACTCAAAGCGTGGGATGTCAGGACAGGAAAGCTTGCAGAGAACTTGCCAGGTCATCAAGACGAAGTCTTCGCAGTGGACTGGGCACCGGACGGAGAACGTGTGGGAAGTGGAGGACAAGACAAGGCCGTTCGAATTTGGAGGCACTAGAAAGAATAGCCTATCACCAAGCACTTGTGTCAACAGCCATCACCTCACGACCTTCGTCTCTTCTCATCTCCCTGATCCCATCACATCAAATATACCGGCCCTGTTCCACGCTCTCTTCTTTCCAGCCACTCCCCCGAAGCCGAATTTGCCATGTGGTTCGCAGTGCATCATCTTCGCGTGATCCGTAGGAACCTAGTTCTGCGGCGCTCGCTGTCACAGGCCATGGCCCACTCGATCTTCGCGAAGCGGCTTCCGTATTTCCTGAGGTTCCCTCTCCACCGCCGCCTGAACTTTCTTCACGGCGCTCTGTGTCTCCCTACTCTGCTGTCTTTCCGCTGCCTCTCTAAACTCTTTATCTTGCAACTCTTGTAGTTTCGCGTAGTCTTCTGGTCCTAATCGATGGATCGTGGCGTGTTGGCGCTTGTTCTTGCGGATTCTGTTTGTTTTGAGATGAGGCATGTCTTGGTTTTCGTGATGGGAGTTGTTGATCTTTCTACGAGCTCGAGGAGCAGGCCAGTCTCTGGTTGTGATCTGGTGCTGGATAGGCGTATTCTTGGGTTATGGATTCTGTTTAGGGGATTGTGTGTATTGACTCTGTGTATATTCTCTTCCAAATGTCGTGTTGCCCGTGTGTATCATTACATGGGCAACGACCTCCAAATATATATGTGCCCCAAATGAATGATGTTTGTGAACATTGCATCGAGATAGTAGTCATCATGGCAGGAATACTCATGCAATACCTATTCCAACACATCACTCGCATGCGTCAGCTGCCTATTCACCACCCTCCCGCTGCCGCTGCTCCTCGGCCACCTCTTCCCGTGTCTTCACTCGATAGACACCAGGTGAGGTGCAGACATGGTACATCGGATCCGGAACATTGGACTTGCAAAAGTCCTCGTCAAAATCATCTCGAAGCACACCAAATCCTTGCTGGATCCAGTTGCCTCTGGATCTCCCTTCAAACGGGTTGTGTCCGCCTCGAAAGAAATCGGCGATATCTTCTTCGACCCACAATTTGCGAGACTCGAGTTGGCCGCCCTCCTGGTGGGCAATGGCCAGCTTCGGTCGTCCGGCGGTCCAGTGCAGCTCATCTCTGCATTTCTCGAGAAGCTGTTTGTATGTGCTTTCGGTGAATTCAACATTGATTAAACCCACGCTCCTTATATCCTTTGGTAGGCGGCGAAGAAATTCCACGAGATCGGAATAGATGACAGGGACAGATGAGAGCGTGATGTGTTTCAGCAGCCATGAGTGCAACGGGATCGCGCTCAAGGCATCCATGGTTTCGTTCTGCACACGATGACTGTCGTAAGCTGCGTGCTCGCCTGAGCTTGCGTGAAGGCTGAAATGCTCCAGAGAAGTCGCTTTTGCAAGAACAGACTTCAACTGTCCGCGAGGAAGTTGACGCAAGCCAGGATTCCGGAAATTGCAAAAGGTATTGATTGCGAGATCCAGTCTGCGAAGACCGCGCCGGCACAGAGTCTCGAAATTGGTCAGAATGTCTGAAGGGCTGTCAAAGAGCTGGTAGGGTATGCCCAGTTGCTCGTAGCGTGTATCGATGACGAATTCGGGTATGAGACGATCGTGCTTCGCTAATGCATCCAGGACCACTGCAACGCCATGCCAGTGCGTCTTTATGTCTTCCAGACTGATCTCTGAGTGAGCCTCGTCAACAGTCTCGGGCATCCATGGCCATGGGGCAGGATAGCTGTAGCCGAGAGGGAATGAGATGATCAACGGGGTCGAATAGCAAGGGGTAATGATGTTCGGTCGGTAGGCCTCGCTCGTGACGGTGACTCGCTGTAGTGCTGTGAAGGCCCTGAGACCTTCCCGGAAAGCTTCGACGTCTAGACCATCCCGTATGATGGTCTCCTGTTCTTCATACAGCCGGTTGTACAGGTCAAAGCTTTCATCCAGCGACAGATACTCTTCCACCAACAGCGGCTCTGTAGACAGCGGCTCAACAGTTACAGGATCAAATCCACTAGCTCGTGCCTGCACAAAAGCGTTCTCTTCGCCGGCAACAGACATCAAATTCTCCTCCCGGGCGTTCTCAAAGTCAACTTTGTTTCTCACCCGTTCCTCTGGGAGAGAATCATCTTCCTGATCATCGGGCTCGAACTTCTCGAAGCGAGCATCATCCCAGATGATCTCCTTGACCTGCTTGCAGAGGACCGGATGGTCTGCGATCGCTCTGAAGACTTCGATGTTCTTGTAGCTCGGCGAGATAAAGACTCGGTCGATGCGCAAAGTGCAGAAGGAATGCAATCGTTTGCTAGTCGAGCGTAAACGCTTCTTTTCCTTGTTACTGAGAAAGGTTGAGATGTAAGCAAGAAGATCGTCGGGAAGCTGCAACATTGTTTTTGACAGGTGGATGGAGCATTGCAAGAAATTTGATGTCGATGGAATTTGGAGCCCTCGTGAACTCAAGTACGATCCGCCAATCCTCGAGGCACAGACCATCTCCCAATTCGGCAATCCCCAGCCTTTCTGGACCTGGGAGCCATGGATGATTTGCGAGATGGAAATCGCAGCCATGCGCGGCTTTAGAAGCCCAGAAGTCGACAGATTGCTCGCGCTCACAAGATTTTCAACATCCAGCTGGGAGACTATAAACACAAGGAGATGTTTTTGAACGACTCGGCGGGCCTGTAGTGCTCGGGGCCGTACATTGGCGAGGATGCCGAAGTAGACATTGAGGACGGCATAGCAGACAAAAGTAATGGGCATGGCGTCGAGGAGGTAGGTGCGAGCTAATTGAAGCCTTGCATTGGCGTGCATGTTATCTGTCCTTCTAGTAGAGGGGTGAGTCGTCGACCTCTTGGGGCAAGGGCTGCAGTGCTGTGCCGTTGAGAGAATGGGAGTGGGTGTTGAGATGAGTTGAGGTTTGATTAAGTGATGGGTTGTAGAATACATGTAAAGCATACCAAGATCTCCCGAGCAGACGCGGTAGAGACAGTAAAGGTACACGCCCACTCGCCCGAAAGCAAGAACGACATTTCTCTGGTCACGTCCATCTGGATGAATTACATGACCGGCACCCACTTCTCGATCGGATCGCTCCACTTCTCGCCCCAATTGCCATCAGCTTCGCTGCCGTAGTGGCCGAGAATGAAGTGGCCGGCATCAGTGACGAACAACAGCACATTGTCCAACGTCAACCAAATCCCAATAGCAGCAATAAGCACACCGTAGACCAACTTCGTCTTGACCCCTAGTCTCGCGGCAATGTCTTGCTTGAAGACGGTCACCATGAACACCGCGAGGATTATCAAAACCCATTCGACTGGCGACATGCTGATCCTGTCCAGAGTCCCCATGAAGATGGTAACGTACTTGGGCGTTCCGTTGTCGCCCCATCGGTCGTAGTACGTCTCGACGGCGATGAACTCCTGGATCAAGGTGCCGAATATATAATCCATGAGGAGTCGTTGCATTTCGCCAAGAACGGCAGAGCTCCTGGTCGCGACATCCTCTTCGCCGGTGAGGGATGTGGATGGCGCATAAGTCCATGTGTTGCCTGCCGCAAGGAGGTAGATGGACAAGACGCTGATGATGATAGAGGCGCATGCAACGTAAAGATTACGGAAGTCCAGGCCTGTGAACGAGTGGGAGCAGTTATACCTGATCTGTGTCGGCTCGTCGCACGTGTACCAAGGGGTGTCCCGGCAGGGGATCTCTTCCTTCCTGCACGACCGTTGTAGTGATCTTCTGGCGAACGTGACGATGATGCCGACGGCTTGGAAGATGGCGAGCAGGCAGAGAAGAATGCCGGAAACGCGCTTCCAAGTCCACTTGGGCTTTTGGGGCTGCACATCTTCAGCCGCAGCAATGTCCAGCAATCGGATCGTCTCCTCTCGCTCTTCGACGCCTTCGTCCTCGGTGGTGCATCGGACACCAAGCATGCCATCCCAGTAGAATTTCAATGCTCGCAACTTGCTCTGCACATCGACTTCGTGGGGGTTCTGCAGTAGGCGAATGGCAGCCTTGACGATGTCGAATGCGAACTGTCCCAGGATCACCGTGGGCAGGAAAGCAAAGACGATCAACCGGAAGAGACGGGCATTGTGCTTGGAAGGGACGTGGAGAAGATGGTTCAACTGGCTGTAGACGAGCAAGCCCAATGCATGAGTAATGCCCGTCTTGAGAAGAACCTGCCAGATTGGGCGGTCGTAAGTTGAGTCGTCGAATTCGTCGCCCATGATTAATTCAATGATAGTGAGAACTGAAACAGGATGGAAGTCAGGCGACACAGTGTGTTTTATTGCTGGGAGTAGGCGCCAGGCGCAGTCATGTGGATCTCACCCTACGGGCTGTGAGGACTGCCTGAGGCTGAAATGCGTGCGCAGCCACGCTCGAAGGATTCACTACCTTACCTCACCAACTCGAATGCAGACACAGCGCGATTTAGTCGAGCAACAACATTGGCCGGATAGTTTTCGAAGGATCTCATTTTCACGGCTTGTGACCATGCCGCAGCATCCGTTACCTGTGAGGAAAATCATTTCTGGCCCACATCAACGAAGAAGCTGAAGTTTTCTGACACGAGGTGCCACGTCAGGTACCAGAGGATTTTATGGCTGATTCCGCGAAGTAGTGCAGAGTGGGAGACCGCCTTGGCAAGTCTGGCATACCCTTATAGGATCAAGTCGTAAAAGCTCCAATGGCGCGTGAGCTTTGCCACTTCCTTTTGTTGGGGGCAGGGCCGGAAAGTCGTCGATGATATAATGTGTTCTATGAAGCGCACCAGGGGCTCAACTCCTTTCCCCGTAGACATACTTCTCAACCTCCGACCAAGGTGCACCTTCCAAAGTAGTCCCCGCGAGTACCATGCGGTTCGAAGGAAAGTCAGGTCCTCGAGTGATATATAGCCCTCTCTCTTTCTGATGCCTTTCGGGAAACACAATCCCCTGTATCTGTTCTCCATCCCCATCCAACAACTCAAACTCTGCCCTTCGAATCTTGCTTCCATCAGCTCGGCTTAGCACACCTGTCGCATGAACCAACTCCTTATCATTAAGAACAAGCGAAGCCATTCCATACGCGACATCTTTCTTTTCCCCTGTCTTCCCAAACAAGTCGATACCTGTCTCCCGGTCCCAGAACGGCACCCCATCCCATACCCGCTCCACTTTCACGACCCTTCGTGCGGACACAAAACCCGCCGCTTCTTCTTCAAACACCCATTCATCAAACCCCTTCGACAAAAGCCCATTTCCCTCGTACACCACCCGAAACCCCTTTGCATCAAACGAAGGATCATACCGCAATTGTTCTAACAACCTTTGTGCGGGCACTAGCCCTTTCCTCTCCCTCGAGTAAATAACGCCTGTTGGCAAGGAATCGTCGAATCGACGGACATCCGTACCATATTCCCAAGCCCAAGGGTACCAACCGACGAGCTTGGCCGGGCGGCTACCTGGGAGAGTATCGGCGACTTTCCGAGGCCAGACGGCTTGGTCGACGTCGAAGACCCAGAAGGGATAGGAGATTCCCAGTGAAAGAAGTTTCTGAGTGCGAAGGCGGTCGTTCGCCATAGTTGGGGATCTTGGTTTGCAGGGGGTGTATTGACACTATGAGTTACATAAAAGACTTTCAACTGCTACCCGAAAAATCGGGACAGATGGGACCAGTACATACGCTCGCTCGTAGTTGAGTCACGGTGAGGCGTAGCCGATGCGTTATACACCTTACCTTATATGGAACGCCGCAACTATGTAGGTTTGTGCGCCCTCGCTCGGTACTAAGAAGATAGGATCAGGGAACTGTATGGTCTGATTTGCGTCTCTGTCTTTTGAGCCCTCTTTTGCGCTGTGTACGGTCGGCTCTTTCTTCCCCATGCCCAGGACTGACGCTCTCGCCAGATGAGGCACGTGGGTACCATTCCCGTCCACACGAGGATTCTCCAACACATGAAGTACGATTGCGATCGTCGGCTTATCATGTCAAGCCTCGACACGGACTTTGCACGTTATTGACCGCCCATGCAAGAAGTCAAAGACTCGGATCAGCCATGAAGAACGGCCACAGCCAAGACTAAGCCTCCCCATCCTCCTCAAGCCTCCTCACCAACCCCTCCCTCTTCTCAGCCTGCTCGTCCCTCAAGTCGCTACCCAACCCCTTTAAACGACCACTACCCCTCCTCATCCGTCCCCTCGTCCTCATTAGCATATTCGTCAAACCTCAGATTACCAAGACTCAAATTCACAAAAACTATGTACGTCTCATCCCACGGCGCCCTGTACTTATTAAAATCATAGTGTTTCTTCTGGGCGCCCTTAAGCCTCTGTTCCCAAGGATCGACATCGTCGTTCCACGTGTATCTCTCAGCCATAATGCACGTTCTGTCCTGCAGGCTTTGTTCGTCGATGACGAGGAAGACGGAGATGTCGATGCCGTCGGATTCCGAGTCGTCTATGGAGAGGATATGTTGTTCGATGTCCCGGACACTAGTGCCGGCCCATTGATTAGAGAAGTTTTCGACGGTGACATCTCCTGGCTTAGTAGTGGCGAGGTCATTCCGGGGAGAGTCTTTGAATTGGTTAAAGTATGAGGCGTTACGTGAGGTAACGAGGTGGAAATTGTCCCAGGTGTCTTCTTCGCCGAACTCCCAGTCGCGGGCGTAGATAAGAAAAGGATTAATAACTTTGAAATCTGCATTCGGGGCTGTGACGAAGAGGAGGCCGGTAGCCATTGTAGGAGAGGCGGGTTATCGGCAATGGTGAGTTTGAATTTATCTTATTTTGTTTCGAGGTAGAGCATACATGTACTACGTTGACGGTAACCATTCGCGTGGTACACGCGCATGAATGGAGTCACCGTTCGCTACTGGACCTCGGGTGCCTAACGATCGTGAGGCAGCACAGCTGAGCACCAAGGTTTCAGGCTGCCGCAGATCGAATCCTTCGACTACGGGCGACGGTAACGCTTGATCTTGCAACGATACAAACTCTAAAGCGCAAATACTAGAGCGTATTACTACCCCTTTGACTAGCTATATTAACATTGCACATACATCCTGCCTGTCGTGCTGTGGCCAACAGATGGTTTGCCCAAGACGGTCCAACCAGCCCAAGGTAAGTCTCAGAAAGTCGGCTCTCACAGAGGTTCAGTGCTGACACTTCACGCGGCGATAGTCAATGGCGCGACAGACGCGCTGGGCGACGCGGCTGAGTTCACAGTACCTCGACAATCCCTTCGGAACATGTGTATGCACGGTAGAACGACTGAATTCCACAAAATGAGTATTCCGCTGGTTTCGTGTCAGTCTTGCTGCTCGAACAAAGATGATATTGAAAAGAAGAAGATGATGGGTAACTTAGTCACCGGAATCGCCGCGAACGCAAGCGTCGCCCAGCCAAAAGAGTTATCGCTGATAGATAAACTCTATATAACGCCATGCAAGAAACACGCATTGTATTCGATCTACGTGCAGACGAATACGAAATCACTTGGGCAAAAGCAGAGCTAATGGGCCTTGGACGCTCTTGTGGAAGCCTGCGTGGCTGCCGCCGCCCCGATGACAAAAGGGTCTAGGACATTAATGTACGTGTTGCCAACATCCCGTGAGACACCTTTGCTGGCATGCTTGACGAAGGTTGAGGCAACCTCATACGCTGGAGTTCCTGCTGCAGCCTCGCTCCAATCATCGGTGTATACGGTCTACGTTTGATGACGTTGCTTCTCAAAGTATATACGTCCTTTTTTGGGGATTGTCTGTCGTTCTTCCCAGATTCAACTTTTTTACTTCAAATCCTTCGCTATGTGCTACTGCTACATCGACACCGACGGGTATGAAGTGTGCGAGTGCTCGGCCTGGCACGACTGGGGCCGTTGGCTATTATTGGGATTATGTCTCGGCATCCCATTTCTGTCTGCATTGGTTTTTTGCGTCTTTGCGTACGTATAGTATTGCCCAAGATGGTTGCATACTGGTCGCTGACATTCCGTTTCATAGCTGCGTCAACGCCAAAAAGTACCACAGAGCTGAACAGAAGCCTCGCAGGGGAACAGCATTGATACTTGGTATCACTCCAAAGGGACACACCTCTCGAACCTACCATGGGCCGCCTACCAACAAAGACATTGAATTGGGTGCCACTGCACAGCCGCCGAATGCGAAATATGCAAATGGCACCTATCCCAACGGAAACCATCTCAATAGAAACGACATCAACGGCGCCTATACGAATGGCAATGCTGCCGATGGGAGCTATATGTACGCAAATAGGAATAAGACCGAGCAAGGACAAGATCAGGAGTCGTACGACGAGGCACATCGACCAGACCATAGTCAAACTACAGCGAAGCCGTCCCGGAGGCAAAGACTTGAGCGAAAATTTATGGAAAGATACTCGCCATGGTGCCTCGCAGGCGCAGAGCACTGACGTTAGCGGACGTGTCGATAAAGCTAGCTTAATGGGATAAATAGATGAAACAGACCTGTTATCTATTAGATATTAACCTTAGATCGTACTTCGTCTTGTCTCCTTCAAACTTCTTATAACGACTAGATCGAGTATCGACGATATATTTTTTGCCTATACAGCAGCTCGTTCTACAGAACCACGACCACTCAGAGCAGCTTCCAAATCCTGAGCAGCAAATCCGAGATTCTGCTAAGAAGTTAGGCGCGGCATACAAGCATAGCTCCGAAAACGCGGCTCCTCAGATGGCGAATGCCGCTCCCGGAGTAAATTAGACGTTAGGAGGACTAGGAGATAGATCCACTATATCGGGATCTGCCTCCTGAGAAGACTTTCCGATCTTAACGCTGCTCTTGAGCTTTACGTACACTGGATAGAGAGGAGCAATGCCTGGTGCCTTCCAGTACCCGACCGGTGTACACTGCCATATAGAAGATTACAAGGAAGTCGAAGAGGCGGCCTTTCGTCCCAGCTTGCTGGTAGATGTTGGCTGGGCTGTTTTTGGGGTATGCCCGGCTGATTTTACAATCGACCGTCCTCGCACAGCTCACTTGTATAGTAGAAAGGTGTAAAAAGAAGCGCGTCTCATAGAAATAAGAAAAGACGCGAAGAGGTATCGCAGATTGCGAATCTACTTCCCCATCTGATCTACTACGTTACACTAATACGATCCCACGGTACCGCACGAACGTACAACCCACCTCTCGGTTTGATCGTCAGCGAACCAGCAGGCACAACATGTCCACGATCGCCCTCCAACCTCTCGAGATGGTATCGCTCGAACAACGCCGCCAGGATATATCTCAGCTCTGCCTTGGCGAAATCTTGGCCGATGCACGCCCGATTGCCGTGCAAAAACGTCTGCTCGCACATGTTCGAGGCGGCGCCGCCGTGCTTGTTTAGGCGTCTAGCCCCATTCGCGTCCTCGTCAATCCAGCGTTGCGGCACCATTTCTTCGGCGGTCACGCCCCAAAATTCGGGATTGCGGTTCGTGGCCCATGGGAAGATGGCCAGCATCATACCCTTGCGGATTGGAGTGTCAGCGACGAAGGTGTCGCGGATGGCGACACGACCTGTATTCGTGACGGGTGGGAAGAGACGCAAGGTTTCCTCGCAGATGCCATTGAGGAGTGGCAGTTTTTCAAGGGTCGAGTATGGGAGGATGCCTTGCGCCGGATCGAAGGCTGGTGCTATCTTGACTGCTTCTCGAATTTCATCACGCAGCTCTTGCTGGAAATGGGTATATTGAGGAAGCGTCAAAAGATGCGTGGCCCAGGCGATGGAAGAGGCTGTGGTTTCGTGGCCCGCGGAAAGGAACGTGAGCATCTGGTCGACAAGGTCTTGCTCGGAGAAGTCGCCGCGCGCAATGATGCTACCGAGGATATCAGAGGTAGTTTCATCGGCATCGCCAGGACGAGTGCCTTTCAGTGAGGCCAGCTTCTCATCCAATATGGCACGGCAAGCCGATCGAATGTAGTCGATGTTCTTTGCAAGCATTCTGTTTGTCGGAGTTGGGATCGCCCGGACAATGAATCGTGGGAAGATCAGACTCAGCATGAAAAGCAGCGACTGTCCACTGCTTGGCTCAACGAGGTTCTTGTAGGCATGCTCCATTGGGCTATCGGGACTCTTCAGCGAGCCAAAGTCCTTGGACATGAAAGCCGGTCCGATGATGTCCATGGTCACTCGTGAGCCCCAGGATGCGATTTCGATGCGCTCGTTTTCGCACATTTCGTGGTCGATGCCTTTGAACATCAAATTCGTCTTCTCTGCCATCAAGGGCTGAAGACTGATGATGTTCTGGATGCGGAAAGAGGGTGTAATGACTTTGCGCTGGTGCTTATGAACATTGCCCTCGGACAAGATCATTCCGTTGCCCAAGAGTCTGGAAAGGTAGTTCCTACCAAACAAGGGCTTTTCAAAGTCGGCAGCCCTGGTAGTGTGAATGTCGCGATGGGCGCGTGGGGAAAGAGGGATCAAGGTATGAAAACCACCTGCCACTTCGATGTCCATCAGGTCCGCACCCGGACTCTTCTTAACCCATTCTAAGACTTGTTTGCCTCGGGGCGTGTCGGTGATGGGGAGCAATTCGCGGAAGTCGAGGAGCTATGACGATCTCGTTAGCATATATGTCAGAACAGGAGCGTCTCGGTAAGTGTACCTGGAACGATGGCAACTTTCTCAACGGAGCAAGTTCAATGTACTCCCAAACTCTCGCACCAATTAAGCTTATTACGAGAGCAGCGATGATTGCTATTCTGTCGTTTTGAAGGCTTTGTAGGGGGAAAGCGGACGAAGCTTGAGCCACTCTGCGGATAAGGATCCAAAGGCCACATGTTATGGCCGCGAGGCGCATCAAACGCGACAAGAGATGGTAGAACAGTTCCATTTTGAGATAAGTGGGTCATTCCCGGCTGCTCCATTAATGTTTCACGAGGTTTCGCTGCCTGAATATATGTGATGATACCAGAAGGCAGCCGTAATCTTGGGAATCCGAGAGCGAGAGGCAGCCAGATTACGAAGGGGTTAGCAGAACGAATGCCGAGGCTGTCCACAATGATTATTGATTGCGGCACGGTCGGTCTCTCATCTTCACAGCCATAGGCGTGTACCTTGGTACTGAGGAGGCTTTTAGCCCGTCCTAAGAAGATGGAACCAGGAATCAACGAAGCAGAGAGTATCTCAGCAAAGATCGTCAAAGGTGGGGGCCAGACAAGGCTGCTCATAATCGAAGTCCAATCTCACACCGAAGTCCAATCTCACACAACAGAGGTTCGAGAGCATGCACGGTCATGTATGCAGGCAATATTAGTAAAGCTGTTGCCTGACGATCTCGGGCGAATTCAGAAAGGCACAGCGTTCTCTTATCCTTTGCCCCGAGACGGCTCGCTGCGAGGCTGGGTTACCGTCAGTCAGGCCTGCGTAGCCTTCGTTGGGCCCGCCGATGACATAAATGCCATGTTCTCGTCCTGGAACTCTGCAGTCCTGAAGCCTGGTAGTGTGTCCTTGTCCCGGAGGGATTGCTGTCCCAAACTTGCGAAGGAGCTCCACGTCCTGCTTTCGCGGTCGCGCAGAGCAAAGTCTGATGTGGTCGGGTGGTATGGGATGCCGGGAAACTCGTAGTACGACAGGTTGCCAAACACGTACGCCTGCGTGTAAGAGAGGTATCAGTACAGGGTTCGAGAGACTCGAAGATGGCGATATGCTGCTGAACTCACGAGTTCTGAAGTGTGGACTACTCCGTACCCGTACTGTCCTTCGGATTCGAGCAGTGGGGTGAGCATCGTCTGATTTTGGTCATAGAAGTAGACCTTGTTTCCGGCTTTATGGAGTCCTGCGCCGAGGTTCACAGCTTGACACACAAACTGATCAGTAGTAAGTCAGCGTAGCTCTTGAGAGAGTTTGATAGACGAACGTACCAAAATGTCCCGAACAATTCTCCCGGCTCTACAGAGCTCGGAAGGCTGTTCGAGGGATCCATTTGGGAAGTACGCCGCCTGGAGTTCCGAAATTGGATACAAAGCAAGCAGATTGTCCAGGTTCTCCGTGGTGAAACCCGGCAGATAGGCTCGGAAAAAGTCTCTCGTTCTTTTGGGGTTGACGGTCGACCGACGAATTGATTCGCATCGTCCTGGCACCAACCCGCGATCATAGAGATGTTGTAGAATTGACCGGTGGCAATCAAGTTGGATGGGGCGGCCGGCAGGAACTGTACCACTGTTATTTCCTTCTTGCGCAGCTTTTGAAATTTTTAGGAAGACATACATCACCGTCAACGACGGGCAGCCATTCATCTCCAAGATTGTCCCCAGGACTTGCTCCAAGCGAATTATTCTCTGCTCTGAGCAATTCATCCATGCTTAATTTACGGAGACACGTAATTGTGTCGGCCGATTGGAGGTCCGTCGTGTTGCAGCCTGTCCCGTCTGCCACTTTTTGCATGGGGTTGCGCGTAAAGTTCCCAGTAATTCCTGAGAGTAGTGAGCCGAGTTGCCTGGTATGACGAGTCGGGTTGTACCATTCTCCAATGCCTGACTCTGTGCTATCCCTCGGTGGAACAACTGCGATTTGGCTCCGCCAAAGGCCAGTATCTGCATTCCCACGGATAGTCCTGCACGCGTTAGTTGGCTTGGTATGATACAATTCAGGCTCACACCTCCTGATGATTGGCCATGTATGGTGACGTTGTCGGGGTCACCAAGACGATTACCATCAGCGTCTCCAATACTTTCGCTTTCAGGATTTGATGGGGAAGAGTCACCCCCAAAGGCACGAATGTTCTCCATGACCCATTCCGAGGCGAGCCGCTAAGCTATCAGTGAGTAGATCACTCCTTGTGATATTGGCAAAATACACCTCACCTGATCGCGGAGGCCCGCATTTTCCGATCGCTCCTTCTTGAGGGCGTGCGACTGCGCGAACCCGAAAACTGATAAAACCATCAGTGTTAAGGTCGTGAACGATATCAGTCATGCTTGCCTCCTAGCCGGTAGTTCATCGAGACGTGCATGACCGAGTGTCCATTTTGCACGCTTTGCAAGATGAGTCCACCCGGCTGGGTCATCGGGTCGTCCTTGGATCCGGCAACAAAGGACCCCCCGTGCAAGTAGACCATGACGGGGAGTTTCGATGTCGACGTCGTGCCATTTGGTCGAAAGACATTCAAGCGCAGGCAATCCTCTGAGATGTTGGGGTTAGGAGGCTGTGGACACGCAGGGCCGATTCTGGTTGCGTAGACGTCGCTGCCGGGGAGATATTCGAACTTGATCGGTGGTTTGAAGCGGCGGCTCCCACTTGTATCGTGTGCGAAGCGAATGCCCAGGAAGCTCTCCACACGCTGTTTATGGCCCCCGTAGAATGTGATGTTGTTAGAGGTCGTCGCCGCTGGTCTTTCGGTCGCTGTGACGAAGGCTGCTAGCAATGGCAATGCAGTCAACAACATGTTGGATATCTCTTCCAGAATACACGGGTGAGAGTTTGAGACCATGGGGGCTTCTAATTAGTTGCCTCTCCAATCGTACCACTGCCCAATCAGAGGGGAGCGAGATTGAAAGTTTGTTAGTTCTAGCCGTACGCGGTCGTCGCTTAGAGCCAAGTTCTCATGCAGTAGGGCTTCGGACGACTCGCACAAGGAACCGAAACCGAAGCCTCAGGCTCGGTCTCGTAGTCTCGGTCTCGTAGCTCCACGTCTGAACCTCATATGGTGTGGATCTATTAGAAGAGACAGCAGGCAGCAATAGAAGCAATGTGGTGATGCGGACGGGCAGTGGCTCACGCAAGGAGGGTATATCTTGAGCATGTCTGTCTGTCTGGATAGTTTCATCAATCTCGCAAACGACTTCGTCCCTCAACCCATTGTAAAAGAGCTTCCATACCATTAACTCCTTCAATCACTTTTCACAATCCTTCCCTGCATCTACACGAGCATTGACCCGGCCATGGCATCCAAACTCCACGAACAGTACGACCTCGCCATCTTCCAGCTTGCCTTATACATCTTGATCACTCCCTTTACTTTGTACGCCTTCGTCAACGCATGTACCACGAGGAGAGCCTGGTATGCGGTAGGCTGGTTCTAACTGCTTGGATTCATGGGACTCTTGTTGGCGGCGTCAGGAATTATCATCGGGGCTGGTCGAAACAACATCGACCCGACTGGATTGATCCTCCAAAGCGTCGGCCTCTCGCCATTGTTCATCGTGGTGGAGAGCGTTATCCGAGAAGGGTGAGGCAAACACCCCCAAGCGCTAGTTCATGCCCAATCGTGTAGGCTTAGGCCGTAGCTGACTTGTGCGTTCGAATTCAGCGCCGTCAAGACACGCAAGTCATCAGGCACCTTCCTCTTCTCAAATCTCGGCTTGATTGCCCTTCATGTGGTCGTCAGCGCACCCGCCGTGCTGGTCGGTGTCGGCGCGAGCAAGTTCTTCACCAGCTCCAACTTCTCGGACGCATAGAATGGATTGAAGCTTGCCAAAGCGGGCGCCGTTCTCTTCATGGTGCCATGGCTCTGGCTCATGATGATGCTTGCTATGGCATGCATGGAAGGGAGAGACACCAAAAAAAAGGTACGCCATCGCTGACTTGCCTCACCTCGCGATCAGAAACACTGAAGAGGTCTCCACCAGCTCCTCATCGCGAGTTTCGTCTCGCTCTTGCTACTGTTCCTGCGAATCATCTACACTATCCTGGAGTTCTTCGACACGTCATCGACAACGTTCAGCCCGATCAATGGCAATATCGCCGCTTGCATAATCCTGCAAGTTCTGCCGCTAATGTTCGCCGCTGGTATCTTGACGTTCGCTGGTGTTTTGGAATCCCTTGCTACCCGAGCTCGTCAAGGAAGAGCCTGGTCGGAAGGAGAGCCTGATCGAAAGCACAAGGCTGAGATGAGACATGGGTCTGTGTGAGCATATGCGATGGAATCTTAAAGAAAATTTAGAGAGTTGTTGTCGGTGTTATATTTGAAGGCACCAACTTGCTTTGAAAAGGGAGAGGGGCACATTTGAGTGAGCTTGAGGTTTGTGGGCATGGAGCCTGCCCTGCAATCGATGTTGTTGATGTTCTAGCGAACTCTCGAAGCTTGTCAGACCCGGACCCAGACCACCATATAACCACTTGATAGTATAAATGAGTGGAATCCCAGCAGTAAACAGAGAGCTCCGATAACTTTTCTCGCGCAACATCTTGCAAGTCAAGCCTGAGAAACGTGAGTATGCTGACCAACAGCAGGTACTTGGGATGGTGTACTACACTTGTAGAAACAAGTGGCAGACGAATGAAGGTCAGAGGGAAGTCCAAAGCAATTCAATTTATCCAACAAAAAGTGCTGAATCTGTATACAAGCCGTTTGTTACAAGAGACGTCGAAAGGGAAATCATACACCTGACGCCCGACCCCGACGCCTTCTCCAAACACCGCTCATTCCCATCCAACGCCACATCCCATCACTCGTCCCCAGACCCAGTCATATGCTCCGTCGTGCCCCAAGATCCCCACAACCTCCACTTTCATCCCGACCGCCAATACTCCTCCACATGCCTCTTCAACGTGTACACCATGTCCTTCTTCACCTTCTCCTCCCTCTGCCCGCCATTCTCCCTACCTCTCTGCCGCGATCGTCCGAAGTGACCTCTCGCCAACTCTAATCCTCCAAATCCAGCCGGCAGGACCTTGTAGCGAGGTCCCTGGTGTTGACGATGGTAGCCTGCGCTATGACTCTGTCGAGGCTCGGGGAGGTTGATGTGGCCGGATGGAGTGACAGACCAGGTCTGTTGCTGGAAGGTGGTGACAGTCGATGTACTGTTCCGGGCTGGTGGGCGGATGGGTGGTAAGGGGGTGGCGGGAGGGACCGAGGATTGGGTTTGAGGTGCTGCAGGCTTCATAGGCGCAAGCTTTGGAGAGTCGGCCGTGAGGTCGATGACGTCGGCTTGGCGGGTCGGTGCAGGCTTCAGAGCGATCGCCTTTGGCGTCTGAGTGTGATACTTGGCGGGTATCGTAGATGTGCTCGCTGCAGGCTTCACTTCAGGCTTGGCAGCCTCCTTTCCCTTGCCTTTGGGCTGTCGGTTGACTGAAATGACTCTCAAAGCCTCCACCTCAGGACTTGCTCCTGAATCGACGCTGTCCGCAGCCGATGGAGCGAAGTTGGTGAGTCTCGGCCTCGTCTTCTTCTTCTGCGGCTTCAAGCGCCGGGTAGGTAGGAGTGGATTTGTCTGAAATTTGGCGGTGCCAGGAATGTGTGGGCCGGCCATGGTGGTGGACCGAGTGCTTTGTGTAGTGGTGGTGTGGGTTGTCTCGGGCGGCAGGAAGCGCGTGGTGAGATGTTGAAGACAAGTCGTCACATGAAGAGTCTCGTGTTTGCCGAATTCAGCCGCTAGCGCACGTGGTTGGCAGTGAAGATATTCACATGTGAGATTTAGAGTTTGATGGAGTGGTTGACGTACATTTAGTGATCCTTGCCCTCGCTTCGTGCATCAAAATATCCAATACCCGTTTCATCGACTTCATCTCAAAGCAGTGGCAAATCTTTGCAAGCCTCCAAACAAAACGATGCAGCGCCGGTATCATCACTTCATATTTCACAGAACTCCACTCTCGCTTTCGATTCGTACCTTCCGACCACCACACAACACATCATCCGGTCGAAATCTGTGATACTTCAGTACGGATGCCTTGGAAGACCGGAGATGCTCACATATTCTCTGCCCTTCCAGAACCTCTAGCAAACAACGGATTGTACCAGTGATCTAGCAGCGATGGCGATTCGCACAGCCCACTCTCCTCGCTGTCCGAAGACTGTGGCGAGCCCAAGCTCATGGGATCAACTTCCTCCAGCTCATCAACTGGAATCGGTCGCACGCAGTGCTGCCTCTCGAAGATCGCTTCGTCGAATTTGACCTTGATCTTCAGGGGTTTCTGCTTTGCTCTTCGAGCTGCGCCGCTCTCCCTATCTGGCAGCTCTTCCGGGTGGTCGTAGAAGTAGCTGAACGCCATCATGCGTTGCATGTCGGTCATGTCGTCGAAGATGGAGCTCTCATTGCGGCCTGATGTCGACACGGAGATCTGTAGGAAGTGTCGCTGTCGCTTCTTGTTGCGAGCCTTTGCTGTCGGTGGTGTTCTGCAGGATGATCTGCTGCTGCCCATGACGAAGTTGATCGTGGTGTGGCTTTGGTTGCGATTTGAGTGTAGTTTCGTGGTCAGTCTCAATGGTGTTTCTGGTCTATTGAGTAGCCTCGACACAGGCGTATGGCACACTGCTACCGGCAAGGCACGGTCATCAATACGGCATACTCATGAGTCGCCGTGTCAAGAAGGCATGACAGCGTCGTTCACGACACCGGCAAACAATTGTCCCGGGTAGATCCACGATCCGGTCTCTGCCTGGCACACCCGAGCGCGCGTGACTGGCTTGACGGCCATATCTGAGATTCTCGTTCCATGAGGAAAGGGCCTCCACGCTTTCCAAAACGATCGATATCTAAAATCGATAAGCGAACAGATTGCGACCATGGACGTGGTGCAGTGCAGACGCCACCCACCATCACTGTGCTGCGACTTGGAAATCATCTCACTACTGAAAATCATGTCAATCTTGAAGAATTTGTGGGGTCTCATGTGAACTGGGAATTCTGAGCTGTTGTCATGAGGACGCTTGGCCTGTATGTTCCTCGTTGCATACGCACAAAGATAAATGCATCTCCCAACAGTTCGAGTCATGCTCATACTCAATACCAGCGATCTGAGCTGAGTGGATACTGGAGATTTGATATGACCGCCTCCAAAGGCCACTACCCACCCTCAGTCCAAAAGATCAGTCGTGCAGATGGTGGCGGCTTGATCTTCAAGCTGCATAAAACTTCGTGCAACCAACGAAGAGTAGACATGAGAAATCGCTAGGTATCGACAGTAAGACATCATCTTGGTTATGGTAGAGGATGTTCTGGCCCGTGTGAATTCCGAGGAGGAGGTGTCGTTTGCTTTAACCCCTGCCAGTCGCAAATAGAGTTCACGCTACCCTCGCGTGAGTGCGTCATCCGTGAAACCGATCACCTCGCGTCTTCCTCACACGCGTTTGGGCCAGAGACAAGCCTCGACGTGAGCCACGCCGACGACTGACCCAAATGGTAGCGTGCCCCATCTGCGAGAGACCCGTCAAGGAAGCCGACATCAACCGCCACATCGACTCCGACTGCAAGGCTTTCATCGACCAGCCGAGTCCGCCGGGCACGCAGCTGCAGAATGGAGCCAAGCCGAAGCCTGCGAGGGCGGGTTTCTTTACGCCAGCGGCGAAGAAGAATGCCAGCGCAAAAGCAGAAGATGCATCGTCGCCTATAAGCGCCTTGCCGAGCACTCAGGCTCCACCAACGAAGCCTCCTGCGCCAGTTATTCCGGCCAGTACAGCGCCAGCAAAACGGGCACGCGAGCAAGATGTGCAGCCACAGAAGCAGAAAGAAGCAGAAGAATCGTCAGCGCCACCGCCGAAGAAGGCCAAGAATGCCCATCAACCACTGGCGGAGCGTATGCGACCACACAGCTTGGATGAGGTAGCTGGGCAAGAGCTCGTAGGGCCAAATGGTGTTCTACGCAATTTGATCGTATCGGACAGAGTACCGTCGATGATACTTTGGGGAGGCCCTGGGACTGGCAAGACTACCATCGCTCGCCTCATTGCTCAGACCGCGGGATGCAGATTTGTGGAGATCAACAGTACATCGAGTGGGGTGGGAGAATGCAAGAAGTTGTTTGCTGAGGCTAAGAATGAGCTGGGCTTGACGGGGCGGAAAACAATCATCTTCTGCGACGAGATACATCGGTTCAGCAAGAGCCAGCAAGATGTGTTCTTAGGCCCGGTGGAGGCTGGTCAGGTCACGCTGATTGGCGCAACTACAGAGAACCCCAGCTTCAAAGTGGTGAACGCTTTGCTCAGTCGATGCAGGACGTTCACGTTGTCGAAGTTGAATGATGAGGACATCTTTGGCATTCTCAAACGAGCTCTACTTCGCGAGGTGCCGGGCCTACCCACTCCATCACCAAGCCCATCAGCAGAGGATCAAGATATTCCTTCAAACTCCGAACCGTCGACAAGCCACCATTTGCTCACAGATGATGACTATGCGCTCGTTCGATATCTGGCCGCCTTTGCAGACGGTGATGCCAGGACAGGGCTGAACTTGCTTGAACTTGCTCTCGATCTCTGCCGCAAGCCATCGATCACAGCCGAGGAGATCAAGAAAAGCCTCACGCAAACGCTGGTTTACGACCGAGCTGGCGACCAGCACTACGATACGATCTCGGCATTCCACAAATCGGTACGTGGGAGCAACGCCGATGCCGCACTGTACTACCTCGCAAGGATGCTTCAGTCGGGCGAGGATGCTCTGTACATCGCAAGAAGAATGGTGGTTATTGCAAGCGAGGATGTCGGTATTGCTGACAACAGCATGCTTTCCCTAGCGACTGCGACATACACCGCGGCCGAGAAAATCGGCATGCCCGAATGCCGCATCAACCTGGCTCATTGCACTGTAGCCCTGTGCCAGGCTCCGAAGTCCGTGAGAGCTTATCGTGGCCTGAACGCCGCTTATGCCGCGTTGAAGGAACCTGGAGTTGCCGGGCTACCCGTACCAGTGCATCTTCGCAACGCACCGACAAAGCTCATGAAGGAGCTCGGATACGGCAAGGAGTACAAGTACAACCCTGACTACAAGGATGGTCGAGTTGTTCAAGACTACCTTCCGGAGAAGTTGGAAGGCCGTGTCTTCTTGGGAACGCGAGATCTCGGCACTGAGGTCGATCCAGAAGTTGCGGAGATGGATGAGGAAGTCCGTCATGCCGAGGAGTTGGAGCAGGGCGAAGAACTCATTCTCAACCCGGATGGCGATTGAAAGTGCTCACTTGACTGGCAACTCCTTTGGAATCATCGTAGGGTCTCTAGCACGCACATTCGGTGGCCTCATGCCTCTTGTAAATGCGTGATCGCGCACGGCACCACACCATCGCAGCATCGACCAGTGGCCTTGCTGCGTGAAGTAAACCGCCGCCGTGCGCAGCGGCAGAAACAGTCCGATCTGTCCAGTGCTCGAGGAGACCGGTTCCACGAAGAAGGGGAAACACCGGCAGAGATTCATGACATACTCCATCAGCTCCTCTTCGGCCACAGCTTCGTCAGAGTTCGGATACCAGTCTTGCTGCACCTTGTGTCGGGCTTTGTGCAGACTCTGTATCATGGTGCGCAGGAAATGCATCGCGTCCCAGTACACCGACAGCAGGTACGAGACCATAAAGTTGGGGAAGGTGAAGGCTTCTTTCAGTGTCCGGTCTTTGATCAATCCAGCAAAGGTTGGGAAGTTCTGGATGTCGGACAATTCGTACAGTTTCTGGTCCGCCCACTTTGAACGAACTTGATAATTGCGGAACCAATCTCGCATCTCCGTCTCCAGCATTTTCGCTTCTCTCAAGATGTCGTCCACCTGCTCCAGAGCATCACCCGCTTTGTGATCCAATTCGTCGTATCGTTCCAAGAGCGCAGGAACTTGCAAGGCGATGTCGTAAAGGAATGTCGATGCGTCAATGTACGGCGCCCGCCATGCGACAGATCTCCATTCGGGCGTGCCCAGAAAACATGCCTTCCGCATGAGCAGGCTATGACTGAGAGCTCCGTGCCGCATGTTAGAAAAGATGAGCAACGACATCCTCGACGTCATACTCTTCGGGCCTCTCGCCGCCAAAAGTTGTTGACTGCCCTGGATATGCTTCGTCCAGCCATCACCTACTTGCGCAATCTCATCGAAGAACTCGCAATTAGCCAGAAGATTCACCGTCGCCAATACACAATCATCATTCACCGCCTCCGCAGACATCCCCGACAACGTCTTGAGCAGCCCACTCAGCGCCTTATGATAATGCGTAACGGCTTGCCGAAGCAGGTCTTTGTCCTTGTACAAACTCCCGACCTGCACCATACTCATCGCATCGAGCGAGTGCATGACCTCCGGCCTGAGATCCGACGTCGTGATGAGATGCTGCAGAAACGAGAAATGCGCATCATGCTCGCCGACTCGTTTCGGGACATACACATCGATGAAAGTGTTGTAAATCAATTGCTTCTCCATGACCGGACTGGGCAAGTACTGCGGCGAAGCGTAGAGATACATCGCATTCGCGAAATCCATCATCGTCTCATTGCGCACCTTATGGAACACATCCGGGGAAGACGAGTTCGACTTCGTCGACACCAGCCCCAAACTGCCACTCTCACTCCCCGGCGAACTCGCCCCATCGCTGCTGCTGCTGCCATCCGCCGCCGACACCGTCACCACGACCGGCTGCTTCTTCCTATACACCCTCAGCGCATTCCTCACCGTCCACTCCGTCTGGTCCTGAAACGCCAGCTGTCCCGGCGCAGGCAGTCGATACCCGGGACACGCCACGCCGTGCGTCTTGCAGCGCTGGCAGCCCGGACGGGTCTCGTCGCAGCGGATTTTGCGTTTGCGGCATTGCGCGCAGCCGGTGGATTTTATCGGCATGGCTTCACGCTTGTCGGTGGTGTGGTGTGGTGTGAGGTGAAGGATGCGGTCTCGCAGTGGGAGCTCGATGGAGGAAAGACTGGCGCAGGCGCACGAGGTGAGGTGTGGTGTCGTGCGGCGCGGTTGTCGAAGGATCGTGATGCCAACGACACGCGGGTGCGGGGCGAAGGATTGTGGATTGGGGGCTGAAAGGCTGGGGAGGTTTCTTTGTTTCGACGACAAGCTATCAAAAGGAATAGCTACCGAGACCGCGGACGGTGTCGTTGTTGAAAAAGCATCATCAACTTTGGCATGTTGTCGTGTAGCATCAATACATGACGGGCTGCAACAATGACCTCTTCCAGAACCCACCCAAAGCCCGGCTTCCAGTTCCAACAGCCCTAAAAGACAGACAGACATTTCTAGACGACGAGGAGACATGGAAGGGAAGTGATAAAGTCTCCGGAACGAACGACATACACCAAGAGCATATGTACTAGCTACCACGCTGATCGAAGGCGCTAGATGAGCAGAAAGTCGTGCCACTGCCAAACCACGAGAATGAAGGACCTCCTACCTGGCCAGCACAAGCAACAAATCAAGCGAGCGAACATTGCTCGTCTGCCTCCCCGTATGCCAACCATCGTCTTCATGCCACCTGTCCATCCTCATTAAGCAGCACACATTACCATTAGCCATACCAGGTCGTAGTTCTGCTCGACGTTTCGGGCGGCAAAGCCAAGAAAAGTCGCCAGCGAAAGTGGTACAGTCGGTCGTGAAACATCAAAGACATGAGGTCGTCTATTTCGTGCGAAAGCGCGCCTCTCACTTGTCATGCTCGCTCTCAGCGGCCGAGATGGTCGCCTCGTCGTCTTCCTTGTTGCCGCTGAAGAAGAGTGGGTTCGTCGATGGAACCTCAGCAGTGGTGTTGAAGTTGATGCTGTTGGTATCGAGGATGCCAACATCTGGGTGGTCGAAGGCGAACATGTCCCAGGTTCCAGCGGGGTTGCCGTGATGAGAGAACATGCCGTTGCCGCCTTGGAGGCCCTGCATTCCGTAGCCCAGCTGCTGCGGCATGGGTCCCAATGGGTTGGCCATACCACCAGCTTGTGGGACTGAGCCATGGTGAAAGTACTGACCAAAGTTGGTCAGGTTTGGTGCTGGCATGCCGTTCCCGTTGGTGTTGGGTCGGAAGGTGCTGGACTGGCCCCATGAAGTCTCTCTACCGTGAGAGCCTGGCATGTTGAGGTTGGTCTGACGGTGATGGACTGGGTAGCCCTGCTGGAATGGATCGCGGAACGAAGCAGTCAGGACGTTGAGCTGGGCGGGGTTGTCGAAGGTAATGTCAGGACCACTGTTGTCTCGGTGGATACTCAGGCCGGTACGCTTCTTGGATGGACGCTCGCTGAAGGTGAGGTCCTTATCCCCCTCCAGCCCGTCAAAGCGCGCCGCTCTCTTCTTGCCACGAACGCCGACAGAGGGATGGTGGGGCTGGGCGCGGCTGCGGGTGGCACGGCCGCCGGTGTTGACACTCTTGTCGGCGAGAGCTGCTCTTGGGCGAGGACGACGGGGACGCTTCTTCTCGGTGAGGTCAGGCTCGGGCTCAGACTCCCCCTCAATGAGATCGCCCTCTGACTCTGGGTTGCCAGTGATCTCTCGCTCTTTTCTCAACACGCCATCTGCGTCATAGACACACTCAGTCGGCTCAACGATCTCACTCGTCGCCTGCAAGGCCTGCAGCACCGAGACCGCCTTCTTCTGATTGCGCTTACGACGCATGTCTGGTGTAGCAGAGTCGAAGATGTCCATGCCTGGCCAGAAGACACCCTTGAGCTTGGCGGTATCGTTGGCGAGGGCATCGAGATACTCTTCCTCATTGAAGGAGGCAATCGAGTCGCTCGGGATGTTGCGTCGACGGCGAGTGGTGGTGCGGCGTGCGTTTGGCTCGAATGATGGGTCTTCCGCATCTTCGTAGTCGGTGGAGAAGCTCTCTTGCTTGACGAGGGGCGAGTCGGAGAAGGGGTAGGGAGCTGGGACAACGCCGCTCTGGAGATGCGACTGAAAGGTGCGCGGCATCTCCATGGAGTAGACGGAGTTGGGTGTGTCAGCGCGAGCCAATGGCTCGTTGGAGAAGCGGCGGTTGAGAGCTGGGTCGACAAGGTGCATGTTGTCACGGAGGCGATGAGATTGTGACTGACGTTGACGGCCGGCCGCAGCTGGAGCGTTACGAGCAGGTCCTGTGAACGAGATCAGACAAAGCTCAGTCAACGCAAACGTTACCATTCACTTACCATTATTGGCGGCGCGTCTCGCGTTGTTGGAGCCTGGACCGCGTTTCTTCTCCTTCTGGCTCATCCGCTCGCGCATCAGCTCCTCCACGTTGTAGTCGGCGTACCAATCATCGTAGTCGTCGATGATTCCCTTCGCATCGTTGTCGGTGCTGGCCTTGACCTTGATCTTGTAGTAGCAGCTGAGGTGGCCCTTGCTTGCGATGTGCGTGAGCAGGTGGCTCACGTCGGAGAAGTTGGGCCGCTTGGGGCAGACGTTGCAGTGCAAAGGAATGTCGGGAAGCTGTGGTAGCAAGTTCATGCTGCCTTGACGTGTAGTGACTGGAAGAAGTGTAAGTGAGTGTCGCGAGGCGGTTCCTCGCTGGCGGTGACGGTCCGGGCTCGGCGGCGGCGGCAATTGGCAATTGGCAGTTGTCGCTGGCTAATGGCTAATGGCTGTGGCACTGAAAGCTGTTTCTGTCAGCTCTCGCCGCTGCCACCGGTGGGGATGGCGGCGGTTAGTTGGTGGGGTGAGGTGGAAGTGGCGTGCAGGGTGGTGGTGGGGGTGAGGGGAGAGAGGATGAACGTACCAGACGTCCAAAAAGGAGTGACGAAGGGAGAATCCAAGATGCTGGCGTTGCGGGCAAGAGAAGTGAGGTGAAGTGGAGAGTGGTGGTGTGGAGAGAGAACGGGCAGCAGACGGCGCGCAGAGACGAAGGAGGAGAGTGTGCTGCTGGCCCAGCGCGGTGGTCGTCGATGCCGTGGAGGCGGTGGATGGTGCGCAGGCGGTGGTGCTTGCTGCGCGGGAGGAGAGTGGGTGGTGTTGGTGTGAGGGGGAGGAAGCTGCATCTTGATGTTGGTGAGGTGGGAGGAAGGTGGAGGGGAGTGGTCGTCCAGGTGGAAAGAGCAACGTTGTTTCAAATGCCAAGCCGCGCACCCCCCGTCCCCTGCAAACGGCGACGACAGGACAGTGAAAGCAGAAATGAAGCCAACAGTGAGAGCGAAAACAGATGCACATGGAACGAGGGCAAGAAATCGATTTGTATCTTACGTTTACGCCTTTTCGCCGTGAAAGAGGTATGTCATGAGCGGCTAGTATCCTGGGGGCAACTCAACGCAGCACCCAGGTCAATTGTCAATACGCTCAAGCTTGATTTCCTCTTGCATTGTAGCCCGGCCTCATTGACGCGCTCGACTCGGGTTATTAGATTGCAAGAGATGTAAGGAAGTGATGGATACTCGACCATCTGTTGCGCGTGTGGCCGCACACCTACCTTGACGTCGCCTGGCTTCGACTCCACGCTGACTGCTCGCGACCACGCGGTGCCATTCGCATGAGGGACTGCCACTCCACGCGTAAGACATTCAAGTCTGTTGGTAAGCTGCCATGCGTTGCAGCGGCGGTGTAGATGAAACGCTGCGCAATGCCGTTCACCTTTGCGCAGAAGTGAATTCCATCGATTCACATCACAGTCTTTACTGCATTGCTTGCTACTTTCGCCCAAGAAACTTGTCAACGAGAGGCTTCGACATACAACTGTGAATGCTGAAGTCAGTCAAAGTTCTTGGCTCCCAGACAATGGCTGCACTTACTAAGCGGGATCCACCTCCACCAAACCAGGGTATCGCAATAGACTCAACCCAGCGATACCGAAGCAGGTGTGAAACACGTCGACCATATCGCCGGGCCTGTCAGCCAGTCCACCTTGATCGGGATCCTGGCATTGCAAGATGAAGGATGTGAGCTTCTTTTGGTCGATCCAGTGTACCCGGTCTATCATGGCCATGCTCGTCATGACCCACCAGCTGTAGCACACGTCCACGAGCTTCTCCGGCCGCCCATTCAAGCCTCCAGACGGCAGCTGACGTTCGCTCAACCACGCTCCCAGTCGGTCTTTGCCTTCTTCGCCCAGATAGGAGTCCAGTTCGCCCGCAAGTGTAAGAGCTCCAACACAAGTGTACACCTGACCAGAATGCGATTCTGCACCTGGCGCCACGCCGAAAGCGCCGTCAAAGTTCTGGCATGCCTTGATGTGGTCTGTGGCTGCAGTGAGATCTATTATAGGCGGTTCGTTCGGCCTTTGATTTGGCAGCATGCCGAGAAGAGAGAGTGCGAGCAGCCCACAGAAGAGGAATCTCGAGTCTGTCTCGCCCCACTGGTCGCCAGCAAATGTCCCGTTCGGCTGTTGCAGGCTTGCGATGTATTTTGCAATCTTCATCTTCCCATCTGGAAGGTTCTTTTCCAGCTCAGCGAATCCATCCGTCATGGCCAGGATCTGCACTGACGAGCAGGTATACAGCATGTGTGGATCATGTCCAGGCGCTGCGCCAAATCCGCCATTTTCATGCAAACAGCTGAATACGAAGTCGAGCAGTCCTTCTCTTGGTAATGCTTCCGGCTGGCCGAGTAGATGCAGAGCTGTCAGGCCCCAGTAGATGCCGCTGATGCGAAGATGCTCCGTGAGGTGGTATTCGAGTTCGTCCCTGCGCTACTGCATGTCAGTGTCAGCCGATGGAGGCGCGTGGGCAGTATGATATGAGATGACTTACAGTATCAAGGCTTTGAATGTATGCGACATGTTTGTCGACGACCAGCTGCAGCTCGTCTGGGAGCTGAGCAGCTGAAGCGCCGCCGCCGCCACGGCCGGGACCTGCAGCCAGAGACATGAGGATGGCGAGATGGTATGGAAGAAGAGAAGCGCTCTTCGGCAGCCGACGTCAAATTACGGTAGAGCAGTAGAAATGACGCCTGCGGGATCGATCACAGGCACCGGGTCGTGGGAATACGAGGCGGCAGACTGCAGTTTTGACAGGTAGCCGCTGTGCTACTGCCTTCGCACAATGGGCTGTATTGCAGATCAGGTGAATGGTTGATCCAGACGACGACGACGACACAGCGGCTACAGCAGTGTCGCCAAACGTAGTCAGCAGTCTGGAGATGAGGTGTGGCTGCTGAGCTGCAGGAGTGCCGAAAGCGTCGCGGACACTTGGCGTGGCCCGTTCCTGAGAGTGGAGTCGGGCGTTGGCTTGGAGAAGGGGCGGCCCTGCAGCTGGCCACATCCTCGTCGTCGTCCCACGCCAGCATTTGGATGCAGTGATGAAGGGCGAATGCTGAACGCTATCTGCCTCCAACCCCCGCACCGCTCAATGGTCCAGGGCATACATCGCTGCCATAGATAGCTTCTGCCCGCCGTCGTCAAACACCACCTCTTCCCTCCACCCTGCCCTCATCCGCCATCCGACGACACCGCACTACGGCCAGCGCTACGCCCACTACCGACCCACCCCCGTCCCTGCGACCCGCTGCCACACCTTGAACCTGACGTGGGACCCTCCCTGACTTCACCCATACCGTCTTCACTCCTCCTACTGCGTACCTCCGCCTCGTCACCGCTTGCGCGCGCACACGACGCCCTCCCACGCTCCTCCACTCCTGACCCAAACAACGGCCGCCTCCTGTTCCGCCCACGACCCCCTTGGATCTCCCAGTCCCGACGGATCGCCTGCGACAACACGACTCCCTCGCGGTGGTAGTCTGTTGAAAGACGGTCGCACTCGTCCAGCGCCCACTTGCGACTTACGGGAGCTCCAGCCGGCGGAAGAGCGCACAGCTGCATCCGCGTTCCTTTGTTCGCTCCATTGTCCCCGCTGCCTGCCTGCAATCTCCCGTGACATTGGCAGCCTCTTGGTCTTGCACCTCCAGCGCCGGCGGGAACACCGCATGTAGGCCATCGTCTTCTGTGCGCCTGGAATCCTCCTTGTCTCGTCGCCCGCCCGTCTGGGCCCACTACCCTTTGCGGTAGCTCCATCACCGGCCAATTTCGAAGCTCTCCGTACATAGAGCCATGCCTCGACACTCGAAACCTTCTGAGCTCGCCCTGCAGAACGGCAACGGCCCACAGAACGGCGTCCAGCCTGGTCCGAACAGCAGCCCTATGAATCTGCAGGGGGTCGACTTGGGCTCATTTGGAGGCGGCTTTGAGCACGACGTCGCTGCCGGCTTGACGCCTCTACCTGCCCAGCCACAGTCATCGCCCGGCTCACCGCGCTCGGCGGCACACAACAGAGACCCCTCCAAAAACTTTTTGAGCAACTTCAAGAGCCGTATATCGCCGGAGCAAGAGCAGAAACAGAAGAAAGACTCGCGGCAAGGGAGTCACGAGGATGATGAGTGTAGGCCTGGGACCAGCAGCATGTCGAAGATATACCATCTGCGGAAGAACCCAGGGAGTACGCCGGAGTTGAGTTTGGTGGGCAGTCAGGACAATGTCCATAAGGATACAACAGATGGTGAGTTTCACATTGTTATGCTATGACGCACCTTCCATTTCTGGAAGTTAGGCAGTGAAGTGTGCGTTTGAAACGCGGTGCGAGCTTGTGAAAGTCGCCTCGAATCTACTTCCACCACCGACGTCTTCGCAAACATCACCACCGCCGACATGCCAACCCGCCGTGCATACTAACTTCGCGTGTGGTTTTGGTGTTGGCTCCAGATTGCTAACGTTTTTTCGCAGCAAACGAGAAGCCACCGTTACCAGGCCCGCGACCGCAACCGACACCTCACCACAGCGAAGACAGCACGACCAGCGGCAAGCGAAAGGACAATAGCAAACCGTTCCGCATCGGCATCACACGATCCAAATCAATACGAAGAGACTCAGACTCAAAGACCAGACCCAAGACCAACGGCAAAGACTCGTTCGAACAGCAAGCACCTCCCAACACCGCACCACTGCAGTCAGATTGGCCCGGGTCGGAGTCAAGAATGTTGGGCAAGAATCAAGAGAAGGACAAACGCGGCAAGTCCGCCGAGCGCGCACCAGCCAGCGACAGCCAGGAGAACTTGGCTCGGCCAGGCAGAGATCACAAGCCCAACGCTTTCAAGGCGGGCGGCAAGAACGCCCTGTCCAAGGCCAGGACTGGCGGCGGCAACCTGTTGAACCGCCTCGGCAAGATTGGTCGTAGCACCAGCAGCAACGAGAAAGAGATCCCAGACCATGAGTACCAGTTCAAAGTCATCAACCAACCATTGGTCGAGCAGACTCGCATGACTCGAATCAGCAAGGAGCTTTCTGGCTGTCGCGACAAGACTGAGTATTGGATGCCAGCTCTACCATGGCGGTGCATTGAGTAAGTTTGAGAAGTATTGAATGGCGAGGTAACATCAAACTAACATCTCCCAGCTTCTTGAATTCCAACTGCGAACAGGAAGGCCTGTACCGCGTTCCTGGCAGCGGCTTTCATGTCAAGACTTGGCAACGCCGCTTCGACACCGAGCTCGACATCGACCTCCTGTCCACCGAAGTCCTCGACCCGAACGAGATTGCCAGTGTGCTCAAAGCATGGCTGCGAGAGCTACCCACCGAAATCATGCCACAGAGCTTGCAGAGGGAGCTGGCAATAGAGATGGAGAAGGTGAACCCAAAGTTCAAGAATGTCGGCGAATCGGCACCGCAAGTACTTCGAGACGCACTCTCTGACCTGCCGCCGTTCAACTACTACCTGCTCTTCGCCATCACTTGCCACCTCTCCCTCCTGCTCACCAACAAGGACAAGAACAAGATGGATCTCCACAATCTGGCAGTCTGTGTTCAACCTTGCCTGTACCTCGATCGCTGGCTGTTCAACTATCTTGTCGGTGACTGGCGGCACTGCTGGCAGGGATGCTACACGGAGAAGGAGTACCTCAAAGTCGAGGAGAGAGTGGAGGCTGGACTCGATCCAGAAGTGCATTCCGAGTCTGAGCTTGGCGACGAGCGGTCCTTGTCCTCTACCGCCTGGGCTACGACGATCGACGATGGCAGATCGGAGGCTGTATCCGTCGACGACCGCGCCATCAGCAGCGGCACTGGAAGCACAGCCAGCAAGCCAACTACGAGCTCACGCGACAACGCGGAGAACTTTCAGTCAGACAGCAAGAAGCCCATGAACTACATGGCACCCGGCGCGAAAGTCTACTCGAACGGCGCAGTCGGTCTTGGCATCAACGAGGAGCCTAAGCGCCCACGCACGGCCGACCAACGCAACGCTCCTGAGGAAGGCATGAAGGGTGGCCAGACCAAGAGCCGCTCCAACAGCACCACGCCCAAGGTTGGACACAACCGCAGCCGAAGCGACCTGCCAGCCACGCCTGTCAAGACCCATGCGAACGCTGACTGGTCCAATCCCGTGCGTCCATCTTGAGCTTGACCTCCTTGGATCTTGAACTGGACCGGGTTGGACCTGGTCCGCCAGATTCTGGCATCCCATCTCCCGGGTCCAGCGGCTTGCTATTTACGATGAAACCCAACACGCAATACGAACCGTCCTTCATCATCACCACTCTCACGACCAGGCACCAACAATACTCGAAAACTCGGATCACTCGACTTTTGCATACGAACGGCCTCACCTCATGTTCTACTCCTCGGATACCCCACATCGAAAGAGCGCGCGGATGGCGTTGAGGTGAAGCATCTTTGAAGTTGCTTTTTCTGGGTGGATGCAGCTTCTTTTCTTTGACTTGTTTTTCTACTACTACGACCCATGGACTCTACTGCTTGCAAGGCGCTGGGCGCGGATTAATGCATTGAGTTTTTCCAGAAACGGAGGGCGGTGTGCTTGCTTTGATGCGATGGAAAAAAAGAGACTCGACAGGCTCCTTGAGTTTGACTTGACTTGTTGCTGCTGCTTTGTTTTTTCCTCATGCTTTTTGATGTACGATTAGGAAGAGGAGAGACTGTGTGTCTCGAGCGAGATGAATGAGAGAAAATGCTTTTTTGGTGCGAAATCTTGGTATTCACGTGCTGTTGGTCTTGTATTGATGGAGTGATGTTGAAAGTGGTATATGCGGTCACCAGGGTGATCCGACTGGAGTCTTTGAGAGGTGTTCTGGACCTGAGACCTGCCTGACATGTTGGGTAGGGAACTAGGACTGAGTGAACCATCCATGCCATCGCATCAACCCACCGCATTGGACATGTTATTGACCAGGAACAGGAACGTGGAAAGTAGTTCTAAAGCAGCACGTGCTCACCATGCCCGACGAAAAGCTTCTCCTGATGCATAACCTGACCCTCTCAAACGCCATACATCATACATACACTCAGCCCTTCAATTCTCACTGACCAACTGACCATACCCACGACTACACACCTACGACTTCTCCACAACAGGAAACTTCCTCTCCACCCAATCCAGAATCAACCCCGCCATTTCCTCGGGTTTCTCGTAAAAGACCCAGTGGCCTGCTTCGACGACTTTTTCTTCGAGGTCGGGGACGAGGGAGAGGGAGGTGGCGTCGGACATCTACCACCATAACATATTAGCACATTACACAAAAACAAGCAAGAAAGATTGGTAGGGGGGAGATAAATAGACACACCAAATCCGTCCGACAAACCCAATCCCCCGTCTGTCCAATATACAACACCGGCACCTCAATCCTACTCCTCCCCCCCTCCGCCAACACCTTCTCGTCGTTGATCATCACATTATCCCTAAGCGAATGATAATAATTCACCGCCCCCTCCACCCCATCCCTCGTCAACCTCTCCTCAAACCTCCTCCACAACGCCTCATCCTCCGCATAAGCCTTCAGATCCACCGTGTAGTTGGAGTAATTTCCTGTCTGGGTGATGTAGTCGTGCATCGCCCCGGGCACGCAGAACATCTCGCGCATCCAGATGTCGCGGGAGTTTTCGGAGGGATGGGGGGAGGGGAGGTGCCCGTGCATGACTTCGTAGAAGCGCCGGGGATTGAGGCGGAGGAGGTTTGGGGCGCTGGGGGAAGTGAAGAAGTGCCAGTATTCCCATTGGGGGTAGCCGAAGCGTTTGGTTGTGGAGGCGTTGGCTTCTTCCAGGTTGAAGGGTTCCGCCGAGGGGATCTGGTAGGCGAGGGAGTTGATGCTCAGGCCGATGCAGCGGTCGCGGTGGTAGAGGTAGAAGCGTTGAGCGGTGGCGGAGCCCCAGTCGTGGCCTGTACATCCATCATCAACATCAATCTACATACCAATTCAAAGCCTCCTGATGAGTGAGCCATACCGACCGGAATAACCCTCCCCCCAACCACCCCCTCCCAATCCAAAACACTAGCAATCGCATCCGCCTGAATCCGATAATCATAAAGCCTCACATCCCCGGGCTTCGAAGTCCCCCCAAACCCCAGCAAATCCACAATCACGAAGGGGTACGGCGAGTTCAAAAACGTCGGGACCGTGCCCGCCCACATGTACGCGTCGTCGGGGTAGCCGTGGAGGAAGAGGAGGATGGGGAGGGAGGGGTGGGATTTGGTGGTGGAGGCGAAGGAGGGGGAGAGGTAGTAGGAGTAAAGGAGGTTGTGGGGGGTTGTGAGGTGCGTGTGGTGGGTTAGGGAGGACATGGGGTGGGTTGAGTAGGGCATTTTTCTTCTGGGGTTGGATCTTTTTGTTTGATGATGATTGTGGGGAAGGTTGATTGGAGACGTTTGATATGTCTTGTTAGTCACAAGCTGTTGATATGAGTCGCTGATATAGCTCTGAAGCAAGTGACGAGTTTCGTTGTTTGCGGATACCCCTCCCCTCCTTGGATCGTTGGAAGTGAAATGTTCCGGGCGAATGGATCTGCTGGAGCGTTAATGCAGGTACGACGAGAGCTCTAGATCCCTTGGCTTTCATCATGGGATCAGAACAGTCTAGTGGTCTCCGCAGGTAGGTGAGGGCAACGCCAAGTTAGAATCATCAGTATAGATAGAAGGGAATGTACGAGATTCGAGTTATGTGGCAGGCGAGGCGAGTGAATAGTCGGTGAATTGATATTGCAAGGACCTCTCTGACGACACGAAATCAAAAGAGAGAGCAGAGCCCGGCTTGAGTGCTCGCAGTCGAGCCTGTATGCATGATAAAAATCATTCGAGGCTTCGCCCAAAGCGTATCGCTCCAGCTTCAGCCATGCGTTCATCTGGACGTATCTGCACGAACAAGGATCAAGCATGCTGCATCGTGTAACACTCGGGGATCTCCACGAGTGCACGATCCCTGATGCATGATCATCAACACGTGCGGCTGAGATCACTTCGTCCTCGGGTGGATCCAAGCGTAATATCAGATCTTTTGCTCGGGTTTGTGTGGCGTTGCATGGAGGACGCGGTGCCAACGCCCAAGGTCGTACATGGCGTGAGAACAATCGCTGTCGATGTGCCCTATCACTAGACTCAAGCTTACACGGAGGCGTAGAGGCTTTGTCCGTTCTGTCGGTGATGCCGTTGCTGAATTTGTGGTCGGGCCTCGTGCTGACGTCTGATTCATGTCATCTTTGTTGGATAGGCAATTCGAAACAGCCTCTGCTTGACGTCGTGGCCATGTTCCTCCCTGAGGCGGAAGTCATTCCTCTGGATGACTCGTGACTTGTAGCAGTGACTTGATTTCGTTGCCAGTCCATGTTCGTTTGGCATTTCGCGATCACAAAGTGCGCTCACATGGCCAGTCGGAGATCGTAGAGCTCGTCGAGAGGACAAGCTCGGGTTGAGCGTTGAGAACGATCTCATCGTTGCGACAGTACAGACGTAGTCAAAGTAGTTCTGTTTCGCTTCAGCAAGATACTAATGGACGTCAACATCGTGCGACGAACTCTTGAATCACTGGTCTCTCGACCGGAATTTCATTTTCAATGACCGGCCGGCCGGTGATGAGTGGCGGCGCAGTGAATGGCTTTCGGTGTTGATTTGGCTCAAAGTCGGCAGGCAACGTGAAAGGTCGGCGAGCGTCTCGCTGGTCGAGTTGGGCGTTGTCGTCGATGCCTGTAGGCTCGAAACCGGCGAACGCTCTCCGCGCATCGACGCCGCCGACTTGCAGCGCGAGGACGACCAGCTCGATCATGGTTGATGGCAGCATATTGACGTTGACGTTGACTTCTTCGATGGCTGATGTTTGTTGTAATAGTCGTCAGAAAGAGAAGAACGAAGACAGATGTGATAATAAGATGTAGAGTATTGAAAATCGGAGTCAGGTGGAGAGAGTTTCCATTATGCATGACAGTATTGGCTGGACGACAGCAGGTCATTCGCAAACGAAATAAAGCGCCGCGGCGCAGCAACAGCCCACCTCAAAACAGGAACCACGCGAGGCACAGAAAGGTCACTCGCCAACCCGCGCCACTAAGCGAAATATCGAAATCCATCGCGGCGCCAACATGGATGATTCGGCACGTCAGCGCGTGGGCGTATACGAGATGATGTCGTCGGCTTTTGGAGAGAGCGTCGTGGCCGGCAGAGGGGGATGTTGGTAGAGGTGGCTTGCGATCCAAGGAGCTGTACAAAGTCTTTTTCCCAATATGTGCAGCTCAGCATCTTGGTACGGGTGGTTGATCCGAACTGTGCATGTGGCGTGTCATAGCATGGTGAAGAAGCTGCATAGCTCATGGCCTACTCAAAGTAGATACATGAGCTTCACCGGCCATAGGCGAGAAAGTCCGGCGATGGGAAATAGATGAAGAGCCACGCCCATGGTGATGTTCCTGTGAAGAGCCAAGCTGTGGAGGAGAACGAGGAGGCCAAGTGGCGGCAGGGATGACTTTCGGCATTCGGCAGACCGGGCCGTTGCGAAGTCCGCTAGGCCAACGTCCATCTTTGTAGCATGTGAGTGAATGAGTTCCATCTCGCGACAACATCGTCGACACATCCACCAATCCAACATGGACATCCCTCCGCCCCCGCCGCCGTCAGACCCAATACCACCGCCCCCACCGCCCTCGGATCCGATACCACCTCCACCACCAACCTCTGATGCAGTCCCGCCCCCACCTCCGAGCGAAACAAATGGAGTCAACGGCCACGATGAAGAGCTTGCGCCGACGCTGGTGCTGCCAAACAAGAAGCGAAAGCTCGAAAACAAGCTCAAGGTAGCACCCTTGAGCGTAGAGGAGATACTTGCGCGGAAGAAGGCCCAGGATGCTGAAGCTGCAAAGCCCAAGTTTCTGTCCAAGAAGGAGCGCGAGAGGCTTGCGAAGGAAAAGGCTGAGAAAGAAGCTGCTGTAGCTAAGCAGAACAGTACGCCAGCTGTTCAGCCTGCGACCAACGGACACAGCAATCCGCCAGCAGGTCCGAAGTCTATGCGCAATGGAAACATCCCACGAGGCCCTTCTGCTATGAAGCAGCTTCCCAACAAGGGCTACGACATGCAGCCACCGCCACCTCCCAAGTCCGTTGCGATAGTTGAGGGATCGAAGTCGAACAAGAAGCAACAGAGTGAGAGCGAAGTGGAGGCTGAGATGGTCAAGAACCGTTACATGGGTGCGGATACAAACTTGTCGACCTTCTCTGCGAAAAAGAAGCGAAAGAGGACGACCGAGAAGAAATTCAACTTTGAATGGAACGCAGAAGAAGATACCAGCCCCGATTACAACCCGCTCTATCAAACTCGCACTGAGAACAACTTCTTCGGCAGAGGGCAGCTGGGTGGGTTTGCAGATGGTGCGTTGGACTCGGCCAATAAATATGCACAGGCTATTGCACAGCGGGACAAGGTAGCTGGTAGTCAAAGAGCTGCTGAGATTCTGGAGATGGAGAGAAAGAGGAAGGAAGAGGGAGGCCGAAATGGCATCGACAAGCACTGGAGCGAGAAGAAGCTGGAGAATATGCGCGAGCGCGACTGGCGTATCTTCAAGGAAGACTTTAATATCGCCACCAAGGGTGGTTCGATACCGAATCCAATGCGAAGCTGGACGGAGTCTGGTCTGCCTAAGAGGTTGCTCGACATCGTAGACCAGGTTGGCTACAAGGATCCGTCTCCTATTCAGAGAGCTGCGATTCCTATCGCTCTGCAGTCGCGAGATCTCATCGGTGTCGCTGTCACTGGTTCCGGTAAAACAGCTGCATTCTTACTGCCACTTCTGGTCTACATCTCCGAATTGCCAGCATTGGATGAGGTCACCAAGAACGATGGTCCGTACGCCATCATCCTCGCACCAACACGTGAACTGGCACAGCAGATCGAACTCGAGGCGAAGAAGTTTGCAACACCTCTCGGATTCAGGTGTGTGTCCCTTGTGGGTGGTCACAGTATCGAAGAGCAGAGCTACAACATGCGAGACGGTGCCGAGATCATCATCGCTACGCCCGGTCGTCTCGTCGACTGTATCGAGCGACGTGTCCTCGTCCTGAGCCAATGTTGTTACATCATCATGGACGAAGCAGACAAAATGATTGACATGGGATTCGAAGAGCCAGTCAACAAGATCCTCGATGCCCTGCCAGTCTCGAACGAGAAGCCCGACACTGAAGACGCCGAAAATGCAGAGGCCATGGCACAACACCTCGGCGGCTACCGATACAGACAGACAATGATGTACACAGCCACCATGCCTCCCGCCGTCGAACGCATCGCCCGTAAATACCTACGCCGCCCCGCCCAAATCACCATCGGCAACGTCGGCGAAGCCGTCGACACCGTCGAACAACGCGTGGAATTCGTCCAAGGCGAAGACAAGCGCAAGAAACGGCTCAACGAACTCCTCCACTCGAACGAATTCGCCCCACCGATCATCGTCTTCGTCAACATCAAACGCAACTGCGACCTCGTCGCCCGCGACGTCTCCCGCATGGGCTTCTCCAGCGTCGCGCTGCACGGCTCCAAAACCCAAGACCAGCGAGAAGCCGCGCTCGCCGCCCTCCGCAACGGCACCACGGACGTCCTCGTCGCGACGGATCTCGCCGGACGCGGAATCGACGTGCCGGACGTCGGGCTCGTGGTCAACTTCAACATGGCGACGAATATCGAGAGCTACACGCATCGTATTGGTCGGACGGGTCGTGCGGGCAAGCAGGGTGTGGCGATTACGTTTTTGGGCGGCGAGGATAATGATGTGTTGTATGATTTGAAGCAGATGATTAGCAAGAGTGCGATTTCGAGGGTGCCGGAGGAGTTGAGGAAGCATGAGGCCGCGCAGCAGAGGACGAAGGGGAGGAAGGAGAAGATTGAGGATAGTGGGGGGTTTGGGGGGAAGGGTGGGTGGTAGATGACGGGACAAAGATGGTTGAGAGGGTTGTAAAGATTCAGAGGTCTTTGATTCTTTGCCACGTACTGAAATGAGTAAATTGCCTTCGATACTCCTCGCTTCTTCCTGTCTTTCTCCATGCGTATCGCTCTCCTCCATCCGGGGCTTTCATGTAGCTAATGGCGTGCGGAATAGTGACTGGCCAAGATGCAATGCATTCGTTCCTTTCTTCCCGCTGTCGCAGTCTATCACCATCCGGGCTCGTGGAGTTGGTAAGACCTGCTCATATCGATGCCTGGTAACCCTCCTTCCGCACTTCATCGCTTGGTCGGCCAACACCGCATCACCACGGGCCGGAAGTGCTCATGTGTATGCGGTAGACCGACGTGATGTAGATGTTTCCCTTCGCCACTTGCAAACTAAGCAGCTTGCACAGCATACTTGTCTCATTCCTATCCCTGCATTCCCATAAGCCCATCCATATCCGGTACGAACTCAGCATCCGCATCGTTGACTTCAGGCGCCCCAGCAACAGAATCGTCGACCCAGCCATGCTTGATCCGCAGATTCCAGAAAGTGCAGACGATCCTGTTAACAACGTCGGCGCCCAGCTGATTCCGCTTCAAGATGTGGACGAAGCTGTGTGGCGACCAGTTCCGCTCGATGCTTTCTCCAGCTGGAGCGATAGCTAGAGCGATGATGCAGAGCTCGGCGAGGTCGGGTTGTTCTTGGATCCAGAAGTTCTGCCACCATTGGATTGCGGTCATCTGCTCGGCGGCCATCCAGACCATGTTATTGCTGAAGGGGCCTTGCTTCACTCTGAGGAGGGAGAGCATGCCGAGGAGTGTGGAAGCTTTGGCTGCGTGGCCGTCGCAGTACTTCAGAAGGAAAGCCTGGAGGGAGCGCGACTGGGTCTCCTCATTGCTGTCGAGAATCGCCGGTCGACGATGTCGTTCTTGCGGGTCCGCCAGATACGCAATGAACATCAACGGAGCGTCCACCAGAGCATGCGTGAGATGATGTCTCGACGGGACCTTGAAAGCCGGTCTCAAAGCCCGTACAAACGCCCGAAAAGCAGGATGCTCAGTGACCGACGGGTCCAACTTCGCCGCGTTGATCCATTGCGCACAAGCAGCCGTAGCAATATCCTGCTCAGCTGCGGACATGGACCCAATACCACGCGTGCGGGCTCGCTGCTGCTGCTGGAGCTCGGCGGCGGAGGGCAGCGTCGGGTCCAGACGATGTGGCTGATACGTTCGCCATAGTGGTTCGGGCAGGTCGTTGCAGCGCTGGAGATGTTCGATGACTCGGGCCTTCTCGTTGGACGTCCACTCGGTCATGCAGTGTTTGCAGGTGACGCGTGGGTGGCGCTTGCCCGAGTTCTCCTCGAGGTTGCGGGTGACTTCGAGCCAGCAGTCATCGCGGCCTCTGGGCATGGCGGAGGGAGGTTTCTGGATTGGGAGCTGCAGGTGTCGTTCAAGGGGCGATGCGACCACGGTGGGAGAGGTTCTGTGTAAGACGTGTTGTTGTGTGGGCAAACTTGGGCGAACGCGGGAGCGGTGGGCTAAGACGCGGTAAGTGCCGTCATCGCGTGAACTCTGTTTGACGTGAAGAGGACCTCGCTCCGTTCCACGAAAATCACCATATCCACGTTGCCTTGCTACAAGTCATCAATCTACGAATACAATACCTCGCGTATTAAAAGCATTCAAGTAACACGTCTATTTAAGGTGGACGATGACCGGTGGTGCTCAAGCATTGGAAGCGAACATGATGCGCCTTGTTAGCCGAGGAATTCGACAGACCCAGTATACCTTCTTTTCAAACGATCAAGTCCGATATTGGGCAACGGCATCTTGCAAGTAATCTCGCAACGAAAGAGATCGGAAATGTCGTGTGACATGAGTGGAGTCGCCGCATGGCTGCTGGAGATCACATTCTTTCGACTTCGATTCGAACTGACCTCGTATGTTACGCTATCAAACGCGAGCTCGACTTTTGACGCCACGGTCGACACAGCATGGCACTGCTCGTTCTCGCCCTCGACGAACCATCTGGATGTTGCATCAAACTCGCCAAACGCTTCTCGTCCGGAGATTCTGACAAGTCCTCGCTCAAATATCGTCGTGGAACATGTTTCCGTCACTTCGTAAATCTCGTATCTTCCCCACCGACCACAGCCCCCCGAACTTTAAGCTTTCTCAAGTCTAGGGATCTGCGCGAGACTTCACCTATTTGCTACGCGATTCCTCGTTACAACCAAGCAGAATCGCAAAAGTGCCGATGGTCTTTCCTTTTCTTGTTCCTGTTCTTGTGGCGTTGTTACTGCGTCTGGAGATCTCCGTCTTGGTTTTGAAACGAATCATCTGTCGACCTTGGCTGGGGCAGCCTCGGTGTCTATTTGTTTCCTATGCTATATCTCGGTAGGGACGCATTAGTGGCCCCGCTGCTGTAATATATCTCTACGCTTCTCGCAGACTGGATAGGCAGAGTAGTTGTTCTCCCTCTCACACGATCAAACATGCTCTATCTGGGGATCTTATCCAGCCTTGTGGTGTTGGCCACTGCCGCACCTAATGCAGACACTGTCAAAGTTTGCGACTATCTACACAAGACCTATCCACAATACATGGCCTACGACACACTCGGCACAGAGGCTCTCAACTCTGCATACAACGCTTCAGTATATACGCAGATCAACACCGACTACTGGAACAATCAAAACTCATACCAATTCCGAGCGGCGTGTGCTTTCTTCCCAGCCAACGCTGCGCAGGTCTCAGACGTTGTGAAGCAGCTTAACAAGTATCCAGACGTGCCATTTGGTCTCAAGTCGGCAGGACATCAGCCGGCACCTGGATTCTCTTCCACAAAGGACGGCGTGCTCATTGCGTTCGAGCCCAACCTTGGCAAGACGGTTACCCAACGAACAGCGGACGGCAAGCATTACATTCTTGGACCTGGTGCGAGATGGGGTGATGTGTATCAGATTACAGGCAAGAACAATGAGATCGTCGTCGGCGGCAGACTGGCACACATTGGCGTTGGAGGGCTGACTCTCGGAGGCGGGTTGTCGTATTACTCGGCGCAATACGTGAGATCAAGCGTGCATGACAATATGAAGTTGTGCTGACACATCTTCAAGGGCCTCGCATGCGACAACATCGACCAATTCGAAGCCGTCCTCGCAAACGGCACCGCCGTAAACGCCACTCGTACTTCCAACCCTGACCTCTGGTGGGCCCTCCGCGGTGGAGGCAACCAATTCGCCATCGTCACAAGAATGTGGTCGCAAGCACATCCTGCAGGCGTTAATGGACAGATCTGGGGTGGTATCCGGGCATACTCCATCGACAAGCGTGAGGCGCTCTTCCGTGCTGTTACGAGATTTGTGCGAGATTACCCTGACGAGAAGGCTGCGGTTATCCCTGTCTTTCAGTATGTATAGCCCATATCACTGTTGGAGGCTGTGATAATAGCTGACTGTGACATTATTTAGGTTTGGCCTTCCCCTGAACCTCCTCAATGCCATCACTGGACCCATCATGTTCATGTTTTACGATGGACCAAACCCACCGGCAGACCTCTTCAAGGACTTCGACGATGTTCAGGAGCTTTTCTCTACTACCAAGACTAAGTCATATTACGATATGTCGCAAGAAGCAGGCGGCGCAGCCATCGTGGGCTTTGGCAATTCGTTCCGCGAGATCACTGTTCCCAACCTTCCCGAAGAGTCAATGACCCAGTTCTTCTCGACTTACTGGGACATGTACTACAATGCCACATTCATCAACGGGTTGCAAGACCTCGACGTTCAGGTAACCGGATTCGATCCCCAGCCCCTTTCCGTACGTATCGCCCAAGCTTCGCAAAAGCAAGGCGGAAACGTCTATGGTCTCAACCCAGACCACGGCGACCGCATCTGGATAGAGAACAACCTCCTCTGGACGAACCCTACCTGCAACGATCGCTGCCCTCAGCAATCCAAAGAGCTTTCTGAGAGCCTGCTTCAATATCAGAAGGACACGTACGGCTCCCAAACGGCCACCAACTATAAATCTGGCGATCCTTCCTTTACAAATTTTAACCCCCTTTTCATGAACGATATTGGACCTGATCAGGATATCTACAGTTCCTTTGGCCCAGAGAACCTAGCGAGGTTGAAGCAGATCAAGTCAGCTTATGATCCTACCGGTTTCTTCACGAATCGACAGGGAGGCTTCAAGCTACCTGCGTAGAACGTAACGACAGATATGTAGATTTGATAGTCGACAGAATCAATCCGGCCCTGGTGGCTTTTTGTTTCATGTTTGTGGTGGCGGTGGTGTTGTTGTTCTATTCACTGCATGGGCCGACGTTGAGCCGGGCTTGGCGTTGGGCCTGACTCCTTTTGGGAGGCGAGCGTTGACTTCACCTCCTCAGTCCATCAACAAAACAAAAGCTTCGCACGGTGACACATTCTGGCCAACGGATTGACGAAGTGGACGAGGCTGGCAACATGCATGTGATGAATATCCACAGCGCGATGGTCACACGTTTGAAGCGACCGCGCGCGGCTGCATCACAGCTCTGCGTGCTTGCGAGGAAATCTAATAACAACATCACTTTGCCTTGACGGTAGCGAGGCTCACGTGCTAGATGAGTTGCTTGTCTCTCTCTTCTCTACTTCCATGTGTCAGTCGACCGACATCTCCTTTCCGTCCGCACTGACATACTTTCCTCTGGACACAACTGACCTTCAACCACCCTTCTTCAATACACACACCACAACATCAGGCGTCAACTGTCTTCACCCTCCACTCATCCAAGATTTCCACCGCCAGCGTCAACGAAGCTATATCGCTATGGACGACGAAGCAGAGGCGAAAGCACATGTCGACGACCTCAGAAGGCGGCGGCATATTGACGATACCAATGGCGTTCAAGGCGATGCTAATGCTCGAAGTCTTGCCAGTGCTATGGGCATGCTTTCGTCCCAGCTCTATACCAAGCCGACCCATTTCATTCTGGAGATGATCCAGAACGCAGACGACAACACCTACGCCCCCGGAACAATTCCAAAGCTGACCATGATCTACCGAGAGGATGGATACGTTTTCATCGCAAGTAACGAATTGGGATTCTCGAAAGATAATGTCGCTGCCATCTGCGAGATTGGAAACAGCACCAAGAAAGTGAACGGGTCTCAGAAAGGTTATATTGGGGAGAAGGGCATTGGCTTCAAGTCTGTCTTCACGGTCGCTGATACAGTATGGGTATCGTCTGGAGCATTCAAGTTCAAATTCAATCGCGACGGACTTCTCGGCATGATTGTGCCAATCTGGAGTGACTTCAAAGCAACGAAAGCAGTCGAAGAGCAAACAATGTTCTGTCTCCAAATACCAGACGAGAAGAATCAGAGAGAGGTGCGAGGAAATCTGCTCTCTCTTGGCGCAGAACTACTTTTGTTTCTGAGAAAGCTGAGGACAATTGATGTGAAAATCCTGAGCGCGGACGAAACGGACATCATTCACGAATACTCTCTCCACCGCGATGACGAGGACCATGGCACCGGATTCACAACAACACATCTAGTTCGGAGAGATCTGGCGCCAGAACCGAAGACAGACCAAGAGACGCTGGCAGTCTTTCGGAGCACCAAGTACGATATGCCTGCGGAACCCAAGAGAGAGGGCATCACAGAGTCTGAAATTGTCATGGCCTTCCCGATGACGAACACCACGAAGACGTATCGCAAGACATACAACTATCTGCTCATTCGTGATTACGGGTTGCCATTCCTACTACAGGCCGATTTCCTCCTCACGGCCAGCCGCCAAGACATCATCGAAGGAGATGCTTGGAACAACGCACTCAAGAGCCATGCCCACGTGCTGTTTGTCAAGGGCGTAGAGACGTTCAACAAAACGGGGATATCTGACACTATTGCGTCAGTCAAGTACCTCTGGCCTAAGTACGCCATGGGCACCCACAACCCCTCTGGCACCTTTATGGACGGCTTTCTGAAGTCACTGCAAAGCTATTTACGCCATCAACCGGTGTTGGAGTCCCAGCGTGGGGATCTGAAACCACCCAAGTCCATGGTCTATGTTCCCGAAAGGTTCTGTGACGACGCTGGGCGCCCATTGTTGAGCGATCCTGAGTTCCTCGGCAACTTCGTCGCTCAAGAATACTCAACGAACGACGTGAATCGGCTGGGCGTCAACCTTCAGAACATCAAGGATTTCTGCAAGCTCCTGGAATACATGCCACCGGACGTAATCCATCAGAAGCCGGCGTCGTGGCATTCAAGGCTTGCGAGTGCACTGGTCGAGGCCAGCGACAAGTCGCTAAAGGAGATCGAGATTATACCTCTTCGAGGAGGACGATGGGTCAAGCCCAGCACATCGTCCGTTTACTTCCCCGATCGCGGGCAGGTCGAAATCCCGGATGGCATTGAGTGCCTCGTTGTGGACGACGAAGCAGCAGCCGATCAGTCCAGAAAGAAGCTGTTCCTGAAGCTGGGCGTTAAGACAATCACGAACGTGGCAGTATGCAACTTGATCATCCAACGCCACAGGTCTCTCGGCACGCACGATACGACTCTGTCACCCGAGTGTCTCGCTGCTCATGCTTGGTACATATGCATGACGGAGAACTTCTTAGGGATCAACCTCTCGGGTCTAAGACTGGCGAAGCAGGGAGGTGGTCTAGCTCCTGCTCGCCAGTTATACATGGACGGACCGGACACTAGCTTCAAGATGAGCCAGTTCTTTCCACCCACGGGCTCGGGCTGTAGCTTCATCCACCCCGTCTATGTCAACTATGGCGACTCCTGCCACCGACCAAGATGGAATCGCTGGCTGCAATTCAATGCCGGCGTATCCGCACTGCCTCGCCTGGCGGATGCTCTCAACAGCAAGATAAGCATCACGCCCGACTTTCGACACTTGATTGATACCCAGCCAAGCTCGGTCTGGATGGCTCTCTTGAGGGACAATTGGAACCATTACTTCTCCAAGGAATCCCCAGAGTCTTTCGATCTAGGGAGCGAAATGGTCAACTGCAAGAACGGCCGCCGAAAGGAGCTCAGCGCAACGTACTTACCTCGCCGTGCTATCTGTGGAGACAAGTTTGCCGCCTCGCTGGTCGATTTCGTCGACGTTCAAGACCCCGAGCACACCGGTTGGGACAAGTTTCGGTCCTTTGGACTCAGCACCGAGCCAGACCTTGGACTTTGCCTCGACATCCTACGAGCGGCTTCCAGAGACACATCCTCTATGACGCTGGGCAAAGAGTATGTAATCTCATTGTTCAAGTCCATTGAGGCTGAGTCGTTGGACGACGCAGACGAGATCAGGTAATATGTCGTCCATCCCTGGCTCACAGATCCCAAAGCTAACGCAAACAGGTCGATCTTCCAAGAAGAGGCTCTGATTCCCATCGAAGACGGGAAGTCTACCTCTTGGATGATACTTGACCAATGCCGTTGGCACGCTCCAGCTTGCCTGGCACAACTGACCGCACTTGACCAGCGCTTCCCGTCTCTAAAGGACTTCTTCTGTGTGACCCTCCAGGTTCACAATGCTTCGATCGGCGATATCGTCAAGGAGCTTCGCCACCACGCTGGAAATATGAACGGCGTTGACAGCCTTCGGGCTTTGCTCCTCTACCTCAGCGATTGCCTCGTTAACGAAGACCAGGCTGATGAGCATGTTCCGAAGCTGCTGCTGAAGCTGCAGACCCAACAGATCTTTCCGGTCCAGCGGTCGAGCGGACAGTGTCGTCTTGCTTCGGCACAGGATCACGATTGGTTCATCGCAGACCGCGGTCGCATCGAGCAATGCTTCCGTGGGAAAGTGTGGCTACTTGATGCCAGTGATTCGGACGTCAAGCGTTTGGCGCCGGTCTTCAAGACCTTGGGACTGCTTGACTTCTATCTGTCTAAGAGAGTGATCGAGCAAACGGAGTTTACTGATGAGCCAAAGCCTTGCAAGAATCTGACCCGGTATCTACAAGGCAAGGCAAGATTTATCTCCTTGTAAGTCGTACTCTCCAGGCCCCTGGAAAGCACTATCTGATCACTTTCAGGCTTGTCGACGAGGAGAGCCAGAAGACGATCCAAAAGCATATTCAGAGGATCCAAGTGCTCGCAAGCAACAACATGAAGTTGCGCCGCTACGTCCAAGTCAACGGGAAGACCATCTACGGCACCGACGAAGTCGGCAGGTTTGTCCTAACGGAATCCCCGCCGTTGAAGCTGTACTGTGCAGAGTCAAACGTCGCCAGCAAAGACCCACCATGGGCGTTCATTCAACCTCGACTTGCTTACATGATGAACCTCCAGCCATCGAGACAACTTGTCTTGACAAATATCCTGACGACTTCAAGCCACAGCATGATCAAAGACCTCCTCGAGCGTGCCGGTCTATGGAAGGACGACTACATCCCGGAGGCTCTGCCTGATCAGGACGAAGACGACGACGAGGAGTTCTCACAGCTAGTCGCTAAGTCTGAACAAGTTGAGACGAAGCCCAAGATCAAGAAGGAGCGTCGAGAGCCCACAGCAGCTCCGACACCAGCTGGGAAGAACTCCAAAGCAAGATCATCGATCGCACCAACGTCGAAGCATACAAAGCCCATGACCGACAAATCATCATCACCGTCTACCAGTTTTCCACGGGTAAAGTCCAGCGTACCACCGCAAGGCCAGCAACCTCAGCACCCTCCAGCCGGATACGAACCAGCAGAGTCTCACGAATCCCGCCTGATCAACTCGATCGTCGCCGCGGCCGAGACATACGACATCAACACCGCCACGCTGATCGAAGCCTCACCCGGCGGCGACAGCCAGCAAATCTCCGCCCTCGACCTCCTGCAATCCTCCTTCGCCGTAGTCAAATCCGAAGCCCAAGACCCCGACACCCAATTCCACAGCGAGCTCTTCGTAAGTCTCCCCTCCCTCCCCATCCCTCGAACCCGCACACTAACCCCCTTCGCAGATCTACACCCTCCTCCGCGAAAACTTCGAAGCGCTCCAAACAAGCTGGACTTCCCCCAACCGCACGCGCTACAACCTCCCGGCCTTCCACCCCAACCCTAACACCCCCAACCCCTCAACCTTCACAATCTCCTACCCCCCCACCGTCCAACAACTCACCGCCCACCTCGCGAACCACAACATCTCCTCCGCGAACGACTGGCTCGGCGAACCCGTCACGTACCACATCGACGTGCATGCCTCCTCCAGCTCCAGCGAGGATGATGCCAACGAGCCCTTCGCGTTCAGCAATAAGCAGGTCGATATGGCGAGGGCGTGGATGGAGAGTGGGAGGGATGTGCATCTTCTTGTAAGGGTGCAGGGGGTGATGGGGACGCCAAGGGTGAGGGTTTATGTGGAGCCGCTGAGGTTGGTTGTGAGGGGGATGTTGGAGGTTGCGGCTGTGGGGGGGTATCTTTTGAGGGGGGTTTAGGGTGGGTGTGGTGGAATGAAGGGGGTGAGGGGACTGAAGACTTCACGTGGCGACGACTTTTCCTTGGTTCTTTGTATTTCTAGCGACTACGACTACGACAGAACACGACACACAGACTAAGATGACATGAACTGTATATTAGCAACAACCTCAAGCAGAATGAATCAAAACGACGGATGTGCATGAAAACAACACTCTCACACACTACAGAAACATCACTTTCATCTTCAAAACATCATATCTCATATACCGCTATGCTAAAAACGCTCCTTCATCCATCCATTCATCCATCTGTCGTCTTTCATCCCAAACCCACACCCCACCCTTCCCTACACCACACAAAAACCTCACCGTCCATACTCCAAACTCGGAATAATCACCGGCCCATACTTCATCGGCTGCCCAAAAGCCCCCTCGCCCTGCACCATAAAATCCGCCGCCAGACTCAACCTCCCTCCCGCACCACCCCCCGCACCCCCCGCACTTCCACTCCCGCCAAAAGCCCCCTGCACAACCTCCGGATCATAAGCCACACAAGCCAAATAATTCCTCCTCCCCATCAAGCGCCTCAACTCCCTCGGCCGCCCATCGACATCCGCAGCAAAAATCTCCATCATATCCTCCTTGGTGTCCGAGGGGGTGCCGATCGCGGAGCGGTGCCCGTTGGCGGGGATGTAGAGTTGCTTGTTGTTGTGCAGCATGCGGATGACGTAGGAGGGCGAGGGGGCGTTGACGATGGAGGAGGTGATGAGTTGGTACATGGTTTTGTGGTCGGAGGGTTTCGAGGGGTCGTGCACGAGGCCGGCGCCGCAGACGTTGACGCTGCCGGAGAGGAAGGTCATGCGCAGGGATTTGTTGTGGGAGATGCCTTGGAGCGTGCGGATTATGTAGGTGCGTTCGAGGTCCTGTCATGATTTGTTAGTGAGGTGCGTAAAGAAGTGGGTGTTGTGGCTTACGTACCTTGGAGTCGTGAGTCCAGAGGTCTCGTAGCTCGTCGAGCATGTCGATGTCGCCGAAAGGACTTAGAACGCCTTGCATGAGCCCTGACTTGCCAACTGCCTTCTTGATACCGTCAAAGCCAGAGTTTACTGCTCCCTTTGCTCCGACTATTCCTGCAACGCCACCCGCCACCTTACCTAGCATGTTGAAACCTCCAGTCACCGCCTTCTTACCAGTTGCCACTGTATTCGCTACCTGCTCGACAGCTTCCAGACGCGGGTAGATGATCGGTACGGGAAGCAGCCAGATACAGTGCTGCACACTTGGCGGCAATGTGGCGACCTTGGGGAAAATTCCTTGGTAGGTCGGTCCTGCCATGACTTGTCGTTCACCTCGCTCGCTTCTGGTGTCTGGGCCTACAATCACCACATTCGGTCCAAGGTACTTGATGAAATGCCATCCCTTGCCCGTTATGGTGAAGAGGTCGATATCGTTCGAGACATTTCGCAAGATCTCGTGCGTGGTGTGATGCTGGAAGAGTAGGTACATCTCGATACCTATCCGACCAAGATTCTTGAAGACATGACTTTCTTGCATGTATTCGGGATACGAGCCATAGCCGTCAAAGATGTCGTGGTCGTCCAAGCAGCAGACGTGCGGTATCTGTGCGAACCCTTCCTTCACTGCCGGCTGGTCGAAGTGTGAGGTGTAATAGTGGAAGTAAGCGTGCGTGACATCCTCTTCCATCTTTGCAGTCCATTGGGCAGTCTTGCGATTCTCCTTACCGCTGATCTGCGTCCACTGCTTCAATGCTGGGATGTCCTTCCACAGGCGATCAGCATAGATTTGACCGCCCAAGCCAACTTGGGCATGGAAGCCACCGCATTCTTGGTGTTTCAGTAGGACATCCTTCCACATCAGAGGCATGCCACCAAGTTTCGATCTGTCATTTGCCGACACATTGATGGCGAAGTCGTTGCCAGAGTGGGCAATGAAGCGCCAGCTGCTCTCATTCTTTCCAGCGACAAGGAACTCGTAACGAGTGCAGCCGAGGTGTGAGGTGATGGCGTAGGTCCATTTGGCAGCTCCACTGTCTTCCATTCGCAGATCCACATCGTACCTGTAGAAGATCCATCTTTGATGTGAGTGGATGGGATGTGCTTTCAATTGTCGAGGATTCGGGCTTAGGTCCAGTGACTGATGGATGTGGATCGTAGGTGGCTGAGTTGCCGCATCGCATATCAGCAGAATGCTCCCAAGCCAGAGACCTCGTTCAAGATCCATGTTCGTGTAGCGAAGGTAAGGTCCAAAGTAGACCGCATTCGACGGCTGAATCTTGTACATGTCCACACCAGCACTTGGAGGTGGACCTGTGAATCCTGTCGCTGCGGGACTTGCCATGGAGTTCATGGACATCATGCTCTGTCGATCGTAGCTTGCCATCTGCTGCACTGGGAAGCCAGGCGATGCAAGAGGCTGCTTGAAGACTGAACCGACAGGACTTGCCACTGTCGGGACTGGACTTGTGGGCTCCTGGAGGTTCAGTGGAGTTGGTCCTTTCGGGAACTCCCATTGCGTTGATTGTGTTGGAAGGTGGATGTAGTAGTACTGCCCAGAATTGTTGTCAAGATGAGCAATCCATCCTTCTGGAAGAGGAGGCGGACTTGCAGGGCCAGATGGACCCGGTTGGCCGGGCTGTTGTGCCGCTGCTTGATTCGCTTGCGCGACGTTGACCGGTGTGAGTCCATGAGCAGCTGGTGAGGCACCGTTCTGCTGCGATGGCTGAGGCGAGGCACCGTTTTGACGCTGAGTGTCATTGGCGAATGCAGGATGTGCTCGAACGTTTGGATCCGTCGGCCTTCGTCCCTGATCTGCGCCAGGTGCGGCGTTTGGGCTGGCGTTATTCGCGAACCTGCCCTTTTCGTTGGGATACTGCGAGTGCGAAGAACCAGCAGCAGGCGGCGAATACGCAGGGGGCGGCTCGTCATTCAAACTCATGCTGTTCACCCCAGCTTCGATGTTTGGACTCGTCGATGGTTGTGGAGGGCGTGGGTAGCTGGGCTGACGATCTCGTGTTTGTGAGGGTACATCAGAGCCTCTGGACGCCACCTCTTCAGTGCCTTGGAACGTGATCGGCGGCCCGTGAGGCGCTGATCCAGGCTGCTCAGTAGGACTCCATCTCCCACTCTGCTGCTGTTGAGGTTGTGCGTCCGCCGCTCTCGTTGGCTGGGGAGCGGCATAATGAGCTCTTCTTGCCGCAGCAGCTGCACTCTGCGCTTGCATCTCATTGAGTGTGTTCTGCCCTGGTATTCCAGACGCCGCGTATCTTGCTTCAATCCCTGTCAACCCGCTTGGCGGCTGATCGATCGGTGTCTCAGGTGGAGGCGGTGAACCTCTGGACGCTCTCGTGGTGGATGTGGATGCAGTACTGCTCAATCTATTCACTCCTGCCGGATCTGGTACATGCATTCTGTTCTGCGCCAACACGGCTGCCGCACTTGTGCTCGCTGGTGGTGCTGCACCTAGCGGAGGTGGATAGAACTGTTGCTGATAATCTTCAGTCTGATTACTCGGCTTCCGCTGCGGTTTCACCTGAAACAAGCCTTCATCGTCGTCGCTCTTGTGGGGTGGCTCAGGCCCGCCTGGTGAATCTGGGGGAATGATGTTCTTGGCCGGGGTGCCTCTCCTCTCTGCCAGCCTCGACGAGTGGCCTAACGTAGGCGACCCGCCATAGCCACCTGCTGTTGGTCTATTCGGATCGTTCGGCGCAAACCGAGGCCTTCCACTGTGTCCACTCCCTTCAGAAGACATGCTTCCCGTCCTGACTTGAGGGGGCCCCGTGGCCCTCCCCTCTTCTGCCAGCTCTTGCGGTGTGCCTGTGCGACTCGGGGCCTTCGCGCCTGGTACTGCTCCCGGCGTTGGCTGTCTTCGTGCTCTGTCGTCTGGATATGGCAGCGGGCCGGTGGGTGGGGGTGAGGTGGGGGCGCCGTATGCAGCGCTGCTACTGGGAGGGACTCGGTACTGGGCCCATTGCTCTTTGGGCTCTGGCTTGGAGGATTGCGGCGACGGCTGCTTGTTGATGCGCAGGGGCTGAGGCGTTTCAGAGGGGTTGGCCTGAGGAGAGTCGGGTTTCAGGAAGAGCTCCTCGCGGTCGTCTTGGGCCATGCTGAGGTCGCCGTCGCTTCCAAAACCGGTTTATATGGGAGAGGTCGCGCCTGCGGCTGTGGGACACGCGGGTGAGTGAGTAGATGCAGCTTCCCTGCGCTTCACGTGCGGCTGTCGGTCGACGTCACCGTGCGACTTGCAAGCTCCCAGTCCTTCGAGCGGATGATGTTGGTGACTGGGGAAGGGAAAGAGATGTATGCTGTGGAATGAATACTTGCGCATGTACTTGTCTCTACTGCTGCTACGCTACCTCGAAGCTCGCGCTGGCGGCCCAAAGGTGGTTGCGTAGCGAACCTGTAAGCGCGTGGTTGGAGGTGTAGGCAAAGTGACGTGGATCCTGCACTGAGCCTCTCTGCCTCGCGATTCGTCCCTCCAAGCGCCAGCACAACCCTTGGCGTGAATTGGATATCCCGCACCTCCTTGGCCTGGCCGCGACCGCCGTCCATCAATCAATGGCATGTGCCTGCATTGGCTTCTGTACGGCAGATCACGGTCGAAACAGGTCGGATCGCGGCTGGTGTTGGCAGAGATGGAGATTTGATCGGAAGACAGAAGGTGAGGTCAATCGGCGTGCCTGAGGCATCAACGCTAGCTTTCTCCAAGACGCCTTCGATCCCACCTCAAAACCTCCTTCACACAAGACTGAACACGGTTCATCGTCCAGATCTTGGGGCAGCATATGGTATGGTACCTGAGCAATGATTTCGAAGCAGTGACGGCGAGACAATCTCCGAGGATCTAATCTCATCATCGCCTTCCCACAATACCACAGTGTCTGTCGTCCCAGCTTCAAGACCTGTTCAACAAAAGGCTCTCGCTGAACAACCCCCATTTAAACCGAGATCCGCTGCATTGGCAGTATCAACGACTGCCAGGAAACACTTCATCGATCATTTGTTTGGACAGTTTTTGACCGGTTTCGGTATTCGACCGCTATGTCGAAGGCATGCTTGGCAGATATGTCCCACGTACAGTCTTTCATCTTCCGCCGACTGAAAGGAGATTTTCGTCATCACAGCCATCGACTGCGAGATGTTGTCGATACGATTCATTATCGGACTGCAGGCCCCTGCGTCAGTCTGAGCTTGACAGCCGATCCTGCCGCGGAGCGTGCCCTCCCCGTCTTGCCCGTTCGCCGGCGTGGAAATTGTCAACTTCACCCACTTCTTTTCCAGTCGTCAATACCATCTATATACTGGGAGAACATCTAGCACGCTGTCAGCCATATAGCAGTGCTGAATCGACTCTAATTTGGCATCTCCGAGGCATAGCAGTCAGAATATCTTCCAAGTGGAAAGCTCGAGGATAAAACCAGCGACGAACGTTGAAAAGCATCGAGCTTTGGCAGACGTTGGTCTACTAATGCACGACAGAACTCTCCTATCCCACCTAATTCCGACCTCATGTCGGTCTGATTGGGCGCGAGATAGATCAAAAGGATAGTTTTATTCCCAATGCGTCCTATGTCGTGGGGTAAGTGCAGTATATCGAAACTCTGATGATATCCAGCCACGCCATACTTCAAACCGCCTCTCCCCTTTCCACTGCATTTGTGCAACATTCCCAACCCTACAGCCGAGCTACCATACCTTGAACGACAGCCTCGGGTCCAGCTCACCTCGTATATCGCGCATTTGCTATTTCCAGAACCCCCCAAGGCCACTCCTCGAACATCCGGCTTCCAGGATCCCCGGGTCAACAACGATGCTGCTGGTAACTTGGCGCCTCAAACCTCAGCATCTCGTTTGAAGTTCTTCGTCTGCTCGATTGCTCCACCATCAACGTATGTCGGCGAACCTGACGATCCCCAATGGTTATTCCACACCTTTCGCGGTGGTGACAGACACCGATCATGGAGCCTGGATCATCATCGCAACGGCGCTGGGGCTTTCTCAGATACTGCTGTTCGCTGGCATACGCGCCTTTGTGAAATGTGTTATCAATCCGGGACTGGCCTTTGATGATACGATGGTGTTCACAGCGACCGGATTCGCCGTCATTCAGTCAGCCCTCGTACTGGGAGCCTGTCACGCTGGACTGGGCCGATCAGCAGAACTCATATCGTCCGGCGACCAGGAGGCTCTTCAGAAGCTGTACTACGCAGCTAGTCTGTTTTTCGTCCTGTCTCTTGGGCTCTCCAAGGCATCAGTGGCCATTTTCGTCCTTCGACTGGCGCCTTTCGATCCACATCGCCAAGTAATAAAAGCTCTCATCATCGCAATCCTCGCCTGGACCCTCGCCCTTCTTCTTGCGATCGCGTTGAAGTGCAATCTCTCCCACCCTTGGACAGTGCTAGACGAACAGTGCAGCGGTCTCTTCCTGCGTTGGGGCATTCTGGAGGGCTTCGGCTGCTTCTTCGAACTCGCCATCTTCGGGATTGCGATCTGGCTGGTCAGTGGTCTGCAGATCAAGCAGCAGAATGTTATCACGGTGATCGTCATGTTTGCGTTTCGCTTGCCGTTCGTAAAGCTACCCTTAACATTCTGTATCATAATTAACGTCTTCACAGCGTCATCCTGTTCGTCATCCTCCGCCTAAGAAGCTTCGACCAGTCCGGTTTCCACAAAGACCCAACGCTGCGCGAGGCCAAAGCAATCTGCTGGACACAAGTCGAAATGGACTACTCAATCATTTCAGCGACGATCTTGATCCTCCGCCCGCTCGTGAGCAATCTGGTGACCCACTACGGTGGGCAAGGCCGGACGGGTAAAGATAGCGACGAGGCTTACCAACTGCACCTACTTTCCGCAGAGGCGCAGAGCAGACGAGGAACTGAAGGGACCATCGTCACCGGAGAGACGCGTTCGGACAGTGTGCCGAGCGGTATTGATGTGTATGCGGCTATGAGTGGAGCTCAGCCGACTGCTGGGCCGAGTCGTTCGAGAACGGTGGAAATACCTTCGACGGGTCTGCCTTGACCTGATTCCGCGGATGCGATGCCCTAGGACATATTTGCAACTGTGATTGACGAATGGCTGGTCGTCAACGACGTGCAATTACCGTCTGTATGAGGTTCAAACCACCAAGCGGATAGCTGCATGCAAGGCCAAGCCCAGCCTGAAAGAAGTCATGCAGAAGCTGGTATCCGTGCGGGATCAATCAAACAAAGGAATGCATTCGGCATGCTTGGTTGCCCCTTGCGTCGCCTTTTATCTGGTCGCCTTCCATCCTCCAAATGGACACAACCAACTCCATCTCACCAACACTAACACCGCCAACATGTCCCGGGAAGAGTACACCCCACCAGACCTCACGGCCAAAACCAACAACAACCCCTCGACCTCCACCAACAAGAGACCCACTACCACCAACGCCTCTCCCTCCTCCTCCAGTACCGCCGCCGTCGCCGCCCCCTCCTCCCCCACCGCCCCACCCAAACCCCCCACAACAACCCTCCGCTCCATCCTCGACCTAGGCATCGACTTCTCCCGCGACGACCGCGGCGGCCGGCGCCTCCGTCTCAACGAAACCTACGACGCCTCCCGGCCGCAGTACTACCACACCAGCACGACGCGCGAGGACGAGTGGAAGAAAGTGCAGTGGGAGTGCGCCGAGTGCACGGCGACGTTCCGGTTTGGGCCGACGGATTATCTCCGGTGTCGCGAGTGTGGGGAGTGTTGTGCTTTTTGGAAGGTGAAGGATTATAAGCGGTGAGTGTTTTTTTTCTTTTTGGGGGAGGTTTGTGGGGGGTGGGAGGGGGGAGGGGTGGTTAGGGGTGGGTGCTGAATTGTGGATTAGGATCGATATTGGGTATCGGACGTTTTTGGCTCGTTGAGGGGTGGAAGGGGAGGATGTCGGGGTTGGGATGGATGTGGAGTGGTGGGTTAAGTAAGAGGTGTAAGATTGCAAGGGGAGCGAAGAATGAAGAGATGCGCATGTGTTAGAAGCAGACCTGTCAATGTGAGAAGGCAGGTTAAAGGAGAACACGATTCACGCTTCATATCCACTTATGATTCAAATGCTTCAAGGTTCTACTACCGTCAGATTTCACTATCAACAATTTGAATCTTAGTAAGTGGAGCAAAGCAGACCCCCTTGACATCGCACATAAGTCCGTACATGAGTCTACAAGTTGCTAAGTATGTACTCCACTAACAGTACCCTCCTCGAGATCGACTATAGTCGGCTACGTTAGCTGTAAGTAGGGTTTCATCGATCCTCAAGCTAGGGAGCATACTCTATCGAGGTCGGATTTGGATACCGGACTCCCATCGAAAAGGTCCTTGAGTCCCGGAGCTGCGGTATCAGAATTATGATTCACCACCACCCGATCGACAGCTCTGGATAGAAGCAGTTGTGGAGATCTTGCGGGTGGCAACAACTTCGCATTCATCGCCGTCCAAATTTACCTCCAAATCTGGCATTCTTGCCGCATGCGACCATTCTCTACTTTCTCAATCTCTTTGCACCAGTGATCCGGCGCCGGAAGCTCTTAGTCGAATTGCGCTTCCACGCACAAGGCTTGCTCTAGAGTGAGGCTGGCTGGCACTGCATTTTGGGGAGAAAGCCATCGTCCAGAAAGTCTTCGCCCAGGTTCTCGATGGCAAATTCCAATGTGAATCCGCCAGGAGGAGCCTCGATTGTCTCGCTCTTGCGATCGCCAGACCCGTCCGCAACCCTGCGCAAAAACTCACATGAGCGTAAGCGCGGTTGGCTGAGCAGTGATCGGCGCCAGGAGGCATCTGGGTGACCGAAACTTGGCGAGAGCGGACGGTGCAGGACGAGATCCCGCAAAAGTCGGATGTATATCGGGTGGTAGCAAGTGATATTGGCATTGGGATTGATAAATTCCTCGAAGTAGTAGCGGTATTTGGTTTGCGGTATCTTTCGGGGGTATATCGGGGCGATGGGTTTGAAGAAGAGCGCCTGCTGGATGGGGGTGGATCCATTCACGACCGCCTGCCACTGGCGGCAGACTTGCTGCACAGTGACGAGAAGATGCCTTGGTGGCAGCTCCCTGAAGATCATCTCTGCAAGCTCAGGCGTCGAGAAGACTTGATCTCTGGCAGGTGAGTCCATGGCGGTGTTGATGTCCTAGGAGATGATCAGTTGCTGTGGAAGGCATGTGCCAGACTCATAAACATACGGCTTTTGTGTCATCCTCCATCTTGCACGAGTCTGCCTTGTTGCAACCGCAATTGTGCGTGGGACGAAAGACGAGAGGGAGTGGAAGCTGTTCTGAAGTGGATTTCTTTTAGTAGGGGGTCTGTGCTGGCGCTAAGAGCAAGAACCCTGCATTCACATGTGAAGGAAGGCACGAGGCACAGCTGAATTGGAAGGAGCAATCAGGTCTTGAAGTGAAAAGTCATGAATAACAGGCCCCCTATCCAGGACCAGACGGCTCGTTGTACTTCCAGGTCCACGATCGAACAGTGCGCCAGAATAAGCTGCATCGTGGAAAGCACCAGCCAACATAGCCCCTCTCTCCTCACACGAACCCAAATTGTGGCCCTCCACCATAGTTCATTGCCGCTTGCACCACCGTCAAAACCAGCAGCCCTTGACTTCAGTCTTCCTTAACTTCCTCAGGACGTCCACATTTCCAAAGAGCCTCGCCATCCACCAAGGCGGACACATCGGCCCAAGAGAGAGCGTGGTAGAATGTGAGGGTCGGACGTCGATCGACGGAAATAGGTACATTGTGCCAAACTTGCAAGCAGGCGTCGTCGTTCCCCACAAGGCGTTTGCAGTTGACGAAGCCAATAAAATGGAATAGACCTGCAAGACCTTGCTTCGTCAAAGAAACCAACAAAATGTGGCGCTGGGCGAAGATGTAGCCGCCAAACTCTTCGCGGATCTGCTTGGACCTCACGAGAAATAGTGGCGGAAGTCTTCTGTTGTAGGGGCGTCTGAAGGGCCAGTATCCAGCGGGAGGTCCGGCATACGTGGGCATGGCCTTGGGCGATGTGTATCGTATGGGCCATGCTTGGGATGAGTGCTCGATGCAATCAGCGGCGATGTAGTCTTAGATGATGTTGCGAATATCCCCCGGCAGATCAAGAAAGCGGAAAGGGGCCGGTTGGCGCGATTTACGGCGAGAGGCTTCCGTGGAAAGGCAGTATGTCTTGAAGTCTCGACGGGTTGATGGGTGCTTTGGAGACTTGGACAGTGTCGACGGAGAGTTTGGAGATTCGATCGGATTTGAGTTCGCGCTCGATGAGACGGTCGGGCTTGCATATGATGGCGTCTGGCTGGTTCGAGCTGTGGAAGGTCGCTGTCGGCGGCGGTGTTGTGTTGGCGTGTCCGCCATTGCGGTCTCCATGATGATATTGTTGCTGTAGCAGGTAGACCGAACGGATAAAATGGAAATTCGCGTGCCCTTTAAAAAGAAGAACTGAATATAACAAAGCTCGTGATTACCTACCTTCAAGTCTCGGATGGCTGCAGGCGGGAGAGGCTCTCAGCTGCCTGTCACTGTCACTAGCTCCAGCCACACCAGGCCTCACATGATTGCAAGCGAATCTCAGCGGCAGAATGAATTCTGATGACAAAGTCTCTCGATCGATGAGGAGAGAAGATGCCAGATGGGTTAGTAAAGTGAAGACGTGAACGTCAGTGTGCCTGAGGACCGTTTTGATGCCAAGAATAGCGCGGACGCCACGACTCGTGCCGCCGACCAATGATGCCCGACGTCCAACTTGCGGACGACGCGCGATGAATTGGCAGACCAGGAAACTCCCGCTCACTCATTCACTTACCACTGGCTCCCACAGCACGCCCCTAGACCGACTTTCATATGCTCGGACCTCGACCGAATGCGCCCTTACGAAGATTCACCATTCGTCGCAGCCAAAACGCCAGCCGTCACCATAGGGCTGAAGCGGATCGACCTCCGGTAGAGATCCGCTAGGAAAAGGACTCTTGTATTCAGTAGTAAGATACATTATTGAGGGAGAGGATACACAATCAGATGCCACCGGCCAGGACACAGGCCGAGTTTGAAGCGCAGGAACAAAGAAACAAGGCAGGCTCCACCCCTCTACCTCCTTACATGTCACCCTTCGCGCCGCATGCACTATGCTGACGAGAATATCCCTCACAGCTCGCCAATTCATACCAGTCCCTCCTTAGCGAATTCTCCTCTCCCGACCTACATAGCGTTGGCAATTACTCTCTGGGCCGACTGATCGGCAAGGGCAGCTTCGGCAAGGTCTACCTCGCCCAGCACAAACTCACCAATGGATCGAAGGTCGTCCTCAAGTCCGCCAAAAAAGACGATGCCAACCTCGCGCGAGAGATCCACCACCACCGACAGTTCCTACATCCACACATCGCAAGGCTTTACGAGGTGATAGTTACCGAGAATTTGGTATGGCTGGTGTTGGAGTTTTGCCCGGGAGATGAGCTGTACAACTACTTGCTCAACCATGGTCGCATGCAGGCGGATAAGGTGCAGAAGATCTTTACACAACTGCTTGGTGCTGTGAGCTATGTACACGCAAAGGGCTGTGTACATCGAGACTTGAAGTTGGAGAACATCTTACTGGATAAGCATGAGAATGTCAAGCTGGTGGACTTCGGCTTCACGAGGGAATACCAGGGCAGCACGAGCTATTTGCAAACATGGTGTGGGACAGTATGTTACAGTGCGCCAGAGATGCTCAAGGGCGAGAAGTATGCTGGAGAGAAAGTCGACGTATGGAGTCTGGGCATCATTCTGTACGCACTCTTGTGTGGAGAGTTGCCCTTCGATGAAGACGACGATGGCGCTACCAAGGCAAGGATCTTGAAAGAGGACCCTCAGTATCCGGAGTACTTGCCAGAAGCTGCTAGAGATCTGATCAAGAAGCTTCTCTCGAAGAGGCCGCTTCTCAGACCGTCCCTCAGCGACATTTTGAAGGACCCTTGGCTTTCCGAGCATGCACCCCAGCAGCAGGAGATACTCAAGCTACAGCAACCAGCGCCATTCACAACACAACTGGAGAAGGATGTGCTCCAGCGAATGCGCAGCGCCGGAGTGGATATCGATATGGTGATTGAGCACGTTCTGGCGCAACGCTGCGACTCTTTGGCCGGCTGGTGGGCATTGTTGTTGGAAAAGGAACAGCGCAAGGAGAGAAGGAAGGAGAGAAAGCGCAAAGAACGTGAGGCCGAAGCCAAGTCAATACGAAGATTGAGCGCTGCTAGTGGCAGGCTCCTTGCTCAGAGTAACCTTGGCGAGATTCACGAGGGAGAAGAGCATGCAATCTCGAATTCTCCACGATCACGAGGGAGAAGGCTGGAGCGTGTTAATGGCAACGCTTTGCAAGCGCCAGATCTTCCGAAGGTCATGGAGACGAAATCGCCGACACCAGAAGGAGAGAAACCGAAGCCAAGTGAGATTCGAGTGTCTGACAGCAGGTCGAGAAGTAGGCCGCGACCGCCGCCGAAGGATTACTCTGGTCAAGTGGTGCGCCCTCGCAGTCATCGAGCTTCATCACGAGGCAGTCAAAGCATGCTTCGCGTTGTTACCAACAATCCCGACCTACTGAGTCCATCATATGTGCCGCCTCCACAGAGAAAGCGGCCAAAGTTTTATCCACAGCCCTTGAAGCAGCAGCTGGCATGGGTGAAGCATTTCTTCAAGGAAGGTACCATCAAGCGCAACAAGTCACCTGCCAATAGCGAGGAGAATAAGAGCAGCCAGAATACCAAGGACGTCCCAAACGGTAAGCCCGGCCAGGAGAGAGGCGATCTTCGACAACTACAGCGCACTTCGACAGCTCCTGGAAACCAGCTCAGACGTAAATCAATCGGTCAGCAACGGCCTGAACTTCAAAGCAGATCTACGGTTCCGGCACGGCCTCGTATAAATACCACATCCTCGACTGGGAGTGGTGCCAGTATCCGAGCAGGAAAACGAGCGAGTCTCAGCCCACACACTTTGACGCCGCACTCGTCCTATCGACGATCGTCAGCTGGACTTCGAGGTCGAAAGTCTACTTCATCTTCGGTCTCCTCGATTCGTAGCACGTATCAAGGTGGCCACCAGCGGACGCAGTCGAAAACGTCGAGCACGTCGAGTGCCTCGATTGCTTCACCATCCGGAATGTCGTCCACGTCAGGGTCTCGGCTCGGCAGGTCACCGCACAGTTCTGTCAAGGTTCTTCCCTCTACTCCCACCAACAGCACTTTTCCCTCTAGTGTCAGGTTCCAGAGGCGACCGCCACCGTCAGACATTGGTACCTTGCCAACATTAGGTACGGAAGCGAAGAGCGCTTTTGGATCGATGCCTCCTCCCTCGTCGCCTGGCTTACCTGTCTTCGCACGGCGAAAGCGGTCCGTCTTCAAAGGACCGATGAGCGGCTCTCCACATGGCCGAACAGCTGGCGCAAATGGCAGCAGGTCTGCCAGTGTGCAAGGTCGACCAAGTGGTGAGATGATGCCAGGTGTCGAAGAAGAAGACGAGGAAGAAGACATGGAAGAGTATGAAGAAGTCGATCACTTTGGCCCAGAGCTACAGATCACGAGTGGCGAGGCACCGTCTGAGATGGAACCTGACACAGAGCCTGTGAGTCCGCTAAGCCCGCTGCCTGGTCAGGAAGAAGAAAACCCACTGGGAGCTGCGAACTCCACTGGCAGCGTACCCCTCACGGCGGAGGCGCTCGCTAAGCTGGGTGAAGAAGAAGACAAGAAGGAGGCTCAGGAGGCTAAGAAAGACCCAGAAAAGGCAGCCTGAACCACGATTGTGATGCTGGCCGGTCCACCTGAGGGCCATCACTGCTTTTGATATTGCGTTTCCAAGCAAGCGCTGTTCTTTTCGAGGCGAAGAATATACATGTTCACTTGTAAAATTACGGCTGGAGGCGTTTTCAGGAGCGTGAGAGAGAGATTCCCCACAACATTGGGTTGGCGTTTCAGAAGACGTTCTTTAGAGGAATGTTGTTAATGTAGTGTATAGAGTGACGTTTGTCTCTTCCTGGCCTGCTCATGGCAATCATTTCCTACAGCATTCGATCAAGGGCTTCGAGCCTGGGATGCCAAGCCAACAATGCCTTTGTTGTTATTTGCATTCCTCGGCAACCACAGGGCAGTCCAACGACATTCCACCATCCAGCCTCCTGGGCCTGGAGGCGATCGCAGAAAGCTCAATCCGTCATTACCAGAGCCCACCCGACAAAGACCTCAATGTCCTCCACGGCTTGCTCCCCATCGATCGTCAATGGACCGCCCACAGACAATCAACAGGACGCCGGATCCGGCAAATACGCCACACAAAGAAGATGGCCAGACACCGCAACCATCGATATGGCCTGCGAAGGCCCGGCGAGGAGGTTTTGGGATGCTTGTCCTCTGTTCCACGACAACGAGGATTACTGTATTGGCATTTGAGAGGAAGAACAGTTATTGAAGCAAGATGGCGCCCAAACGAGGGCCAGGACGCTCGAAGAAGGCGACGACTACCACCACCACTACGACTGCGACCAGGGGCGGCGCCGTGAGAGGAGGGAGAGGAGGCAGAGGCAGAGGAGGAGCTTCTGCGAGGGGTGGTGCCACTACGAGGAGCACACGAGCGACGACAGCTACCGCGACAGCCCAGGCGAACGACACACCGGCATCTGGCCGTGTTACGAGGTCTACCGTGAACGCTGCCACGAACCCTCTCACTCAAGCCTTGGCCGATCCGCGGACTATTGAGAGGGAGGGTCGGGCTGCTGCGAGGGCGAGGGCTCAGGCTCGGACCCAGGCTCGGGCTGAAAATGAGGCGGCTCGGGCTAGGGTCGCTCGAGCGGCTGAAGCAGATGCACAGGCACGTGCACGAGCAGAAGCGGCAGCACAGGCCCAAGCAGAAGCGGCCAGGGCTGCAGCGGAACTGGAAGCAGAAGGGGTATTGGATGGAATAGAGGATGCTGCTGCGAGAGCTGCGAGAGAGGCGGCGGCGGCGGCGCAGGCAGCACGAGAGGCAGCAGCACGAGACGCCCAGCAACAACAGCAGAACGCACAGCCGGCCGGCAATGCACCACCGCCGCAAACTCCAGGCCCTGGCAGCGGATCTAATCAAGGCTCGCCTCGGCCAAGTGGACGTCCGAGTCGAGGATCTCAGCCTCCCACTTCTGCCGCCGACTCAGGGGCTACTGGACGTGCAATTCAAGGGACTGGCCCGACTACGGTTCCGGCGACGACTGGCCCTACTATAACCGGCAATGATGGTCAGTCTTCGACGCAGGCTGGGCCTTCTTCGACGCCTGAGCAGAGTGCGAAGTCGAAAGGAAAGCGCCCTCTTGAGGGGCACGGGGCTGGTGGACGCCCGCTCAAGAAAATTAGGTTGAGTCGAAAGGGCAAGCAGAACGAGACGACCACCAAGGATTATCCAGAGGATAAGCCTTTCGAGGGCTTGTCTGAACGGCTCCAAACCCTTGGGACCAACCCGCGTACACCCCTCCAGCGAGTCGTAACGTTGGGCGAGTCGCTGGAGGATGAAGTTGTCTGGCGAGCGATCGCGACCGTCACTCAAGCCGTTACGCAAACGGAGGGCGGGCCTCAATTTACGCTCCTTGAAGTCGACGCCTGGCAATTGGCCCTGGCAGGGTTTGCAGTTGGCCCAGATGTGACTCTCCGGCTGGGCAATGAGACGTTCATTCCCTGGACAATGGAAAGTAATGAGCTTGGCCACACTTCACTATTCATTTTGGGACGCAACTCCTCGCAGCAATTCACCTTGCGTCACTACGATACCGCCAACAGACTCAGGACTCATCGGAACGGATTTCGTGCCCAAGGAGATGCGATCAGGAGAACGCTACACACCCTGGGCTGGCCACAGCAAGACGCAAACTTGACAATCCCTGCAGCGACCGACACACAGCACAGAGGCAGACAGACACGGGGCGCAGGCTGGGTGTGTGGAATCTACGTGACCCTGTTTTCCTGGTGTCATGCTCTCGGTCTGGATTTTTCTGGATTCAGGGAAATTCCCGGCGGAACAGCCAGAGTGAACTCCTTCCACAACCAAGCCGTTCAATTGATCACCCTAGCGCTGAATGGCCTCTTGGACCACGAGACCCTCCGAGCGTTCTTGCGGTGCTACAGGTTCGTACCTCATGACGCTCAGATCCCGGCAAACCGACGTTTCGGACGCACCGTTACGCTGCGGAACGAAGGGGACATCCCGAGGTACATTGCCGCCACGAATCGGTTCCTGCAGGTCTTCAGGGGCTTTGGCTCGGAGCTCTTAAACGGAGCTTTACCGGAAAGATTCCTGCGAGAGATCACGGCGTTGTATCCCGACGCTTGGATGCAATGGACTGCGGAAGACTTTTTCGATTTTCTGAATGAGGAAGTTGAACATTTGCATGGACCACTCCATAAAAGAACAGACAGGGGCTCTGGCGGTGGTCCTGGCCCTTCTTCCGGTGGCGGTTCTGGTGCTGGGGGCGGGTCCAATGCTCAGGGGAAACGCCCAGAGGGCAGTAAAGATGGCGAGAATCGCAACGGCGAGAAAGATGGCAGCCCTGGGAAGAATGGCTCTAGCGCCAACAAGAAAAGAAAACAAAAGGAAGGCGGCCAGCAGAATTGCCAAGATGCTCCTCCGCAAGAGGAACCAGATCCATGTCAGAGATTCAGTGATGCTTTGCAGCAAATAGCAGCTGCCAACACGCCAATACACATCGAGAATCCTGCTCGGGTTAACGTCTTGTTGGAAGATGATACTGTGTTCAGGGCTATCGCTGCCGTCACTGAAGCTGTGTCTGAACGTGGTACGGTCCGCTTCTCCATTTTTGACAGCATCGACATCCAACGAGCAGACCGAACCGCAAGTGTCGAGGTCAGCCAGCGGCTTGCCAGGCCAAGAAATGATGTGCTCGTTGCGTACGTTCCAACCCAACGTCATGTATCACTGTTCGCTTTTACTAGGACGGAGAACGACAACTTCGATGCGGTACATTACGATAGTGCTGCCAACGCTGGCCATCGCGCAAATTTGGGCAATACCGTCGCAGGCGTTACACATACACTGAACCGTCTGGATTGGCTTAGAGTGCGAGGCCAAGGACGTCGGTATGGAAGACCTGCATCTATCACGGGCATCGAAACTGCTCAACAAATGGATGCGACGTCATGCGGTATGCATGCCATTCTAAATGCTTGGACAATAGCGCTAGGCTTGCAGCTATCTCAACAGAACACGATGACCCACGGCAGATATATGACTGACTTCCGCCCGAACGCAGCGAGGCTCATCAACTATGCCTTGGAGGGCCGCGTGGACAGCGGTACCATTGAAGCATTCCTCAGGTGTTATGGCTACATTACCGGGGGAGCCACTGTGCCAGCAGAGCGTACCTTCGACAGAACCGTTGCACTGCCCAGAACAATCGACCTTGGCGATCGTGTGGCTCGGGTCCGGATCCAGGATGGACTTGATGCGTATGAATCGGATCATCCTGGTGTGCTCTGGTACCGAAACCTCGATGAACTTCTGCAGTTTTTGGGAGAAGATCAAAACCGTGATCTGGGTCTGGCGGGATACACTGCTCAACAGTTCATAGATTTGGTCAGACACGAGCAGACTGCGCGACTTGAGTCGCTCCGAGCAGGACCAATCTTGGGCACCCCACCGCCGAGGACGGGCCCAGCACGCGAGCCGCCATCAGTTGAGCAAAGGTACAGAGATGCCATAGCAGCAGGTGTGCCTGACGAATTCATCCAAGACGCCCGGGAACGGGACCGTCTCAAAAGAGAGGATCCGGACCTGGCTCGAGCATTAGACGAGGCAGCAAGATCAGGTACGTAGTCTCCAAGTATGCTTATTGGATCTGTCTGACGGACATTGGGAAAACACAGAGCTAACACGAGGGCCTCAGCGGCAAGCAAGAAACGAAAGCGATCAGAATCAAGATCACCCCGGACCTTCCGGAGACACAAGTGATCCAAGTCAGACGAATGGAGCACACCAGGCCGTTGAGAACCCAGCAAGCCAGGTGGACGGGGCCCAGTCGAGGAATCAGGCTGCCAACCAGACTGCTGAATATTCCAATGGTAGAAATCAGACCGATAGTGCAGATGACCCTACTGCTCCTCAACCAGGCCAGAACGACGAGGGCCAGTCGACGACTACAGCTGCCAACCAAGCTCCTGAAGACACAAATCAGTCCAGGGGCACAGCCATAGGCCAGGCTGCTGAAACACACCCCGATCAGACAGCCCCGGCTAATTCGACAACGCCGTCTATCAACCAAACTGTAGGCGATAATCCAGACCCAATTGCAACACAGTATGCGCCTCTCATACAGAGGCTTGTGGGCGAGTATCTCCAAGACCCGGATGGCCGGGCTCTGGTGCCTCCGCCCATGAGGCTGATGACCCGAATTCTGGCATGGCAGCCGACCCTCGACGATCCTATCCTCGTAGCACGCATCGCAGAGCTTGCGATACACCGATGGCGGGCGAGAAATCCCAACGATCTGACGATACGGCACCGGGAGACAATTTTTACCATCGGGCCACCAACCCTTCTCCAACGGGCACGCGAAGCCCTTCACCGTCACAGGCGAGGCGATCGACCCAGGCGGGATGATGTATTACCACCTCCTATTCCTCCAATGGACGATCAGGCTAATCTCCAGCACGGCTCTGATGTGAGACACCCCGATGCAGTTGCTGCCGGTCTCCAGGCTCAGAATGTGCGCGAGTGGCGTCGTGGGCCACGGCGACCGGACCGCGCAGGTCGATCGCAGCCAGAGGGACTGCAGACTTTAGTGAATAGACTGCATGGATCGCATGCTACCCGGCCCCAACTCGAGGCTGCCGCTGAGGGCGACACGGAGTCCTCTGACGACGATACTAGGGACTACGACGACTCTGACGATTCTGACGATTCTGACGACTCTGACGACTCTGACGATTCTGACGACTCCGAGGAAGCACGCAGGGCGGCAGCACATCGTGAGCGTAGACGTGCAGAGCGAGAAGCGCGACGCCTTCGCGCGGAAGAAGCGGAAGAACTCGACCTCGACGATCTGGATCTGATTGGAGCTATCCCTGAAGCACCTCGCACGCGCTACGAAGTCCGAGTTCATCGAGAAGCTATTCTTCGCAATCGCCGCCTGACTTCCCCAGATGATGACGAGGAGGATGACCTTGACGAGCTCGATGCAATCGGGGCCACTCTACCTGAAACACGTCGTAGAGGAACAACTCGAAGGTCGCCGCAGACAGTCCAAGCGGATGGAAGGCATTCAGAGACTAGCCCTGAAGCCTCAGCACGCCCAGATGTACGACCTGGCCGATCAAATGCACCGTCACCTCCCAACAGAAGGCAAGACCGTAAACCGCGTGGGACCAATGCTCGGACAGCTCGTTGGCCACCGCCAGAAGGGCGAGAGCCTTCACCGCTTCCACCCAGAGAACAGAATCGTACACCTCGCTCGGCTCATGGTTGGACAACTTTTGGGCCGCCACCACAGGGGCTAGAAGGTGCACCGCCTCCACCCAGGCAGTCTAATCGTACACCTCGTGTGCCGCGCGATGCAGATCAGACCCAGCGATTGCCAAGACTTGAAGACGTCGCTAGTCTTATTCGTGTGCGATACAGTGATCTATCCGGTCTTCCTGCGCCAAATGATGAGGATCGAAGGCGTGTGGAATGGTTTGAGGGCCGTGAACGTCAGGGGCAGCAGCAGCCAGCGGCTCCGAGTACACCAACGGCTCAAGTACAATCAGAGAGCGTTCAAGGCGATGTCACAAGTCAACAGGAGGGGACAGATATCTCCCCCTTGACATTCCTGGAGCAACTTGTGGACCTCACACCAGGCATGTATTCCCCGCAGGCGCCTGCTTCTGTCAACGATGCTCCGACTCCAACACCAGCTGCGCCGGAGGCACTACCCGATAGTGCCGACGGAGAAGATGTCGATAGCTTGTTTGGAGAGCCATCGGACGACGTTTTCGCTCACTTCGTCCAGGTCCCGCCAGAGCCCTGCCCGCCTGTCAAGCGCTTGCCACTTGCGCTGCCTAGTCTGCCAACTCCAAAAGCAATGCTGGAGAAGCCAATGTTGAAACCATCGACTGAGTTGGACTACTCGAAGCTCTTGGAAAAGATCCTCGATGATCCTGCATTCTATCCCGTGAAAGAGGTCTCACCAAGGCATGTCATCGAAGAGCAAGAAGAGGAACAAGCGAACGAGCCGATGGATGTCGATGAGGACGATGTTGAAATGGAAGAGGCGCTTTTGCAGGAACTCGAGAAGCCAGATGAGGACATGGCGGAAGTCGACAATGCTGATGTCGTGTCCACGACGAGTAGTGCAAGAAGGCTGATTGATGTCTTCACAGGTCGTCCAGTGGGTGAAGAGGAAGAGACCGAGAGGCGCGACAGCTATCGCGACCAGCAGCGAGAGCAGGAAGAGTGGCGTGGAAGTCATCCGCACCATCATCGACGGTCGCAATAATGACATTTCGGAATTTGTTTTATGTTTGATGGAACTTTGTGGGATTACGAATGCATGGAGTGGAGTTTGATATATCTTGAAAGCACTTTGACATTACCCTTACTACTTTCACCGTCTCATGTCTGACTACAGAATGTTTGACCAATCGATCGCCTCGAACGACTCTCTGATACTGCTGCGTTTCACGCTCGTATGTGTCTTCACAGACTATACGCACTGTCAGCTCATGATCCGCAATTCATTCAGCGAAGCAACTTACCTCTCCTGCCTTGATCGCCGATGCATCCTCCCTACCAATGCCCAAATCTGCCGTCCATTTCATCAACTGGCCGACATGCCTCATCAATCCAGTCGGCTCTACGCTTGCATATTCCTCCAGAGAGATATGTTGAATTTCGATCTCGACGTCTAGCTTCTCACCCATGATCGTTACGACGTCCTGAGTACTCATCTCGCCACCCACAGCCTCGACCGTGACATCTCCATCGACTCTCAGCAATGCACCAACCCAGCTGCCGGCGTCCTGGGCGAGGTTGATCCATGGGATCGGAGAAGCCGGATTCCATGGGATGCGGACGGTGTACTTCTTGTCAGTGCCTGTTGGTTTCGTCCATCCGATTACCTGTGGAAATCTGACGAAGCTCTCAGTGAAGACTGCCAGGTACACTGCATTCACTTTCCCCTTCAGAGCAGGCAGACTACGCATATATCGGAGGACCTCCGCTTTCGACGCCATTTCATAATTGTCATACTCGCACCCAGCAAGCGTCTTCGAATCAGGGGTAGAGCTCCAGATCAATTTCTCCAGCGTCGGAATTTGCGCCGCTGCATCAGCTACATTCTCGCCTTGCCTCACTTCCAGCGCCCCAGCTGCATCCGGCAGAGACTTTTCCTTGCCAGATTCCCACGCTTCTATGGCTTCCTTGGCTTGGACGGCGCCTGCTGAGTCGGTGTATGCGTAGATTGCTGAAGCTCCTTGGAAGGCTGCGATGAGGGAGTCGATGTCAGTGAGCTCGGCTTGGACCATTCCGATGCCTTTGGCTGAAAGGCTTTTGGCTTTGGCTGAGTCGACATTACGAGTTGTGCCGCGGATACGATAGGAGGGCTCGTGCTCCAAGAAGTGGTTGATGACTGCAGAGCCTTGCGAGCCAGTGGCAGCTAGGACAACGAGGAGCTTCTTCTCAGTTGCCATGGTCTTTCTCGTGTTCTCGTGATACGACCAAGGAGCTGATCGGACAGGTTGTGCGTACTTCCTTCCTTGTTCATACGCCACCCTCCTCCTTATAAGCCAGCGCTGAACATCAGCATCTTCGAGCATCTCGCGTTCCGCTTAGCAATGTCCTCGATCAACTCTTGGCATCATGACGAGGAGCTGAGGGCATTGTACCAAAAGATGACGGAGGTGCAGAGCCCACGGCCAATGAGATATACCACTCCGCAAGGCTGCGGCGTCCGGCTTTCGGATTCGGCGTTCCAAGGCCGGGACTACGTTACTTGACCTTGTCAATGCCGGAGGCTTGTTTCTAAAGATGCGAATGAGGTGCGAGAATCGCTGATGTTCATTAGAAAGCATGCGGGTATTCCTTGGTTAGACGGCTATGTGAGCCCTGTTATGTGTATGTGGGTCTCGTCTCGAAAGCGACTAGCCTGGTGATGTGAAGGATTATGCCAAGGGTTGGCATGTGCAATGATAGCGCCACATTGTCAGGATACATGCAAGTCAAGGAGAAGCGAGAGGAACTGCAAGTACTAGAGATTCCCTCGCCGCGAGTTTTATATCTACACTCCTTTACACTTCGTTCAATGCCTCTGGTAAAGTCGCATCGTCTTGCCAATGCAATCTCCAATTCTCAATTCACTTCAACGTTATAATCTCACTTGGAACTTTTGGTATGAGATCCTGCCATCCAACTTCGCTGACAAGCAGAATGCAAGTATCTTCCAGCCCTCTCATCTTCTCCTGGTTCAACTCCTGATAGATGTCTGTTGAAAGCATATATGCATAGTGCCACACGCTATCCTACTGCACCAGGTTGGCGTCATCCCATCCTCCTTCTCCAACGTCTTCGCGATCGCCAGTCATACTCAGCTTGTCCTTTACAGGACCCGTGAAATTGATCTCAGCCCCAGCATCGGGACCAAACCTGTCTTTGAAGCCGTTCATGTATGAATCATGGACCGCACGGTCTCCTTTGGCGTACTTGAAGAGGTTGAAGAAACAGAGTGGTCGTCCACGAACAGCTTCTGGTTCGGCCGTGGAGAGGAATAGAGTCATTCTTTCATCAAGGTACAGCTTGCCCGGTCTAAGTTCTTCGGACTTGGAGCCCACAATGGCCTCATCGGGAAACTTGTAATTCATCTCTGCAGAAGTCGTCTCTCGCCACGCAGGCGGCAGAGCAGGTGTCTTCGAATTCGCTTTTGGCATATCGTCCTGCGAGAACCCAGTGACTTCATTCCGCTTGGCCTTCTCCTCAAGAGCATCTACCTGCTTCTTCGGAATCGAGACGGGAATCGAGACGTGTTTCTCCACAAACTGCGCGACATAGCCGCCATGGTAGAGTTCCGGGTGTCTCGTCAGGAAGAAACAGTTTCAGCTCTCTGAAGTGAGAAGGTCCTTATTCAAATTATGCGGATTGTGCACCCAGCCGTATGGAATGCTACGAATGAGAAAGCCAGGTAAATCGTTGGTCTGGATCGTAGAGATGATGGTTGACAGCTCGGGTTTGGCGCTCTGTTTGAGGGAGACGAGATGGACGTACATTCGGTTATATCGCTCATTGTGGCAAATGACTGTTACTGAAGAGAGGTATCTCCTCAAGGTATGACTGCATTAAAGGTCAGTGTCCATCGAGGTGGAGCAAGCTCGGCCGAGCGGATCATAGCCGAGACCTCAACGAAGGATCCAAAAGGGGTGAGGTACCAGATATGAGCATTCGTGCAGGCTGGAACTTGGATCTCCAGGGACTGGCGACGCCATCATGTGCATAGCCACCAGCAGGGTGGTGATGGAATACGTCCATGGGTAGGGACGGTGATGTCGAGACGATCTTGACGGTCTCAGATTTGTGCCGCTAGTATGGAAATTGCGCAGCAGCCTGGTCGACCAACACTCACTCATACATTGGGCTACAAGGGCGATGAGGCCAACAGGAAGTTGTTTATGTTATGGTTTCGACATGCTCACAAGAAATCAAATCAGCGACTCACACCGTTAGATCTCGTAATTTGATATCAGAACTTGTTCTCGTCCACTCATCACTCTTCCTTCTACCTTAATTCCAGTAGATCTTATAGCTCAAGCCGCCTTGGCTTCGTCTACTTTGCTGATGTGTGAGACGAAACACCACTTCCCATCGACTTTACGACAGCTATACGTCGCATGCTGCCGATCATGTAAAGTACCCTTCACCGTATGCCGAAGTGTCGTCTCAATCGTCGCCAGCCTTTCGCCGAAGAAAGTGACTTCTGATGTATCGATGGTTGTTTTATCAACGCCAGTGGATGGACCGAACTCGGTGCTGTATAACTTCTCAAGCTCTGCTGGGTCTTTGACTATTTTGCGGACTGTATCAGGGCCGCCGAAGTCGACTGTAAATTGTGCTGGAAGAGACCAGAATTCTGTGAGGCGTTGCAGTTGTCCGCTTTGGCATGCATCGCAGTATTCGCGGTAACGTGTTTCGATTGACGTTTTGTCGGCTGCTTGAGAAGTCATGTTGTGATTGGATCGTTGCTGACAATTTCTTTCCATCGACTTGATCGTTTCTGGGGCCAGTGTTCTCTATTATATAGTTTAGAGAATTGACTTTGAAGCTTCTAAGCAAGCTGTCGACGCCGACGTATTCCGACAACACAAGCTCTTCATTGTCGGGCGTTGAGCCCCACCGAGCTCTTCAACATTGCTATAGTTTCAAATGCGTCGAGCTGAAGCCTACATTTTGGAATAGGGGGCACTCAAAGTTGTCCTGACCCATGAAGCAAGAAGACAGCCTTGAGCCCCATAACAAAGTTGGGATAAGGACAAGTTCTCTGCAAAAGTCCAAATGCCTGTTTATGAGCCCAGATATATGACACGATGGAGGGCTGCTCGGTAGAATGGTTCATTCATGATTTTACATGACTTCCTTTGTAACTTCTCTCAACCATTTCATCATCGATATCCTAGTCCAACTGTGAAAAGATTGATAAATCTGCAAGAATGATGTACCGGGCTCTCACTCTCACAAACAGAATGCTCTTCTTCGCTCCTTGAAATGCTCCCAGCTGTTCTTCAACCGTTCAGATCAGCTTCCTCATCGGAACTCGATATCGTATTGCGAAAGGGTGAAAAGATGAACGAACCGTAGCGTGACTTGCACTACTCCAGAATATCCCTGCGATCAAGCCATCCTGTTGTTGGTTCATCGCCCAAATCCTCGTGGAGGGTTTTTGTCGATCTTGGTGATACTTCACCAACTGCCCTGGCTGTCGGCCACCCCGATGCTGGGGCATCCGCCACATCGTCGTGGATTGATCTTGACACTCTTGATGAGGCATCAACCGCTGCATGGGATGTAGGCCATCCTGTGGACGGGATCTCGCTCACATCCTTCTGGGTGGGAGTTGTTGATCTTGTTGCCGGCAGGCTGAGAGGAGCAGCGAAAGCCAATGGAAGGAGAAGTCCCAGGCTGAACACGTGTTTGAACATACTTTGACTGATTGTGTTTGTAGTGTTAGTCGACAAGTTGCGCTTGTGTTCTGTGGACGCTTGAGATGAGCATTTACCTGTGGGAGGGAAACAGTTCATTTCTTATATAGCCCGTGATGGACGGACAGTGTTGTATCCCAACGTCTCTGTGAATGCCCTGTCTATGAAAACTAAGTGGCACCGTTACTGTCACTACTGTAGCTGAGACGACAATGTCACCTATGCGGAGCTAATTGAGGCATGCTGATCATTTCAAGTGAAGAGGCTTTAGGCGACGTCCAATCCCATGATTCACAGTGACGGCTCACTATCGCCATTCGGTTTGAACTTGTCGTAAGAGGAAGGTGAAGATCTGCTTGGAGTGACTAGACAATATCAAAACGACATTAAAGCCACCATGGCTTGGGCCGGTTCATGGCTAATGCATAGTCAGCCTGAAAGACATGCTATGCGTCTGACAAGTCGGAGCGTAGCTCCATCATGACCGTTATGACTTCCGTCTCCGTGTCACTGCCGCGAATACAGGCAGTCCTCCAAGTGAATAGACGCTCAGCTCGAGTGTGATAACGCTTATTTCAGTGCTATGCGACGAATGGGACGTCTGTACCACGATTGCAGCGGAGCAGGATCATTTTCGGACTTCACTAGATAGTCCATATATGACGAAGGATGGCATTGTTTCTCTACATATCAGGATCCAATACAGATTACAAAATGACCAATGCATTGCCCCTGGAACTATAAGACCGACGACGACTGACACTGGCTGACCAATGGAGCCTAATAGGTCACCTCAGTACAATGAAATGGCACGTGTGGATATAGAGATCAACGAATGGGTACGTCTTCGAAACCAGCCTTCAAGCGTATGCAGGCTCACCATAGGGACTTATGCAGAGTCATCATATGCCACACTGCAGTGAAGGCCGTGTCGGGGCCGCGTCGGGGCCGCAGCGATCCTGCCCTCGCATCATTTTCCAAATATCCAGTCACCAGCGCCAGGGCCGGAACTAACCCGTAGCGCCTTGTGAAACTCGTAGCTAGCATGTGAGTATAAACGTATGCGAAAGAAGACCCATGTTGCCTCGCGAACGTGGTCGCTCATGAGGGTTGCTGACGGCATGGGAAAGGGATGGACAAGTTTGCTTCCAAGCTACGTCTGGCCTCAAGGCTGTATGCGACGGACATCCTTTTCCTACAATTTCTCGATACTGCTGGGATATTGAGAGTTAACCAGGTCTGGGTAGACATTCATTAATCTATCATATATCAAGGGTCGACTTGCTCTAGCTAAAACGAATCTACGCAGCCTTCTCATCCTCAGCAACACGATCATCTCTTGCTTTAGCCTCCACGCCCTCTCGATCCAGAATCAACGTTTTGTGATAAGGCATGATCGTCGAGACTTTTGGGACAGGATCCTCTTTGGTCCATCGATCCAAAAATCTCATCGACGCATCCGTTGGCACGGCCATCAATGGAGTGAGAACACTAGCCACGAGGAACAGCACTGTATAGCTGAGGATCAACGTCAGCAGCAAGCAGGCCCAATATGGCAAACCGACTTTCCACAGCCCAACGCAAACAGCAGATCCGAATGCCCAGAAGATAAAGCCGTGGAAGAGGTACACAGTCATGATGTGTGGATGTAGCCACAAGATCATCTTGATCGACAGGAAAGCCTGGACCCAAGTCGACAGCTCCACAAGGATTTGAAGGCCAATTGAGAACGCCAGGATGGTGAATGTCGGGATATAGTAGTCTGGATATTCGACTCCTCGTGCCTGAACGATTGGGAGGCCTGTCTCGAAATCGGGATGAATGCTGTTCTCGCGGGTATCGAATGACCAATCGCCGTTGAAGACTGCCGCAAGTGGTGCTCCAGCTGCTCCCACGAATGCGGCTGTCATGATCAAATATTTGACGACCTTGTGGGATTCGAGATACTTCTTCCACTTGAAAGTGGCGTCAAGATCTGACAGTGCCAGACCGCACCAATGGCAAGCGCTCCAACTCTACGTGAGGGTCAGTCACAAGGCTTCTTCGAATATTGCAGAAGAGGAACTTACTCTAGCGTACCAACCACATGTGATGATGAATGCGTAAAAGCAGGCGCGTTTCCAGGGCGTTTTGACTGAGCGTACAAGCACAGCGCCGATGAGAACAACGTAAGTGAACTGTAGTTGGATAGGCACCGTCCAAAGCACACCGATGCACTCCGTAACGTCAGCTCTTGGTCATATGCATAGTAATCTTACAAAATACTCACATAGTGGGAGACTACCTCCGGGATGGCGTTTGGCATGAGGTACGCCAGCTGGAACAAGTCGTTCAAGTAGACACCAAAGTTCGGTGCTGGGACGACGTACGGCCAAGTAGAATAGCCAACTGATGGCAGTAGCTGCAAGGCCGTAGTCAAGCCCATCTCCATAAGAAAGTACTCCAGGGTATAGATAATAATGATCGGGACGAACAGACGCGGTCCTCGACGCAGAAGCTTCTTCGCGATATCTTCCAGGTTGCCATTTTTGAGGTAGTTGGTTGATAAGAAACGAGTTGCAGTCAAGAAGAAAGGTCCGATCCAGAGCTGAGTTATGGCAAACGCTCCAATGAAGATGTTAGCCCACTTCTCGACCTTGGGCCAGTGTGCTGTAGAGCCGTAGCCGTTGATAATCCATGGCCAGAAGGTCTGGCAGAAATGACGCAACGTGACACCAATACAGGCAACGGCAACAAGTCCAGCAAGGTAATCGATACGCTTCTTAGGGGCGGCATTGGCTGGTAGAGTTGCGACGACGGCGCCAGTCACTGGTTCGACTTTGTCCTCCGGCTTTACGGGCAGATGTATATGCTCCATGACAGGGGGAAGCTTCTCCGTAAGAGGGTCCGAGGGAACTGAGAATACCTGAGCACTAATGCCTTTGCCTTTCTCGGTGACAGAGAGACTGGTTTGACCCTTCTCATCAAGGGTGGAATGACGGACCACTTGAGATGCCGGCTCCACCACCATCGAATCACGCTCAGGAATGCGTGGAAGTACACTCACTTCATCTGTACCGTTAGCCCTGGAGCGAAGACTTCCCAGGCTTCCAACGTCCTTCAACTCCGCAGCTGATGAGGTGTGGTGCAGGCCAGATGAGCTCGAGACTTCGGCTGCGGAGACCAGGGCGGTCTGAGAAGCGTATGCCGGTGCTGGTGTCTGAGTTCCGGAGCTGTATCCCGGCAGTGGAGTGGCATAGCCACTATCAGGGCCCTGTGAGTGTTCCCCTGAAGGCACTCGTAGTTCCTCGCTGGATCTGCTCTCTGAGCTGACGGAGCCCTTGGAGTTCCTTTTGAAAAGCGTCCGGTAGATCTTACGCAACGGAGACCGGCGCATAAAGACGTTGACCAGCGCTAGAACGCCCAGTGTGCTGCACGCAGCAGCAACGATACCGGCGAGAGTGCGAATCGCACTGCGGTCAAAATGCTGCTCCCATTTGACAGTCGATGCTGGCGAGTAATAGCTTGAATTTCGAAGGGTGATGTCTGATGTCAAACATCTCGGCAGTCCAGTGCAACGATCGTCATACGTTTTGTGATCATTGGCTGTCATGGTACTGGAGTTGAAGAATGCTCTCACATACAGCACATGGCCTCTCGTTGCGTTGCCACTTGGGGGTCCTTCCATGTACGTTTTATCGCCGGTACTCCAGGACTTCAGCTCCAATGCCGTACCTGCGGCTGGCACGCTCCTGTCGTCTTTCGTCGCCGACCGAGTTCGAACATTGTTGATCCAGAAGTCTACGTTCGTTTCGTTCCAGTCCATGCGAACGTCGACAAAGGATGCCCAAGGGTTGATTCCCGTGGAGTTAATTTCAGTGTAATTCGTGGTCGAATTATCGTCAAACGACGGCCATTCGCCGTTGACGAGATTCGTGGCATACGCATCCCTTCGATGATCCATATTCAGAAAGTCTACTTGAAGGCCCTGCGAGGCGTTGTACGCGACACCCATTGTCAGAGCAGTCCCGCCAGCCCCTGGAGCAACTGACTTCATGCTGGCTCTGAAAGAGCCAAATTGAATATCGCGCCTGAGAGTCTGAAGTTTCCCTCCGTAGACGACGTGATCTGCGGTGCCTGGATCGGTAATGAGCTCCAGAGCCGGCACTTCGAAGTTGGCAGATTGATTGGCGTGCCAGACACCAGAGTCGTTCGATAATCGGACATTTTGGGGCTTTGCGCCTTCTCGAAAGATTGTGTTCCAGCCATGTTGAGTCCTGTGAGCGAAGTCCTGAGCAGCAAATATGGTCGAGTCGATCGATGAGGTCTCATTGAAATAGGCGATTAGTGTATCAGTGTAGATGCTGTTTGTGTCCGGATCCAAGAATCCGCAGCTACAATACGTTTCCTGAGCGCCTGCTTGCTGTAGGAAGATTCGCAGCAATACGACCAGGCAAAGTGTAGTTCTCATGGCCGCTTGAACGCTGCCAAAGGCCAGCAAAGACTAACAGAGCGTCCTTCAGCTTGATGCCGGCCAGAGGCAGAGGTGAATGAGGCGCGGTTTGAGATGTTAGATGGAGTCAAAGGTTTGAACACCGGGAAATACATCGCGTCATTTGCGTTGTGCTGGCGATCGGCAGGTCGATACACTTCAGCACGGTCGCGAGGCTGTCGAAGTTTCCAATTCAACCGCTAGCGGGGACACCCCAAGCGCCAACGTCGTTGATCACAGTCGTTGAGCGCCTAACGATAACGGATGGGAACGCGTTGGACAGATTTCGGTATCTATCGGCGTAGCCGACTTCAGCGGTCTCCGGTGACGAACACATCATGTCCACAGGAATGATCCGAGCGAGCAAATAGCACCCCTGCATCGATCAAGTCAGCAACATGGAAGAGGCGCGCTACTGCTTAACTCATGGAAATGTGGGCGAAAGTTTGGTGCTTCATCACGCCAGAAAAAAGCAAAGTGTTGTGCTCGAGCCGTCAAAACCATCATCGTATGCTAGCAGGGAGTGAACGTTTCCGTTATGCTTGATCTCCTGTCTCTACGGGATCTCAGGCGCACCGCAGTGTTGCCTCGTATATCCACCCGAAGAGCAGGGTGTTATCGCTGGTCAGTCGAGATAACGTTACATGGCCGGGCAAGACAGAACAGGAACAAGGCCGATATCTTGTGCCAAATAGAGACAACTCGGGAATGGAGACGCTGGATCGAGCCGGCGCAGGAACTTAAACGGGGAGGTTAAAAAAGCTTTGTGGCGGTAGATAAAGCTTTGTGGCTGCAATTTGAACTAATGCATACGGGTCCGGCCGTCACAGTCGGTACCAGCCTGATCATCTTCGGCGCTCTTCGTTGCCGTAGATCTTTACCCGACCCGGCAAGTGATAATACGCCACCATGCCATAATTTCCGGCCGCTAGAGAAGCCCAGAATCCCACAGCCGCGCGATGATTCAGGCTCGTGCAGTTGGAATTCGATGAAGCACGGCATCACCACATCGCCATCGTTGTCAATAGCTGGTGGCCTTGCATACTTGAGTGCATATTTTTTGATAACAAAATGACGCGAGTTATTAGTGCAATTGGCATTGACATGTGATCGCATTCTCGCCAAAACGCCAGTACCAAAGTTCCACGAGGCCGCCAAAAGTCACAATAAGTCAGCTTGTTACCCAGTAGTAGCCAGCAGTGGCGAGCCATTGAGATGGTACATCCACAACGCGGTAGAATGCCTCTCCAAACAAGATCACAGCCACGAGGGTTGTGATAAATACTGCCAAATTCGCCAAAGCCACCGATGTACCATTGGCCATGTGCAGGTGGATCCAGAGCTTTATGCCTGCACTCCACATCAACAAACTCTGAGCGACAAACAAGCCTTCAAATTTTTGTTAGCACTGTCGTCGATATTTGTTTCGAACACTCACTGAAAGATCGTCTGCCCAACGATACGAGCCATGGTCCAGACAGGACATTTCGCGCTTTGGGCATAGTTTCCACGATCAAGAGTAGCCCGAAGATGACGAAGAAGTCGTCCACTCGAGGATATGGATCCGCTGCCGCGAATTGACGACGAGTCGTCTGCTCCGACAGATCCAAGTAGGGATGCAGCACAAGCTCCCCGTCAATATATCGTGGGAACACCGCCCAAACATATTTCATTGCTAAGCCGATGGGGATCATCAAGAACCCTATGAGCGGGTAGTGAACTTTCCAATTCCTCTTCTCACTCAAGGTCAGACCGGATGCCAGTTTCGATGCCAGACTTGGGTTGATGGTAACGTCTGCGATGAGCAACGCACAGGCACTGTACCATCCCCAAGAGCACATCCAAAATGCTCCAATTGTGAAGAGAGCCAGTACCTGCACGTGCCACTGAGGTCGTCCAAATGGCAGAAGGACCATCAGGAAGTAGACCGTCCAGCTTTGGTTGTACAACAAGCTCACTCTGCCAAGCGTACTAGTAGGCCAGAAAGCATTTGCCGCTTGGGAGTCGTACTGGCGAACGACCCAGAACATATCGAAGACTGCATTGAATCCTTGCAGTGCAGTCTTCGGGACGCCAGGCGAGTTGATCGAGTGATTCGGTAGTGTCTGCTTGAAGGTCGCGATGTATTTCGTTCCAAGGCCAGCGAAAATTCCATATGTGATGAAGAGAGCGGCTCCACTTGCGACAACGAGTCTAATGGATCTCCTGATGATGGCTCCAGCGAATTTGTCCGCTGTCGGATCTTTCAAGAATCGAACGCATATGGCTCGAGCACTGAGAACAAAAAAGAACGAGCTGATCAGACTTTCATCCCATAGTACCGTCCCAAAGACAATCCGCAGAACGCGTTGATACCCTGGTCCTGCTGTACTATGCGTAGCTACAGCTGGGATGAACGTTTCGAAGAAAATCCACAAGAAGCTGGAGATGGCCAGGATTCCTCGCAGTCCAAAAATGTGGTGGTCCTTTTCGAACGAGGAAGTCGCTTTGGATACTAGCTTCGGGCTTGCGTTCATTGTCGTCGCCAGACTCCTCAGGCTCTCCAGAATTGGCGCTGGCATGTGTGTGATCGTGAAGACGTCGTGAGATCTCGAGGCTCGCAAAGGTCGACGGTGATGAATACGTTACCAGGGCGCTGGAGATCCTGCAACGAAGCGGGTGGAGTGGTTCGGGCACCTTGACACAAGGACACACGCCTCACACGCATGACAGAGCAGTACCACATCTCCATATCCGGCAGGAGCACCCCAGTTCGGCCGATTGAGACATCGTTCCGAAGAGAGTGTATCAAAATGCGGACATGATCGGCTCCAACCGAAGTTCTTCCCCCGAAACACTAGCAGGGCCTAACGTTAGTGATCCATCCCGTGCAAGGTTCAACGCATGTCTCCTGCATTGGCATTCGCTGCTGGTACTATTTCGTCAGGCCGCCGACTTTGCACGATAATGCTAGTGCCGAGACGCTCGGCCGACTCATGGACGTGCAGCGGTTTGGCGTCTAGCCATCCGAACCTTGTTCAAAGCTTATCACTGTTCCTTCAGCCTTGGGACATCTCCTTGTTCAGGCCCATCTTCTTTGACATTTGACATTTTCTTCGCTTCGGATAACGTTGCAGCCGGCCTTTGTCACAATGGGGTTGTGGAGCCCTCAGAATCCGCATGGGCACATGTGCGTTGAGGAGTATTCACTTCACACTGGTGCACATGGCGTCAAGACTTACGGCGAAACGTCAACGGATGGTGGGTTCGTCAGCGCTCGAAATGCATCTCCCGTAACAGTTTGCCGACAGCACGACCGCCTGAGTTTGGGACAGTGGCACCTCGGCGTAGCACTGTAGCAGGCCTCCATCAAATGGTGCTTCATGATCTCCAACACTATCTCGGAGACTGGCGAGAGCGACTAAGATCGACAAGCACTGACAACACGAAAAGACCGGGGAGTTCCTAGCCTGCCATCGGCTACACACCATAAGTCTTGGAAACTGCTTATCTGAGAATCATCAATTTTCTTCTCAACTACAGTAGTGTCTCCGAGTTTCAGCCACTCCCAGAGCCTGACGAGTTGTTGTTGAGCCCACGATCGAATGGGACCCTGGAGCTCGGGCAGATGTGATCGGCGAACTGATTTGGATGCCTACCAGAGAATTTCAAGCACGAAAGATGTAACAATTTGTGACACTGGCATACATGTTACCTTGAATCGTCCCTCTCGCTACTGGTCAGTTGATCTTCCATTCCTTTCCCTCAAACCATGTCGTCGAAGGCTTCCTCGGACGAGCCTGATCAGATCAGGACGAGTGAAAGAGATCTGGTCCAACACTCTTCGTTCTCTTCGACACATATATTCCCAAAACAACCAGTATGGCGGCGGGCTGCTCAGTCCATCAAATCAACATGGCTGAGATTCTCCGACTGGTGTATCGAATGGACTCCCTTCGCACTGGTTTGCTGTTACTGGCCGACCGTCACCGCCATCTTCGTCATGTGCTCCTCCGAGGCCATTGAGGTGTTTTACTACTTCTACATGATTGTAAATCTCTACATCGCGGCGGTATCGGCGTTTGAGAGCTTTTTGGCCCTGACCCCTGTGCGACTGGCTCGCAAGGCTGCCATCAAGTTCAATCAAACTGAAGTCAACCTTCGGAAAGATGCTGGTGACGATTTGCCTGTTATGGAACTGGTCATGGTGGCATATCTGCCCAATGAGAAGGATATTGTTGAGCAGCAGATCATGTATGCTCTGGAAGAGCTGCAATATCCAGGACAGAAGTAAACTTCTCCCCAAGTCATCATATTCCCATGTACCCTGCTGACAATGCCAACAGACTTCGCATCAGCCTTGTATACAACACACCGAAACCTATTGAGCCGCTCGAGAGCGGACTGCGCCAGCTGGAGAGAGACTGGGGCCAACTGAAAGTGGTCAAAGTTCCAAAGTCGACATCCAAGGCCGAGAATCTGAACTACTTCCTCTCCCTTCCACATTCTGGACAGTCAGAGTACATTGGCATCTTCGACACCGACCACCTTCCTCATCCTCACAACCCACGATGGGCCGCCGAACGGTTCAAGAAAGACAAGTGCGACATCGTACAAGGCCGATGCGTCGTCTACAACACCGGCGAATCGTTCCTGTCCAAGATGATCGCTATCGAATTCGACAAGATCTACGCCATCGCACATCCTGGACGAAGTCGCCTCTGTGGGTTTGGCTTGTTCTGTGGAAGCAACGGGTGGTGGCGAGCTGACGCAATCCGCGACATTCGTATGAGGGAGAAGATGTTGACGGAAGACATCGATTCTGCGCTTCGGGCGTATGGACAGGGCTACAAAGCAGTCCATGACTTGAACGTCGTCTCATATGAGCTGGCTCCCACAAAAGTAATGGCATTCTGGAAGCAGCGTATGCGATGGACACAAGGCTGGACACAAGCTTCGATCGATCACCTGTCCTTGATCTGGACCAACCCACCGGAAGGCAAAGGCAAGAGAGATCTCCACGAACGGAATGGCCTCTTCTCGCTCCTCTTCCTCCGCGAGCTGTCCTACTACTTCGTCTCGCAACATACATGCCTGATCCTCAGCTTTATCGTCAACGGCTGGCCACACAGCGCAGGCGGCTTGGTGAAGCTCATTTGGTTCACATACCCGCTGGCCGAATGGTTCTTCATCCTGGTTATCCTCGCCTTGATCTGCACTCTGTATTGCACGGATCTAGTGAGGAGCGAGTTCACCTCATGGTGGTACATGATCGCCTTCAGCATCATCTACACACCCTACCTGATCGTGCAGAGTTGCATGGGGCTGTACGGGCACGCGCGAGAATTGACCAAGTACACGAAGTGGAACCCCACAGAGCGGAAATAGCGTGTGATTGTTTGTAATGTAGCGTAGCGAGAACCTCATGAGAAATGTTAATTTGGATCGATGCCCGGGCACGAAAATGGAGACTCCAATGACGCGTTCTCTCGTCCCAATACGGCATTTCGATAATACGACAGACCAGAAATGTCGCCTTATCAACATGGATGGCGCAGCCTGCAGGTAGGTTGTTGGGGATGAATTGATTGCATCCCTGCAGGACGAAGCTGAGCCTGCAAGATAGTCGCATTGCGTCCAAGATAATCTGAAAAACTTCCACCAATGTCTTCGCCTGACAACCTTCCCGAACGATGACAAGGTATTCTTCGCTAAAGCAGGTTCCAACTTGAAACGCACCACGTCCAACGCGAAATTCTAGCGTACTAGATCCACCACAAAACTCGGTTCCTGCACCACCAGCTGCCGAATTCATCTTCGCGCACGTCGCTATCGGATAGCTTGAACTCACTCTTCACGCCGTCAGGACCCACGACCATCGGAATTCCCTGACACGCAGGTCGCGATTACCATGGTAGACTGCAACTAAGCGTGGCGAAATCTCCGACATCGAGCCTATTTGCACAGGAAGGGATCAACGAGGCCACCTGTGCTAGGCGAGGCTTGCATCGATTTAGCAACTCAGCACATGCGATGCGACGAAGCTTGGTCTCAACGCAAATTGGGGCTATCTGATGATTGTGGCGTCAGTGATTTTCGTCCTTAGGAGATCACAGAGTCGGTCGGAGCAGCAGCACGTCGAACGATCGCACCCGTCTCCCCTCTCCCTTCGCCTTGTCCCTCGGCCATGCTGCCAGCCCATCACCTGGCGACAGTGCTTTTCCTCGTCCTCGCCCATCTCGTCCAAATCGCAACATGCCAAATCAAAGGCGTCAACCTCGGCGGCTGGCTTCTCTCCGAGCCCTGGATAACCCCCTCCCTCTACGACAACGTCTCCGCCGAAGATGAATGGCATCTCTGCGACGAGCTAGGCAAAGACTCCTGCTCACAGCTCCTTCGAACGCATTGGAAATCTTTCTTGAACCAGAGTGATTTCCAGGCGATTCAGAGCGCTGGGCTGAATGCTGTAAGGATTCCGATTGGGTACTGGGCGGTGGATCTGGAGGATTGGGAGCCGTATGTTGATGGGCAGTTTGATTATCTTGCCCGGGCGGTGAGGTGGGCGGACGAGGCGGGGTTGGATGTGATTGTTAGTTTGCATGGTCTTCCTGGGAGTCAGAATGGGCAGGAGAATTCTGGGCTCGCGGGCGAGATTTTGTTTGCGAGCAATTCGTCGAATTTCGAGAGGAGTTTGAGGGTCTTGACGAATCTTTCGGCGGAGTTCTCGCAGGATGTGTATGGTGGTGCTGTGAAATGTGAGCCATGTTCTGAATGCGATGACGATGTACGAAGTGTTGCTGAAGTCGTAGTAGCAATTGAACTCGCAAACGAGCCGCGAATAGGCTCATCACTGCCTTTCGATGACTTGCTTGAATACTACCAGAGGGGCAGCGATGCCGTCCGAGCGGAAGATCCTAGCTCGTCCATCAATATAACCATCCATGGTCAGTCAAACCCTCACCAAGTATCCAAATTTTAGACAGTTTTCCTCATGTCCTTCATGTAGATGCTTTCCAACCTCTCACATCCTGGGAGGCTCACACCTCAACCGCAAACATCACCCGGCTGCCAACCACAAGTCTGACCTTGGATACGCACCAATACTACGCATTCTACCCACACGGGAACCTGTCAGAAAGCGCAATACTCGACTCAGTATGCGCAGTCTCGAAGCAACTGAAGGAGAAGTCGTCGAAAAGCAAGCTCCCTCCCGTGCTCGTTGGCGAATGGAGCTTAGCTCAAAGTACGTATCTCCCTTCCACACACTTCATGTCGACTGACAATCCATAGACTCATCCATGCTCCCCGAGAACTACGCTTCAAATGGAACAGAATACACCTCCTGGCTGCGCCTCTTCTTTGAAGCCCAGCATGCAGCCTACTCTCCCAACGGGCCTCATCAGGCTTCGACAGGCTGGATCTTCTGGACTTGGAGGACCGAGAACGATGTGGCGATGTGGTCCTATCGTCAAGGGCTTGCTGAGGGGTATATTCCGGCGAACGTGAGCGATAGCTCGTTGTTGAAATACAAGGTGGATAAGCATGGTTGTGTGAAGAGTTTGGCCGGGAGGGCTGCTTCGGTCAGCAAGGTGTTGGTGGTGGTTGGTTTCGTTGCCGCTGTATTTACTTACTCATAATTCGTATGAAGTGAACAATGCTCCTCGAAGCCACACAGACAGCAAGGTCCTCCTCGTAGCCATCCGGATTCGGTGGAGTCATGAGCCAGAGCGTACCGCAATGGAGAACACAATCTAGTCTCCACCAGTGCTGTACCACTTGACCACTTTCCACTTCCCCCTCTCAGAACCTCCGTTCTCCCAATCCAAAGTCGTGAGCGGAGCAGTCATCCAGATGTTGGTCACATCATCCTTGTCTTTCCAGTGATGCATGTAGTAGATCACAACTCTCGCGCCGTCATGGAGTCGGGACAGCGTTAAACTCTCGTAGACGCTCCTCCTGGTGAATGAAGTCGTCAGATGCTGAGAATCTGCGATGCCCATGAAATGGAGCTTGTCGAGCAGCGGTCGACCGATTGCTGCTTTCGATCCAAGAGAATGATCTTCTCTTAGGAGGCTGTGCTTCGGTAGTTGGGCATCATTTCCCTTCAAGAACAATGTCAAGGACCCCATTTCGCCCAGGCTGTCTGCACGGTAGTCGATGAAGACGGGCTGCAGAACTTTGCAAAGCAGAGGCCCATACTCCTTCTTGATGGAACGGCAGATCATGAGGAGAGGAGTGTGGCTCTTCAAGATGATGGCAGCTTGTCTTCTGGCTTCGACAGCACAATCGAATTTGAAGAACGGATGAGCTTGCTTAGACTTGGCATGTGAGCCGACGCTTCTGCCGCGCTGGACTCTTCTGAGCTGCACTTCCAGTGGGGATAGCAGGTATTTGTAGACGATGAGCCTGAGCTCGGGAGGTAGATCGAGTAGACCAGCAGGCATCTTTGCTGTAAGGCGTGCGTCTCTTCCAGTAGTCGGTGATGACGAGAGGAATGAGTCGTGGGCGTTTGTGACTGATATAGTGGTGAGTGGGAAGGCCATGGCTGTGTGACTTGTAAGACAATGCAAACGGGCAATTCATGCAGGTCCAGCAAACCCAGTCAGCAGCAAACTCCTGCCGTGCCGCTTTGAGCAGCAGTCTTAACGCAATAGCACGTATCCGGGCCCCAGGATGGACGATGGCCGGTATTGCTGCGTAACTCGCTCCCTTGCTGCCAAATCAAGCCATAACCACGGTTCAGAGTTTCATGCAGACGAATGCTGCACTCATCTCGCAACACCCCACGAAAATTTGCTGGGAACTTCTTGCATCGCATCTCGATGGCTCACTTCTTCCCAGCGCCAAAGTCGATTTTTCTAGCCACCTTGTCGCCTCTCTCGTTTTCTTTCCCTGGCACCTCGCCACCTCTTCGCTTAAGATCCTCTCCCATCGCCTCCATCCCACCACCTTTCCTTGGAAGCTCATGAAGCTTGCTTGGCTTCGGCACACTTGTCCAGTACTCATGCTTCAACACTCCTTCAGCAGACAGTCGAACCCGTGGGTCCAGAGTCAGCATCTTCATCAGGAGATCGACACCAATCTCGCCGATCGTTCGGAAGTTCGCAAGCCAGTAGTCTTTCGGCCGGATTGGCTGGATCTCTGTAGGTGTGACGTAGCCTTTCAGCTTGCTCACACCAGGCCAGTTCTCATCCGTCGGCGTCCCCACCTTCTCGCAGATGAGCTTGACCATGTTCATTTCGGACTCTGGCCAAGCTCTGAACAGAACGTCTCGTGAGATGAGCTCCGCAAATACGGCGCCACAGCTCCACACGTCAACTGCGCCGCCGTAGAATTGAGCTTGGAAGAAGAGCTCAGGCGGTCGGTACCATATTGTGATCGTGTTGTAGGTCATGGGTTGATAGGGATCTGCAAAACTTCTGGCCAGACCGAAATCTGCAAGTTTGATCTCACCATTCGCAGCGATCAGCAAATTGTTCGGCTTGATATCGCGGTGAAGTATGAAGTTGGCATGGCAGAAGTGCACAGCCCTGCTCAGCATGAGCATCCACGCTTTCACGTCTGCAGGGGTATAGCTGATATTCTGGGTGTCTTGAATGAGTTTGAGCAGATCACCTTGCGGCAGCTGCTCGAGCACGAGATTGAGATTCTGATTCTTGGTGCTGAAGACTGAGTACAGCTTGATGATGTTGGGATGATCGAGCTCTTGCAGAAACCGGATTTCTCGAAGCGAATCGTATGAAATGCCCATCTCCTTCACTTCTGCACCCACTTTGATCTTCTTGATGGCCACAAGCTGTGTTGGGTCTGTGATCAAATACGCCGAGTACACATCGGCGTACTGACCGGATCCCAGCTTCTTTCCTTTGACATATTTGTTCCGTTCTTGGGCGTCTAGTTGCTCGGCGAGATCGGCGACAAGTGGTGTGCTGGTAGGAGAAGCGGGCGCGCTATCATCTGGGTCTTCTTTCTTCGGCTGCGGCGACAGCTTGATGCGTTTGGAGGGAGGTTCTGGAGGTACATCCAGCGCTGGCGATTTGGCGACGTGGGCCATGATTTAGATATGGCCTCGGTCCTGGGGCTTGATGGCCTTTCTATCGCATCTTCAGGTGCCAAATAGCGTTTAGTCGCAATACAAAGTTGCTCAAGGTTTCGCTTTCTAAAGTTTCGGTCGTCGAGTGGTCACCAATGTGTCTAGAATTTCGAGTCTTCACGAGTGAAGTCAACACGATCTCGCGCACAGACTCCCTCGGCAGATCCTACCGAGCATCCGCCAACGACACCCCTGCATTGACAAACAACCACCACAAGATGCCCGGCCTACAGTCAAACCTCTCTATAACAGTAGCGTGGTGATATTATATTTCTATCGTTATAACAAGGTATCGTTATATAGAGACATCACGTGCAGCAGTCTTGGCATTCAGCCTGCTCCAAAATATAATAATATCTCCTGCTGTTGAAGGCTAACTACGGCTCTTTATTAGACTACTTTCTCGTACTTATTAAGGCTCTGTAGCTAGCTGCTATTACAATTATCAGATTGCTCTTTATAGAGCTATAGCTGCCTTAACAACTTTAAAGCCTAAGATGTATATATACGTAGTAGTTGTTTAACCTCCTCTTAATCTAACTCCTTAGGGGGAATAGGCTTAAACTACTAAGCTATCTGCTTAGCAAGGTCGTTAAGGTTATCTATAACATCCTCCTCTAGCACGTAGAGAAGCTATTAAATACTTATTCGTTAACGAATAACTTGCTATTATTAGAGACCTTATAACTACTACTTAAGTAGAGTAAGTGCTTCACTTGCCTAAGCTAGTAATGTGCTTTGTTACTATATATAAGGCTGTGCCTATAATATAATAGCTAAGTGATTCTAGCAGTTTATAATTGTTTAAGTTAATACCTTATACTAGGCTCTAATTACGAAGCGGATAGCCTTAAGCAGGTTTATTGTCTTAAGTAGATCTCGCTCTTCTTTAACCTTATCTACTATATAACGGAGCTAGTGCCGTCGATAACAGGCCTTAAATGTAGTAATAATGCCTTAATCTAGCGGCTAAGACTTGCTTATTATATTTAGTAGAAGCTAGACAACCTTAGTATTACGAAGACCGTATTTAGTAGGCAGTGTATTAAGCTCGTTAATAGCAGTCTCGTAAGCACTAAAGTTATCTATAACTAAGACTACCCTTCGGCTACTTATCTAGCTATTAAACTAGCAAAGCTATTGTAGCATAATTAGGCTAGTTATCTAGCTCTTCTTGTTAGCTCGATAGGTGCAGTCTAGTCTCTTAATCTACACTCTAGTAGCAGTAAAACAACGTAGTCTTTAATAGCGGCTAATAATCTATAGCTGAAGCTTATAACTGCCTATTATATTAACATAGTAATATACTGTTATCCGAACCTTCTCTTTCTTGTAGCTAGGTACTAGTACTGTTAATAACGCACGATTAGGCACTATCTTCTAAAACAAGCTAGTCTTATTACAGTTATACTGATCTTTAAGGGGGTATCGTACAAGGCGTGCTTAAAGGATCGCAATATTAGCTATTATTAACTGCTTATTAACTCCTACAGCCTCTCCGTATCTTCTCCTATCCTTAATATTGTGCCTACTCTTAAAACTAGTAAGCTAACTATTACTAAAGGCTAGCTCTTGTAGACTTTAATATTAAGGCAGCCGATACTAGTACTACTTTGCTCTTAACTTTAAAAGGTCGCCGTTAATTGCGAGTAAGTACTAATAGCGTGTTACCTACTAGGTAAGGGTATCTTTAAGCTCTGCGTAGTAGATACTACGTTACTTCTTTCGTGCTAGCTGTACTACTGTATCGCTCTTAAGGTAACGGTATCGGGCACTAAGGATCTTAGAGACTATTACTTATCGGATAGGCTTGTTGAACTAGCTCTTAAACTAAGTATAGAGCTCCTTTTGTGTAAGTAAAGGGCAGTCTTAATACTACTAGCGCAGTGCGAGCTTCTCTGCCTCTAAAAATGCGGTCCTCGGAGGCATATCTATAACGATAGTTTAGTAAGCAAATCTGAGATACGATCGTTATATAGGTATAGGCAGGAAGAACGATATTTTGCAGTAGGAAAGTTGGTGACAGCTGGCAGTATCGCTATAGCAAGGATATCGTTATATGCAGTATCGCTATAAGGAGGTTTGACTGTACTCTTCGTCCTCTCCCGCCTCAAAGAAGGCTCAGACATCACCGAAGAAACATACACAGACTTCTACGACAGTGAGCATCTCCCCGACATGGTCGCCTACCGGCCGAAAGTCTGCGACGTCGCCGTGCGGTACAAGAAGAGAATCGTGAATGCCGCTGCGGAGGCTCCAGAGACGTATCCTCATCTTGCGCTGTACCCGACAGAAGATGCCAAGGCTTTGATTGAAGGTGGCCTGGAGGGAGCCGCTGAGAAGACTCGCCATGTCAAGCTTCTGGGCGGGAGGGATGTCTATGAGTTTGCGGAGTTCGATCCCAGGATCTGCGAGAGGGTGACGAGCCATGAGAGTCCGAATGCACGCAATGATAGTAGCAATTGGCCAAGGACTTTGATTGTTCTGTATACGTCGCTAACGGACCCTCGACTTAGCGGCGCCATGGATGGAACCAGAGGACATCTTAGGTCGACGTTGTACAAGCGCATCGACGGGACGATAGGTGAGATGGTGATAGGAGAGTTTGATTGTGCTCCGGAAGAGGTGGAGGCTGATAAAGCTCTGCTTTCTTCGAGAAGGATGTTTCAGACGAGGTTGGATTGTACTATTGATGTGTTTGAACTACAGAAAGTCGTTGGCGATAGCAGAGCCCTGCTATAGATTGATACATCCATCATTTGAGGTCAGCTCCACTGTCCGTCTTAATCACCGCACCCGTCAGATTGATATCCCTCAAAGTATAGATATACGACTCAGCAATATCCTCAGGCTGGGCCAGGCGCTTTGTGGGCGCATTTGTCTCGACACTAGCTTTCAAGCCTTTGACCGCTTCCTCGCCAAGGATATCCCACATCTCGGTGCCGACAGCCCCTGGTTGAACGATGTTGACACGAATAGGCGCAAGCTCAAGTGCCAAAGCTTTCGTGAGGCCTTCCACGGCAGCCATGACTCCGTTTGCGAGGACCCAGCCTATTCTAGGGCGTAGCGCAATGGTACCGGAGGTGAAGGTGATAGAGCTGTACGGTCCTGGGGAGAGGTACTTCTTTGCGTGCTTGCCCAAGATCATGGGAGCGAAGTAACGGATTATGTGGGACTCGATAGCGGAGTCGACAGTGATCTGTTCGAGAGGCAGGGTCACCGTATCGAGCGGGCTGCCGGCGGTGTAGACTGTCGTGCACGTCAAACGCTGGTCTGGTCGAACACTACGAGCTACGCACTGATATGGTCCACTTTGCCAATTTTCTCAAAGAGCCCGACGATGTTGTCTTCTAAGGTCGTTCGGTTTCCAATGTCACAGACATGACCCGAGACTTGGTCTCTTGCCGACGGATACGATTCCAAGATCCGCTCGATGGACGTGTTGATCTTGGCTTCAGATGAAGAGGCTATCACAACAGTCATTCCATTCTCGATACATGCTTCCGCAGCTCCATATCCCAACCCAGAGGTTCCTCCGAAAATGAGGACCTTGCGGCGAGTGAGACGGGACGAATGTTTGGTCGAATCGGCCATGCTTGTTACGACTCCGTGGCAATGGTTATGGAGCCAGAGAATTTTGATGCGGTGACGGACTCGATCAAGTACTCTAAGATTGGTAATTTTTCTTTGCTTTGGTCGCAAAAGGATGAGAGGTATTCATGGAGATAATGTGCATCTTTTGATTGATAATGTAAGTGTTTCCCGGCTTTGCTTTATAACGACTGCGGATTCAGTCCGTGGTCTCAATCACCCCCATTGATGAAGAAGCCGAAGTTTGCCGGGAAGCCGAACGACCTCATGCTCAGCTACATAATGTCGCGAGTGCATGGTCAGCTCGTAGTCTTGAGACGCGATCGCATGGGCATTTGCAATGCGTCGGATTCGGTCTGACATATTGGGAATGGATACTCGCCCCATATACAGGAAGCACATCTCTGCCATATGTCGTAGTCCAAGGCTGTGCTAGATTGCACATGCGTTGCAGAAGATGTATTAAAGAAGCAGCCTCGTGAACTGCGATTCTTCGGAATTCTCACGAGTCATAAGTTGTCTTTGTCATCACCCGTCTTGACTCTCATGAAGGCTTGGCGGCCGATTGGGGAAGCTTCTGCGGCCAAGTTCACGAATCTCGGGGATGTCGTCTTGACTTCACTGCATCCCATCATTCACTTCAATCATCTCATTTCTTCACGTGGACACCGCCTGATATGGCATCTAAACGGCCCCTGGCATTGCTCAGCCTTCCAACGGCACTGCGACAGACGACATGTTTCCAATGCCAAACTCAAGTCCGTGGCATGCATAAACTCAACACAGCCCTACGTATGTTTGCCATTGCGCGTGGAACAACCACATGCTGACGTGTGCAAGGCGTACCGAAACCCACCCCATTCGTTCCCGATGTACCCGCCTTCCTCACCCTCATCGGCCGCAACATGTCGGCGCACGCTGGCAAGATTCCCTCCTGGGAAGCACTCTTCACCCTCTCCTCTCAACAACTCAGAGAATCCGGCGTCGAACCCGCAAGAGCACGGAGATATGTATTATGGTGGAGAGATCGTTTTAGGAATGGTATTCACGGCATTGGTGGGGATTTGACTGAGGTCAAAGATGGAATCGCAGAGCTACGCATCGCTGAAGTGCCGGTTGCGAAAGGGGCAGACGCTCCTGCGACTGTTTCACGAGATGCTGGAACTAGGAAGGTCATCGTGAACGTGCGGCCAACAGTCACTCTGCCAGAGGACCCTGCGAACCCGAAACCAAAGGAGGGGAAGAAGAGCATTTTGGAGGCATTGGCACCACCTTTGCGGCTGAAAGAGGGTCAGGTCAAGCCAGTGGAGGGGTTCAAGATCGTGACGGGCAACAAAATAGGCGGCACGGGCGTGGAATACATCAAGGGACACATGGGCGTTGCGAGATTGCGTGTACAAGACGGATTGTGGGAGCAGAGGAGAGGACACAAGGTTGATGGTGGTGAGAGGCGGCGTGCGGCTGTGAGAGCGAAGAGGAGGGCTGAAGAACGCAAGAATGCGAGATAGTCTCGGGCAGCGTGACTGCGGCTTTGAGCTGGCAGGCCTGTGTGTAGATGCTGACCTGTTGGTAGAGCCTGTATACTACTGTATATTTGCGCCTCGCGATCGTGAACCGGATTCCTCGCCTTCGGCGCCTCCGAAGTCTGGCCGACACCGCTGATTTGGTGGGTGAGGGCCAATGTGTGCAAGCGGCAAATGATGGGACAGCGCTACATTTCAGCCCTGTGCCTACGATATAATGTCAATGGCAATCCTGATAGACGATGCAACAATAGTTCTGACAAAGCCATTCGCTTCGAAGACGACGCTCGTGCGATCAGCAAGTAGCGTACCTCGCCCGGGCGAATCATGTTGATACAGCTGTGGACGAAAGACCTATTGCGTGCATGCACAAGATGCCTTGAAGGCTGAATCCAGAGCCCTACTTTTGTCATTGGCCAGATTTGAGCAGTCGATTATGGGGGCCGTAAGCAGATGGGGGCCGTAAGCAGATGGGGCCCGAGTCCTAATGCCTTCTGCGACTCACTGCCCGCGGCTGAATTTGAATCCTTCAGCCCGGCACTGTTAATTAGGGTCGCCAGCTTCTCTAGAGTCGTAACTCATCGAAGATGATGTTCTGGTATAAGACTTCTAAAGTGGCATACTACTCTACAAGAGCTGACGGCGATTGAGATGAACGGCAACATGGAGGTCTTATTTCAAGCGGTCGTTACGGGCATCGCTCTTACAGTGCTCGGATACACCGTCTCAGTCCTACGGCTAGCCTTCCACCCTGACCTCAGAAAGATCCCAGGACCTTTCGTATCACGTTTCACAACCTGGCCGTTGAAAATCGAGGTGCTCAGGGGTCACCGAACAAAGTACATCCACGAGCTTCACAGGCAGTACGGACCGTACGTCCGCATTGCTCCCAGCGAGATCTCCACGTCGTCTATCGAAGCGCACAGACAGATCCACAGAATCAGCACCGAGTTCATCAAAGCGCCCTGGTACCAAGGACAGACGCCGACGCAGATTGACGACAATACTTGTGGGGTGTTTGGCCTCAGAAACCAGAAGGTGGCTTCCGCGAGGCGAAGATTGTTTCAGCAAGCTGGTACTAAGGCTGCGGTCGTACAATGGGAACCTGTTGTCGTTGGACTCGTCAAGGCAGTGATTGGGAAGATCAAGCGTGACGCATCTCAAGGTCCGTACCGAACCCCTAGAAATTCTCTCTTCTGGTTTGTTGACTCTTGCGCGATAGGCACGGCCGACGTTGCAAAGTGGTTCTCCCTCCTGACGTCCGACGTCCTCTCATCCCTCGCTTTCGGGGAGCCTTTCCGCATGGTCGAGAACGAAACCAAGTCTCAACTCATCCACGACATCGAGAGCGGAATGATCTTCATCGGTGTCCGTCAAGAGTTGCCCTGGCTCTGGTACCTGATCATGTACTTGCCCATCCCCAGCATCGGAAGACCGAACGACATCTTCAAACGCTTCGATGTGTACGGCGAGACTGCCGTGAAGAATACAAAAGCCGCGAAACCAGGAAGCGCAAAGACTCTTTTCTCGAAAATGGTCCCTGAAGACGGGACCCAGAAAATCCCCGATTCCATCGTCCGTCACGAAACCGCCAATATCATCATTGCTGGATCAGATACCACAGCTATAGCGTTGACGTATCTTGTATACTCGGTCCTGAAGCACCCTAATATTCATCAGAAGCTCGCCGCCGAGCTCGAGACATGCTCAGAAGATCCTTCCTGGGAAGAGTTGGAGTCTAAGCCTTACATTAACAATGTCATCACTGAGACACTACGCCTGCATGCCCCTGTACCGTCTAGCCTTCCTCGAGTTGCTTCCGAGGGAACGTTCCTCGGAGGGCAATATGCCATACCAGGGTTTGCTGTTGTGGATACCCAGGCGTATACGTTCCATCGGGATCCTCGAGTATTCCCCAACCCTGAACAGTGAGTCAAGTTACATATCCTTACCTCAATGTCGAAGCTCACTGGTTACGCATCAGGTTTGATCCCGACCGCTGGTCACACGCTACGCCAGAGATGAAAGAGCACTTCCAAGCCTTTGGTGGTACTATCAGAAGTAAGGATTCAGCGTTACCGGCTCCATTACGCAACCATACTAATCGATCTCCCCACCAGCCTGCCTAGGCCAAAACGTCGCCCGCATGGAACTCCTCCACGCCACCGCCCTCTTCTTCCGCGAACTCCCCAACGCCCGCCTCGCAGACTCCACCACAGCCGAAAGCATGGACATCATCGACTTCTTTGTCATCAAGCCCAAAGGCGGGAAATGCGAAATCACCACCAAAGACGTCTAGAGCATCCCCGCGCCGGCGCCCATATCCATCGAGTTGCCTGGATCGACACCGGCGAATTTTCGAGACCCGCCGCCGTGGTCGTCGTCGCGGTTTGCGGCGATGTGCATGGATTCGAGGATGCCGAAGATGGCTGCTAGGCTGAGGGCTTCCGCGTGTGGATCGGTTGTCGAGAAGAAGTCGATCTTGGCCGATTGTCCAGGAATAGATACTTCGGTCTTCCAGACCGCGAGAGATTGCTGTGTATTCGCATCGAGTAGCTTGAACTGTCCCAAGTCGATGCCCATTGACGAGGGCTCCCAGAGCAACTGGCGACCCACAGCGGAGAAGGTGTGCTTGATATCCTGCCTCTCGAGCGGCTGCCATGGGGTCTCTGCGCCGCTGCTGATTTGGATGTCGCCAGACTTGGCATTGACTTTCGCACTTGCCGATGAAGAAGCCTTGTCTCCGGACTTCGGCGTGAGGGTAACCATATGCTCTTTCGGACGGAGGATGTGGTTCTTGATTTCGAGGCCGACTTTGTACGAAAGCTTGCCCGTTGTCGAATCGCGGACTTCTCGAATGTCGTCTGCGACACGGAAGACAGAAAAGGACTTGACAACTGGTGTTTGAACAGGCTCGTCCCCAGTCTGAACCACAATCTTTTCATCTGAGATCGTAGTTTGCCCCGAAGGTGTCGTCTCGACAACCACTTGCTTCTCGTCGGCCATTGTTTCTCGATTGAGGTTTCTGTAAAGGCTACCAAAATTGAGAAGAGGACAAGTTCGAACGTGCAGTCAGTGGCAGTGCTCTTCCAATTCCATTATATAATCCCGACCGAGCCTCAGCTGGACTTCCAACATCGTACCTGCGGCTGAGACGCAACGTTCCACATGGCGCAGCAGCATCGACTTGGCGTGTTTTTGTGCCCAGCAGTCTTGGCGGTATGGACGACTCCAGGTCGATAGGGATGAAAGTGTTGTGCGTAGCAAAAGGATCATCGATTTCTCGCGCTGCAAAAGGATCACCGATTTCTCGCGCAACCGGAAGGCTTGTATGCACGATATAGAGGATCCGTATGCTCGGTGGACAGCCAATCACATGTTCCCAGCCGAATAGAGAGATCAAGACTCACCCGTTTAGAGTTTGCCATCTGGTAACTTCAGTAATGGTTATTACAGAGTTGGTATCGAAAGCGAACGCCCGATGGAATCTCCTAAGGAGTGAGTGAGGGCGCCACACTTCAACATTCACTTCACGAAATGCCGACCTCTATCGAACTCGAAGTCGTCTCCGCGACGCAAGTTGTATCGCATTCTTCCGACCGTGCATCACCACCACCTACGATTGTCTCTGGAGCCCAGCATGGAGGAGATACGCCTTCCCGGCCACTCACCTTCCACCTTGCCTTCCTGTCTCTTGTGCTTATGGTCCTGGTCGCTTCACTCGATACGACGATGCTTTCTGTTGCGCTTCCAGTAAGTAACCCCAACGACCATGATATCGTGCTTGGCGTCTACTAACACGCCCGTACCAGATCATCACGCGCCAACTGCACGGCTCCAACATCGAGGCTTTTTGGGCCGGCCTAGCATACATTCTCCTGGTCGCCATCACGCAGCCTCTCTACACCACTTTCTCGGACGTCACTGGCCGCAAGATCCCTCTCTACATAGCGTTCACGCTGTTTGCTACGGGCGCCGTCATCTTCGCCACTGCGCACTCCATGCCGCTCCTGGTGCTGGGCCGCGCAGTGCAGGGTCTTGGGGGCGGTGGCCTTGACGTTCTTAACGAGATCATCCTGGCAGATTTGACGACCCTTAAGGAGCGGCCTCTGTACATGGGACTTATGGCTGTTCCGATGGGTGTAGGGACGGTCGCGGGCCCGATTATCGGCGCGGCTTTTGCTCATGATGCCTCGTGGCGCTGGATCGGCTGGATCAACCTGCCGATGGTGGGCGCCTCCGCTGCTCTGGCTGTGGTGTTCTTGCGGCTGAGACCCATTCGGGCGAGCATGCGACAGTTAGATTTCATCGGGATGACGGCGTTCGCTCTTGGGTGCCCGGCTGTTGCGGTCCCGCTCAGTATTGCTGGGCCAGATAATCCATGGAGTTCGGTGCAAATTCTACTCCCACTGATCACGGGCTTCGTCCTACTCGGCGGACTTGTAGTCTACGAAGCGCGACCCGAGAATGCTCTCTTCCCATACCGTGTATTCCGATCCCGCTCAGCCAAGGTCATGACCATCACGGGGTTCTTGCACGGTCTCATTCTCAACCCCATGTTCTACTGGCCGCCCCTATTCTTCCAAGCCGTGACCTTCGCCACGCCCCTTCGCTCCGCGGTATTAGTGCTCCCCCTATGCTGCAGCCTCGTAGCAGCCATCCTCGCCGCAGGCTTCCTGGTAGACCTGACTCGCAAGACCCGTCTCCTATCATGGCTGGCATGGGGCCTCCTAACCCCCGGCCTCGGACTCTTCTCACTCTGCGACGCGCGAACTTCCCTCGTCGAATCAATCGTCTTCCAGATCCTAACCGGCACAGGCATCGGAACGCTCTTCACCGTCTCGCCTCTCGTCATGCAGGCCAGCGGCACCAGCCCCGACGATCAAGGCCTCGCCGTCGGCATTCTAGTCTCCATCCGACTATTTGGCGGCCTGATCGGGCTTGCGCTGGCGTCGACGGTTTTCTCGCTCGCTTTCGCGAGCTCTATTCGTTCGAACGGTGCGGTTTCCGTGGACGCTGTGGTGAAACAGGACCCGAGTGCTGCTGTGGCTTTCATTCCGGAGCTTGTGGAGTCGCGGGCTAGAGAGGAGATTTCGAGATCGTATCTCGATACCATGCGGATTATTTGGTATGTTCTGTCGGGGTTGAGTGGGTTGGGTTTGATAAAGTCGTTTGGGATGGAGGAGGTGTCGTTGGAAACGGAGGAAATTGGGCGGCAGCACATCGAGTAGCCGATGTCGTGTTTTGTAACAATCTTCTCCGGATCGATGGCAGCACGGACTGGCCAAGACAGAGAGGCTCTGTCTGTATCCCAACGTTGAAATTCTCTCCTAAAGGTCAAACATGCCATTCGAACAGCTACACGTCGGTCTCACCGGTAAGACGCACCACTTCCAACTCTCCCTCTCGCTCGAATGCAAATCTGCCTCCAACAATCTCAAAGTCCAAGGGTTTCCTAGGCGCCAGCTTCACCGTAACATCCAGAAACCTCGCCGCTTCTGGAACCTGCTCAGCCCTCAGCGGCTGGTCGTATGTCGGATGAAGACCGACAAATGCCCTGGCTCTACGCTCTTCGATTTCGACGATTTTCGATGCAAAAGCCGCTAGGCTTCGACTCTTTTGGAACCCCTCAAGTCTATCCGTCGATGCCAGCGTCTGAATAGCTCTTCGTCGCACGATTGAATCTCGGCATTTCAGGGCAATCAAGTACAGGGCTGGAAGAATGACTGGTTCAACAGCAAAGTTTGCAGGCGTGCTTGAGGATTGGCGGAGATCTCCATCGGCCAGTCTGGAGGAGTCCAAGTACTCATCCGCGAGGTCAAGAATGCGACAGTATTCATCGTGAAAGACGTCATTGGGAACTTCCCGTACTGATCTGCAGGATGTGAGCAGGAAGGTGGAGTAGAAGTGCTGGATCTGAAGGAGGATCAGGCTTCGTTTCGTTTTTTTATCTCCAGGAGGGATAGACAGGCTGTCTAAAGTAGACTTGAATGAGATCATCCAGGAAGCGTGTCGAGTTATTAGTTTTTGGAGACGCGATGAAAGATTGTCGTTGAGATTCGGCTTGATCGTCCGACTTTTGCAATGATCAATGCACCATTTCTCCAGGATATTCTTTCCAGTCAGGTCTTGAGAAGCGTCGGCTTGTGCCATGCGCAGCAGATCCGTGCGTAAATCGCGCTCCTCGGTCGTCAATCGTTCAAGCGTCACTCGGAGGGTCTCAAGATCCGATGGTGGAGGCGAAGACATCGGAGAGCTTGGAATTGAAGAGCAGCTCTCAGCAGATCTTGTCTCCAGGAGGATGCCGTTCGCTTGAAGCAACTTGAAAGTCGATATCAAAGTTTTGGATGTCTCCGTTTCGTAAAGCATCCCAGTCTGCTTTGTGGGATCATAATCCAAGAAGACCCTGTTGCCGAAGCGTAGATGAGAGATGGCCGCGGTGGTATCGCTCTTCACTATCTCACAAGCAGCAAGTAGAATACAGGCGCATAAGACCGTCTCCAGAACCGGAGTGAAACGTGAATATAATTCGCCAATGTGCGGTTCGAGAGCAACGATAGCTTTACCGTACTGATGCAATGTATTGCGGTCCTCGAGGAAAGTATGCACAAAGCCAACATGCGTAATCTGTACCAACCCTCGATGTATGCCTCCTAGAGCTGCTATTGCGCGGAACACGGGGATCTCGTGACTTAAGCGTAGAACTAGTCGAGTCATCCAAGCTCGGGGAGTGTTGAGGTGCATCTGACGAGCGGTAGTCCTGCGGAAGTAGTCGAAGGCATAGCGTTCGTAGTCCGTCGTATCGAGCGTCAGGGATGGCATAGAGCACAAGCTGGGGCCTTGAGCCTCTAAAGGTAGAAGTTGGCGTGCGGTAAAACTACTACGAGGAGATCCTGTAGGTGGGTATCTTTGGGAGAAAGTTAAGAGGTCAGCATACGTATCTCAGGGCTGGACATGTCATTCGGGCTACATTCGCACTTGGCAGCCAAGCGTGACATTCCAAGACTGCTATATGCTCGTCTTCCGCCCTTCAACCTACGTACCCTGCACAAAGTCTACCGCTCGACGTACATCGATTACATCGAGGTCTAGTCTCGTCGCATTTGATACGACGTAGCCTAGGAATGAATCAGCGGACAGACATGCCGGCAATGAATACAGGGTGCTCTGCCGGCATGTGCGGCACCCCTGCCTCGTAGGCTTGGAAGTGACGACTCTTCCACGTTTCTCGGTCATGGCTGACGAGGCAAATCCGGTGTATGCGACAAGTGCGAAGGTCACTCAGGATCCAAGGAGCTGTATATAAAAGGACAACTAACGAAAGCGATGACAAAGATAGACTGTTGATCTCAAAACTAAGTTGATCCTTCTCGATACCTAGCCAATCATGGAGCTGTGAGAAGTTTCACTTCGATAGAGTTTGGAGCTCAAGACTTCAGCCGCATGCACGGATCCACAGCCTTACTGATCACGTCAGGCACCTAAGGCATCAAGGCATCTCAATTGCAAGTGGCAAGGAAGCTATCACATGGTGTGCAAGCGTGCTACTAAGACCCATTGTGCGCATATTACGAGAGGAGCTTTGCTGAAGTCGATACTCAAGAAAGGAAAGTAGTCTCCATGAACAGCTGACCTTCCTCCTCCCTGAATACCTGATCGTCGAACGTGATCATCAGTTTTACTTTCCGTATGTACTACACGCATTTGTTAATAATGTACTCTCAGCGAAATTGCATAGTGTTACTCGCCTGGTATATGTAAGGCTTCGCACCCGAAGCTGTCGCAAGAAGTTGCTTGACAACTCGTGGCATCTCACCCATAACATCGATTCGATCTGTCCGAGCGCCCAAACTGCTTGTGATCTTGGCTTTCATGTTTCTTCCTCCTGTGCCGGTACCTTCCCATGTGAGATCCACAACGCAAGGCTCAGGATAATCTGTCTCTGGATCGACTCTAGTTTCCACATGCTGCACTCTGGTCAAAGGAGATGCACCAGCAAGCACAATAGTGCCATCCGTCGCAATCGCACCTACATTAACAATGGTGTTCCCATACGACGGCGGCGTAATGAACTCCATCATGAACGCCGAATACGTCGGACCTTGGAAGAACCCAAAGTTCCACCTGGCCGCTGCGAGATGTGGCTGCATGCCTTGCAATGCATGCGAGACCATCCCTTGCCCGTCGAAATCCATCAGACCCTGCCTCGTCATTATGGTTCCCTCCACCCGGCACCGAGGCCAGAAAGCGTGTTTGATACGACCCCAAGGCGTTTCTGGATCCGGGCCGAAGTTTGTTGTCCCGTTCTTGCCTGCCACGATTCCCGGCGCCGTTTTTGTAAATGTCAAGTCCACTATGATTCCTGGATCCACGCGACTATTGATCTGAAAACTCTCTCCGCTCTCATCAAGAGATAAAGAGCAGTCATCCGCGGCGAAGTCTTGCTTGTCTGGCGAGAAACTGAAGTTCAAGACGTTGACCAAACTCCAAATGAGGTCTCCGCTTGGGTCTTGGGGATATATCTTGGTGTTGAAATGTACCGTTCTCCGAAGGTTCCTTCATGCCATCAGCGAAGACTCAGTAGTAAGTCGTGGAATATCACGGATCCACACATAATGTTGCTATATATCACCTGAACCCAAGCAAATTTGCCGCTATTGCTAACCATGTAGAAAGTCTTCGACTCCACACTGGTTGCTTCTATACACTCCCACGCTTGATTCTCTCTCTTGAGCTCGGAAAAGGGTGTTTCGCTTGCCTGTTCGGCGACGGACAGTATGGCGGAAGATCTATAAGTGGGGTCTGAGACGCCGAGCCTGTTGCTTCACTGTCAGCTGCGGGCGTGTGAGGAGTGTGCATGAGCGGGTTATACTTTTGTTTCGCCCAGTCGAACATGTTTCCGTCAAAAAGACCACTCTGATGTGGTTCGGTAGAGCATCAAAGATAGGGTGACAAATCGCGGTCGCAATAGTACGTAAGGTGTAGTCGCAGTTGAAGCTGTGGGCAAAGGTGTTTCCAATATGGATAAATCTCGTGTCCGAATGGGACTGCTTCTTTTAAGCCAGTCAATGGGGACGTCTGGGAACTCCGAGCTTTTGCACAAGATCGCCCGAGTTCCGGCGTCTATTCCAAACGTCGTCTTGGCAAGGGCGAAGCAGTGTCAGTCCCATACCAATCCGGTGGAAAACAAGCTTCTCCGAGCTGCCTTTACATGTGCTCGGTGGACAGCCAATTGGCGATTCTCAGCTGAATCCTGCAGAGACTTGTTTCCTCACTGAGAAGACTGGTACCCTCTCAGCCTTCGGCTCTGCGGTATGCCGAATTCCACAAGGACAGCTGCTTGATCGGGCTAGAAGCCGGACGAGCCTCAGCTGAAACACGTTTCGTTATATAGCCAATCGCTAGACGTAGGTCAAGTCGATCTGCACGAATTTCGACAAGTCTACCCATCTTGCAGCCTAACACAATAGGCCAGATCAGCCTGTTCAACTCCTCCACGTACTCCGGAGGTTGCCCCTTTACCATCACCCACTTTCAAGGATGGCAGTGCTCGCCCCCGACCTGGGTTCTTAGCAATGTTCGTTCCAAACACCTCTGGTTTCCTGCAAGAATACTTCATCAATCTATCATAATTAAACCTCGATCCACTACTCTCCCTCAGTATGGTATTGTTCCACTCCTTGTTGCCCCTTTGTGGCTTACTGGCGACCTGTACTGCATACGTTCCACTTCCTCCCTCCGACGATGCATTTTATCAGCCACCATATCGATACGAACTTGAGCGTCCTGAAAGTATTCTACGCCCTCGGCAGCTTCCCAAACCTTTCGGAATCAACGCAACCATCGCAAAAACCCATCAGCTCCTCTATCGCTCGACGGACAGCCAAGGAAAACCAAACGCGGTCGTAACTACCGTGCTTGTGCCGCCTAATGCACACCCGAACAAGCTGCTATCTTTGCAGAATGCATACGACTCCGCTTTCATCGATTGCCCTCCCTCATACCAGCTCTATCAGCCTGATTCGTTCATTTACGAGCGCGAAATCATCGAACTTGCATTACAAGAGGGCTGGTATGTTTCTGTGCCGGACTTCGAAGGATTTACATCAGCTTTCACGAACGGTGTCCAGTCTGGCCAAGCCGTGCTCGACTCATTGCGAGCTGTGCTGCGGTCCAGGAGCATTACTGGTCTATCCAGCAACGCTCGAAAAGTTATGGCAGGAGGATCTGGAGGTGCTCTCGGAAGTGAATGGGCACTGGAGCTACAGGCCACATACTCTCCGGAGCTGACCATTGAGGGCACATTGCTCACTGCGCTCACGCCGAACGTCAGCTCTGTCTTCGAGACAGTTGAAGGTACCAATTCCTCATCGGTAATACCGTTGGCTATGCTAGGGCTGTCCAAACAGTACCCCAACTTGTCACGATGGATCTCGGACAACCTACAACCACTCTCGGCTCCCGGCTTTCTCGAAGCCAACAAAGTCTGCGGTGCAAATCTCCAACCCATCTTCCAGACTCAACAAGTCTCCTCCAAGTATTTTGGAAGACCGAACGCCTTTCTGGATGCAACACCTCAGTCAGTCTTACATAGCGTGGGAACAATGGGTTTACATGGCACACCTCGAAGCCCAATCTTCTCTTGCAAAGGCGAGGCAGACGAGCTCTCGCCGATTGCGGATACTGATGCCTTGATAAATAAGTATTGTGACAAGGGAGTTACAGTTCAATATCTACGGGTGGCAAAAGCGGATCATGAGATAGGAGGCGCATACGGGTTTGTGGCAGGATTTCCGTGGTTGAAGGACAGGCTCAACGGTGTTCGACTCCCGGCAGGATGCAACATTACAAACATCACATTACCGGCTGGGTTCCCTGCTTGACAGATGTGGACCGTGTAGAAGAGGACCTGGCGTTGCTGAGGTCTTTATCCATTTGAACCATCTCATTTCCCTGTTCCGAAGAGGCTAGCGCAGAAGTGGGTGGGTCAGGGAGAGGTCCCCAGAGGCCAGTCGCAACTCGTTGTCGTTTTACATAAAATGGGATACTTTAATCTGAGAATCGCTAGCCGAAGTCGTCTCCGGATGCTGAGTTGTGGCTGTCGTGGCCGACTTGCAGGATAACCCTGAATCACAGTCAAGGTCCGTCAACCGCGTAGCTTTCAATAGTGAAGTCGAGCACCGAAAACGTATAGCGTAGAGAGCGTCAATAAGAGCCAGGGCTGATCTCAGCTTCTTCACTGAAATAAACCTGCCTTCCCGCTCCAAATGAAGCTAATGTACAAGCAAGATTCCTCGGTGGTGGGCCAATCATTTAGCTACACAGCCTCGTGTCACGCGAGAGTGCTTTCACACTCGCGAATGGAGTGTGAAACGGCGCCCATTGTTCAGTCAGGTACTTATACAGCTGTACATGCTGTACAGAACCTCGATTGATACGCCGCTGTTTCAGCATCTTGCTCCCTACCTTGGGTCGCCATGCCTATACTTAAGAAACTCCTCTCTTCAGCTCGAACCCACGACAGTCAACTCAACACGGGACTCAACGGCTCGAAATCACATTTTGGTAGTAACGGTGGCGCTTACACCAACCCTGTAAAGTCCTATAACCCGATGCCACGGTCTGAGCAAGACTTCTACAATCACGAGGCTTCTCGGTTTCGTCCAGTGGCATTGCCACAGACCGACTACGGAGACGCGAAACCATTCCTCCGAGGGTATAGCGATGAGCTGAGAATCTATGGCATCTCTGAAAGAGTGTTCATTGACATTGTTGACACGATCAACATCGCACTGGTTCCCAACCCAGAAGCACAGATCTTCCAGAAAGCAGCTGATGTTGCCGGGAACTTTTTGTAAGTGGCATGGCATACCTACACGGAAGTCCCTACGAAAGTGCAATAGCAACATTGAACTAATCTGCTATCCCACAGGCCAGGTGTGGCAGCTATCGGCCTAGCAGTTGGTCAAGTGGGTGTCGGAATAGGAACAGAGCTCGGCCATGCTTCTACGGTGGCGAAAGCCTTATCAAAAGCCAACCTGGAACTGTTTGTGCCAAATGGTCTGGAGATTTGGTAAGCCTGCGTTGTTTTATAGCCGTTCGTCTCTGATTCAAGACCAGCATTGGCGACACGAAAGATCTCGAAGCAGAACTCGGCATGTCGTTATCGTCACATCAAACAGCGTACGGTATCCCATCCCCAGAGGAGAGACTTGCGGCTTGTGGCAGCCTTGTCGCTCCGCTTTCTCATGTGCTGCTATCATTAGAGCACGTCGGTCGCAGCGATGTGATTGCTCAGCTGGGCTCAGGAATAGGCAACCGCGACGAGCAAAGAAAGAATGGGAGAGCCCAGAGGCAGATGGCAAGAGGAAGGCCGCGCAGGAAAGGAGATGCATTGGAGAAGAACATACAATGCGTAAGTCTGTTTTCACAATATCGAAGACAGCAACTAACGTCCAGCTTCAGCTCATAGTCAGACAGGCCACTCCTGAGTCACTTGCACATTGGCAAAAAGCATTGCAGCAGAGCAACATGGCACTAGAGCATGAGACTGCGTAAATCTTGTCTCGCCATCAACACACAATGCCAAATGTCCTCTTTCCGAATGCTTCTTCCATGCCTCTACAAATCAAAGAAGTCTGACTACCATCACCAACGTTCGGCTTCATCGTCCATAAGATTTCAAATCCTCAGTCATCTGCCTAACGGCCATTCAATCCACTTCGGGTTGTTGACGGGCATCGAGGCCCAAAAGCATGCTACGCCGGGAAGTTTCTTATCGCAGCAGTTCTTCACGTCTCGTGGTAGTGCAAGTGTGGATCTCGCGCACCCTCGTAGAAAGGGTGGCCGGGAAGCTTACTGTAGATCGATCGATCTCAGTCTTGAACAAACCGTCATGAGGACTATGGCATCATCTCCCTGTGGTTCGGAAGACGTATCTTTACCTACAGTAAGATAGGGAATAGGAAAAAGTCTGACTGCATTGATGTTAGCGGCAAACGATAGTCCCGAAATCGTAAAAGAAATAACGCCGCCGCTTTCATTAACAAGAGATGGAAAGCATTAACAAGAGATGGAAAGACATTACACTGGCTGACCCAAAAGCATCCACAACTCATCAACGACCAAACGCTATGGGCTCATCAGCCCGATGCAAAGTCACTGTCTTGTTGACCAAGAACTCGGAGATTCCATATGCGGCATTGTTGTCGCCCCAACCGCTGCCTTTGACGCCCGAGACGGGAACAGTCGCGGGGTCGTTGACCGTGGTGGTGTTGACATGGACTTGGCCGTACTCAAACTTACGCGACAAGTCAAGAGCCTTCATGGTGTCGCTTGTCCAGACTGTAGCGTTCAGGCCGTACGCAGAGTCGTTGGCGAGGGAAATTGCCTCGTCCTCCCCATCGACGACGTACAGTGACGCCGAAGGACCAAAGGTTTCGTGGTCTCGGATCTTGTCGTCTCGACTGACACCTGTGATGATGGTGGGTCGAAGAGAAGTGTGGCCATCATCCAGCCAGGTATTGTCACCAGCAAGGAGTTTCGCGCCGTTCTGAACAGCCGACTCAATCATGGTGTGTGCATTGTCCGCTCCCGACTTCAACGCGGCAGCTCCAGCCTCACCTGTATAGTGGGCATCTACCTCCTCTTTGAGGATGCGGCAGAATTTGTCAGCGACGCTTTGCACAACAATGATTCGTTCGGTCGAGAAACAGATCTGCCCGTGGTGAAGGAAGGCGCCAAAAGCGCAGAGCTTCGCAGCCCTAGAAAGGTGTGCATCTTGAAGGACGATGGCGGGTCCTTTTCCTCCCAGCTCCAGCCAGATCGGCTTCAGATGTTTGGCGGCGGTCTGCGCAATCATGCTGCCTACTGCGGCACTCCCAATGAATTCGATCTTGCGGATGTCGCGGTGGCTGATCAAGGCTTCCGTCACAGCTGCAGCTTGCTCTCGTCCACACTGCACCTGGTTCAGACATCCTTTGGGCAATCCAGCTTGTTCAAAGATGTCGACGAGAATGCGGTAGGTCCACGGGCAGACTTCTGAAGCCTTGAGCACAACGGTACAACCAGCAGCGAGGGCAGAAGCAATTCCTCGCCCGCCAAGAACAGCTGGGCTGTTCCATGGAGGGATGCACAGCACGGGTCCGATAGGCTCTTTCATGACAAGTCCGTACCCCTCAACATCCATCGGCGGTAGAGTTCCGGTCAGAGCCGTGGTGATGTTGCCTGCGATCTCACGGAGTACGCCGCTGGCGAGCACGGGCATGAAGCGAGCGTATCCCCAGGTGCAGGATGTCTCCAGGACCTGGGCGGCGGCCAGTTCTTCACTCTTCTCGTCCATGATTGCAGCTGCCTTCAGCAATGTCTCGCGTCGTTCATTATGGCGAGTGTACCTCCAAGTCTTGAATGCTTCGGCCGCGGCGTCGACAGCTGCTTGGGCGTCTGTCGCATCAGCACCTTGGGCGTAATGTACGACTTTTGAGTCGCGAGCATTTACGACTTCGAGGAACCGTGATGGTTCCAGCGGTCGAGAGGCGCCACCAATCCAGAGAGGAATAATTTGCTTCCCAGAATGTTCGACGAATGCCATCTTGTCAGGTAGGTACTGGAGCTGTTGTTGTGGTAAATATGGAAGCAGATATGCTACCGGGAGAAACACTTATATGTAGTTCAGTAGCTTCTGCTCGGCGAGCTTATGACGCCGCTTGCATTGCTGCAGTTACACGAACGAATATAGATGCGATTGGCCATACACGCGCGCAGAGGGAGCATCCTGGCGGCTGGGAGCCAAGGGCTGCCGGCTGAGCAGCGGCACTGTCAACCCGACCCCATCGAAGAGTTCATAACGTCAACAGCATCTGCTCATCTGGATAGTACATAGCAACGTCTTACTAGACTTAGTTTAGCGTGGGGCAATCGAAGGAGGACAGTCTTGAGACTCGTCTTCTGGAAGCGGAGATAATAGCTTGTGCTGCTGCCAGCTCCGCGAGTGATCTGCGGTTGTACATAGCAGTTCGGCTTGCCGTGGTCGGAGCTCTCTACTCCGGAGCGGATCTTTCGCGGGAGCGTCCAGCTCTGCCTGGAATGAGATACTAGTCGTCATTTTGCGACTTCATCATTCTGGCAACAACGGGCAGAGCGGCAGACTGCGAGAATCGATCTGAAGTCCTCGTGTAAGCCGAGAGATGTTGTATTCGGAAAGGCCAGTGGCTGAAGAATGTTAGGTATAGTACTAACCTGCCAAAGAGTTCGGCCGTATTGCAGTCTCAGTCAAGGGACGAACAAGATGTGCACAGGAGGCTGACATATTGAGGATGGATGCCAACTGTTGTCTTCGTCCTGGGAAGTGGGACGAAGTACGAGTAGTATCATTTCTCATCTCAAGTGGCGGCTTGTACTCAAGTAAGACATCGTCGTCGACCTGTTCAGATGCGTTTCGATGCAAATCGACGCGTTCAACGCGACCTTTGATTGTTGTGGAAGACTCGACGCGATGCCCGGGCGACAGAAAAGCGCTGCGCGCAAGGTCTACGTACATTTGAGACTGCTGGTACTGAACTTACGCATTGTGAATCTAGCGCGCCGACCTCACCTCTTCTTTTGCGACCGGATATATTCGCTGAAAATCAGATCTTCCTTGGACTACCGCGGAAAATGTTACTGCAGCTCTGCGAACATTCCAGTGGAACTTGACTTGTTGTCGAATTCGAATCATGTCGACGACAGCAGCATAACACAGCCGCAGACTTGATAGCGCTGCGCCCCATCTCGTACCACGAGACAGCTGAATATCTTCCCGTTGAATATACAGCTTCTTTCAGGCGCATTCTTCTCTTCTCCCCTTCCACTGATTTCAAAACGATGGCGATTTGAACCTTTGCAATGGCTGAACTCTTTGGAACGGCTGCAGGCGTCCTCCAAGTGGCTGAAGTGGGCTTCAACCTGGCCACAACTTTGTACAAGTACGCTTCGACTGTGAAAGGCGCCGAGAGAGACATCAAGCGTATCGCACGAGATGTCAAGCTCACCTCAAAGGTCCTGGAGCGAACACATGAACAGTTGAAAGCAGACCAACAAGCACAACTGTGTACGGACGATGCCCTTGTTGATCTTGAGGATGTCCTGGACGGATGCCGCGAAGCATTTCAGGAAGTTGACGACGCTCTCAACAAGTCCATGAAGCCTTCCAGCGGGAAGCCTGTAATAACGTTGGCCGAGAAACTCAAGTGGCCGCTGAAACAGGACAAACTGGAAGTCCTGCGTGCAAATCTGGAGAAGTTGAAGACGACATTACTGCTCATGCTGAGTGTTTTCGCGTATGGTAGCAAGGTGCAACAGACGTGGGTGTCCATCTGTTCTCGAAACGTGACATACTAATTGCACTGCAGACAAGCCAAGAGAACCGACATCAAGGTGGAGTTGAGCTTGGAGAAGCTTCAAATCCAGAACTTGATACAAGCCAAAGACGAGGCAACTAGCCGCTATGAAGAGCTCAGTGCGGCCTTTACGAAACTGGAGATGAGGATCAACGACAGTGCGAAGATGATTCCACAATCGTCCGGGTCGTCAACCGGGGCAGAAGCAATATCTATGCTGGCAAAGCCAGGCTCAAGTTTAGTGAATGCAAGAACAGTAACGCCAAATGCTCTCAAATCTGGCTCAACTGAGTCCAGCGCTGTTTCAACAAGGCTAAAGGAATGTGCGTCAGCTGTAAACAAGTTGACGACGAGTATTGATGTCGCCACCAAGCGATGGGAGTCTCAGCGGGTGTTGGAACACGACAACATCTCTCAATTACTCCGAGATGCGGTCCTTGCCGTCGAAACACTGAGATCTTCCGAACCCCGAGGCGGTCTCACTTACTGCACGCTCTGCAGGAAGTTCGCCAGAGAAGAAACTCGATCGTCAGTAGTGTCCAGCAAGGCATCCCGGATGAGGAATCGGCTTCCCAAACCCCAGCGCCGGATGCCACCATTCCGTTCTACACAACACCTCAGCGGCGCTCGTTCCTACCCAAACGACAACAGATGGAGCAGGAATCTACTCCCGATCCCGCGAGGTCTAAGGCTATCGCTCAACAGGACGAGTGGCTCAAGATGAAAGAACGTGAAGCAGAAGAATACGAGGATCGTCTCTTTCGGGTCCAGAAGGAGATATGTGCTGATGCTGACCCCGATGGATCAAAGCCTCTATTTGCTTCGCTGAAAAAGAAGTCGGGCCAAGGAGTAGGCGCCTTGGCACCTGATGCCTCCATCCCTACTACGTCTGCAAGACCAAAGCCTGCTGCGTTGAAGCTCGAGACAACAACGACCGCTGAGTATGTGTGGGACGATTTTGCAGATCGGCGTCACAGAGAACGTTGGGTCGAAGACACATGGGACGGTCCTGAATCGTGGACAGCCAAGCAAGGCTCGTCTGGTGCTTCAACCCCTATCTATGGGGTCGATTACGGTAGTAGACGCAATGCCGCCAGCCAATCGTGGGACGTCGAGAACGTAGAGGACCTGACCATTGAAGCTTTCGACCCTAGGGAAGACTGCGATTTGGCTGATGGAGTCAACGTGGAACTCGAGCGCGAAGATGAAGACGACGACGGAGACTCTAACATGGTCGATAATCTCCTGCGGAGGTGGACAAAGGTGTCAGCTGTTGCCTAGAAAAGGACCGGCTCCATTCCGTATAAGATTTAACGGATACGTAAGTCGAAGACACCATGACCACGGAAGGAGGATCAGCAGCCATACATCAGTAATAGCGGCAGAAGGCTACTTGATATGAGCAGAACCGCAGATAATAAAATTTAAGAATCCAGATTCCTATCAATCGACATAAATCCTCCATAGTTTACGCTTCTCTTCCGACTCAAAGGCCTCTCGCGTGTGCATCATGGCGAGATTGTCCGACACCACGACGTCCCCTTGCTGCCATTCAAGTCGCACACAGACCCTCCTGTCGTATAGAAGCTCGTCGATGACCTTCCCCAAGCCTTCCGAGTCGTCCTGAATGTGGCTTTCCACGGCTCCAAACGCACTGCGCCGCAAGGTTAAAGGTATTCGAACTTCAGGTCCAGTCCCTCCCAGTCGAGAAGATCAGATCGCTGGTGGAAGTAGCTAGGTCGTCCATCATTGAGAATCAGCCCATGTGTCAGCGCTGGTACATCGCCTGCGTGCATCATGGCGATCTGTTCTTCGACGCTTCGCGAAAGGGCGCCATGCCATGGTGTCTTTCGCACTGTATTCTGTTGTGGTAGCACGGCTATGGAGACCTCTTCGATGTCTGTCGAAGCATTTGCCAATAGATGTATTGTCTTCCTGAACACCTCATGGGTAGTTCTTACAAGCAGCTAGTTAGAGTATGACTCCTGAGCGCTCAACTGAGCCCTGTCACATGCCTTCGAGACCGCCTACTTGGCAAGTGAATCCGAGAATGAAGCGTCACTGTTTGCAGGTGGCGTCACTGCCGGCTCTTCACACGTGACGCACCGCCAAAGCTGCTGCAAATTCCTGTTCCAGCTTCTTCTCTCCTGCGACACACGCGTGCAACCCAACACAGGTCGCAAGACATGGCGCCTGATCCTGCGGTGGTGGTCGCACTCGACCACATCGCACACCCGCCTGACATTGCTCCGCCGCCACCACCAGATGGCCCGGGCGACACTCCCACTCCATTCGAGGCTACCACCAACACCGACATTGACGGAGACGCCACGAAGAAACTCGGCCCATTCGACTTGCCACATGAGCCACAAGATCCAGTCGAGGCTACCTCCAACACCGACATCGACGGCGACACACCCAAGAAAATCAGCCTCTTCGACTTGCCGGTTGAACTGCAAGATGCTATCTTCGACTACGCCTATCCTCCCATCGTCCATCTCAAGCTCACCACCAAGGCGTGCTGGGAGGCCGACGAGTACTATCGCTGCCTTCGCCGTGACACCCACCAGATTCGGCCCTTCCCGGACGTCAAGATATCGGAGTTCTTGGTGTCCAAAAAGTTCTTCGGAACGGCAATTGAAGCATGGATGCGCAACCAATGGATCCAAGCGGGCTCCGTCGTACGCAGTCACGTTTACGGCGACGGCGCAGAGTCGGTGATTACCAAGAAGGCGCCGAACATCATCGTCGCTCACACCTACGACCTGATTCTACTAAAGCGGTGCTTCTCGGCCGTGAAGAGATTGAAGCTCATAGTGGATGTGGGAGAATTCCAGGAATTGGCACCCCGGCTCCCATGGGAAGTAGTATACGACGACGACGAGATCAAGACGACTGAAACATCCTGTCAAGTCTCACAGTTTCGTGGACTGATCTCTTTCGAGGTTGACCCGGCAGAGCGGTACATTTCGAATCTGAGCAGTCATACGGAGTCGAGGTCGAAGACTTGGAGGCAGAACGTGAAGAAGTTTGGGGATCTAGTCAAGCCTCTAGTAATGTTGCCAGCAGACCCGTCTTCACCCGATCCACCTCGAGGAGATCCGCTGTCATCAGATCTGCTTCCACAAGACATGCAGTCAAAGAGGAAGTTCATGAATCGCCACATGGAGGAAGACGAGGATAACGAGTTGAAGTGGGCAGCCATCGAGATTGCAGTATGGCGCGTGTTGGGCATCACGGCTGCTTGCGTGTGGCTGGCGAAGGTCTGAGCCCGGTAATTCTGAAGCGAGATAGATTGCCAATGCGAATTCAAAAGATGCGAACTTCCGAGATACATCCCCGTTACCTCTACTGTCAGTAATATGTCTATTCAAAGCTCGCTGCCATGGACTACTGTGATATGACGGGGAGACCTCTGGGGTCTCCGAGTTTCTACTACAGAAATTAGGGCTTGTAGCTCACGGACTAGACCAGCAGCGGACGCGACCCACTAGAGACACGGACGAGAGTCCGTATGTACTCATCGTGATGTCGGCTCGAGTGTTGAAAGAACGCGTATACTCACCATTTTGTAGCATGGAAGCTTGGTCGTGATGAGTGGACTTTGCGACGTCTGTAGATGTATCCCCGTGGTTCCTATGGTGTCTAATCTTCGTGATCGACTCTCGCTGCCATGGACAGTGTCGATGTGGGTGGGATGACCCCTTGTTTGCAAAGTTAAGCTTCGCGTGTGAAAGGAGTGTTGCTGGGCGAAGACTTGGGCTTCATGATTCTGTGAGAAGGTAGCCCACCAACGCGAAGTTGACAGACGTATCCCCGTTCTTTCTGTAGCGTCTAATGGTTCTGAGGCTTCATCCTTACCATGGAATGCTTTCATGTATCTGGGATGTCTCCATGATCGTGAACATGAGGCGTACAAGTGAAAAGCGTGCAGCTGGCACTCCTTACACGGTCCTGACGCGACGCTGAGCGCGTCATATGCTTTACCCAGCCTGACCTTGAGCCAAAGGGGGGATTCGCATAGCCCCTGCGGGCCCCTAAAGAATCAAATGTCGAGAGACGCCACATCTTCTCATCTTTCATGTGTTTCTCCGCTGGCTTGCAACATACCGTGCCATCATTGGGATGAGTCTTCGGCTTATCGCGCCCCTGACTAGCGGGAAGTTCCGCAAGTTCAAGTCGTCGCCCTTTGTTCGCCACGCCCGCGTCGCGGCCTCACAACAAAAGCCACCCCAACCTCGACCATGGCGGGCACGGCGAAGAAGCCCGGGCTCTTCGATCTCCCGCAAGAGCTCCTCGACGACATCTTCGACTGCGCCTACCCAGAGGAACAGGGAGTGGAGTTCGTTGCCAAAAGGAACTGGTCGCACACTCAATTCTATCACACGCGGGAAGATTCGTCATATCAAACACGACCATTCCCCACCCCAAAAGTATGCGACTTCCTCGTCAGCAAGACCTTCCTCCAAAACGCTGCCAAAGCGTGGATCGGCAATCAAGTCATCGACGCTCTGCTGCCGGCCATGCTGAGCCTGGGCCGACGAACTGAGAGCAACGAGGATCTCAATCTCCTCTTCAAGTACTCCAGAAAGGTACTTTGGGGGTTGCTGCACGCCGAAGACTTCTTCCAATTCTCTGCAGTCAAAGAAGTGAGGATGCCAGTGGAGTCGTGCAAGCTTCTGACCGACTCCAAGTATCCCTGGCAGTCGGTCTATGACGACGAAGACATCAAGAAGACCGAGATCTATCAGCAAGTCTGCAAATTCCGTGGATTGACAAGCTTTGAGGCTGTCACCAGCGACTGGTACGAGATTGAGGAAAAGAGTCAGACCGAACAAGACATCTGGAACGCCAATCTTCGGAAGTTCGAGCAGCTGGTGACGATTGAGGCGACTAAGCCCAAGCCCGAGCCCGAGCTCAAGAATGAGCAGGAGCAGGAGCAGGAGCCGACAAAGGAGTTGGACCCGGAGGACGACGACTCATACCAGGCTAAGAAACTCGAGTCACAGCTACTGACCCGCCTCGTTCTGAACTATGCCAACGAGGGAGGCCCGGCGCAACTCAGCTCGAGCGACATACCGGACTCGTATCAAGATATCGTCAAGATGCTGGTTTCTACGCCTAAGAAGTTCTTGGATTGGGTACTGGCAGCCAAGGCAAAAGAGCAAGAGGTGCCAAAAGAGGACGATGGCGGAAATGAAGCAAAGAAGGAGGACAAGGGAGATGCGGACAAAGACGGCCACGCGGAGTCGACTGAGGAGCGTCCTAGCAAGAGGCAGAAGACGCACTAGGAACATGCGGAGCAGAAAGAAGATGAGCTGAGAGCAATCGGTGGTCGCAGTATGGATGTGCACACGCAGAACAGGGAGCAAAGGGAGTGAGGAATGAGCAGATATCCCAGTGAAAGAGTGCTTCAGAGACCTGCCGTCGACAGGTTGCAGGGCACAGTATGGTGGAGAGCAACGGAGAGGGATGCCGTTTTGTCTACACTTCCACAATTCTAACTGTCTTTGTCTTCATCTTTGTCTCCTTCCCCGTCCCTCGCTAGTTCCTTCAACGTCTCGCCATGTTCTTTTGTTGCAGCCTTCCAACTCGACCTCGCCAACTTAAACGTATCCGTAATCCGCGAATAGCTAATATCCCCCAATTGTCCTAGTGGCCTCAATACATCGATATCAAGATGCTTGCCATCCGCATCGATCGCGTCTTCCCGCGCCCAGAAACGCGTCCCTTCGATGATCGCAAGCTTTCCATGTGCCCCTGATGACGGGCGAGAAGTCTTGTAGTCCACTGTCTGAATGAGTCGGCCCTCGATGGAGAAGATCGACTCTTGCACCCTGGCAGGTTTGACCGTCGAACTCGGCGCTTTATATAACCCCGAGATCGCCCACTCAGAAGTCCCCGGCGGAGCGTCGAGAGATGTGGCGTTGACGGCTTCCATCATGTGCTCTGAAACCACGTTGAGCACACACTCCCCGGTCTCCTCCAGATTCTTCAAGGTATCCTTCGGCCCACTAGCCCGCCCCGAGAATCCTATCACGAACACGGGCGGATCGTGATCTACGACTTGGAAGTAGCTGAAAGGTGCTAGGTTCGGCTTGCCGTCTTTCGAGAGCGTGCTTGTCAAGCCGATCGGTCGGGGAACGATGCCGGATATGAGGAGGGTGTAGTTGTGGAACATTGGTCGTCCGGGGGCGTAAGGGTCGATCTCGATGTGTTTCTTCGTGAGTGATGAACCATTGTCGGTCGCTCCTTGGCCGTATTTCCAGTCTGGGTTGGCGTTTTTGGTGACGGAGATTGGGCGCACGGGTTTGTAGTCCTCTGTTGGTTGGGGACCGCCGCCTAGCGAACTGTAGTCTGCTTGCGCAAGACGACTTGAAGTCGTCGTCATGTGCCGTTTTTGTTCTGTTGTGAGAAACCCCGACTTGGAAGACGAAAAGCTAGGTTTGTCAGCGTAAGGTTTTAGGCTGCGAGATTCACGTACAGGATCTGGTGTTTCGCGTGTTGTCGAGCTACAGCTGCCGATTGCAGTCTCGAAGCCATCGAAGGCGTCGTTTCTCTGTTTCGACTATTGCATGTACATAAGTACGAGTCTACAGAACGACCTTTGTCGTTGGCGGTTCAATCGTACGTCGGCAAAGAGATCCGATTTCGGCTTTAGTGGCCGAAGAGATTGTGAATGTACGTTTATTGTCACGACAGTCGAAATCTCATCTGATCTCCCAACTCTCGAGTATTTTGGAGCATGTGGGGTGTTACCGTACCTAGTTGTATCAGATCCTGTCTTATCAAGACAGTATGTATCTTCTACAAAAGCTATATAAGACTGTCTCGTATTTGCAGAGGGTGAGACTTTCACAATACACAGGCCTCTTCGATGGCGCATCGTGCTACGTTCTGTGATTCATCGTTCTGCTTTGCGCACTTCTTCAGCCGCAAGCCGCCATGTTCGGAGTCTCCTGTCATGGACTACATGGCCCGGAATTGACGCCTGATTTCGCCTGTGGCAGCGTGCCTAGCCTTCGGTCAAAGGCATCGAGAGAGGCACCGAAGATGCAGCGGCCTGGCCGTAGGCAGATCTTATTGTACACTGAGGAGGGTTCGTTTCTGGCGTATGAAATGAAGTCATTGCTGTTGCCTTTTTGTGCTACGCGCGGCTTGTGACGAAGCGACAATTGGTATTGCTCGTGAGCGTTCGAAGTGCCATCTACAAGAGATGCCGCATCAGTCGTCTTTTGACAAGAAGCGATGTAGTCGTCGTGCAAAGGTATTGTTTCTACGACAGTGAAGTAGGTGTTGAGGAGGTGACGTCGTCAGAAACATGAACTGTGGCTGACATCCGCGCGGCTCCACAGCATGCTCGTCCTTGGCGTCGATCGCTCCTCCCGGCCACGAGGCCCAGTCCCAGCTGCGTGTTACACCCGTGACTCCCTCACTGCACCCCCTTCTAGCTTGGATGTCTTTGTCACTCAATTGATTGATTCGGGAGCCCTCGACATGTTCTCCGGCTCGAATTCCTACCTTGGCGGCGGCAACAGCGCCCGTGGCCAGCCTCCGTTCCAACAGCAGCAACAGCAGCCGTACGGAGGGCAGCAATATGGCCAACCTCAACCCCAACAGCAGCCCGGCTATGGTCAGCAGCAGCTGCAGCAACAGTACACCGGATATCCTCCCCAAGGCGGACTGCAGCCTCAAGCGACCGGTTTCCCAGGCCAGCAACCACAGCAGTTCCAGCAGCAACCGCAGTATACCGGCTTCCAACAGCCACAGCCCACAGGCTTCCAACAACCTCCTCCGCAGCAAGCTCCTCAGATCCAGGTTCAGCAGCCTCAACCCACGGGCTTCCAGCAGAATGGCATCCCGCCTCCACCACAGCCTCAGCGACCCCAGGCGACGGGCATGACCAGCAACGACATGGCCAACTCATTCCGAGGCACATCTTCCCAGCCAGCGCCTGCTGCCCCTGCTCCCAAGTCAGGCAGCAGAATTCCAAACATTCGATTGAGCTTCATCACGGCGCAAGATCAAGCCAAGTTCGAACAACTATTCAAGAGCGCGACATCGGGCGAGCAAGCGTTGAGTGGAGAGAAGGCAAAGGACTTACTCTTGAGGAGTAAGCTCGATGGCAATAGCTTGGCGCAGATATGGACGTTATCGGATACCACAAAGTCTGGGCAGCTGCTGTTCCCAGAATTCGCACTCGCTATGTACCTGTGCAATCTCAGACTCACAGGCAAGGACATGCCACCTTCGCTGCCTGAGAAGATTCGCAATGAGGTTTCGAGCATGGTCGACATCATCTCGTTTGGTGTTGAGGATAACGCGCCCCCATCCGCTCCCACTAGCAATGCGCCGAACTTCAGCGAACCACCCAAGATTCAGCAACCACAGGCGCAGAACCCGAATAATCAGCAACTTCTCAGCCAGCTCACGGCGCAGCCTACGGGCTTCCAGGTGCCGCAAGTGACGGGATATCAACAGCCTCAGCCGACCGGCCTGCAGCCACAGCAGACTGGATTCCCAGGTGGAATGCCCCAAGCGCAAGGCTACACTGGACCGCGTCCTCCAATGCCCCCAATGCCAACTGGGATGGGCCAGAACCAGGGTCAAGGTCTGTCTCCGAACTATGGTCTTACTCCTCAGCAGACCGGTATGCCAATGGCAGCTCCCTTGAACGCTCAACCTACAGGAGCACCTGGTCAATGGGGTCTGGTCAACGCACCAGCAAGTGGGTTGCCTAATCTTCAGGCACTTCAGCAACAGATGATGCCTCAGCCAGGAAGAGAGTCGGGGTTCAGTGCTCAAGGGCTTCGAGGAAATGCGACTGTGCCATGGGCTGTTACAAAAGACGAGAAGAAGATCTATGATGATATGTTCAAGGCTTGGGATGGCTTTGGTAAAGGATACATTACTGGCAATCAAGCGATTGAGATCTTCAGCCAGTCAGGTCTTGACAAGCCTGAATTGGAGCGCATTTGGACATTGAGCGATCCACACAACAAGGGCCGATTGAACCTCGACGAGTTCGCGGTCGCCATGCATTTGATTTATCGTCGCCTGAATGGCTACCCTGTACCAAACCAGCTCCCGCCTGAGCTCATCCCACCCTCGACTCGCAACATCGATTCCAGCATCGGCACGATGAAGAACCTACTCAGCCAGGACGCGCAATCACGAAAATCGACCGGCGCATTCCTGCAGCCTCAAAAGACCGGAGTCAGCTACCTCAAGTCTCACTCTTTCCGAGCGAACGGAGCTCCAGACGGCAGCCGTAAGGACGCTACAGTCTTCAAGAACAATGACGACGACGTTGGATACCGCTCCTCTGCCAGGCGAAGAGTTGGCGAAAATGGACGAAGCTCATCCCCTGCTCTCAGCGACACTAGCAGTGCCACTGCAGACGAGATGAGCATTGATCAGTTGAAGAAAGTCATCAGGGAGAAGCAGGTCTTGCTCGACGCAATGGACTTTGAGGATGAGGGTAGACAAGATGAGGAGGATGCGCTAGATCGCAAAGACCGAAAGGAAAGCGAGGACCTGTTCAGACGAATTCAAAGAATACAGGAAGACATCGACAGCCATCCAAGCAGCGCTTTCAAGAGCGGGGATTCTGACGCTGAACGACGTTCTCTGCAGAGACAGCTGCGCGGATTGCAGGATCGTTTGCCAGAGCTCGCTAGCCATGTGCGACGATGTGAGCGGGCTATTGCAGATGCACAGTTGGAACTCTTTAGGCTGAAAGACGCCAAAGCGAATCCAGGATCATCCGCTGCGATCGTGGGCACTGGACCTGGTGGGGCCGTTACTGAGAGCGATCGTCTGAAGGCTCGAGCCAAAGCTATGATGCAGCAACGCTCGGCAGCTCTGACCGGAAAGAAAGTGGAAGTTGCGGATGATGGTACTGCGGCGGCGCGAAGGCTGGAAGAAGAGAACAAACGTGTGTCCCGAGAGCGTGAAGACAACGAGAAGATGGTCCGTGATGTTGAGGAGAGCGTGACTGAGTACAGCAAGGGTCTTGAATCGAACCTCAAAGAAGGCGCCGAGTCGGCTTCAGATGAACACGAGCGACGTAGATGGGAAGATGGTCTTGGGGTCGAAGACGAGATCAAAGACTTCATCTTCGATCTACAAAGAAGCTCAAGGTCCGCTCGAGTTCGCAACGAAGAGCGGGCACCTGTTCGACCGCGAGCTCCAGAACCAGCCGAGGACCCCAGCCGCATCAACTCGCCAGTGTCTCGTACTGACAGCCCAGCATCGAGCCGACCAGCGGCATCTACACCTCAGACTTCCGGTTCATCCTACTCTAGCTACAAGACGGCTGAAGAGCGTGCAGCTTTCATCAAACAGCAGGCAGAGCAGCGCATGGCCGAGCGTCTTGCTGCACTTGGGCTCAAGGCTCCATCTAAGGGTGGCGAGACAGCAGCTCAGCGTGCTGACCGCGAGCGCAAGGAGCGTGAAGACAAGCTGAGGCTGGCCGAGGAAGAAGATGCGAAGCGTGAGCAGGAACGTCAAGCCAGACTGCAAGGCGAGTCTATCGCTCCACCAGCACCAGCTGCTTCTGCTGGCAAGCCAAAACCGCCGCCACCGAGGAAGAACAGGAGCGAGAGTGTCCAGAGTGATCAGGCGCAAGCTGAAGCCAAGCGAGCAGAACACGAAATCAAGGAACAGGCTTTGAGAGAACAGGAAGAGGCTATGGCTAAGGAGACAAAGCAGATGGAGTATGTCGAATCAAGATCCAGCTCGAGGTTATCAGATACTGACTATTCATTTCATAGGAACGAAGAGGCACGGCAAGAGCGCGAATTACAAAAGCAACGTGAAGAAGCCGAAGCATCCCTTCGAGCACTTGAAGAGCAGGTCAAGGCAGGCAAGGTCAAGAAAGCCGAGGAAAAGAAGAAACGAGAGGCTGCCAAGAAGGAACAGCAGGAGAAGGAGTCTCGATTGGCAGCACAGAGAGCCGAGATCGAGGCTGCTAAGGAACGTGAGATGCAGCTCCGACTCCAGCTCGAGAGTATGGGTGATGACGACTCAAGCGACGACGACGATGAGGCAGAGAACAACACACCGGCTGAAAGCACCCCGACCCAGAGCATGGAGCTGCCAAGGGTGCAGGAGCCTCCACATGCGCCCCCGATACCTGAAGTAGCAGCGCCGCCACCTCCGCCAATGCCAGACTCGACTGTCACGAGTCCAGCTGCTTCGGTGACCAGCCCTCCATCTGAGTCTAAGAACCCCTTCTTCCGCAGCATGAACCAACAACCCGCATCTTCTGCGGCTTCACCAGAGGCCGACAGGAAGGTTGACACAAACCCCTTCCATCGACTCACCAACCAGGATGTCGCCAAGCAGCAAGCCCTGCCTGAACCGGTGGCTGCACCGAGCAGGACGAGGTCGAAGCCTGCTGATGAGGATGACTGGTCTGTGGTCGAATCGTCAGATGATGAGGACGAGGATGACAAGCCACAAGGAGGAAGTGCTAAGCAGCTCGCTTCAATCCTCTTCGGAACCATGGCACCACCACGTCCGCTATCTGCCATGGACAGCCCCACAACAGCATCTGGTCCAGCTTCACCAGCGCCAGCGAGGGATGGAGTGTCCTCGCCGCCACCACCGCCTCCGTTGCCATCTGGCGGTGCACCGCCACCTCCTCCTATGCCCGGCGCTGCTGCCCCTCCGCCACCCCCCATGCCGAACTCAGGTGCCCCACCACCACCGCCTGGACCACCGCCGCCACCTTCAGGAGGTGCTCCTCCAGCAGGAGGATTGCCAGACCGATGTGGCTTGCTGGAGCAGATCCAGCTTGGCAAGGGACTCAAGAAGGTGCAGACCAAGGATCGAAGCGAGTCTTCCGTAGCGGGTCGCGTTTTGTAGAAGTTGTGCGGTGGTCCGTAAGATAATCAGAATGTACAGTATACTTGTTCTTGTCTGTCAGTAAGCTGATACTTTATATCAGCCGCGTCGAAACCACTTGCACTGCAATCGTCCACCTGTTTGATCTTCCATCCCAGAGGTCCTCGCTGGAGGCCGCTATTTGCAGTTTTTGTCCCAGGACAAAGCTCGCATGCCTTCACGCCGCAGTTCGCGGAACCTCGTATTTCGTACTCTCATATCTTCGTATATTCGACGTCACGCCTTTTGGTGAAAGCCTTTTTATGTAGTGTCGGTTTAATGGAGGACGAGACCGATAACGAGGCTATAGAGCCCCAACTACTTCTGTTTCCGAAGCAGGCAAGTTTGAATACGATGAAACGGCTTGTACCTGTGCAAGTTAACATTGACTGGAGACCAACCCGCTAAGTTGAATTCTGGAGATTGTGGATGCTAATTTTATGGTAGCTTTCGGTACAATGTACGACGAGGCCAGTGAGTTTATTTCGACGTCAAGTGCTTGCTTGTCAGTACAAAGTCCATAGAGTCTGCCATTTCAGAGCGATGGGATTGGCCCCTCGAGAAGTCATGTCGAGACTTACCGCCTGTCTGGCTCTACTTCTGGGGACCACGGCGTACGGTGCAAACCCAGGATCTCAATATGTGCTCTCGCCGTCTTCGCGAACCATCCTACCGAAGTGGATCTATCAGACAAAAGGGAACGTCACTATCCAATCATCAAGAAATTACTCCTCGCCTGTAGTCTTGACTGGACCCAATGCTTCCGTCACGTACGACTTCGGCCAAATGGTCGCTGGGATCCCGGAGTTCACATTCGGCGAGGGTCACTGTTCTTTCTGCAACACTCTCGGTCTACCAGGTTACACTTGCGGCACCCTTTGCTCGGGTCTTGGCCTATCATACACTGAATCTGCTCGATTCGTCGGACCGGCTTCAGATAACTCGACTCTGTACTCGCACGAAGACGGAACTGTCTACCTACCAGTCTTCCCGGGACGCTACCCAACGCCAGCGAAATGGCAAAGAGGCTCCTTCCGCTACTTGACCCTCTCAATGCCCTCATCAGCCGCTCAAACCCAACGGATCACCGTATCCTTCGATCGAGTCCTCTTCACCGCCCAGCCTTCCCTCACAAACCCCTCTCAATACGCCGGCTACTTCCACAGCTCCGACGACCTCCTGAACCGCATCTGGCACGCAGCAGCCTACACCGTCCAACTCACCACCGTCGCCGCAAATTCCTCCGTGCAGCACTTGCTCATCTTGCAATCCGCCGGGTGGGAGGAGTCGGCACAAGCGGATGGGCTGATTGCGACTGATGAATATCTCTCTGATGGGGCTAAGCGAGATCGAAATCCTTGGAGTGCGGATTTGGCAGTAGGGATCAGGAGTTCTGTTGTTACGCAGAAGGGCCTTGTGGCGGTCAAGAATGCGCTGGAGGCGTGCTTTACTATTCAAGATGTGCTTACTGGATACTTGCCGTATGCTGGTTCGCCGCTGGGTAATTTGTTTGCTTTGCGTAAGTCATGTCGAGAAACGAAGAAAAAAGTGGCGGTACTGATTTCTGCGATGTGCAGTTGGACAGGCCTATGACTCGGATACGTACCACCTCTGGACCATTGTCGGATACGCAGAATACGTGCTGGCTTCGAATGATACGGCGTTTGGACAGAAGCATTGGAGTGCAGTCATTGGGGCGATCTCTGCTACGTATCAATACGTCGACTCTGCCAGTGGTCTTTTAAATGGGACGAAAGTCAGCGACTGGGGAAGGGTTGGGCAAGGTGGACAAAACACAGCTTTGAACGCCTTGTACTACCACACACTGCTACTGACGGCAAGGATCGGAAATCTTTTAGGACAATCCAACAACACCATAAACGACTACACCGTCAGAGCAGCCAAAATAAAGCGATCCCTCAACGACCTCCTCTACGACCCCTCCGCAGGCCTTTTCTTCGACAACACAACAACAGCCGGCCACGCCCTCCACCCGCAAGACGGCAACGTCCTCGCAGTTCTCTTCAACCTCACTCAATCTCACAATCAAACCATCACCATCCTCCAAAAGCTCGCCCAACGCCACAGCCCCTTCGGCGCGCTCGCTCCCGAACTCCCCGGCGCCATCTCGCCCTTCATCACAGGCCTCGAACTCTACGCCCGTCTCCAAGCACAACACCACAACGCCACCATCGCCCTCTCCCTGCTCCGCACGCAATGGAAATACATGCTTGACACTTTCTCCAACAGCACGCTCATCGAGGGATACGCCAGCGACGGAAGCTTGAACTATCCTTTCTACCCTGACGGTTCGGGGTTCATCTCCCTGGCGCATACGTGGAGCACGGGGCCGCTGTATGCACTTTCGGGGTTTGTGGCGGGATTGAGGATGAGTGGGTTTGATGTGGCGGAGGGGGGTGGGGAGTGGGCGTTTCAGCCTGCTGTGGAGGGAGCAGGGGTTAGTTGGGTGAAGGCTGGGTGGGTGGGGGTGAGGGGGGCTTATGAGGTGGAGTGGACATTGAATGGGGGCAGGTTTGAGGGGACGATTCGTGTTCCTGTTGGGAGTGTGGGGACTATATACCTACCAACGCTCGGACAGGGCAGCGTGAGGAGAGCCACTGTTGACGGGAAAGCCGTCAATGGAGTAAGCGTCGACGGGTTCATCCGAGTGGGCAGTGTGGGAGGTGGAGAGCACACCGTGGTAGTCCAAGTTTGAGAAAGATAGCATGTACGATAAACAGATCAAACGGCCTCTAGTAGTGCCTTCTTCAAGCAAACCCCTTGATCAAATCAGCAGCCCTTTCCGCAATCATCACAACCGGCGCACAAGGATGACAAGCCACCGGCGTAGGGAAAATACTCGCATCCACCACCCTCAATCCCTTAACCCCATGCACCTTCAACTCATCATCTACAACCGTCCCCTCTTCCCCGCTCCTCCCCATCTTCAAACTCCCCATCGGATGGTAGATCGTCTCGCTCGTACTCCTCACCGACTCTAGCAACTCCGCATCGGTCGCTTCGGCCATTTTGGAGGGTAGGTACCAGGAGGAGAAGGCGGGTTTGAAGGGCGCGGAGTGCACGACGGAGCGGGTCAGGCGCATACCGTAGGTCATCATGTCGCGGTCGTGTTGGGTGGAGAGGTAGTTTGCGTTGATTATGGGGGCGTCGAAGGGGGACGACGAAGCGAGTAGGATGTTGCCACGGGATTCGGGACGCAGGAGGATGGGACCGATGGAGAACCAGTTCTGCAAAGGTCCATTATTAGTGACTCAATTATGATGTGAAGAGCGACTATTGAACTCACCTTCGAAGTATCAGCAATCGTCTTCCCATGATCAATATACGACAGCGGTGCCACAAGCAACTCCAGATCAGGGGCATTCTTGCCACTCGTCAAGTCCTTCTTGCGTATCGATTCAGGAGCATCATCGCGATCTTCCACTCGCACGAAACATCCACACTCTGCCGCGTTGGTCGTCATGGCGCCGGTGCCGAAACGCATCCACTCGATCAATGCGGGCAGTGACTTGATCGGATCGAAGAGGTACTGCAGAGAAGGCAGCTTAGAGCTGAAGACGGCTATTCCGGTGAGATGGTCGGCGAGGTTCTCGCCTACGCCGGGGATGTCTTTAACGATAGGGATGTTATATTTCTTCAGTTCGGCGGCTGGTCCGATACCGCTGAGCTTTAGGATTTGTGGTGACGCCACAGCGCCGGCAGACAGGATGACTTCCTTCTTTGCTTTGACGATATAGCGGATGGGGCTAGCCTTGGAAGATGCCATCTCGACGCCAACAGCACGAAGCTCAGATCCGGAAGTATCGAAGATGATCTTCGTGACAGTCTGTTCCGTGGCAATGCTCAGATTCGGACGCCCTGCCACTTTCTCGTTCAGGTACGCCACTGCAGTCGATGATCTCTGTCCTTTGGCGTCAATGAATGATTGGAACTTCGAAGCCCCAATCATGCCTTTCTCGGTATTGAAGTCACTAATCTTCGGAATACCAACGGCCTGACAAGCATCCAGAAACATCTTTGAAAGAGCATGAGCATGCGAGTATCCAACTTGCCACGGCCCCGTGCGACCATGGGATGCCAGGTCTTCGGCAGAAATGTCGGTCGAGTGAAAGCCTTCAGCACGAGTAGCGTACTTGGCGAGGTTCTTCCAGCCCCAGCCACGATTACCTAGTTTCTCCCATTCATCGTAGTCGTCCGGAGAGCCTTTGTTGTAGATCATGGCGTTGATTGCAGAGCAGCCACCGAGCATCTTGCCACGCGGCCAGAAAAGTTCTCGATCGTTACATTCTCGTTCTTTGGCGGTGTGGAAAGCCCAGTCTGCTGCTGTCCCGAGGAGACGGCCGAAGCCTGCTGGGATGCGGGAGAACAGTTGCTTCAGGTCGGAGTGGCCAGCTTCGATCGCGAGTACGGTGGTGTTGGCATCTTCCGTGAGTCGATTGGCGAGGACGCAGCCTGCTGTTCCAGTACCGATGATCACATAGTCGTACTCTCGGGTATTGGTGAGGTCTTTGGCGGATACCTCTCCAGTGTTCGGTCTAGGAGTGGCGAGGAGCGCTGCGTTAGGTTCTCCTGGGAGGACGCTGCGCGGTTGTCAGTATTGATCCGTTACATGTAAATTGGTTTCCATACCTTGGCGACAACCGATGGACAAGCTCTCGAAGCACCTTGGAAACGACGTAGAGACCGCCAGCTCCTACGGACAAATACACCGCCAGCCGTACGTACGAAGCATCGTGCAATTGCCGGGAAAGGTCGGCGTACAGCGTCATCTTGCTGTAATTTCACCGAATTCGTGTTCTTTTCTAGACACACCCTCGAAAGCTGGAGAAACTCGCGTTAAAGTAGTCGGACTGTGATGGACTAACTGTAAGTGTCATATGCTCAGCTAGGTCAAGATGCCGAGGTGATCTTCCAGCTCTGAAGCCACAAAGGTCCCTCTTCACGCCACGGAAGGCAAAATCAGGACAGTGCTTGCCGTCCTCTTATTGGAGATTCCTGGGCCTTTGTTAGCATAGCTGATATAGAACTGAAAGTCTGTCCCCGCATCGTTGAAATAACTTGCTTGGTAGACCAACGAGCGGAGCAGGGAGCTGAAGTTCGGGCCGGTTGTGGAAGTTCAGCTTGCCGATCAAGTTGTGTGCGATTTGCACATTTGACGTTCGTGACCTCGATGGATTTGTTGATATGCGTGCTGCAGGGTTGAACGGACTCAAAAGAGGCGTGCATGGTAGTAGCACGTCCAGCGGTTCGCGATCTCCACAGGGCGAAATCGCGAGAAAGCTTGCATTTCTTTGCAAAAAGCGAAAATTCGCCTTCCGCATGTGTACTTAATAGGAGTTCGGATTACGATAAAACAAGTATTGGAAGGTGAAAATGCTCCGGAAACTGCGTGAACTCGATGTGAGATACGGCCAACAGAATTGAAGAAGCTGACGCTGTCCAACTCCGACCCTTTCGGGACAAGTGAGCGGGCGAGGCTGAGAATCCTGGGGACGATCTTGCTCCATCTGCATTGAAAGTAAGCAAGACCACACCATTTTGTCATGGCTGATGCAGATTCGTTCTTCTGACCGTATCCGAGCGGTGATGCCAGACTGTTGCGATGTGTATTCAGAAAAACTCGCTCCAACAACACAAGCGTACAAAGTCTGCTCTGATACTAGACATCGAATTGCAAGAGAGCATTACGCTGCAAAAACTACCGAGTAATCTCATTCGCTGCTGCGTGTAATGCCGCAAGTAGGTGGATAAATAAGCAAAAACTTTCTTCGAGGAGTGGCTTCTAGTAGACCTTAGCGGTCTTTCTCGACACTGAAACATGTGACCGCAATACAGCACCGTGGTTGTATAACCATTGGAGATCCGCAGTTGTGATATAGATGTAGGTTTCTCAAATTCGAATAATGGTACCAGTGGGTGGAGTATTAGTTCTACTGTAAAACATCATGCTAAACAACGGCGATTCGTGCAAGACTCTCGGCTGTCTGCTTTGGACTGCCTCACGTAGATGTAACACTGTACTACAGTCACTCTGTTCACGATGGAGAACTATAGCGGTCATAGAGACTTAAAGGTCATCGCGATCAAGACAGTAACAGCGAGCAGAGGAACACCGCTAGTATAGCCAAGCCTTCGAGGAAGTCCATCGAAAATTCTAACATTTCGACCACTAACCAACCTTCACGGAAGAAACATGGTATCGTGAGAAGTCTATTATCGCTAAGAATAGGCTATAAGACACCGCACACGTAGTCATGGTGTTTACGTGGTCTTGGAGCACAGAAACACCGCTGGAATCTCCAACCCTTTTGAACGAGCTTGTCGAACGTTTGTCAAAAAATACCAAGATCTCGACGACGGCCTCATCTACGCGATAGTAAAGCGTACCATGGTCATGCTGTTCGTAGTGGGGATGAACGATAAAATTAACACATGTGAGGATGTTTAAGCGAAGGTCAGCGCGAATAGAGACGAGAAAACTCGCCCACGTATACCAGAACTCACAAGCAGCAGTGCCTCACCCAATGAAACACTTCTACAAAATCTATCTTCGATGTGTGGAAACATCCTACAAACCACAGCGCAGCGAATAATCAGGCTGTAAAACCTTAAACACTCTCACCCAGCTTCCTTCACCTCTGCGGTACCATGGAAGCGAGTTTAGCTCCCTCCGTTCTCCTCCGCGAGGGACGGGGTTGTAGAATAAATATCACCGCTGTGTCCGACCTCTGTAGGTATTTTCACATCGAACAAACACAACTCACATTTCGCCCTCACACACCACCATCAAACAACATCAACATCACACAGTAAGTCCCATCCATCCCCATACCTTCCCTCGTCTCAAACATACTGATCATCGTAGCTATGGCAGCGTCCATCCAACAGATGGCGAGAAGCATCACCGGTCCTCGCGCGTCGATGATCCGGGACAGCGGCGTGAACGCGCGCACGCTGAGCAGGGAGGAGTACGACCGCCTCGAGGCGGCGAAGGCGAAGGTACGTTTCCCCATTCACAATTTTCTCAAGGCCGTCCAAGCTAACCACCTCGCAGGCCGCCAAGGAGGAGAAGCGCGAGCTCAAGCGCAAGCGCCGCGAGGAGATCTTCCCCTCACCCCCAGGGTGGAACCCCTTCGCGCCTCAAGCGCGCGTCTTGTTCCCGGTGGCTGACGAGCCAGAGGTAAGCTTAGCATTGATCCCCAGAAGTCTGGAAACGTCCGTGCTAACGATCCACAGACAGCTCGCCCAGTTCCAGAGCGGGAGACCAAGCGTATCAAGCGCGAGGTCGTGGTGGCTGACGACGGCAAGGTCATCAAGCAGGAGTCGCCCGAGCCTGAAGACGAGGGCGTCGAGATCATGCCTCAGTGTCTCAAGCCCGCGACGAGGACCTTCGACGGCAGACTCGTCAAGCAGGAGTCACCTGAGCCTGAGGCCAAGGAGTGGAAGCTCGTGCCTGAATGGGTCAAGCCCGCGGGCGTAACCTTCGATGGCAAAGTCGTCAAGGCGGAGTCCGAGGACGACTGGTAAGCGGTTTTGGGAGAGAAACAACTGCGCTGGATTGGCGAGGCGTTCTTGGAGTAAGCAAAGCCAAGGCTGCATGTCAGGCTTCGAACCACAGCTATGGGAGGGAAAGTTTGGTAGCGAGATCGCAGTACCGAACAATGGACACAGAGCGCACATCTTGGCAATGACTCAATGGAGCTTAGTAACCTGGTTTTCATTGTTCTCCTGTGTGATCTCATCTCATCTCATGCAATTCGTCAACGCAACAATAAAGAAACAACTGTCTAGGAGGGCTTCAGAGGAACCCAATCCTTCAACTCGTTGCCCTCGTTCGATTCATTTATCAAGTCCGTAGGAGCCCTTCGCGGAGGTAGAGAAGGAGGAGCGTCGTCTGCAAATGGCACCGGCTTCCTCGCCGGTGGAGGTGCCGGAGCTGGACTGCTGACTTTGCCCTCTCTTAATGACCCATTAGCTCTCCTCGGCGGCGGAGGCGAAAGAATCCTCGCCGAAGCAGCCGTCGAAGAAGAACCCGTCCCAGACCTCCTTGGATCAGGCGGCGGAGGTGGCAGCGACCTGACAGAACTGGTCGACTGCTGACTCGCCGACCTTAACAAGTTCGGCTTCGGTGGCGGAGCCGGTTTCCTCAATGTCTGCTTCAAAAAGACTCGTTGTGCCGAGTCTTCATCTGTAGATACATCGAGATTAGTGGGTCTGCTAGGTTTCAAAGGAAGGATGTTACCGGACTTAGGACTGTTACTCTCGTTCGTGCCACCCGAGGGAGGTGGCGGCAGCTTTCTAGGCGGCACGCTGTCCCTCGGTTGTGACATCGTCGACGATGCGACACTGTAGATGGAGGCTGGACGGCTGGGTGGGGTGTTTCCTGGCTTCTCGACTCGCACCCAGTCCGACTCATTGGTCGGTGAGAAGGGGTTGCTTGGTCGGCCGGGGTTTGGCACGTGGCGTGCACTCGGCGGCGATACAGTCGATCGCGCTGGCATGCCATTGTCGAGCCACCACTTGCGCTTGTCGGAGCTTGCTGGAGGAAGACCAGGCTCGACAGGATCGTAGCCATACAGGTCTTCATCGTCGCTCTCCGCACCGCCTTGGTTGGCAGTATGAGCTCCAACAACAGCACGGCGCTTCGTGTACAGCTCGCTGGCTATCGCATCCTTCTTCGGCTGGTCGATGACGCTAATGGTGCACTTGAAGATACCCCAGACTGGTCTGTGATCGGAGAAACGCAATGGTGCTGAATCGTAGTAGAACTGACGAATGTTGTCTCCCTTCGTCAAGATCCGATCGCACCAGGCCGGTATGCGTGCCTTGTCGGAGGTGTCGTACTCGTCGGTGCCCAGATTGAACTTGTAGGTCGGCAGGAACGTGGGTGTACGCTCCGAGTAATGAGGGAAGCACTTCCCATGCACCATTTGCAAGTTCAGCTGGTCGTTCTCGTACAGTGTGCCCAGGTCTCGCTTCTTAATCAGCTGCCGAGCTCGCTCGTTCTCCATACCAATGCGGTAGTTGAAGTCTCCGGCCCAGATGACGGTCTTGTGGTCATCGATCGTGCGGTTTCGCTGGAAGTGAAGACCACTCGCAATCGTCCTGTAGTCCTGATTGCGCTCGTCGTAGTTCCCAAAGCCGGCCGCTAGATGGGCGGTGACGAGGCATATCGAAGTGTCGGCGAAATCCATGCGAATGGCCACTGCGCCCTTGTTGCCAGCCATACCGCTGAGGCCAGTCTTCTTGACTGCACCTTCCACGTTCTTGATTTGTGGCAGGACGCTGGCTCGAACGAATACTGACAGCGATGCACCAACGAGCTGACCACCTCTCAGCAAAACGTAGTCTTCGCCGCGGTGCTTCTGTGCATTCGCATTCAGGGTTTTGCGGACTGCATCCTCCCACAGAGTCCGACGCTGAGGATCAGTCGACATGATTTGGCCGACGTCAAGGTCAACAATCTCCTGGAAAGCCACTGCAACGATCTCTGGCACGCGGAATTCCTCGTCGACATTCGGACAAAGCCAGGATGTGAGGTCGTCGTTGATTCCATGCGTCTTGCCATTCAAGTTGAAAGTACCAACCCAGATGTTGATGCTCTGCGTAGTCGTAAACTCAGCCGACCTCCTTGCGAGCTCCGCAGTGACCCAGTCATTGACCGGATCGAAGAGATGGACTCCAGTCTGGCCCATCAGTCGACCGAGTAGCATGTCCATGGTGGCTTGTCTACCTTTGTCCTCGACATTGTTGACGTAGAATCGATGTGCTGATTTTCGGAAATCGGCCAGTGCTCCAGCAAGCGACATCTTGCCCGAGCGCGTGAAGGATGTCTTCAGTGCTCCAGTACCCGCGTATATCTTCGACAGCTGATCGCCATTGTCTGCCCACAGTGTGCCGTGTCTAGCCCAGAAGTCGGAAGTTGGTCTCTGTTCGCCTTCCTGCTTAAGGAAAATCTCAAACGCCATCTGCGAGACGATGGTCTGCACCAGGTTGGTACGATCCAAACAGTCGAGACAGTTCGTTCTGAACACACCGTTTTGCTTGAGGATGTCGTTCCTGCCGAGTACTTTGTGTTGCTGTCCGTCCTTGTGAATAGTCTCTGAGACATCCTCGGCCAAGAAGTACTCGAAGGCCTTCGCCGTCTCCTCAATCCATCTCCTGATACCGCCAGCAGCTTCATAACCACTTGGCCCGCGCGTCTGGGCATGGAAGTCGTAGTTGACAGCGCTGATGTGCTTATGCTCTGATTCGGCAGTGGCTTTCTCAGTTTCCTGATTCAGTGGGCTGTGCTCGATGTGGTGAAGGTACTGTCGAGTGAGTTGTACTTCCTGGCTCTTTTCATCACTCAGCAGGTTGACCACCACGACATCACCATATGTCTCTGACAGCTTTTGGAAGTGCTTGTCGAAGGCAGGTTGAGTGGCGTCTGGCGATCGCGTGACGGTGATCTTTTGCTGTCCAGGCAGTCCAGATGCCTGCTCCCAGAACATTGGCACGCTCCCACGGACTTGCACGTACGAGTATATCATCGTGTCGGTAGAGAAGACAGTCTCTGTCTCGACGAAGTTTGCCACGTTGCCATCATCATCGATTCCTCTCGCGTTGAATCTCGTTCCAGCTCTCTTGCATGACAGTCTGGAGATGAGCGTCATGTTGGATGGCATACCAGTCATCTTGTTCCTCAGTGGCGAGCTCGAGGCCGGAACAGCAATGGTGCCGGCGAAGCCTCTGATGGCGGAAGTGAGGATCCTCGAGTCGTCCAAGGCCTGCTTCTCTCTGTGTGAAAGCCGATTCCGAAACTCCACCAACGGCTGGATCATGTATGAATTCCACAAGAAGCCTCCATCCAACGAATCAATCGCAACCGTACTCGCATCCGTCGGACGATCCTGAAGTCGCTTCGTCAAGTCGAAATCGGCGCTGTAGTAGAAACTGCCGCCAGAAAGCAGCTTCTTCAGCGCCATGCACGGGTGTTCGACCAGCGGCTCCTTGTGTCCTCCATGATCGTATCCATCCGCGTCGAGGTTGTCGGTCGGAAAAGGATTGACCATATCGTGCAGCATATGGTCGTAGTCGTTGCTAGTCAAGCAATGGAACTCGACGCCCAAAATCTGCTGGATCGTCTCCCCCGGCCGAACAGTCGCCACCTTGGTGCTGTTATTAACAACGCACAAGAAGACATCATTGTTCAGCGTGACGAGACCGAGCGTTCCTAACACGTTGATTGATGACGACAAGGCGCGGTAGCCCTGCATGTCCTGGCCCTCCCATGGCGAGAACTCGACGATGCAGCGTGGCACGCCGCCTTCGTTGACGGAGCTGCTGGAGCCGGCGGCTCTGGTGTTGACGGTGGTCGGACTATGCCGGAAGATGAGGACGTGGGAATCAGTAGCCAAGGCGATTCCGCGCTGAGGCGAGTCCCTCAGAAACACGCGGACGGGCATGGTGGTTGTTGTTCATGCTTCAGCCAAGTCCGAGTTCGCGGGATTATTGTCGCACCGCAAAGTCGCGTGTGGTGGTGGACTCGGTCCGTCGTATATTTGTCGAGGCTGTGAGTGGTGATTCGGATCGAGGAATATCAATCGGAGGTGTCGGGTGGGTGTTTGACAGGTAGTCGTGACCTTTTGCAGAGATGGAAGCAGGAGTGGCTGACGTTTGGGAATTTTGACTTCAAGATTTGTGGCGTCACGCAAAAGCAGTCTTCACATGTGACGATCTTTCTGCACACCTGCATGCAAACCAACTTCACTTATGGCGATGTCGGGACCGGTAGATTGGAAGTCGTAGCATGTGAAAATCATTACAGCCGTTCAGTCATATCGCTAGATGCTCGCTAAAACGCTCATCTTCGTGCAAAAGGCACCCGCAGCACCAATCGCTCGTATCCTGGCGATGCCATGCGCATCATGTCCGAAATATACCCAAACAATGCGAGATCCATCATCTTCAATTCTAATTCAACCATCCACTCTTCCCTCATAGCCTTCGTCAAGCCCGTCTATCGATCCTCGTCCTCCCTCCACCGTCAACGATAGCTATCCGTTCTTTCAGCTTGTGGTAATCGTCATGACTATTGTTGGAAGAATCATACCCAGAGCGCCTGCTCAAGCTCCTGCTATGCGAGCGCGGAGGCTCGACATAGCGGTACGTCTCCCACTCACTGTTCGGCCGCGAGAAGCGCCTAATCTCCCTTTCCCTCTCATGCATCGAGTACTCGCTCGCAGGCGGTACGCTCGATCGATGTGTATGTGACGACTTGTGTGTCTGCGACGTCTTGTGGGTCGAACGCGACCGCACGTCGTCTTCGCTGGATGCACTCGTGGAATCCGATACTGAGCTGTGGTCAACCTCTACGTATTGATCAAGGGGACTGGTGTTCCACGCACTGGGTGCGGTTGGGGCTTTACTCGGCACCCTGCTGGCTGCCTTGCTCGGTGCTCGGCTTGGGGCTTTTGTAGGTGGCGCTGGCGGTGGTGGATCAGGTGCTGCAGTTGGTGCCTTGCTCGGAGCTTTGCTTGGCGCCTTGCTCGGTGCAACGGATGGAGGAGCAGAAGGCGCGGCTGGAGGAGCTTCGCTGGGTGCTTTTGAGGACTTTGGCGCTGATGATGCTGGCGGATCTGGAGGGGGCGGTGGAGGCGCGACATATGGCGCTTTCGTCGACGGTGGATGTATGGAGGCCGGAGGAGGCGGGATCGAAGCTGGCGGTGGAGGCAGAGTCGAGGGCCTTCGTTCAACGATTGTGCGCGATATACGACGCACTGGAGGCGGCGAGGGAGAGTATGTCCTGACGACTCTCTTGACCTGCCTCACTCTTGGAGGCGCTCGCCATGGCTCTTCATCCTTGACGCTGACGAGACACATCGATCGATGCTCGTCTTCGCGAAGCGGTCGACAAGCTGGGTGAGCTCCAAGGGGGAGAAATGCAACGAGAGAAGCACGACAGAAACGACGGGGAGCGAGAGAGGGAGGAGACCTACCTGGGACGGGGAGCAGCAGCAGCAGGATGCAAGATATAGGTGAGATCCTAGTGCATGTGTGATGTGGCTCCCGCACGCCTCGTGTGCCTCGTGATGGCATGGTGTGGGCGAAGCGAGAGGGAGGTTCACATGGGATTCCTGGCACCGCTTCCAACATTTCCAGGTCGGCAAGCCTTGGGCGTCGATGGCGCCAGTGCCGGCCCAGCGAGACTGCCCAACAAGTGCCGCTGCCGTCGGTATGCACGACATGCTCCGGGGTGCTTCGAGGCCATTGTAGCGCGAGGATTGGGCACAAAGACGACTGTGGAAGTATCTGTGTGATGAAGTCAACGGGCGTCAATTTACGTGGGTTGTCTCACTCAGATTCGGGCCCTGCAGTGGCTGAGATGGGAGTGAAACCTTACCTCCGCCTCACTAACTCCTTCCCTACCACCAACATGCACTCTACATGTATCAACAGTGCGAATGTCCTAGCAGTGGGCATGCGGCTCCTAAAGTAGCTCTCGGCCCCCAACTTGCCTCAGATGGAGACCATGCGCGAACAGGCCAACTGGCCGTGATCGAGGTCAATCCTCGCCCAAGATGGCAAACGCTCACACTTCCCGTTGTGGAAGGGAAGAGCTAAAGAAGCGCCCCCAAGTGTTGCCGGTCAATATATCTCAAGCTAAGTCCAACTCTCGTCTTTGCTAATGGTGCCAACATGGAGGACGAATCTACTCAGTTGGTCAGGATGCAAGAGTCCATCATCGGCAAGAGCTACTCTCCAGACATCCCTTCGAAACGACTACGGCGAAAACAAGCTAGTGTTTGGGAACGACGAATTCCAATTTTCGCCATTGTCCTATCCTTCGCCCTGAGCTGCGTACCAGCGGCACTAGACTGGTCACATACCACCTTCTCCAGCGAGTCCAGCCTGTACAAATTCAGCACGCAGAGCCGAGCATCTGTTCAGGTAGTGGTCACAATCCTTTCGTCCATTTTCGCATTTTTCTGGACTTGGTCTCTCGGGAGCACCTGCGATCTATTGCTGCGCTCCTCACTTACCGACCGTGCCCTGTCGATTGATCAACTGCGCCTCTGCAGCGCCGTGTCCACGAGATCGATCAATACCTATCTCTCCCTCCGGTTCCTCTCGATCCCCATCCTCCTCAGCGCGATATATCTCCTCCCTGCTTGGCTCTGGACCGGTGCCATCACACCACAAGTTGTCATTACAGGACTTGAGAATGCCTATGTGCGAATTCCACAATTTGGCGAGGGCTCTTATCCTTTCCTCGGCGACTACGACCTCAAAGGAGCCATCAATCAAGGCTGCGTACAAATTTCGAAGTCCAACGGCAGCTTTTCGAATTGTCCGGCACGAAGGCAGGCTGGTTCTATTTTACAATCAATAGGTACCGCTAGCACAGCTCCTGGGGTACCACGCAACCACTCGAAGCTGGACAATTCGGGCTACCAATACTTGGACCGTTCGTACGGCGTGGGAGCCTCCGTTGGCCTGCAGGCACCTCCGGGCACGGCTGGGGCAACGATAAGTTACAACTACACCGAGATGGGATATCTCACATCAGCCAAGTGCATATACAACGCATCAGCCGACTTCAACTTATCGGAAAACGTCACCTTTGGGATTCCGGGCATTCCAGACTGGTTCTGGCAACAAGGACGACGACCCAACGACCGATGGGATCAGCCACCACCAGGCGCCGCTGCTCATGCCGGGTTCGAGTCAGAGCCCGTCGACATTGTCGGCTGGAGCGCAGGTAGTTGTTGTGGATTCACCAACGGAACCGGGCCATTCTATATATCCATGGCGGCTGGCAGCGATTACGCATTCCTCAACACTACACAATGCGAGCTTTTCTTCGAACCGGCCATCTTCGACGTGGCAGTCTCCATAGCCAACAGGACGATCCATGTCACTCAAGTCCTACCGAACGAGAGCTTTTTCGCTCCAGAAGACCCCAACCCGGCCGGATACCTCCGCGAATGGACCCTACGCGCACTTTCGTCGCTGGCGTTGATCGAAACAACGCTGTACGTGTCCTCCATCGGTGAGAACTTCATCAACAACGCTCAGACGAAACTCAATCAACCGGACTTCAACGCTTCACAACCTAACAACGACGCCGTTCTCCCTGCCATCGAGGACTCCCTCGTCGCTGCCCTCGACGACATTCTTGAGGCGCTTGCCGGGTTCGCGTTCGTCAACGACAGCAGCACTTGGTCCGGCGCGGTGAGTGGTGAGGTCCCGCGGGTGCGTGTTGGCGAGACGCAGTTCATCATAGCGCTTTTCGTCACCAATGTGCTTGTCTTGGTGGGCGTGTGTGGAATGGCCGTTCACACTCGCGGGTATGCAAATACGCCAGCGTTCAACTTCATGGATATCGGGGCTTTGGTGGTGGGGATGGACAACGGGCGGCAGTTGGCGAATGAGGAGACAGCGGCAATATCACCTTCTGAGCCGCGTTGGGATGGTGACCCAAGTGATCCTCTGCTAGATCACTTCGCCGTAGAAATACGGTCAAAGTTAGGCGTAGATGAGGCGCCGTCGGTTCGACTGCAGTCTCGGATTGCAAGATGATTCTGCTCGATCTTGTCGTTCGACAGTCCTGCAAAGTCGACCTGCAGAATTCGGTTTTTTTTTATATCCACATTCTATGTTGTTGACGAAGTTGAACCCCTTTCAAACCTCCCGGCTAAATGTTGATACGAGAACGCGGGGGCTCATTCTTGAAGGCAATCTCAGACCACCTGCCTTCTGAGACAAGCCACATGTCTCGTTCCCCTCGCATGCCTGTGAAGGAAGCGAAGCAACGTCAGCCCTGTCTTGGACACAAGTATATGCCTAGCCACACACTGGTCAGTCAACATCAATGACTGAACATGCTCCCCCGTCACGATGAGCGGCCGATCCACGCCCTCGTTGGGCCACAGCGCCAGCAACTCGCGCCACGTCCGCAACGCATCCCACCTTGAGCACCTCAAGAAAGTCCAACTCAACAATGGCAGCGCTCCCGCACGCAGCAACGAGAATGTCTTCGCGTCCCTCCGCGCTACCGCAATGGTGGAGTCCAAACCGTACCTCCCCGCCGAACTCATCGCAACGATCTTGGATTACCTGCCGGTGTCTGACTTGATGCGTTTCTCGAGGGTGAGTCGTAGATTGCAGGAGATGGTGTATGATGATACGCGGTGGATACAGAAGCTAAGGCAGATGGGGGCTTGGAATGAAGGGGAGGCGAGGCAGAGGGTGGAGGAAGCGATCAAGAGGAAGACGGAGGCGCAGTTGGCGAAGCAAAGCGATGAGAGTGGGAAGAAGATTGGGACGACGAATGGGGTTGCCGGTGGGAGGAGACATGCTGGGAGCGTGACACTGTTCGATGCGGGTGTGGAGGAGCAGAGATATAGAAAGAGTTTGGAGCAGCCTCAGACGCCGCAGCATAAGAGGAAGGGGACGCTGTCAGATGGGTTTGAGGATTTGTCGATTTCTGGATCGCCGGGCTCACCGACGAGGACTTCGCAGGGCTCTTTGAATACTGCTGCGGCTCTAGATGTCTTCAAGAGAGTACGGTCGATACGGGGGCATGCGAGACAGGAGTTTGGCAAGGTCTACGGCTCTTTGGCCCCGATTTATCTCGACTTGGCTCGCACCAAGGGTCATTCCGACGCTCTGATCTTCAGGACATATCGTGACCCTGAACAGCAGGCGCAGATTCTGTCTAACCTCAAGCGATTCGCGCAGTGCGATCTTGCAAATGGCTGGGAGCAACGAGAGGAGAAACTGGACTCTATGATTGGAGTATTCGAAAACGCAGTACTACGAGAATTCGAGCAGGGCTACGCTGCCGACGACGTGCCCGGCCGGATGCGTCGATACGCACATGTGCTGGTCACTCTCAACGGAGGCAATGCAGTAATTGACTCCTTCATGTCGAATCATTCGGCGATGGCCAGGACCCAACGCATTGGAAACCCTTTGGACTGTCTGGAAGATGTGGCACCTGGTCACGTCGATCTCAACCCATCACAACGATTCTTCGAACAACTAGCATCGATAATGGTACAACAGGCCGATATCATCGACAGAGTCTTTCCGCCTTCAGTAGATGTTCTCACTCCGTTTTGGATACGGCTATGCGAGACTATCGTGGCCGACTACCTCACTGCACTTTTTGATGAAGCACATGCGCGAGGCATAGAGACGTATGTCAAAGCAGTTGCTGGCACGTTTGGACAGGCCCTACGATTAGTGGCTTCCCTCAAACCGACAAAAGCGTCGCCTCCCGATTTTGTCGAAAAGGCGAAGCAGACGATTGTCCAGTGTTTCGAAAAGCACGTCGATCTCTACCTTGCCGAAGAGTTTCAAAACTTCACGACCAAGGCTAGCTATGAGGTCGATGTATGGGAGAAGCAGCTGTCAGAGCAGGAAGCATCAACGGAATCGTTCTTCATGTCGAATGTCAACCGACAGGCGGCCAAGAGGGATTTTTTGTCCTCTTTCAAGAAGGTGGTAATGATGCCGGTCAATGCGTTCCCCATGTCATCGCCTTTTGGAACGGCGAAACCTGCTAATGTGGCAGCTCGCTCGTCTGCGAATCTCGACGCAATAGACACCTCGTATAATCCGGGACCACGGCCGAGAACACCTACGTTGACAAGCTCGACACCACCTCCACGGTCAGCTACGCCTTCGCAAGATCCTCCTACGACCGAGCTTGCCGCAAAGACGGCAATTATGAATTCCCGTCTTGAAGGCATCAAGTCTCTCTTCAGCATCGAGGTCGCGCTGAACTTGTCGCATCTTGCGAAGGCTTCCATCGAGCGGACCGCCATGATGGTACAGATGGGTGGAAACGATGGCGAGGAAGCTAAGAAGCAATGCGAGCGTATTTTCGTGACGTTACTCGACATCCTTGGGAATCGCCATATCAAGAGCGGCTTCGACAAGGCGGTGAATCATCTGGGCGACTACAATCCTCGGGAGGTACGCAAGTTCAAGTCCGAGTCTACGACTGATCCGAGTACGCATATTGGAGTCGAGCCATTGGTTACGTTCTTGGAGTTGGTCAATGTTGGAGATCTGATCCAGCAGATGATTGACGTCTTCTACAATCAGGAACTCGTCAACACCAAGCTTCTTGAGTCCGACGACTTTCTAGCTGCTGGTGTGAAAGAGAAGAAGAGATTCGAACAGATGCTGGATGAACGTGTCGCGGCTGGTCTCAACAAAGGCATCGACGTCCTCATCGACGAAGTCGAATACATATGCGCCACATCCCAAACCCCCACCGACTTCAACCCCGATCCCCAAGGCATCGTCGACATCGGTCCCTCCCCAACAGCCAAACAAGTCGTCGACATGGTCTCCGGCCACACGGGCATGCTCGTCGGCAGCACCGACAAGAACATGCTCGACGTCTTCAACCAAGAAGTGGGGCTCCGCCTCTTCGGCGCCTTGTGCAAGCACTTCAAACGCCAACGCATCTCCGTCGACGGCGCCATCAAACTCATCTCCGACATCAACCACTACCACGCCTTCATCAGCACCCTCAAACAAAAACCCCTCATGCCGTACTTCGAGGCCCTCCGCGAGATGTCGCAGATCTACCTCGTGTACATTGATCCGCCCACGAGCGTGTTCGCGTCGAATGCGAAGACGGGCAAGAGGGGGAGTCTGTTGACGGGAAAGGCGAGTAGTACCAGTTTGCAGGCGAAGGAGCTGGCGACGATTATTGCGGATGGGCAGCGGTATCATGGGATTTTTCCCGCCGAGGAGGTTTATGAGTTTGCGGAGAGGAGGGCGGATTGGTATCTTGTTAAGGGGGATGTGGAGAGGGCGATGTATGGGGTTGGGTGTGTGGTTATGTAGGAGGGATGGATAAGGCCAAGGGCAGTCCTTCGTATCGAAAGGCCCTTCAGGTGCATTGAGGACCACAGCCTCGCCTACCCCGGCAGGAAGCAAAGAGAAAGTTCCACGCCATTGAAACTCAATTCCAACTCCACCCTCGCCTCGTTTCCCACTCGCAGCTCGGACACTCCGACGACATCTCCTTCAGCTTGACGAAACTATAGCCTGTTGATGTTAATAACCCTCTGAGCGCAGCAGAATTGTCCTACATGATGGTCCGCAATGTTCACGGTCTGGCAAGTCCCCGCTCGAGGCCAAGGTTCAATCGCCGATAATGGCTTGCCAAAAGCAACGATCTCTGGACGTTTTGGTCGACAACCGCGCATGGCTTGACTACCAACCCCTCCCTGATGCTTGGAGGTCTAAAACACCAGACCTGCTTTGCTTCAAGCTCGAGGGTCTTTTTCTGCCTGTCTTATAGGTAGAGTGGTTTCTGGTCCCCTTCGGCATTGCCCTGATCTGTCGTAGCGTTTCTTGAGCTTGAGTATACCTTGCGTCCCTTAGGGCTCGTAGCTCCAGAGCTACTTACTTACTTCTACGTCTTCTACGCGTTCGGAAAGACCTTCTCTGGGTGCCCGGTTGTTTAGGGGTTCGAGTAGCAGTGGTACCTCGAGCTTCACCATGCTACGGATGAGTTCCTACTCTCGGGTCGACGAGAAAGATGTTGAGGATGCGGAAGACGATTCGCCGATAGAAGACATCCGGACTTCCTGGAGGGCGCCGCTATCTCGAAACCAAGGCTTGACTGTGTGGTTGAAATGGCTCGTATTGTTCTGGAACGTACTCCTGTTACTTCTCGTCGCTGTTCTTGGATCTCAAGTTTGGAAACAGAATACCTTACAAGAGTGTAAAGTCTATCCAGAGCCTGGCGCTCGAGTCGATCGTAAGAGACTCCCTTCCCTCTTTCTCGTTATTCTACATAATTGACGCCTCTGGCTTCGCAGAATGACCCCACACCCTAAAACCAACCCTCTTCCTCCCCAACGCCTCCTTCGCCACCGGCTCCATGTGGTCCTCCCTTCCCCTCCTTGAATCCATCCTCGCAAACTGGATCCCCCTCTCCCCTTCATCGCGCGGTCTAATTACACTCCCACAATCCTCCCACCCAACCCACGACCCGCCCTACACCCTCGACCCCTTAAACACCGGCAGTCCCCAAGAAGCCTACATGCTCTCCGCCCCACACCAACTCCACTGCCTCAGCACCATAATGCACTCGTACGGCAAACTCTGGAATGGAGCGGATGAAACGCATATGGCGGAGCATATCGCGCATTGTTTTGATTATTTGCGGCAGGGGATTCTGTGTGCGGGAGATGTTACGGTGGAGGGGAATGCGAGTTGGAGGTTTCCGGATAGGAAGGTGGAGCCGCCGTGGGGTGCGGAGCATATGTGTAGGGATTGGGAGGGGGTGAGGGAGTGGGCGGATGAGAAGGGGGTTTGGGAGTTTCCGGACGGGTTGGGGATTTTGTGAGCGTAGGCAGAAGGGAACGTGTGGTTGGGTTGAGGGATCAAGCTCGGTTGGCAGTATCTTGCTTCTGGACATTTTCTACGCTACCAGCTTCTCCTCCTCACGATGGACCTCTTCCGCATGCACCTGAACATCTGTGACATACTTGTTGAACTTCCGTAAGTTTACTTTGTTTTCGAACCTGCGAAGGGATCTTGTCAGCATCCTATGCCTCAACGAAGTGCTTCGTGAAGAGAACTCACATCTCGTCAATCTCAGCAGGCGTCCGTCTCGCCACCTCAGGCATGATGAACCAAGCAATCACGACGGCCACGGCGCCCGTTCCAGCGAAGCTACCAGCAGTCAGCATACAAGTCAGGAAATGGAATCCTGCTGCCTTACAAAATGCCAGTCTTGACTCCCCAGCCCGACTTGGCGTCAGTCCCATTGATCATGAGTGGTGTGCAAAAGGAGAAGATAATGGCCACCATGTTGGAGAGAGCCAAAGCCCAACCGGCAGTCCGCGCGCGCAAGCGCTGGGAAGGCACCTCAGCAGCATATGCGTAGCCGATGGCGGACGCTCCAGTGGTTGTGAACGTAGCGAGGCAGGTGAAGAAGATCTGAGATGTTCTGTCAACAAGAACCACATGTAGATTGGAAGGTGGATGGCAACTTACGAGCAACGAGCTGAGATCAGGCTTGCTGTAGTCAAAGCAACCCACGACGCCCAGCGCCAACAACGAAAGCGACGTGATGCCGTATGGATACACAGTCAACGGCCTTCTACCGAACGCGTCCGTCGTAGTCGCGGTGATCAACATAGACAACAGCTGTACGCAGCCCAGGATGACCGTGACCAGGAAGGGGTCCTTGAAGCCGGAATTCTGGAAGAAGTATGTCGAGTAAGTGTTGAAGACGGAGAGACCGACGAGCTGCTGCGTGATTTTGGGCCAAGAAGCGATGATGAAACGGATGAAGTTCCGGCCTTGGAAGACGGAGAGGATGCCTTCTTGTTGTTGGAGGTGGGCGAGGCTGCGCTCTTCGTCGATCGTGGCGACCATGACTTCCTGTGGATTTTGTCAGAATGTCAGACGTCTGTGGTAGGGGCTTGACGTACGATGGTTTCATGCACGTTGAAGCTCTCGACATGGCCGTTGTATCTGTTGAGGACTTTTGCAGCTTGCTCCGTCTTGGATTTGCTGCATAGCCACCACGGCGATTCTGGTAAGAGGACGAAGATAATTATCATCACCCCGATCATTGCCCACTACAAGTCACAATCAGCATCTATCTCAATGCCAGCTGCGAGATACCACCCACTTGACTGTAGATCGCAGTACGGAAATCGTAGGGATTAATCTGGTTGAGTTCATTCAAAGCGATAGAGCCGAACAACTGTCCAAGCACGAACCAGCTGGTTTTCTGGTCAGCACACGCCGCCAAATCGAACTTCATGTCACTCACAAGGTGTAGGCGTTGATCAAAAACCCTCGAAGCTGTGTTGGCGCCAACTCAGAGAGATATACTGGCATGGTCGCCTGCAGCATTCCAACACCAATGCCGGAGAAGAGCTTGGCAACTAGCCAGTGCGACCAGTGCGTGGCGAAGGTTTCTGCGAAGATGCTCTGTTGTTATGTCAGTGCAGTCCCGTTCGTACTCAGATTTGGCGTAGCAGACTCACTCCAGTCAAGATGATCCAAAGCGTATACATCGCATACTTCCTCCCCAACGAATCCGTAACGAATTGCAAGCCCTTCCCAACTGGATCAGCTACATCCTAACACTTCTCCTCAGACTCAAACTTACAATCTGCCCAACCGTCTGCCCAGCACTCTGCACCCCTCCCCAAGCAGAGATGTACTTGCTCGGCAAGACCTTGACACCAGCTCCGCCGAATTGTCGAATGAACCCTTTGTTCGACACGATGCCGCCGTTGAGTGTGATCTGGTATCCGTCAAGGGAGGCGCAGAAGGCTGCGGCCATGGCTACCGCCGAGACAAGCTTGTAGGATTTGATGGATTGCCAGACTGTGAGGTCGTCGGCTTTGGAGCGGAGGACTGCTTCTGTGTGGTTTGTCGAGTTGGGGAGTTCGGAGATGTAGGTTGTGTCGATTTTGTGCGTGTCTACTTCCATGGGAGGCGGCTTCTCGTCGTTGTTGGGATTGCTTGGGGCAGCCATGGTTGAGAGAAGGTTTGGGGGTAGGACGGAGGAGTCCAACGCTGCTGCGACTGTCGAATGGCTCACGGTGGAACTTGGAGGCCTTGTTCCGGAGCGTGGAAAGCAAGTTAGTGGTGGCTCTTTGTATGTCGTAGGGGACAGCGTGAAGACTGGAGAGCAAGCAGAATGTGCCCCGGATGTGCCATGGGGTAGGCACGTGGCGTTGCGCTAGACGGCCTACGCGTCCCTGGCGAAGCTTGTGATGGGAGAGTGACTTGGGACTTCGGGATACCTTGGACCGAGTATCAGCTGAAGGAATCAATAAGTCAACTTTAAGGCGCTCCTTTCGGCCTCTGAACCAAATTGTACTTCCTGTAATAGCGTGCTTCTCGGCGACTGCTAAGGGAATTTTCCATCAGCGAGGGGTTTCGTGGTCATGGAACAGCCTCGAACAAGAACATGATCGCCTTTGCAGCCTTGTAATGACGGCCACTATCTCTTCCGGATGAAATGGCATTTTGAGCAACATCAAATATTTCCATCTTGACCAATGTTAATGGGAACACGGGTTCAAGACTGTTCCACGGGTTTATCAATCTTCCACCACAAAGACAGGTTGTCAGTCGTGCCATACTCAACAATCCCTCCGCCAGGCAATTGGCTGTCTATTTCTATAGCCTTCTGCAGCTTCAATCCAACTTCCATAGACTGGCCATCTGGACTCTGCTTCCACTGCACCGTCGCAAGATTGTCTTTTCCTAGGCATATGCGAGCACGAATTTCAGGAGCCAGCCGAAGCCTTGGCTTGAACAAGATCTTCGTTGCCCCTGGGGCGAGTACTTTTACGCCTGCCAGCTCAGTACAAAACTCGTAGATCGGCAGACTACCCCAGGCATGGCAATCAGATCGCTGTCTGACATCGTCTTCCTCCCATGTAGTCAAGTTGTTTTGGAGCATCTTTTTCCAGGGATCCCAAGTAGTTTTCCATTGTTGCTCGTAGACGTGATCTCCCGCCATAGCAAAGGCACGAAGGGCGTAGAATCTCATCATGTACGAGCATTTCGAGAAGTTGATTGGCGAGTTCCCGGAGAATGCGTCTTTGGTCAGCCGCGAGTAGTCTTCTCTGCTCGCTGCGCCGGAGAGAATGGCCCAGACCTGGCAGTGTTGAGAGTAGGACAGATCGTCAGCAACGTCGGCAGTCGAATCAGTGAAGTAAGACCCGTCATAGCAGTGCTTCCGCACAGCCTTGCACAGCGACTGCGCACGACCATTATACTCCTCCGCAAAGCCAGGCCTCCCGATTTGTACAGCCAGTGAGGCCGCTTCGCGAAGAACATATGCCAGCACCATGCTGAAATATGTGTGGCAGTTTGTCTTGCGCCCAGATGTTGGAACGCCCTTGTCCGGGTGCTCGTCAGTGGCATGCCATGTCGTGACCCAGTCGACAAATTGCCAGAGGTCGTCGGGCAGTCCGCTGACGAGGCCGCGCTCGTCGGTGTATCTCCTGAAAAATTCGAGCACGCCGTCAATGCGTGGCATCATAGAGCGTGTGAATGCAATGTCTCCGAAGTACAGATGGTGATCACAGATCTCCAAAATCCAGTAGAGAGGGAATGCAGCGATTAGTTGGTTGACGTGCGATGGGAAGCGAGACTGTGGCAAGCCTTCAACTGTTGTCGAAGATGCGAAATGAGTGATTGCTTGCCGCATGAGTCGATCGTCACCAGAGAGCAGGTAATGGAACAAGCCGACTGCTCGGCTATCCATACTGTATTGAAGCTGTTCGTAAAAGGGGCAGTCTGAGTAGCCATCGAACATGCAATTTTGCAATGTTCGAATTGAGACATCCCACATCTGACTGGTCTCAGGGGCGTGAGGCTGCTCCCAAGTTGCCTTCACTTGGAGGGAATAGTTGGTCTGCGTCGCGGTAAAAGACACGAGCTCGACTGGCGCTGGGCCAACCGCAATCTCAATCCTGATAATGCGAAAAGTGCGGAACCAGAAAGGTTGGTAATTGACATCTTGACCAGGCTTGACAATTAGGTCCACTTCATCGAATGGTCCAAGAATGTGACCGTTCTCGCTCTGGAGGCGATCTCCCTTGCTTCGAAAGAAAGGATATGATCTAGGCTCCAGCTCGAATCCCTCAGAGTAAATTATCTTGATGTGTAGACTACTTTCAGCCGTAGATCGAAATTGCCATCGCACGAACGCTGTCGAGTGAACATCTGCTTGTAGGTCTATTGAATGTGTGGAGCCGGCGTCCAATTGTAGAGCATTCCCGTTCAAGAAGTGCTGCAACCAGCCATCGATCGGCTGATGACTTTCGCATCGGCGAATGGAGCCGAATGTAGCTGGTGACTCCTCTGGCATTGGTATAACGCGTGGCTGTAACCTCCACGGGAGTAGATCCCCATTGAGCGTCTTGAACGAATAGGCCACTGGAGTGACTGCGCCCTTCGATGGCTGGACTGAGACTCTTTCGTAGATCTGTGCACACTGTCAGTCCACCACGCTGTAGCTAAAGTTTGGCCACCCTCTTACGTGAAGAAAACCATCGTCAATGATCCCTGTAGGGAACGCGATCTCATCGTGTACTTGAGCACGCCATTCCCTCACGTCCCCTGACGTTATCTTCAACTCCTGACCACCAGCGTCAATGGCTCCGTAAATAGTCAACCCAGGGAAATTTGTCCGACCAAACGGCATTGCTGCTCTGTTGGCCGCAAAGTACCGTAGGACCTCGACACGGATTTCATTGCGGCCTTCGCGTAGGTGACCGGCGATATCGAGGCGGTCGTAATACCAGAGGTATGGACTGCCACGACTGGGTCCAATGGACACGCGCTGGTTGTTGATGAACAACTTATATCGGGTATCGGCCGAGATGTGAAGCACCCCTGTCTTGGGAATCGAAGGAAGCTGAATATGGCGAATGAACGCTACGATCCTACCAGCAGTGTTCTCCGTACACGAATCAACCCAATCTGGCACCCAGATCCAGTTCGAGTTGAGCTGTGCAATTACCTGCGTACTTGTCAGTGCATCCTCCTGAAGGGCACAAGCGAGACTCACTTTCTGTTGGCTCGAATTCATGGTGAAGGTACAATGGCAGATCCTTTCACCTTGCCAGGTGCTATTCGTCTTCTGCACGATCAATGTTGATGCAAGCTGGAACACCGCGCTGGCTAGTAGCTGAAAGCAAAAGCCGACGTACGTATCGACGAGAGACGTCGGGGCATCACAGGCCGAACCGAAAGGCTGTCGTCAGTGAAAGCCCCATAAGCTTCCGAACAAGGTTTACAAACTCCACGCTTGTGGGCTCTTATTTCTCCACGAACCAGGTTGTCCGTTGTCACCCCAGACCGAAACTCGTGGAGCCCCAGATCGTTCGTCCCCTTAGTCTTTCTCCACTCCGGGTGATGAAAAGATCCTGGAGTCGTAAGCTCACCCCGAACATGGACGCGACTTCGTCGCCGAGGAGCTTGGATGAGAGTCTCTCTTCGGGCCAATGCTTCCCAGAAATGGCCTTGGTCTCAGAGATCATCTTTTGCAATAAGGTCAAATATCACCGTTGCAGCCTTGCAGCCGCGAGTCAAGTTTGAAACACCTCTCACCCATCTCGTTCTTGGGTCATCGCCTCAGGCAGTCATGTCGGTCAGATCGGTACTACTCACTGGTCTCGTTAAGGCACTTCTTGTGTACACAGCAGCCGCCGTCACCTTCGCTGTCCCGGCGACACCTCCAGTCAACGCAAGCAAGCAACTTCTGCCGGCCCCTATTGGTGTCTCGTGAGTCTGGATAGTACCTGCCATGTCCAAGTCTAACTTGAAGTCAGCATCGAGTTTTTCGCATGGCCGGGATACGCAGACCTTGCCTCCACTGAGCAGTGTCTCCAAAACTTTCAAGCTCTCACAGGCACATGGCCGCCGCTCAGAATCGGTGGCACGACTCAGTCAGTCGTACATAATCGCTGAGCTTCCTTTGGGCCTGACGTTGAACAGAGATCGCGCAACGTACAATGCTTCTTCACCGAGTGAGGTCATGTACACAATCGCAAGTCCTTCCGACGCTCCTGCATCATTGACTTACGGCCCCTCTTTCCTGTCCCTGGCTGGAACATACAACGGCAGTGTGATTCTAGGTAATATTTTCATCATCAGACAATCGATTTGTTCAGCTTAAAAGTCAAAGGGCTCAACCGGCAGCTTAACAATCTCAGCAACACAATCTCAGCCGCCAAAAAGGCTGTGGCAGAGATCGCAAATTTGGACGCCATAGAGCTTGGCAATGAACCTAACTGTGAGCTCGATCCCTTCCAAGTCCTCGTATGAAGCTGACCGAGAGGCAAGTCTACTCCAGCTCGTCGCCTATCAACACCAATGGTGGCTCTTGGACCGCTTCGGACGACTTTGCCTCACAGGCTTCCTGGCAAGCTGCAGTTGGCGGCAATCTATCCCGAACGAACCTCGTCTCTGCTGGAGTGTACTTCAGCACGAGCGGGTTTAGTATTCAGGGGCTCACTGCTGTCGAGGGCAATTCGAAACAGTTCGTTAAGGACTACTGCTCCCATAACTACCCACAAAGCCGATCGACGGCAAACCTCCCGCAACTGATGAACCATAGCGCCATTTCACAGCAAATTGCTCCGTTCAAGGCTGAGATTGCTGCTGCGAACTCGAAAGGGAAAGCGTATATCATGGGTGAGACGAATTCCGGTGAGTAATAACAACGTCAAGACCAATCATTATCACACTGACCGTCCTGGAGCTACACAAGGTGGAGGCGGAATCAGCCCAATGTTTGGATCTGGCCTGTGGGTCATGGACTATTCTTTACAGCTGCTACATCTGGGTACAGAATCGCTCTATTTTCATCAAGGCACCATCGGCAACTGTAAGCCATGTACTCTTCAAACCCCTGCGATCGACTGTGCTAATCTTATCAGGTCCATATTGTTGGTGGGGCCGCTATTCAATGGGAGCACCCTACTACGGAGCCTACTTTGCCACTCTTGCTCTCGCTGGCGCAGACCAGATTGCTCCACTTGATGACTTTAACAGCACGTACGGGGGCTGGGCGATCTACTCCAACGGCCAAATCACCAAGGTGCTTTTGTATAATTCCGACTACTACGCCACAGGAACACGCTCTGCGCAGATCTTCAACTTGACGGGACTTGTCGGCTGTTCCAGCGTACACGCGGTCAGATTGACAGCGCCATTCTCCACCTCGAGGCAAGACCAGGGACAGAATCCAACATTTGGCGGCCAGACTTTTCAAAACGGAACCTGTGCCATTCAGGGCACGCCGCTACAAGAGACTACGACTGTGTCTGATGGGAAGGCTTCATTCACGGTTAATGCCAGCGAGGCTTTACTAGTATATCTGTGAGGTACAAACCTGCCGCAGTTGAACTCAACAATCGGACCAATGACATGTATCATTTTCTACTTTTCAATCTCGGCTCAGTTTGATTTCTAACGCATGGATGTCTTTAAAAACTGTCTACAAAACCGCTGGTCCTTGTCCTGTCTGCTCCGCGCCTCGCCTCCCTGTCATTCGATCCCATCGAGCACACCCAAGGCTTTGCGATACCTCAATCAGACCGAACTAATCGCTGTCTCGATGTAGGAATCAATCTGCCCTGACAGCGAATCCAGTTCGTTTGATGCGTTAGGGTTGTCATCTTTTGTTTCTGCCTCATAGGCGTACAGCAAGTCTAGACTCTTGAACTTGAGAACGTGGAGATCGCTAGAGAGGGCGTTGCCAAAACCACCCTTCTTGATAAGGTCGGCCTAATAAAGGAGTTGCCTGTGTCAGCGACCTATCTTTGCATCGATCTAGGCGGCCTCACTTTGTTCGAGATGAGCTCGGAGAAGAGCTGATAGTCATACGCTAGCACCGTGACGTAGTTCACGATGTCTTCTTCTTCAATTTTCGTAAACGGTTGTATCTTTACCGCATCGTAGGCTGCGAAGAGGTCGTGGAAGCCTGACAGGTCCAACTTTTGCGTCTCGTTGTTGTACTCGCTGATGTGGAAGTCGATAGTGTTCAGCTTGTCGGCTATCGCATCCAGGTCCTCTGTCACCGTAGCGGTCACGCTCAAGGCGAGGGAGAGGACTCCAAGGAGAAGGGTGTTGATGGCCATTCTGTTGAGTGATCTTATCAAGTATGAGGTTGACTGGTATGATTCGCTTGAGATATGCTGGCTTGCTGCGTAAAGACTACCAGGCGCGAAGAACTGCTTTATGTATACTTTTTTTTGCAACCAGTCCGTCGAAGAGTCTTCCCTCTACCCAAGGTGATTGCTAAGCTCGTATGCCATGATGCGAGTAAGACCAGGCCATTCGCGTGCTTGCAGACAGATGAAGTTAATGCTGTGATCCAGCGAACCCTCTATTGTTTCGATCCTGCCAATTCTCTTGTGCACCGGAGTACACTCTACATCTATCATCACTCTCCTAGAACCACTGTACGGAAATGGTATCTAAGCCCGTAAGGCTGTGAAGCTTCATAACCGGTCACCGACAGAACGATTACATGGCGTGACAAGCGCACTATGAGCGCGTTAGTTGACGCCCACAGACTTTTAAAATGTATCAGACTGTGCAAACTAATGAAGATTGTGCATCAGAAGTTCAGCTCCTTCATTAGCGCTCTCTGTATCTACTTGATGCCATATTGTAGATTGTCTCGGTGTCGTCGACCCTTTCACAAAATGATTTGTGTAATGGAGATCGCGGTCCTGGCCTTAGCATGGGAAGTTGGAAACAGTGCCGAGTAAGCAATACTAACAGATACATAATAGGATATTGAACTACTGCCCACGCCGTCAAAAGTGATGTTGTGTCACTTAGTGTAGACTGACGCAGGGAGTGATGTGCAATCACTGCTTATGTCGTATAGCATGGAAGTCGACATCTACCAGTGCGAGAAGAAAAATTATTTTGAGTTGGCCTCGACGTATGACGAGGTTATATTTAGATGTTGCATCATGAAGTACAAATCAATCTAGGGCTTAGCATGGAATCATCACTAACGTGCATTAGCATTGATCCCAATGTCTCCTACGGCTCAGGTAGACTGCGTAGAGTGGTCACTTTCAGAGCCTCGTAGCATCGACAGAAATTCTGCATGAGAATTGAAGTCCGTTCTCAGTGTCACCTTCTCGGCCTCAGATTCCTCTTGCGGCCTGTGTAGCGTGAAGCGTTTCATTGCGAGCTGTACTATCCCCCACGATGATCGAACTCTCATATGTTCTCTCTAGATGAGGTGCAATAACCGATGGGTTTGATGGTGAGGATAAGGTTTTTTTCAACACTAGCGAAGACTCCAACTTGGGAAATCATGTTTTGCCAGTGCTAAGCCGCCAGCGTTGTTGTCTTCCGAACAGGGTAACTATGTCCATTCTCTGGAGAATCGAGTATATATTTCACATCCACGATGGTTTCAAGGATACATACCGTTTTGTTTTTGCATCGTTCACGCCGTCGAATCACAAACGACTACAAACGCTGCAGTATTGCTGATCAGACTCAGCAGATAAGGGGTCAATAACATCCATGACAACGAAGGTGAAATCCTATTGTCACTTGAGGCTGTGCAGAGCGGCTATCGCGAGATCGGTCAGTGTAGCGATAGCGGACGAACGAGCGAGTGTGTGTTCAATTTATTCTCAATCAATTTCCAATGTTGAAGTGACTGGACGACAGAGGCTTCTTTCCTAGAGCTGGTGGAAAGCCTATATATCCAAGGCTGTAGTTGTCGGGTAAAAGGCGTTTCTGAAATGTTGTAAAATTCGTAAACGCAGCTTGCTAACTTATGTTGAGATCGTAGAAGTAGCTGCTAGCATCGAATAGATCTCAAATAGACGCGCTGGTTGTGAGTGGTGCATGCCGACGGGAAGGCCGACACAAGACAGGCATTGCAGGGCTTAGCAGGACATGTGACCTAAATTCCACAGAGTACACGTATCAGACAGAGTACTGGCGGTGACATATTGCGGAAAATTTCCATCGATCTGTAGTTTCCGCACTTTGGATCAATGTGATGCCGCGAGGGCCAAGAGACTTTACCAAGGCCTGCACAAACACAAAGCCTTGCCGAAAAGGGGACTGGAGAGGTATTTTGGCAGGCTAACGGGTGTTTCCCGCCACCAGCGCACTCAGATTGCAAAAGAATACTAATCACCCACCGGGTATCTGGGTACGTAAGGCTGTGTATGGTTTCGGGGTTTCTGGTGGAGCCTGACGGTGCGAATCAAACAGCCCGTAAGCTTGGGTCAGACTTAAGCTTCTGAGTCGGTAGCTTGCTGCTTAAACATGAGGAAGACCCGAGGAATATAAAGTCAAATGGCACTTGATGTGCCCGTCAAATGTTGACACGAAACTATGCGTGGTCAGAAGGAATGAACTGGTCTCGGACCGTACCAACAGGCTTAGTATATATAGAAACGACAGAAGGATTTAGGAAAACTTATGTTAGGGCTACGATTTCTACATTTCAATGAAGAGTCTCGAACAAATCCTGACAATGAAGCTCCAGCATGACCACCGAATTTTGTCATTAGTAAGAGTAGCTCTACGACGATCCTCCTTCTGAACGATTCCGCATGTTCTACCTCATTAGGCTATAGCTGCGCAGAGACGGGCCTGAAAAGGACCCTGTGTGTGTAAGACGCAACTGCAATTCCCGTAGACTTGGATCATTTCGCGAGTTTGTTTCATCGATAAGATCTTTGACATCGTCTGCAGATCAGCTTCTCTCTTCCCCTTGACACGACGCTTCGAAATAGCATCTGCGATCATGAGTGCGACTAGACAGGATGAACAGGCCGTTCTGAACAAAGATTATTCGAAGAGTGACTACTATATCCTGGCTTCGGATTTCCAGGGCACGGTTCGGTAGGCTTTGCAAACTGCTCCCTAAAGAAGCAGGAAAGACTGATAGGTCGACGCAACAGTCTAGCTCTCCAGCAATACATCTGGCGAGAAGCGCTCGGATTCAACATCCACCCTTCCATCCCTCCTCTCGAACCCACAGCCTCCATCGCAGACATAGCATGTGGCACTACCCTCTGGCTCGTAGAAGTCGGACGCCAACTCGGACCACCCTCAGACCTCCACGCCTTCGATGTCAATCTCCAACAAGCGCCGCCAAAAGAATGGCTTCCTGAAAACTTGACGCTGCACAAGTGGAACTTCTTCGAGGACGTACCAAAGGAATTCAAAGGAAAATTCGATCTCGTCCACGTGCGACTCATCACGGTGGCGATCAAAGACAATAACCCTGTGCCGGTGATCAAGAACCTTTTCAAACTACTGAGTCAGCCAAAATTCTCCTGTCTCTTTGACGAATGCTGACCCTTTCCTAGGGCCTGGTGGCCATCTCCAGTGGGACGAAGTGGATGTCTATAAGAGCTTCGTGGTCAAGGCATACGCCGAACTCGAAGTCCCCGCCATGGACGCCTGGTGTGCGTGGATGGCTGGTACGAAAGAAGGACAAGGCAATCCTGAGAACGAGTGGCGGAGACATCTTACGGGAATGCTTACTGAGAATGGCTTTCAGACGGCACAGCGACATGACGAGGGAGACCGGTTCTTGGAGCACAAGCATTTGATGCGGTATAATAGTGATCCGTAAGTCTGGGTATGCCGAGGTTTAAGAGATTTGTTGCTGACATGGAGATTGCAGGCTTCTAATGCTATCGGAGCAATATGCTAGACGGGTGTATTCGACGGGAAATGAACAAGGAACTAAGTTGTTGAAGACTGTTGAGGCGGCTGCGAAGGATGCGGAGAATGGCTCAGCTATGATCATGCCGCCTATTATTTGGGTTGCACAGAAGCCGTTATAGGAGGTGTAGATGACAGAATGACGTTGTGAAATTTACAGAAGGCGTAAGATATGCTGAAGCTTTGTTTGTCAGAGTTTGAATGAATGGGGGGAACTCGAAAGCATATGAAAGGGAGATGGGGTCATAATAGTACAGTGCCATGTGCTTAGCCGACGCCCAAACTCCTGAACGCCCTCAGTAAAGCCAGTCAACTAGAACCAAAATTCCGTCCTGTCCCATGTTGTCAATCTGATGAATGCGCATTCCGCGCCCTATTCCATTTCCTCTTCACGGGCGCGCCCGATGAGGCTTCCTGCTGTTTATGATGTCCTCATAATCCGAAGGTGCTCCGAGACCAGATCAGTGAATCCCCAAGAACTCGCTCAGATCAAGACCAAAGTACCACTTCGCCTCATCGCGCAGTTCCTGCTGGATCTTCGACTCCATGTTCTCGTAGTCAATCAATCCCGCAGCTAAGAAGATTCCTCGATGCTGCATTTTGGCGACAGCTTTCGCCAGTCGAGGCTCGACCTGCGACTGGATCCACTTCTCGGCCTCGAACTCTTTGGCTATGAGGGTGTTGTCGCGTCGGCGCTCCTCGGCAAGAGATGTGTTGTTAGGGCGGCCACTGAGGAGCTCCTTATTGCGACGATGGGCGATTTCGCGTGGAGTGGCGAGGATGGGGTCCTGCTTGATCTTTTGCTCGACAGTCTCTTGCATGCTGTTGCGTTGTTGCTCGATCGTGTCGGCCTTCTTGTGCTTCGTGGCCTTGAGAGTTGCTTGATTGCTGGATGTCTTTGGCTGCCGAGGAGCTTTGGGTTCGGCTTGCTTCCGTGCGAAGTTGTAGGCGGCCTGGCGAGCCTGTTTGATGGTGATCTTGCCTCCGTGTTGGGCGACGAGCTTCTCGGCAGCACGATCGGGCTTCTCACTCGCAGGTTTGGATTTTCGCTTCCAGGCCGTTCTAGCTACAGCTAGCTCATGCTCCTCCTTGATGGCGGCAACGCGGCGGTTGCGAAGCCTGGCCTTGAAGTCGAAGTTGCGCTGATGCAAGGAAATGGGTCCCTCAAGTATGACCAGATGCTTGACAATTGCTGCAGCATCCCGGGCACCGGAGTTATCGCTCAGCAAGTCGTCTCGAGCTTGTTGAAGCTTCAGGAACAGACGGTGATGTGTGTCGGCGAAAGCGCCTGATGGTCCCTTGTCGGGATGCAGGAGCAAAGCCAAAGAACGGTAGGCAGCTTTGACTTCGTGGGCAGTTGGAGCATCATCTTGTGATAAGTCCAAAATGGTGTAGGGATCGGAGGCGTGGTCGATCTGCAGGTACGCCATGTAGGCGTCTGTCATAGAGTCTGCCATAGCGGTGTTAAGTATCGGTGGTGGTTTGTGTGAGGATGTTCCTGAGCTTGCTTGAATGTTGCGTGCAATCGTACTGGTGAGTTTTAAGGCTTCTGTTGATGTGATGAGAGTGGTTGATCTAATCGAACTGTAGGGAGAAAAGAATGCGAGTAGGCAAGCCCGGTGATATATACACTTTCAAGCTGCGGCTTGTCCTTTACAATGCTGTTATTGCACGTATCTCCCAGGCTAAAGTCTTTCCGCCGCGTCATTTCGAGGGCCACCTCAGTCCATCGTCAAGAACAAGGGTACAACAAGATGCCTCGTACTACTGAGTAATTACAGCCAAATTGAGCCATGCCGTTCAGCAAGACTGCTCCACGATCGCGTGCCTTCACCTGTATTGCATATACTGTAGTTAGCAGAAGACGACATAGGTCATGTTCGAGGTTCGATCCATGTTCGTTACTCGATTCGGCCAGGTCACTGGAGATGATACTTGGATATGGTTCTGCGATTGCAGTGATTTTGTAGCCGGTCATGTGGAATGCACTGGTCAAGATTGGTGACCGTCATCGTGGTAAGCAAGTGGAGTCCAAATAGAGTTCGGCCGGCGCCAAAATTTCAAACCTTAGAAATTGCAGATGCCTTATCCAGATTCCCGCCAACTTTCACATGGAGCTGGAATCGTCGAGTGCCCGAAGCTCTACCATCGAACAAGCCAGGAACGAACAAGGCTCAGATTGGCAAAGATTCACACGTGATAGGAGTGAGAGAACACAGGCGGCACGGAAAATCTCAATCTGCAATAGCCTATCTGCTTACCAACCGCAGTCTACGTGCTAGCTTTGGCCGCCATGTTACGCCGCGAGATATAAGTATCACCGCAAGATACATGCAAACTCATACACTTTCTTTTGTCCATCGAGCAGGCACCTTTCCTGACAACTGTCTCCACAATGACCCAACCCCAAGTTCCTCAAGCCTCCGTCCCCGTCCTCGCTGGCCCCTTCTTGGGGAAGCCAGTCGAAATCTGCATCGTAACCGCCAATCTCCGCTCCACACTACGCGGCCTAGTGCAACTCGGCCTCCCCCCCTTCAAAATCTTCCACTTCACCCCCACCACCGTCTCCCACCAAACCTTCCGGGGCAAACCCTCCCCCTTCTCCCTCGACGTCGCGTTCGCAGAACAAGGGGGCATGGTCTGGGAGGTGATGCAGCCGGTCGCGGGGGAGACGTTGATGGGGGAGTTTTTGACGCAGACGGGCGGGAGGGGTGGGATTCAGCATGTGGCATTTGATTGTGCGGGAGGGAAGGGGTTGGTGGGGGAGGGGGCGAGGGAGGAGGCGAGGAGGCGGAGGGGGGAGTTTGAGGGGAGGGGTGAGTTTTTTGTTTTTTGTTTGGTTTTTGGGTGGGGTGGGGAGGGGTTTGTGCTGATGTGAGAATTGTAGGGTTTCCGCTCGTTCAGAGTGGGATATGGCATGGGAAGAAGGGGACGTGTGAGTTTATGTTTTTCGATACGATGGGGGCGATTGGGACGTGTTTTGAGACGTATGTTTTTAGTGAGGATTGGGAGGAGCCGGAGGATGTGGAGATTTATCCGCCTCCTTCTGAGCAGGAGTGAGGATCGTACTCTTGGGACCGTTCTTATTGATTTTGTATGCCAGAGGGTGTACGGCCTAGAACATCTTCATGCTTCCAGTTGCCCCGTCTGTGACATTCCCTCTCACGGTGCCATTGCCGTCCGCCTGAGGAGCCCAAGTATCCTTCAGACCCCAGACCGCCACGCTGCTCCCTGCTGTTTCAGGTATGCCACCGACGTAAATCGCCAGAGTATCCAGTGTCCTTTCCGGGAAGAACGTCACTGTACCGGCCTGCTGCGCTCCGTTCAGGAACAGCTCGAGAATCGAGTTGTCGCACAGAAGACTGAGCGACCATGACGTGCTGTTGGGAGCCAGAACGCCTTCTTCGGAGAATTTATCTGTGAAGTAAGGGTTGTCAAAACCACGAATGTGGCCTCGATCGATCCAGATTCCTGGAGACCCTGCGGCGTTGGTGCCTCCTGAGATATACTCTCCAGAGACTGAGGAAGAGATCGTGAAGTTTGCAGTGCCTTGAAGAGTCGATGTCAGATTCGTGATGTTGGCTTCGAGATAGAAAGCGCCTGATGGAACGTCGCCGAAGTAAGTCAAGATCGTTCCGTTGCCGAGTGAGGAGTTGAATGCAAGCTCTTGAGCGATGACGGCCGAAACATTGTGAATGCCCGAGATCAGATCGTACCCTCGCGCAGAAACATTGGCGATGTAGTGCTCGCGCGGCACCGTCATTGCACTCCGGAATTGGCCACGCTCAAGGAGGCCTGTAGGGACTATTTGAGTATACTGCCAGTTCGAGGCCCAGCCTAGGGCGATCTGAGGCTCATTCGCTGGCACATTGTGAAAGAATTGAGCAGCGTAGTTGTCTTTTCCAAAATCGGTGAAGCGAGTAGCATCATCAAAAGGCTCAAAGTGCGTGCCGTTGAAGTCTCCAACGAAGTACTGGGAGATGCTGCCGCCTCGAGGTCCGCCGGGGTTGAGAGAGATGACGAGGAACCAAACTGGGTCGCCTCCCTCCATAGGCATCTGCAACAGATTTGGGCATTCGTATTGAGTTCCGAGATAGCCGTGCTTGGTAAAGTTGGATGCATGCGTCCACTCCTTTAGGTCAGGCGAGGTGTAAACGCCGATCACATACTCGGCAGCGTATGCGATGACCATGACCCAGTTCTGACTAGGCTCGTGCCATATCACATATGGATCACGGAACTGAGTCGAGTTGATGTTGAGGACTGGATTGTTTTCGTATGCTTCGAAAGTATAGCCATCGTCACGGCTGTAGGCGATCGCTTGGTATTGAAGGCCAGCTACGCCTCCTGGATATTCGGCGAGTGTGTAGATGGCGACGACACCGTTGTCTTGATCTGGGAAGAAACCTGATGTGTTGTTGGAATCGATCACGGCAGAGCCGCTGAAGACATACTAATAAACGTCAGTCAAAGGGCATTGACGATGGTACTGGTCGTCCCACAGTATAATTGTTCGGTGGCCAGACGGCAATCTTCTGGTTCTCCCAAGTGTATAGATCCTTCGATGTGGCATGGCCCCAATGCTAAAAGCCCAGTCAATCCTTGCATTCTCTCGAAAGGTTGGGCTCCTTCTCTGACCTGATTACCAGCCACAGGCGTGAGCGGATTGTACTGATAGTAGATATGCCAGGTGCCTGAGGGATCTCTATGCATGCCATTGGGGTCTGTTTCTTGCGTGAGCTTTGGGACCAATGCCCGTCTTGCCTGCCAACTCACCGTTCATGAAATACCTAGGCGGCGAGAAATGAACTCTAGGGCGAAGGTAGTCCGTATAGTTTCCCGGTACAGGCGTGTCGGTAGGTACGCCTGGAGCATAGTAACTCGATGTAGGATCCGCTGCTTGAGCCCATGTCTGCTGTACGAGCAGGGCGGCGATTGGTAGTACACTCTTGAGCAGCATCTTCCACGAGGCAGCGAGATCAGTAACAAGAGAAGCTCCAACTACCAAACACCGACAAAACCCAATCGTCCCTCACAAGCGACCTCACCTGAATATATACCCCTCCCACAAGATCATGACCCTCACACAAGCATCGCCAAATCCCAAGCCCAAGCGGCGTCTGCACATACCGGCCCGACTACATCACTCCTACGCGGCAACGAAATGCCTAGAGGAGATCGAAGACGACACCGGATTGGCGCGGGTAAAGGACGAACCTTCGGCAAGTGGTTCCTGGAATCCTGGAGTACGCGCAGTGCATGGCGGGGTCTCCACCGTCATCGCGTTTGGAGAGAAAGATGGAGACGGCCAGCTCGGCGGTATCGCGGTGAGACTTTTTGGGAGGTGAGGATGGCTTTCTCGGCATGCCGTGTGCCATGGATTTGATGGCATTGGGATGGTGGAGGGACGTCGGCGGTATTTGACGGGTGAGACATTGTTGTGGGAGCTCGTGACGAGGTGAGGAAAGGTTATAGGAGATGCAGAACGAGGAGCTTTCGCAATTCATAGCTGCTCTTCTTCGTATATAAATATGGCAACCATCGTCTTGATTGAATTTGATATTGAAGAGAAACTGCAAGAATAACAAAAATCCATCTCATCACCAGGTAAACAAAATAAACGCCATGATTCGCCCGGAGCCATCTCCGCCAACGCGGCTGCACGCGGCAGGACCCCTCGTACAGCAAACACGTCCTTCATGAAACGTAGCTTCACCAAAACACCATCCCAAATCTCACTCCGTTCCATTCCCTCCACCACTCTCCTTCACCCACACTCCTTAAACAAACAACCATGGACCTCCTCCGCGATTTCACCCTCGACAACCCGGCCATCCCCTGGAAAACCTGGATCCTCCGCTTCGGCTTCATCGAATTCGCCCTCGAGACCTACCTGCTCTACCGCCAGTACTGGGTCCTCTGCAGCGGCATCGTACCAAAACAACTCGAGAAAGAGATCGACCAGGACACCTTCGACAAGTCGCAGCGGTACGGACGCGCAAAGGCCAAGTTCGGCGTCATCAAGAGCGTCTTCTCGCTGGTCAAGAATGTCTATGTCATCCAGAAGGATCTCCTGCCGTACGCGTGGGATCTGTCCGCATGGGTGTTGAGGACGTATGCGCCAAGGTGGATGCCGACGGGGGAGATTGCGACGAGTTTGGTGTTTGTTTTTGGGTTTCAGATTGTGGAGATGGTGGTTGATTTGCCGTTTGGGTTGTGGTATCATTTTGTGCTGGAGGAGTCGTTTGGGTTCAATAAGCAGACGTACAGTCTGTACTTTACCGACAAGCTGAAGGGGATTGCGCTGAGCATTGTGTTTGGCGTCCCGATTGGAGCGGGATTCCTCAAGATTATCCAGTCGACGGGCAATGCCTTCTTTTTGTATGTCTGGGTGTTCATGCTGGCGGTGCAGCTGGTTGGAATCACGATCTACCCGACTTTGATCGTGCCGCTCTTCAACAAGCTCACACCACTGGAACCCGGCGAGCTGAAGGAGCGAGTGGAGGGACTGGCGAAGCGATTGAACTTCCCTCTCGCCGAGTTGCAAGTCATCGACGGCTCGAAACGCTCCGCGCATTCGAACGCTTACTTCACCGGTCTTCCTTTCCTCCCAAAGAAAATCGTCATCTACGATACGTTGCTCGAGAAAGCCGAGACGAAAGAGGTGGAAGCTGTGCTCGCTCATGAGCTGGGACACTGGAAGATGGGACACACGAGCAAGTTGCTGGGGATTTCGTCTGGACATCTACTCTTCGTGTTTGCGCTCTTCAGCGTCTTCATCGACAACAAGAGCCTGTACGAGGCGTTTGGCTTCTTCGCGGAGAAGCCGATTGTTATTGGCTTCCTGCTGTTCAATGATGTGCTCAGTCCGACGGATGCGCTCGTTAAGTTTGCGATGAATGCGTTGACGAGGAAGTTTGAGTTTGAGGCTGGTATGTGCAGAACGAAAACCATCTAAATGTTTATCCATACTGACTCTTGCCTTCCAGATGAGTTCTCTCAGAGACTGGGCTACGCTAAGGAACTCGCTGGATCGTTGATCAAGCTGCAGATCCAGAATCTCTCTTCTATGGTATGTATTCAGTGCAACATACATTGGAGAACTACAGAAGCTGACGATTCCACGCAGGACGCCGACCCATGGTACTCATCATACCACTACTCGCACCCCATCCTGACAGAACGTCTAAAAGCAGTAGGATGGACAAGCGAGAAGAAAGTCTCAAACGAGAAGCCGAAGATCGGCGAGAGCGTCGAGGCGAATGGTGGGTCGAAGAAGGAGTTGTAGGCATTGAGGTGCTTGGCGTTCAGGGGATTGGAAGACGATGCAGTTGAAAAGAAGCTGCTAAATATGATACTAGCATAGCGAATGGCGCTGATGAACGCGATGGCTACGGATGACCATTGCAAGCACTTGTCCATCACCTCCTATCTTGGTGTGCGTCGAATGGCCATTCCAGTTCTTTGTGCAAGGCGCTGAGGGTGGAGTCGAATGCGCGTGGCAGCGAGATGAGTTTTGGTGTAAGCTATCATGGCATCAGTCTGAGAGTCCAGATGGTAACGGTGGAGCAGCCTCGTTCGTTGGTCGAGATGAATGACGAACTCCGCCGATACTCACCGTCTGCTAGTCGCCAGCACCACTTGCTCTGCGCACGTTCTTGTCCTTCCGATGGGCCTTCTTCGCACGTGGATTGTTGCTGAGCACGGAATTCTCCCTCGATCTCCTCACGGGAAATGCAGTATGTTGCTTCCTCAAGGTACCAGGTACAGCTGGCTTTAAGGACTTCTTCTTCTTGACCGGTATCTGTTCGTTTACTTCCTTCCGGCTTATCGCTTTCCTCTCCTTCGAGCTCTCGGTTGTATCGGCGAGGACAGATTGCTTGGTATGTCTGTCTGGCTCGGGTACCTCTGTACTGAGGGCCACGGATGACTCCTGCTTGGGAGGACGTGGAATCATCACCCAGGCGTGCCTCTTCGACAGAGCAGTTTGCGGTTGGATGCCTGCTGCTTTTGGCTGCTTCTTGGGCAATAACTCATCTCGCACGGGCAGGTTCTTGTCTGTTCTGCCCCCAGGCGGTAATTTGGTTCCAGCTGTAGATGCGGCCGAAGACTCTGTTTCAATGGATGGCTGGCGTTTTGCGTCAGGCTCCTAGCCCTTGGCTCCCGCCTTTGCCTCCTTTTCTGCTTCTTTACGTGCTCGTTTTGCCGCCCTCCTAGCAGTTTTGTCATCGGTGTCTGCAGCCGGTTGAGAGGTATTGGTCTTGCTCGGGCCCTTTGGTTTTGGCTCTGGCTGAGCGACAGGGCTTTCTTTTAAACCCGATCCTTGCGTGTCCGCCGCTCCAGATGCTCTACGAGCCTTGTCCTCTTTCTCGCGTTGCTTCTTCGCCAGTTTACGTGCAGCCTTCTCCTCGGCGGTTTTGGCCTTTGATGGGACCACAACATCGCCGTTGAGATCGTGTGTGACGACCACTGGCGGCTCGCCGTTCTGTTCGACCACAGGCGCACCTTCTCTGCCACCAACCTCTCCCATGAGGACCTCCTGAGACTGCTCGAAGTCTTCCTTTCTTTGCCAGGTATCGCTGTAGGCCGTCATCGAGTCTGCGTACGGCGTGTTGGCGCCGGTCCCTGCCTTACTTTCGCCTTTGACAGAAGCATCGCTCTCGTCCCAGTCCGCTCGTTTCCTCTTATTGCTAGGCTGGTTCTCTTTTCCGGCCTTCTCAGCCTTCTCACGTTGAGCTCGCTCCTTCTTCTCACGCTTCTTCCTCGTCTTCTCATCTTCAATTTTCGTCTGACTCTCCTCAATCACAGCATCCACACGTGTATCATCACCGCGCAGCACTTTATCAGCAACTCCAGGAGGCGCATTCTTCACAAAGTCTTCGCCATATCTCTCCACCAACTCTTCCTTCGTCTCCGCGACCAGGGATTCCCCACGCAATCCAGCTTCAATGCGACGAAGGTGATGAATCACCCAGCCACCGCTTGGCCCAGATTTGGGGCCATGACGGACGCCGTCTGTCGATAGCCAGGCATCGGGGTGCATCCATGGTGCTTCTCGAGAACATTCGAGGAAATCGGCCAGAGACACAGAAGCATCTTCTGATGTGAGTTCTTTGTCGAGCTCGTCGTGCTCCACGACCGGCGGGAATGCGAATGTCCTGTGTGACTGAGCCATGGCCAGGTGTGTTGCGCTCAGTTTCCACTGCTCTTTTGGGGCGCTCGTTGGCGCTTGTGTCAAGCTCGTAGGTGCTTGCAGAAAGAACTTCGCAGATTGAAGCTGCCGAATCGATAAATTGTCTCTGGCCTGAGATGAACGCAGTCGGTCTGAGCTGTCCACCGAAACAAAAAGTGGGGCACCTCCGCGCGAAGTCCGCACGACTAACCCATTGACGACAGCAACATACCCATTTGGTCAATCACACAACCCAAAATGTTCAGTCTACGCTGTCTGAGAACTGCCCTGGAGGCGTCGACTAAATCCAGTGCGACTGCCATTGCAGCGACCCGATCACCACAGACGAGGTACGACGACCTCATCCCGCGCACCACAAGGAGCGCCTTCTAACCCATATCCCAGATCATTCGGCGTCCTCTCATCACTTCCAACTCGACCCAGGACACTACCAGTACGAACAGCTCTACCAGCCACCGAAGTCCAGTCAACGACGCTCCAAGCAACATCACAACCCGGACTTTCCATCCTACAAGTGCGAGGCGCAAAACGAGACACATACAACCCTTCACATGTTGTCCGGAAGCGAAGACATGGCTTTCTCTCTAGACTCAGGACGAGGACGGGTAGAAGGACGTTGTTGCGGCGGAAAATGAAAAACAGGAATACCCTGAGCCATTGAGGCAAGATACTGTGCATACCATTTGCGAGGCGTTTGGGGATGGGAATAAGGACTGGGATTGGAGGGGACGGGGCAGGTATGGAGCGACGTTCGCCAATGTGCCAGATTCCTTATATCGGGTATCGATCATCTCTGAAGAGCAAAGGCTGGACTTTGAAGCTCTAATAGAAATGCCGGCACCAGTTTATCGACATGGCAGCACCGCTCTCACGTTACAAAACAATCGTCTTGATACCGGCAGCACAGTCACTCATTCATTTGTGAGTTATGCATCCACAATACGCATATGCACGCCATCCAGCAGTTTCCCGCCGGGCACGGCAAGGAAGAATCAGCTGGAATGCAAGCTGCACTCGGCCGTGGCACCGCAATGCAAGGACTCTGCTCATCTTGCTCTCTGCCGCGGACGGTTCGAATCCACGTGGATCATTCTGCAGGTGGCTTGCTAAACGGGATACAGATCGTACCGTCGTATGTTGCTGCGACACAGCTTTCAGACCATCGGACCCATCGCCACGAGCCAAATCACAGCCGCCTCCTTCACACAGCATATTGAACGCTTCTGTTGGACCGCCTTACCTTACCATGCGATGAAGTTGATATGCTCTTACGTGCTGTGTCCAACAAGGTGACTCTCCATGTTGTTATGATTTTTCACCCATTTACTATACGGCCTTGTCCGACATGCATGTTGCTGCCATAGCAACGATTCAATCCACGATCTCGTTCGACGTCCCAGTACAACGGGCTGGTGTCGGTTGTGGCACGCACACGGCACGGCACGGGTCCAGTGTGTCGTTCATGTGCGTCAAGACGAGATGCTTCAGTACGAAGTTGATGATGCTGCCATCGCTGCCATCTCCCAGGCTGTCATAGAGGGCACGGCAACGACTCAATATTTGATGCAACAATCCGACCGTTAACTAAGGAGAAAGCTCAAACTGGCCGCTCGACTCCGGCAAACCGCATAGAGGGTGAGTGCAAAAATTGATCGCCCCCTGGAATGCATCGGGCCGCAGCAAGGACTTGAGCCTCGCTGCTTCCGACCTTTCGGTAGGCCGAGCACGCCAATTCAGGTACGTGCCATCCCAAGAGATTTCCCGCAAGCAGAGTACACTAACACTGGCTGGTATGTTTGGATCTTGGCAGGATGCCGTCGACCTCAGTTCGGGCACATCGCCTCGAAGCATCCAAGCATCCTCAAGGTTCGTAACGCAGTCACGGCCGACCACTTTCACGGCCTTTCAGAATGGTGCGAATGGTGAGCATGATACTGCTCGGTCTACTAACGGTAGCTGCATCTGTTGCAGCGCAGTCAAGTGGTATGAATTGTGGAGAAGAGTACATTTGTGTGGACTTTGCTGACTTGAAGAAGTGCGAGTCGTCACCGTTCTGATCTATCAGTCATGCGGTGTTCCAGTCGAATTCCCGTCGACCCTCGATTACCCGACGAGTGAGTCAGTTCAACAGCAACGATTGACATCGCTGATGAGTATCAGATCCGGCCAGCTACAGCCAAATGTCGACCAGGCCGGCAGGGCCATCTAACACCACGGCGACGCAGTATTTTTCTCCTGGATATCTAACAAGCATACAGCCCTACACTGGTACATTGCCTTTGACAGCTCCTACGACTATCACAACAATCTTGCCCAGTGGGACTCGAAGTGGCATTTATATCATCCAATATCCCCGGACGGGATGGGTCACGGTCACGTCCGCATACATTGGCACGGCAGCACTCACTGGTCAAACAACCGTCCGAACAGTGAGCCCATCCGGCGGCTATCCAGGCACATACTATGTTGAAACGCCTGCGCCATCTTCAACGTACTCGACGTCGAACGTCGTGGGTAGCTATACCTCTAACGGCATAACCTATTCGACCACTTTCGAGATCACCACAGCAGTCTCAGATGCGGGACCGACTCCTGCAATTTCGACACAGATCAATCCAAGCATCAGCGAGCCATTCACTACGACGATTTCTAGCACGCCAGTGGTGCAGATCCCGCCATACACGACCATCTACACGCAGTTTCCGTCTGCATCAAGCATTACGGCACCTGTCACAGTCACCACTATTCCGCCAAATTCAGCAGGCAATGGACAGGGTACGATCATTGTGGGTGTCCCAGCTGTTCGTTGGGTCACCACGACGGTACGATGGACTGGCTCGACTTTGATCACTGCTCCCATTACGAGCAGCTATCCGCCGACAGGCACTGAGGTGATTGATTCAACTTTGGGATTGAGCGTATTAGAACACAATTGCTTTTGTGAGATTGCTTTGGCTCGTCTCGATAGTTTCGTTAAGCCCGAATGGCTGAACGCCTTTGCGGGAGAGGAGATGTGTTCCATTTGAGCGGCCTTTCGGGAAAATGTACTGACTTTTGCGTCACATTAGCCTGGATCCGTCGTGGTGCAGACTCCGCCGCCTGTTGTTTCGACGACAAGGGCTTATTCTGGCACATCTTCGATTCCCTCCCTTATCACGGCGACAACTCTGGTCGGCAGTGGCTCAGATGCCTGGACCGTGATTCTGGAGACATTATCCGGGTATCAGCCTCCACTCTATCAGACGACAACTCAGCTGTACACAGGAGCCTCCCCGATCTCAGATCCAATCACCACTACGTTCGAGCCTAGCGGCACAAATGCCGGGCTGGTTCTGATTCAGACGCCACCAGGCTGGGTCACTTCGACGAGGGCTTACAGTGGCTCTTCATCAATCACCGCGCCGATCACTGCAACCTCGATCTGGCCAGTTGCGGATAGTCCAGGTGTTGTCTGGATCGAGACACCGACTGGATACGCGCAGCCTTCGACGTCCGAGCCAGTGCAGTCGTCTGCTCAGCTCATCTCTTCGACTGGATCTGCGCTGTCTTCGCCCACTCCAGCAGGCTCGTCCCCAGTGCAGAGCTCTTCTCTGTCCACCCAAGGAGGACTGTCGCAAGTTCCGAGCTCTTCTCTGTCTACTCAAGGAGGACTCTCGCAAGTCCCAATGTTTTCACAGCCATCCGCTTCATCTACAGCTGGCCAGTCAATTAGCAGTACATTAGGATCAATTTCAACGCCATCTTCATCGCCCTCAGCCCTTCCAACATGCCCACCCCTTGTTTGCGGCGCCATCGCGAGGAACTCAACCTCTTGCGAGAACTCGTACGGTAATCCATACAACGTGACATGCGGCATCAGACTCTGGGGCACGATCGCCAAGCGTGCTACTGTCCGAAACAGCGAAGAATGCCTCGTCCAGTGCGATCAGACTCCTGGATGCGTGGCTGTCAATTTCTACAGCCAGGCTTCGCCCCAACCCGAAAACTGCGAGCTGCTGAGCGAAGTCGATTATGAGACGAGCGATCCTGGAACAGCTGGCGCGGAAAGGCCTGCGGACGTCGAGGAAATCAATTCCGTGCCGCCGACTTCGAGCGCTGAGTCTACGCCGCCTCCGCAGCAGCTCACGACGACTACCACACGTCTATACACTGGTACTTCTCCGATTTCTGATTTCATCACGGCTACAACCATTCCGGCGAGTGGCTCTAATCCTGCTGTCGTTGTCATTGAAAGTCCTGGTCCCCCTGGCAGCCCTGGCTATCAAACATCTTTCAGACCTTACACTGGGACATCGTTCTTAACGGTAGCGACCACCATCTCCACTGTACTGCCCAGTGATCAGGTTTCGGGGACTTACATTGTGGAGACGCCTTCTGCTGCACTTCCCTCCAGCAATTTTGCCAGCTCGAGCCCTGCTGGCTCAAGTCCTGCTGCATCTACTTCCACCTTGCTTGGCAGCTCGAATTCTGGGATCGCTCTAGCCACTTCTTCTGATGTCTCGAGTTCCGGCGCTCTTCTACCCAGCGTCACTGGCTTTTCGAGCTCTGCTGCCAGCTTGCCTGGTGCTTCTAGCAGCTCGACCTCTGGTGCTATTTTGCCCAGTGTCTTTGGCCCCTCGAGCTCGGCTGCTGTCTCCTCCAGTGCCTCTGGCATCTCAACCTCAGCTGCTCTCTTGCCTAGCATCTTTAGCAGCTCGCTCTATGCTGCGCCTTCCTTGCCATCAACGAACTCAATCTCAGGCTCTGAGACTTACGTCACGGTCACACGGCCTTGGACAGGCACTTCTCCCATTTTCAGTCCGACTATTGTGTCTACGATTCTTCCAAGCAATGGCCAACCAGGAACATATATCCAGGAGACCCCAGCGAGTCTGCTTGGACATGTCACCTCAACTCGCGGCGTGTACACTGGACAAGAGCAAATCACCGCAGCGACGACCGTCAGCACTGTTTTTCCAAGCCAGGGCGCTTCTGGCCCTGTTTCAGGGACATACATAGTCGAGACGCCGTCACCTTTCATCTCTGGAGCGTCCTCTACGACCGCGCCATCAAGTTCTGGGCAGGAAAGTTATGTGACTTTAACAATAGCGTACTCAGGCTCCTCAAGCCTGACCGCGCCGCTGACATCCACAATCGCTCAACCTTCAGCTGGAAACCCGGGTACAGTCCAGATTCAAACTCCTGCTCGATACGTTACATCCACACGAGCATATACGGGAACCATCCCCATTACCGCAGCAACAATCGTGACGACGATCCAGGGCATGGGTTCAGATCCAAACACGATTGTAGTTGAGGAACCATCGCCGAGCGGCGCCTCTTCGTGCGCACCGAACAGCAACGGCAACGTAACAAGCGCGAACGGCAATTCTTACACCGTCAGATGTCAAGCTGAAACGGATGGATCTTCTCTGGGCTCCAGGCAGGCGACTATTGGATTCAATGACTGCTTCGACTTCTGCGATACCACTTCTGGATGTCTTACTTTCACTTTCATCGGATCTGGTCTGATTATCGAAGAAGGTCCTGGAGAATGCCAACTCAAAGGCGCTGCGGCGTCTGACCCGACCTTCACTTCATTCAATGTGAATGCAGTCTCCGCTGTCCGCTCCGGAGGTGTCTCGCCGGGTCCTTCATACTATGTCACAACAATGCGACCGTATACCGGAGCGTCGCAGATCACGAGCCTTTCACCGCCAGCTCCTCTCCGCCAAGTGGTACCAATCCAGGCCTCATCGTTATCGAATACCCTACCAGCTCATCACAAGCGTTGACAGCGTCAGCCACTTCGGCGGAAGCATCGAGCACTTCAGCCAGCTCTTCGGGACTCTCCTCGACAAGCGTTCCGTCGTCTAGCTCTTCACAGCTCTCCAGCACAACAGAAGCATCGACTGCATCAGCTACTTCAGCGGAAACATCGGGTACTGTGGTCAGCTCATCACAAGCGCCACCTCCTGGATACGTTACCTCAACTTCCTATGGCCCATTTGCCGGCACCACAACGCTCACTTCCATCCCGTACAGCGGCACAATCTCAGGCACGATAATCTTAGGCATCCCGGAAACCTCGCAGGCGAACTACTACATCACGTCGACGAGCTATGGATCCTTCCCTGCAACAACTGTCTTGACCTCAGTGGCTCCTAGCGGCACTCACCCAGGCTCGATTTGGGTGGGCATACCGGAAATACCGACTCCAGGATATCAAACCAGCACTTCTTGGGGGCCGTTCAGCAGCCCTACCACCTTGACCTCTATCGCTCCGAATGGGCAACAGTCAGGTACCATAATTGTGGGCCAGCCATGGACGGATACGACGGTAAGAATTCTTCATCTATTCACCAGAAAGCTGTACTAACCGTCTTTATATGAACAGACCACGAGTACCACTTCTTTGCTGGGATATCAAACGTCAACCACTTTTGGAGCGTTTTCCGCACTCACGACCTTGACGAGTTCACCTCCAAGCAATACTCAGTCTGGTTTGATCCTGATTGGGTTGCCTCGAACTGATATTACAACGACGACTACATCCTCGTCGTCAAGCTCATCGTTGCTGCTAAGCTCCGCAACTTCCACGAGCATTACCTCGTCCAGCATTGCTCCATCGAGCTCTTCGCAACTTTCCAGCTCGATAGGAGGATCGACCTCTTCGACGCTTTTGAGTTCAGCAGTAGCGTGGAGCTCTTCGATATCCTCGCTCTCTAGTTCTTCGGCACTGTCAAGCTCTTCGATACTCTCATCGTCCAGCTCTTTAGCACTCCCGGCCTCCTCGACGTCCTCTAGCTCCGCTGGACCTTCGAGCTCTTCGATATCCTCGCTCTCCAGCGCTTCAGTACTGCCAAGCCCTTCGACGTCTTCCGGTCCGGCAGAAGCATCGAGCTCTTCAACAACATCCTCCAGCTCTCCGATATTGTCAAGCTCTTCAGTATTCTCATCGACCAGCTCTTCGGCACTGCCGGTCTCTTCGACATCCTCTACGTCAGCAGCAGCATCGAGCTCTTCATCATCATCCTCCAGCTTTGTTTCGTCCACCTCTTCCGCAGCGCAAAGCTCCTCGTCTTCTTCCAGCTTGGCTCCGACGACGTCTTCAAGCTCCTTGTCTTCCAGCTCTTCAGCGCTGCCAGCGCCTTCGACGACTTCTAGCTCAGCAGCAGCATCGAGCTCTCCAACATCATCCTCCAGCTCTATTTCATCGAGCTCTTCTGCCGCTCAAAGCTCCTCGTTTTCATCCGCCTTGGCTTCGAAATCCTCGCCTTCATCTAGCTTGCTTTCGACGACCTCCGTGGCAGCGTCTTCAAGCCCCTCGTCGTCCAGCTTTGCTTCGACGTCCTCGCCTTCGTCTACTTTCGCTTCCACGACATCTTCAAGCTCCTCGTCGTCCATTCCGCCTTCTTCGAGCTCTTCTTCCTCAACCCTCTCCTTAGGCTACGTCACCGTCACAACCTATAGCAACTACGCAGGCACGACGACGCTCGCAAGCCAAGCTCCGCAAGGCACTGCCTCAGGCACTATCCTGATAGGTTTGCCGTGGACCGTTACGACAGTAAGCCCGAAGTGTCATCATATGTCGCTTCAGCTAACACACTTGGCAGACAACATCCTCGTCGACGCCCGGAACAGTTACCTCTACCACGTTGGGCAATTACCCATCCACCACTACAATTACCACGATTCCATATTCGGGATCTGCGAGTGGAACGGTGCGTCCACAAAACTTGCCAAGTTTTCTGTGCTGGTTGGGGAAGAGACGAGTGCTGACTTCCCTATTTACAGGTGATCATCGGTGCCCCGTTTACCGTGGTTCGTATCGCTTGCAACTCACGCTTCGGTGCCCTGCTGACCCTTTTAAAAGACCACAACAACAACACTAGGAACCGTCACCTCAACCACCTGGGGCGCATATGCTGGGACCACAACGATTACAACGATCTCATGGTCGGGGACCCAAAGTGGAACAGTCATTGTGGGGATTCCGTACACGGTAACGACCACGACGGTATGACAAGAGGAGCTTCACGTGGAGTAGTCCGAGCTAACGATCGATGTTTTAGACAAGCTCTTCATCCACCTCAAGTTCTTCGACGGCCGTGAGTTGAAAGCACTCAAGGCTTTGTTGATCGCGTGCTGATGTTTGACGGCAGACTACGCCCTCGACCGCCACAACCCCTACGACCGCAGTGAGTTCAGTCTGTGGCAAATTACCGGTTCTGTGCTAATCATTGAAAGACTACGCCCACAACTGCCACAACTCCCACGACCGCTGTAAGCTCAAAGCCATTAACACTTTAACGAATATATGCTGATGACTTGTAGACCACATTGACTACTGCCACCACGGCAACAACTTTGACCACAGCTGTAAGTTGAAAGCCTCTATTCTCCTCGTTCCACTCCAAGCGGAACGTTCTTCCCCGTCGCATACAGAGTGTCCAAGTAGTTTGGAGTGCGACTGGGAGCTTGTTCGACTGTAGAATCGAAGGAATGACGAGGAGGCATTTTGATGATTGCATGCTCACGATTTGCAGACTACACCAACCACTGCGACCACGGCCACGAGATTAACGAGCTCAACATCAACCGTAAATACTCTCCTTGATCGGAATACAGGGTATTGCTAACTTTTTGTAGGCCACCGCGATTTCAACTCCAAGCTGTTCGGGAGTCAGCCCTCCATACGCATCAGCATCGACATGTCCAATCGCCGACGATACTATTGTTGGAAGTCCAAATAACATGCCATATAAAGTCCGCTGCGGATGGGATACGCGGGGCAATGCATACGGCACTTTGCAACAGACTTGCACGAGTTGCACGTACGTGGACTGCATGTCCTACTGCGATGCTGGCGCTGCTTGCGTGGGCTTCACTTGGCTGGGATCGGGCTCGAGTACTAACGGGCAAGGCCTTGGCAACTGCTACTACAAGCAGACTGCTGCTCAAGGCGCTCTCGCTGACTTTGACAACTCAGGTGGCCTCGCCGCCAACAAGGTTTCAGTGGTGAAGGCATGTCGTGGCCTGGTTGCTGTCGGCTCCGGAGGTTCGTCTCCAGGCAACACACAGTACACCACTGTCACGTATGCATATCAGCCAACGGCAGCAACGGAGACTACGGTTAGAACATCTACGACTATTGCTCCTAGTGGCACCTATCAGGGAACAGTACGTCACAGTTTCTCGAAGAGCCATTCTAAGCTATGCTGACTCGCCAATAGGTCATCCTCGCAACTCCAGTAGCCACAGCCCCTTGCGTAGCCGAAGGCTACTTATCACTCTACAACAGACTGAACCGCGTCAACCTGCAAAACGGAAGCTCTTCACTGATCGCCGATGTCAATTCTGGAACCGACGCCATCAACTCGCTTGGATACAACCCCATAGACTCATATCTCTACGGCAATTTTCGCGAGGCCGCTAATGCAGGCACTGCTGGACCACAGCGCTTCATGCGGGTCGGCTTCAACGGGAACACACAGGTTTTGTTCAGCCTGCCCACTTTCCGCAGTTTCTACGTCGGCGACATCGATTCTAACGGACAGTATTGGTCGGCATCACAAGATCCTACATGGCAGTGGATCCAGGTCAATCTCAATCCGAACCTGCCAGCATATTAGTAAGTCATTGCAAGCGTTCGTTGTTTCTGTGGCTAATCTTTTGTCAGACAAATTGTCGACAGTGGGACCTCGTCGAACCCGCCCGGCGGCCGTGTACAGGACTGGGCTTTCGTACTTGGCGGAGGTCCTTATCTCTACGGAGTGGCCATCACCAACCAAGGCAGCACAACTCTGAACAGATTCGATCTGAGCACAAAGACGTGGACAGTTGTTGGCTCCTTGGGCAACACAGTCACCGTCAACCCGAACAACGAGAAGCGCTGGAACGCTCTGTACTCCGGCGCTGGCAACGGAGACCTGTTTGGCCTGGAAGGTTATAGTGGACAGCTTTGGAAGTTCAACGTCAACACGCTTGCCGCGGAATTTGTGATTCAAGGACCTGTTGGGTCGGCGGAGGCCGATGGTGCAAGATGTTTGAGTGCTCCTCTGTAATGATCTGGTTTTGTTGGCTTTGTACATTACATCCAGCTCTTCGTAGCTTCATTTCTCAATGTTAATTGTATACCTCACTTCCTGCAACTTTATCTCCATATTTCAGTGCATGCCTCGAGTGATGCATCGTCAATAGGGGTCAATGTTTTGGCCTCAGGCAGCAACCGCACCTAGCGCGCAGCTTATCCCAACTTCACTTTCCCCTCGTCTCTTCCTCCAACAAACCCGTCAACATCATCAACTGGCACACATTCGACACCGACACTCGTCAAATCTGGAGCAAGACATTCGGTCGAAAAGCTTTACCGAGCTGACATCTTCACCGGCTGTCGTGTGACATTGTGGCTGACATCAGATTCAAGCTCTTTCGTTCCCGGCCAGCATGGTGCGGTACGACGTGACAATGTCCTGCCTTCAATACGTGCACGATCCTGGTCAGTGACGCGATCAATCCTACGCCATAGCAGCCGTATTCCTGCGGTGACTTGCAGAAGGCTCTCGCTCCCGTGGAAGCCGCGTGGGCTGTCGGAACTTTCTATTTACCCAGTAATGTAGATGCTTGCGACGGAGAGAGGTGATCCAGTCATCCGTGAAGCTCACTTAGCACCTTGATGAGGACACACAACTGGAAAGGAAAGACTTGCGGATCGCTTGGAGCCCGGTGTCAGACCACGAAAATCTACGAAGTACTTGATCAGCCACAAGCGATATGCGCAACGTTCAACAGCTGAACGTGTTTCCTAGCTCAGCTACTTGGCGGCATGCATGGTATAACCATGACAAGAGTGGCATATCTGGCTCTTCATAACATCTCATTCGCTCATGTCTGCCTACCCCGGGCGTGAAAGATACATCAGCTGTCTTCAGTGGTGACGGAGAACGGGTGGTCGAACTCGCTTCGTTCAACCGATAAGAGCAATGTACGGTATCATTGGTAGGAACTATCTTGCATCTCACCACTCGCGTGCCCGCCTACGCCACTCTCTGCAGGGCGGTAATCATTAAGCATGGGGCTTCGGCGGAGGCGTGATGGCATGGGACTTCTTTCAGCGGCCGGTCTGCTCTCCAGATCCGAGGGATAGTATAAGCATGGACGGTGGTCCTACGGTTCTAAATCTCGTCTTGTCCAACCCATCTCCTCCAGAGTTGCAGCAATGGGCTTCCTCAACTCGTGCTGGGAAGCACTGCTTCAATTGACAAGCTATACTCAAGTATTGAACAGCAACTATCAACAACCTCTTCATCTTCCCAATCATCATGAAGGCGGTCACGGACTTCTCTCGTCGTCTGGCGTATCTTTCCAAGTGGAAGGTACCAACTTCACATGCGAATATCCTACGATGAAAGGATGCCGCAGCTGCAACGACCGCAACGATCGGGAATGCTGGCTTGAGAGGCCCAATAGCAAGAGCGTTCGCTACGACATTAATACTCCTTGTATGTTCGAAAGAAGCCAATGTCGAGCATGCATTGACCCTTTCATAGATGACATGTCCGGCGATGAGTTTGCCCCTGATGGCATCAAGAGAGAAGTAATCAAAACACAACATACAGAAATTGATCATGGCTGATAGGTGCAGTATTGGCTTGAAGTCAGCGTAGACGCCGTGGGTATTCTGTCGCCTTATCATCATTGGCAGAGCTAACCACACGTAGATTGCCCCTGACGGATTCTTGAAGCCGCTAGGTCAAGTGTTCAATCACACGTATCCTGGACCACATCTGCAAGCCTGGTGGGGCGATCAAATTATATGTTCGGTGCCGTCTAGATCTTTTCAAGCTTCTGACAACACACAGGTCGTCCATGTCACCAACAAGGTTCCAAACCTTGGCACCACAATTCATTGGCATGGGATAAGACAGCTCAACACGACACAGCAAGATGGCGTGAATGGTGTCACGCAATGTAAAATCACCGGACGATTTTATACTTGCATTGACTAACAGTTATTAGGCCCCATCGCCTTTGGTGAGACCTACACATACAGTTTCAGAGCTGACCAGATTAGCCACACTTGGTATCACTCTCATTATCAAACACAGTATTCAGATGGCGTTGCAGGCCCATTGACAATCTACGGCCCAAGCAGCGCTAATTGGGATGAGACTTTCACACCCATCATGATGCAAGACTGGGTCCACGACAACACTTCCATCGCATTCAAACAGGAGCTTGGCCGATCCATTCCTTTGGCCGATAGCATCCTCCTGGGTGGCACCAACACCTTTAAGTGCGATGCGTTGAACTCGTCATGCTGTCGAAGCTGCGACCTGAGCAACTGCAAAGAGGGCACGGACGAAGCATTTTGTTGCAAGCCTGATGACAGATGCTATCGGCCCACGTTGCTCCCCAACGGCACTATCATCGAGCAGAAACAAGTTGGCGGAATCTTCAACAGAACTTTTCAAGAAGGCAAACGCTATCTGCTGCAACTGATCAATGCTTCAGCAGATGCTATGTTCATCTTCGCTATCGATGATCATGATTTGCTGGTCATTGCTGCTGACTTGGTACCAATCAAACCTTACAAGTCTGAATCCTTATTCATCGCTATTGGTACGTTGTGGAAGATAACATTGAAGCACCTTGCTGATCAAGACTTAGGCCAACGCTACCAGGTCATCGTCACAGCCAAGCCTAAGAAGAAATCGAAAGTCTGCCAAGCGGATGTCAAGAAGTGCAACTACTGGATCCGGACAAGAATAGCTTCAGGTTGCGGTAATGTTGCGCAAGACAATGAGGAGACTGGGATCATCCAATACAGCCCGAATCGAAACGCTCGCGATCGGCCTGATACAGAAGCACACACCGATCGTGAGGGGTGCAAAGATGAGCCAATGGAGAAGCTGCGTCCGATTGTGCCATGGAATGCGTCTGATCTTCGGAACTCGCGCGAAGACTATACTTTCGTTGCGGCATTCGACGATTTGCCAACCCATGGTGCCTACCGCTGGGAACTCACGGACAAACCCCTGTTCCTCAACTACTCCAGCCCCAGCATCCTCAACGTCGACAACAACGGCCACTTCCATGACGTCTACCAAGCCTCTGTGAACTACACCAATCACGCCTGGAACGGCGGCTTCGTATACCTCGTCATCGATGGAAGTAACATCCAGCAGATCGCCGGCAAGCAAGGGGTGCCTGCAGCGCACCCTATTCATCTCCACGGCCATGACTTCGTAATCTTGGCACAAGTCGACAGCGCTTTCAATGGCACGATCCCGAAGAATCAAGTCGATAACCCAACGAGAAGGGATACCGCATTACTGTACGGCGGCGGGTATCTCGCACTCGCGTTCAAACTCGACAACCCTGGCGTGTGGCTTGTGTAAGTTCGACGGGCATGTCTTCTTGGTCACTCTCTTGCTGACTGGTCTCAGGCATTGCCATATCGCATGGCATGCGTCTTCTGGCCTCGCTCTGCAGATCATCGAGCGACAGGATGAGATTATTGGCTCGATTGGGGATTTAAATCCGACGAGGGAGACTTGCAAGGGCTGGGAGAGGATGGGGCTGAAGTTTCATCAGGAGGATTCGGGGATTTGAGAAGGTGAGCTAGCTGTTGAGGTGTGCTCGGGCCTTATTTGCTTTCCATTGCATTTACCGCTCTACTTGCCCATTGCAGACTGCCAAGGACGCCTATCTAATCACGATGACATGAAGCAGAGTACTCCTCGTCACGCTTGGAATGAAACATTATCCCTCACTGTCCCGCCAGATCATCCACACACTCAAACTCGACCGTACACATACTACAGCCCGCCTCCAAACTTCCGCACTTCCAGCTAACAGTCCCGTTATGGGTAACTCCAAGATACGTCGCGCTACACCCTTCGAATTGCTCGCCAAACACCGGCATCCATTGAATCTCACCCGGCTGGCCCAGAGCATCCGCGGGGATGGTGATACCGTCATTTGCCGTGGAGTCGAGTGTCTCGCTGTATCCGATCCGAGGGCCACACTTGTATTTAAGAGTGAAGCCGGTTGGAAACTTGGTGTAAGAATCGATGCTGTTGGCCTTGTGCCAGCCCTCGAGCGTGCAGATGTTGGTTCCGTTGTGGCCGACGTTGGTGGCGCTCGCGCACGGGTCGATGTAGACTGGTGTTGATGGCTTGGGACCCATGGTCGGTGAGTGGATTTGCAAGGGGGTGGGATCTGTAATGGACGTAAGCGGATGTGAAGAAGAAGAGAGAGGCCAACGGTGTGCTGACTTCGGCAACGTTGCTTTTATTCACTAGATACGAAGGCCGTCCTGGGACAATTCTCAATAGCTTGAACGTTTTGGTGATGGTATTAAGACTTAGTATTAGCGTCCATTGCGCTGCCCCCAGTCTTCTTGTATGCCCATGTCGTTGCACTATTCACGGGCAGTTCCAGGGGCACATCTGCTTTACAAGAGACAGAAGCAAATTTGTTCATTTCCAACTCCGATACACTTGCTTCCCCTGGTAATTACCTTACTCATTCGGATGACCGGCGAGCATGATCGAGTCGGCGGTGTGAACGATATGGTCAGGCATTCCAGTTAGTGCTCCGTGAATTAAAGCAAGCCTTTGATCAAAGTTGGTTTCCGCGCGACAAAGGATGTCCAGAAGGCAGCATAATAACCCCAGCGCACTCTTAATTCTAGGTAGTTATATTGATCTGTGGATTTGTAAACCCGGCTCGGTCCAAAGCTAGCTTTTTGTTCCTCACTCGGTTTTGATCCTAAGGACTACATTCAAAGCACGCGTATAAGGTTGAGACCTGTATAGAGAAGGTTGACGATCGAGCTCCAAGCACATAGTGAGTGACGATCTACCTACCGTCAACAGGACACTGGTCCTCCACGATCCCCCTTTGCCACTTCAAGCCAAGCCGCTCTCACACTGGATCTTGACTGTGCAATCACTGCAAGTCGTCCCCAAAGTCCCATCACTACACGAAGCCGCCGTACCTTGATACGTCGCCCCATTGTACGTCGCGCTGCACCCATTAAACGACGTCAAAGCCCAGTTCGGATCCCACTGGATCTCGTTCGGCTGGCCAAGTGCTCCAACTGGAATCGTGATGCCGTTAACGGCAATGGGGTTGAGGTCGTCGTTAGAGCCGATGGGGACGCCGCCTTCGTAGTTCAAGTCGAAGCCTTGACGGGTGTAGCTGACAGGGGCTTGACCGGGACCGCCACCGCCGACGACGATTTCGACTTCGTGCCAGCCGCGGAGGTCGCAGGTGTCGGCCATGGTGCTGATGGCGGAGAGAATGGTGAGGAGGGAGGAGGTTTTGAAGCTGCTATGCTGTGAGTTGTTGTCGAAGTTGGGCAGGGAAAGTTTGACTGACTTCATTGCTGTGATCTTTGCTGATCAGCTTGGGAGAGGATCACGGTTCGTTGAATGATGAGATTTTTGTGAGACTGTTGTTGTTGCTGATGCTGCTATTAGTCTTTATGGAGAGTCCTCGCGTTCCTTATATGTTCCAGGGCGTGCCCTCCGTCCCTGCACTCGAAGCGTCCTGCCTCACCTTCGCCTCACCGTCGTTCAAGGCTCGTGCAGCTGGGCCACGGAACTCTCCCTCTCCAGACTAGTGGTTACAGCCTATAACGCGATCTTCCAGGAATACACGAACCGGTGCATAGAAAATTTGGCGACATGCCCTATGGGATGCCTGTGCTGAAAGACCAACATCATGGCCCATGATACCAGCGTCGCCATGACTTACGGAAGCGGGAAGCCTCAGATAATTCATAGACAGGGAGCTGGTATTCTTGGTGTTGAAGGATCTCGCCAGCCGTCTTGGCCATGGCAGTTCTTCCGCTTGCAGCGTTCGCGATGTTTTGCCGTCGGTACAGCCTCAGCCAGAGCTGAACACCAACAATGTTGCCTCGAAACGAGGTCAGATCAATGCCGCTTCTCACTGAAGCGAATTCCTTAAGCTGCCCCGTCTAGGGAATTTACGCAGGGTACGTCAATGTGCATTTTTTCAATCTTGTTATTCTTCCGCCTCCGGAACACACTCTCGATTCGCTCGCGTTGGATCGATGGGATGCCCGAGCTCGTAACCGAAGTCTGAGAGCAGCTCATGAACCAAACAGTATTCGTGAAGTGAAAGCTGCGTGGTGATGATGCATTCCTTGTCCTTCGATTGCAATAAAGGTGAAGAAAGATTCCAGCGACACGAGGTGAGGTTGAGGAAAGACGGTCCAGTTGCGTACACTTCATACCGATCATTCTGAAATGTACGCAAGCGGTCCGCTCTTTCCTCACCTTCGCCCAACGCAATCTGACGTCTTGTCGTCAACAACTCCCGAGCAGACGCGAAGAGCTTGAAAAGTCTAATGCCACATAGCATTGGACTCTTCGGCTGAGCATGACTGCTAATATACCCACAGGCGAATCGTCAAACCCTCGGCCCACGCCGCCATCACTGTTGGCCTATCTTTTTCCTGAGTCATGATTTGGATGACTGCATAGCTTTCTTTAGTGCTTTCTTCTTTCATTCATCTGTCATCTCCTCTCCGCGCAAGAAGACAGTGTAGCTGCGACGATGGAGTCTTCCAATGGCTTTCTAGGCTTATCGATGGAGGACCGAGGCCTTGCCATTTACCTTTTCGCCACAGGCGTATTGCTGGCCACATTCGTGGCATATCGAGCCTACTTCGACCGGTTACGAGACGTCCCAGGACCATTGCTCTGTCGCCTGACATCCCTCCTGGACTGGTACCACTCCTACGTAGGCGACGAATCGAAATGGATAGACACGCTTCACGCCAAATACGGTCCTGTCATTCGAATTGCTCCAAACGAAGTCGTCATCTCAGAGGGCCAAGCGTTGGCTCCCATCTACTCGGAAAAAGGAGGCTTCCTAAAAGCACCATGTTATAAGAACTTCGATTCCGAGGGCCATGAGACGATTTTCAGCGCTCTCGATCCCAAGCACCGGGCTGTGAGAAGCAAGGCGGTTATGCCAATGTTCAGCACGGCCAACCTTCGAGCACGGAGCGATGCTATTGAGGGATGTGTGAATGATTTGGTGGAGAGACTGCAAAAGGAGGCGAATCAGAGTCGTCGCGCGGCAAAGGAGACTGGCAAGCCTTCTCCTGTCAACGTGCTCCAGATGTCTCGCCGCCTTGCTATCGATGCCGTCTGCTCATACCTGTTTGGCCTACAATACGGCGGCGTTCATGAACAAAGCACCAAACTTAGCGCCAGCAACTACGTCGACTCCATCGTCGCCTTCGGCCGCTTTTTCTTCCTTCCGACCTGGCTCTTTCAACCAATCCTGCTAATCTCCGAATACCTCCAACCACCAGACGCCCAGAGCCAAGAACGCGTGGAAGGCTTCACGAAACCCCTCGTCTCAATCTCAAAAGAGTCCGACAACACCTACCAATCCCGCCTCCTCAAAGCCGGCATCACCGAACACGAAACTGACGTCCAAATGAAAGACGTAATCTTCGCTGGCACCGACACAACCGGAACGAACTTCGGCTCCCTCCTCTTCCAGCTCGCAAAACACCCCGACGTCCACGCCACGCTGCGCGAGGAAATCCTCGCCGCGGAACGAGAAGATCCAGATTACAATCCTCAGAACCTGAAATACCTCGACGCCGTCCTCCGCGAAGGCCTGCGCACATCCATGGCGAACCCAACTCGTTTCCCTCGCCAAGTGCCCCCTCAGGGCTTCCTCTACACCTCGCTCACCACGACCAAAACCTACAATCTCCCCGCTGGAACTCTCGTAGGCCTCTCGCCATACACCCTCCACCTGAACCCGGCCGTCTTCCCCGACCCCTACGAGTTCAAACCCTCACGCTGGCTCGACGATCGTGCCACGCCCGAGATGTATCGTGATTGGATACCTTTTGGTCTGGGACCGAGACAGTGTATCGCGAGGAATCTGGCGATGGTGGAGCTGTGTTTGGCGACGAGGGCGGTGGTGAGGAGTGGTGTTTTGGAGGGGGCGAGGCCGGTAGGCGAGAGGTTGGAGGTGTTCGAGTGGTTTAATGCGAAGGTTAAGGGGGAGAGGATCGATCTTGTTTGGGAGTGAGACGAGATCTGAGATGAATGGAGAGGATGCAGGAAGAATGGTTCCTGATGAAGTTGCTGCATAGAAGGCGAAGCCACGAGCAGGTATGTAGCTGCTTAGTATAGAATCGTCGTATGCTTACGCGAATGTGCTTGGATCATGTTCCCCGATGATTCCAAGAAGCAAGAGAGCTGAGAAGATCGTTGCGAGAGTGTGGCTCGAAAGAGATCAATACTTGACCAAATGACTCCCTATTATGCTTCCAGATCTTTACCGTCTGCAACAGCGTATGCACGCCGCATCCTCTTCACGCCGTGCCAAGAGGCGGTGAACTGAAGCCAAAGTCTGCGCATCTCGAACCATATGCGAAAGAACCCCTGTCAACGAAGAAGAGTTTGTATATAGCGGTAAAGAAGTGAAGTCTACTCTCCAACCCCCAGCCACCCCATGCCGAAAACCCCAAGCCAACTCAAAAGCAGACCCACACCTCACGCCAACCAATCACAGCCCTCCAGCATATCTAAACATTCACTTCCCACCCATCACTCCTCCTGCAAGTCCCACTTCACTCTCAAACAGACTAGCAAGAAAGCCCTTTTTGCATGTGACACTCCGACCTTCGCCTCCTCTAATACTTATATATAATTTTCGTCCAGAGCACATCATCAGGAATATCGATGTCGAGCGACGCGCGCCCGCATTTGTCGTTAGGTAAGAGAAATACACTTCGGCTGGAGGAATTCTGCGCCGAGATGGGCGAGAGCTCTCGGCGGGACGAAAGAGAAGAAGGCAAAGTGATTCACGCGGTACGGGTCACGAGGAGCGGAAAATCCTGTCCCGTGCTTTGGACTGGGCGACGTGCTTTTTCTTCCCTTTCTTTATTTCATCCGAGAGGCGCTTCCCCGGTCGTTTCTCCTTTGCATTCCTCTCGACGTTTCCGTCAAAGAAAAGTACAGCCGAAGCCTTCGAACACAGCACTGCGAGAGAGAAAACCCAATACAGCCTCCATCCACTGCCGCTCTGGTATACACACCCTCAAAATGTCCGCCTCCAACTCCCCCACAATCCTCCCCCAGTCGCGCTCCCACGGCCGCGGCGGCGCAGGAAACATAAACGCCAAACCGAGCAAAGACGTCGAAGCCAACGACCTCCAAACACCCACCAGCAAGCGCATCCCCACCCCATGACATTCATAGTGTTAAGCATACTGACCATCACCCAGTAAAATCAAACCACTACACCACAGGCCGCGGCGGCACCGGCAACATGGCGCGCAACAACCCCACGGACCCCTCCGAATCGCGCGCCGCCCAGGACGTCGAAGCGCCCGCGCACCACGGCCGCGAGATGCAGGGGACGTACCACTGGGGCCGCGGTGGGGAGGGGAACATGACGGTTGTCGGGAAGAGTGAGCGCGAGGCGAGCAAGGAGCGGAAGAAGGAGAGGGCTTTGAGTGGGGAGGGGGAGCGGAGGGGCAGTTTTCGGAGTGCGGTGGAGAAGGGGAAGGAGATTTTGGGGTTGAGGAGGGAGAAGGAGAGGGTGGATGCTGCTAATGGGGGTGCGGGTGGGAATGGGGAGAGTGCGGTTGAGTAAGAGAGACGCGAAGGACAGGGAAGAAGATGAGGAGAGGAGAAAAGAGAACACACACCAGCCGTGAGAGGATTCGAGAAGGTGGAAAAGAAAAGCCCAGCGAAAGGCATATGATACCCCCAAAAGCAGAGCAACGACGAAAGAAAACAGTCAAAAACGTGAACGGCGTTCGAAGGTGAAGCGTTACGGAACGTGGGAAAGGACACAAAAAAGTAATCGACAGACATTGACTGAGTACATACATAATCAAATAACTTCCCCCTTCAATCAAGCGACTCACCCCGGTACAAACCAAGAAACACGCGCAAAAGGGATTGAATCAAAACATTGAAGCTTTTTCTCTTTCAACGGAAGCATCGATGTAAAAAGTCTCTACTCTATACATCTAAAGCAAAAGCAAAAGCCATCTACCAAAAAGCACCATCCCCTCAACGAGGAACAGCATCGTCAACCCCTCTCCCCCGCTCCTTACTCCATCTTACTCCGCCCCACCACCTTCTCCCCCCTCCGATCCAGTGTCTCCATAAACCACCCGCGCTCCACAAACTTCAACCCCTCATCAATCAGAATAATCGGGGCGCTCCACACGCCCACAATCCACCACTCATCCCAGCCCAGCGGCACGATGCCGAAGATCCCCTGCAGGAGCGGCGTGTAGAGGAGGATGAAGTGCAGGAGCATGGAGAGCGTGATGGCGTAGACGAGGACCATGTTGTTCCAGAGGGGGAGGGTGAGGAGGGATTCGGAGGAGGAGAGGGCGTTCATGGCGTTGAGCATTTCGATGACGACGAGGATGGAGAGGGAGATGGTGCTGGCGGTTTTGGCGGGGGTTCCCGAGAAGATTTGGCAGGAGATTTCCGGGAAGGCGGTGCTGCAGCGGTGGAAGTGCGTCTGTGATTGTGCTGTTAGTTTGAATGTTTCGGTTGGGAGTTTGCTGATGAATTTGACTTACCAGTTGCCAGAAGGTGATCTGAGGCCCACCCTCGTAGAACATGAAATACCACGCATATCCTCCCACCGTAGCGAGGCCGACGTACGTGCCAATGACCATGTACCGGAAGAACAACCAGCCACCCACAAGCGGCTCGTCCCTCTTCCTCGGCGGTCGCTTCATCACGTCGTGATCCTTGGGATTGAAGCTGAGCGCAGTGGCAGGGAGACCGTCAGTGACCAGGTTAACCCAAAGGAGCTGAACCGGGATCAGCGCCTCCGGCATGCCCAGAGCAGCCGTGAGGAAGATCGAGACGACTTCGCCGATGTTGGACGAGATGAGGTACCGGATGAATTGCTGCGTGTTGTTGTAGATGCTGCGACCTTCTTCGACGGCCACTTCGATCGTGGCGAAGTTGTCGTCGGCGAGGACCATGTCGGCGGCGAGCTTGGCGACGTCAGTACCCGTGCCCATGGCAACACCGATATCACTCTTCTTGAGCGCGGGTGCATCGTTGACGCCGTCTCCAGTCATGGCCACGACCTCGCCAGCGGATTGGAGAAGATCGACAAGTTTTGACTTGTGGCCAGGTTCCGTTCGAGAGAAGAGTGATGCCGTCTTCGCAGCTCTGAGCTTGTCTTCCTCGCTGAGCTCATCGAATTGTCGTCCCGTAAAGCTCTTGCCCTTGATATCCTCATGCTCGCCAAAGACGCCAATCTGTCTGCAGATTGTCTCCGCAGTATTCTGATTGTCACCGGTGATGACAACCACGCGAATGCCAGCCGATCGGCACTTGGCAATGCTCTCAGCAACCTCAGGGCGAGGAGGATCAAGCATGCCGACCAGTCCAAGCAGAGTCATTCCCTGCTCGATCTGGTGGTACTCCTGGGTCGTTTTCGCAGTCTTCGTGAGCGGAGACGAGACATTGTTGATGCTGGCGAGGGCGATGACACGAAGTCCGCTGTTGCCAAAGTCTACAACCTCCTTTTGCAAAACAGACGTAAGCTTCTCATTCAACTTGACCTGCTTGCCATCACTTCCCACAAGACAGTGAGTGCAGCGCTCGAGGATAGATTCAGGCGCGCCCTTGACCAAGAGCCTCTCCGAGTTGCCGCTGTTGACGAGCACAGACATGCTCTTGCGATCTCTCGAGAACTCGTACGTCCTCAGCTTGCGCGCCTTATCCTCGTAGTACTTGCTGGCGAGATTTCGTCGTTGCTCAGGCTGCAGACCAGCCTTTTGCGAGTTGTAAGACTGATCCGGAGTACCGACCTTCTCCACGAGAGTCCTCAACGCACCCTCCGTAGGCTCGCCGATATTGCTGAAAGTTCCATGCTGGCTGTCGTACGCCAATTCCGAGTCGTTACATATCGCCGCGACTTCGATGATCTCTGCAACAGTCTTGGAGCTCGCCGCAGGCCAATTGATGACCTTCTCACCCTTGGTAACGGATCCCTCAGGCGCAAAGTTCGTGCCCTCGACTTCCAGCTCCTCGAGTCCAGTCTGCGATTCGTTGACGTACACAATCCGGTTGACGCTCATCTGGTTCGTCGTGAGAGTTCCAGTCTTGTCCGAGCAGATCACACTGCAGCTGCCAAGAGTCTCCACCGAAGGCAAGCTTCTCACAATCGCGTTCTTCTTCGCCATAGTCCTCGTTCCAAGCGCCAAGCACGTCGTGATGACCACCGCTAGACCCTCCGGAATCGCAGCGACACCGAGCGAGACGGCGATCTTGAGGTAGTAGATCGCGCCCTTGACCCAGGAGTTGCCAAACGACGGATCGCTGAAATGCCCAATGTTGATCAACCAGACCAGAATGCAAATGCCCGAGATGACCTTGGCGAGCAAGTCCCCAAAATCGTTCAGCTTCTCCTTCAACGGCGTAGGCTGCGAGATCTGCGCCGTGATGCTCTCATGGATATCGCCAATCGCGGTGTTCGTCCCCGTCAACACGACCACAGCGTGTGCATGTCCCGTAACGACCGTTGTCCCGGAGAACAGCATATTGATCTGATCCTGCTTCACAGCCTGCTCATCCTTCACCGGCTGCGTATCCTTGCCCACACTCTCACTCTCGCCCGTCAAAATACTCTGATCGACGCGAAAGCTATTGCTGTTGATACTCAGCAGCCTGCAATCCGCGGGGACCTGATTTCCCACCGCCACATCGACGATATCACCGGGGACCAACTCTTCCGCCTTGACGGTCTGGATGCGTCCGTCGCGGACGACCTTGGCCGTGTTGGCGCTGTACTCTTGCAGCGCGGCGATGGCCTTTTCGGCGGAGCTTTCCTGGCTCACGCCGACGACGGCGTTGAGGATGAGGATCGTGAGGATGACGACGGGGTCGACGAAGGCCGTCCAGCCTTCCTCTTCTTCGAACAGCGCGAGGACGAACGAAATCGCGGCGGAGCCGAGGAGGATGAGGACGAGTTGGTCTTTGAATTGCTCGAGGACGAGTTCCCACAAGGGTGTCGGAGGGTCTTCGGGGATGGCTGCAACAACGACATTAGTTTCACCATCACATGTGTCTCTTCAGAAGCATCTCTCTCACCATTCCTGCCAAACTTCGCTCTCCTCGCCTCGACGTCGCTGCTGGAAAGTCCTCGCTCCTCAGTCACACCAAAGTGCTTCAGAAGCTCCTGCGTCGACTTGGTGAAGGCCTTCTCCTCCATGACGCTGGGCGGTGATATGGCAGCCATCGTGGGTGGGTGAAAGTCTTGGAAGGTAGAGCAGATCGCAGGAATGCGGCTCTTTATATCATGGACGAGTCCCGCCTGTCAAGTGTGGCGATTTCTCGGGTCAATCAGTTAGTTTAGTGGGGTATAGGACAGTTGCGTGGCTAGAATCTAGATATCAACACGTTGCATCTTCCCACTTAAACCGCTATTTTCACCAACAAGGTCACAGAGCAGAGAGGCTGTTGGAAAAGTCTGGCTCGTGTGCACAAAGAACACCTTACCACAATTTGCCATGACTTCATGCACGCAGCTGTGCCTTGCAGGGCTCGCATTTCCGCTTCGAGACTGATCTAAGGGGAGGATCGTGGCATTTTCTCGCCTACCGTCGGCCTATCGTAGAAATGCCCTCGACGACAGCTGCCCAAACGATACATCCTCCTGAACATATCGCGAGGTACGTGTACGGTCGGTGTCTGTTCTGGTAGAATTCGCGCAATTTGATTCGCATCTACCTATTTCTCACTTGGAAGACATCAAAGTCTCTCAGTGTAAGAGTTGCTCTGGTATTCCCTGCTTCGCCGCAGTAGCTGTTCTCGCTCCGCCAATCTCCAACGCCATGCTATCGTCACACGTGCCACGCCGAGCAGGAACAGAACGCTGCGTCAAATCATCCATCAATCCGTCAATCCATCCGTAACTGTATACATTCGTCAAAAGTCCGCTGCAGGTTCAGGGCACACACCCTAACGTGCCATGCTTGCCTGCATGTTGCGGGTGCTGCTGCCTTGCATCTGAGATCCTGGGCTCTGCATGCCGCTGCCCATCGTGGGAACACCACTGCCCGAGCTTCCCAGTCGCTGCATCTGCGGAGTGTTGCTCCTGGATGGCGGTCGCTGACCGTTCATGCCGTTGGCCATGGGAGTGCCCATTCCTCCCATCGGGGTTGTGTTCGAGTATTGCATCGAGGGACTTGCAGGCGTCATACTTGGGCTCGCGTGAGACACGCTCGGACTGCCATTCAGCTGTGCGTGTTGCGCATTCGGGCTTTGCGTTTGTTGCATCTGAAGCTGCTGCCGTTGCCAGAGCTTGTGAGCATAGACTTGTTGCTGCGATGGACTGCTGTTGGCAGGGCTCATGTTCGCCTGTTGCATATTGCCGTCACCATTGGGATACATTCCGTTCATGCCGCCGGGCATTTGGCCATTGCGCTGGTAAGCGTTCTGGTTATGGGCGTATTGTTGTTGCGGCATTTGCGATTGATTCGGGATGCCAGCAGCCGCGTTCATTGCGCTTTGTCTTGTCTGGCTCGATGACTGAGATTGAGCCTTCATTTGCTGCGTTGCCATCGCTTTCAGTTGGTCGTCAGACAAACCAGGGTTGCTGATCCGAAGCTGATTGGTGATGGCAATAATCTGGGGCACATGTCCTGACGATAGCTGTTGAGGAGTGCCGCCATGCGGAGTAGGCGGAGGGGGCATGCTCGGAGAAGCAGACATTTGCTGGTTCGTGCCGTTCTGGGTCATGTTCTGCCCTTGATTGTTGCCGGACTGTTGCTGATGGAATGCCGCAAGTAGCGCTTGATTCTGCTGCAGCTGTTGCGCAGTGGTCATGTTGCCGCCCGGACTTGGCATGTTGCCGTTAGGCATTGGGTATTGCTGCTGGTTTGGAAACTGATTGTTTCGTCCCTGAGCGTTGGCCTGCGCCATTTGCTGCATGTTTTGCTGCGGCATGCCAGGTCGTGCTTGCATCTGAGCCTGTGGCATGCCTTGGCCGTTGACTTGTGGCGGCGCCAGATGTCCATTTCGCTGAGGTGCCACTGCCACTGCTTGCCGGGCTTGGGGCTGCTGAGGCGGAGCCTGTCCGTTGACATTTGGCTGACCGTTGGGCTGCGGCTGCTGGACCTGAGGCTGCTGTCCTTGCTGATTTGCGCCTGGGGGACGTTGTTGAGGCTGTGCGCCATTTGGTAGTCCTCCCTGCTGCGCTTGGCGAGCCATGAGCGACTGACGCTGCGCCGCTTCGCGCTGTTTCTGCAGATATTGCAACTGTGCTGCCTTCATTTGTTCATCACGTTCTTGTCGCTTCTTGCTGAACTCCTGTGGTGTCATCTTGACCATCTTGACTGGATTCGTTTCCGTTTGAGACTTTCGCTGGGCGGCAGCGCGGGCAGCTGCGACCGACAGTTAGTATTATGTTCTCAGGTCAGTCAACAAGAGGTTTCACTTACTTTCAGCTTGCTTCCACTGCTGCTGCTCGCGCTTCTTGGCCAGCTTGCGGAACCCATCAATCATCCACAGATACCTGGAAGACTTGCGTTTCTCCACGCGTGTTGGAATGGTCCTCCTCCGAGGCGGGACATGCGCAGGAGCACCACTGGCTGCAGCTGCTTGTTGTAGATGGGCGACCTGTTGCAAATATCTGCGCTCGGCGGCCTGCTGGCTCTGCTCCAGCCGCTGGAACCACGTCTTGAAATAGACCGTCTTGCGCATGTCAGCTGGAAGCGACTCCAACTCCACCCACCTCTCGAAACACTCCCAAGGTGTACGACGCTCGGCCGAGCTCTTGAAACGAGTTGGCAATGCCATCTCATCTGCAATGAGCGACCAATTGAACGAGTACTCTTTGGCCAGTTTTCGAAGCTTTTGGTCATCGTCTTGGATCCACTGTGAACCGTTGCGGAATTCGTAGAATGGAGTCGATGGCATGATAAATTCAGACGGTGGTCTGAAAGCGTTGTTGGAGTGCAACCGCTCGCGTATAGGCTTGCTCTCGTCTTGGAAAAGGGCGCACTCGACGTTCTCGGGGGCAAGTATTTGCTCCTCACGCAATCGCTTGCTGTCCGGTTCAGCCTCTAGAGCCTCCGCCTCATCCTCGTACTCAAATCGGCTTCGCTTCAGGGTGGGATTGGCTGATTTGGGAAGCACTTTGCCTTCGATGAACTTTGACACCAATGTGACTGGGGTCCTCGTCGATTTTGGATCTTGTTCTTGGCGAAGACCGACGATGGGTAGGGTGGTGACAGCCTTGGCAAGTTTTCCAGACTTTCGCAACTCTTGTACAGTCTCTGCAAGATCTGGTGCAATCACGACGGTGGCAGGCAGGGGTGAAGTATCTCGAGGTGTTCGTGGAGCCATGTCATCCTCAGCTGCCGAGTCTCCAGCTTGCTCCAATTCAGGCACGGCGTCTGCAGCGTCTTCCGTTGCTTTGGGTTCAGTCGCATTGACCTTGACTTGTAACAGCTTCCTCTCCTCAGGACCGGACGCAACCCATTCAGAGCATTTCTGAGCCAGGAACGCACATACGTTCTTCTTCATCTTGCGTTCGGCTTTGAAGTCCTTCCTCATCCACTTCATTTCTTCCATCATATGATCATGTAAAGTGACCGGTTGTTCCGGTTCTCTACACTTCTCCATCTGCCTGAGCGACCACTTGTTCGCATTTTGCAATTGATAGATCCGGCGAAGCATTCGAAAGTCCAGTCGTTCATGGAGTGCGGTGAAGTGATCGTCCGTGGAAAGCGCCTTGGTTCCTGTTCGGACCAGCTCAGGAAGAGTCTTGGTGTTCGAGTTGGGGGCTTCATGAGCTTGAATCCTGAAGAGAGGCTCCAAATAATCCTTGTTTGGGTCGTCCGCGGCGCCTTTGAGGGTATCGAGTTGTTCAAGTGAAGGACGTGATACAGTCGATAGGCGATGTTGTTGAAGTGAACGAGGTGTCTGCCGTGCAGTGCTGATTGGCGTCGCCTGTGTGATATTCGCGTTGTCGTTAGGATTTCGCTGGGTCAGAGGCGAGATAGGTTCGGGAGACATCGCTGCCTTGCTCGAATCGAACTGATCATTCGTGGGCGGCGACTGCGACTGTCCTAGGATCTCTGAAACAGACTTCTGCCTCAGAACACCAGACGAGACTCTTGTGGTCATCCTCTCCGGCCGTGCAGACGCTGTGGATGGCTCACCAGGTGATTCAGTCTGTACCGTGGTGTCGATGGGGTGCGGTGTCCTGTTACTGCGCGAAGCAACATCAACAGTATCATCGTCACCCTTCGTCTTGGTTTCCCTGTCCACACCTTCCACTTCTTCAGCAGCAGGAGTCTTCACATGCTTCTCGTCTTGCGCCGGGATGGAGACCGCCTGCGCCTCAGTTTCATCATCGACTTGCATGCTCTCCACGACCTGTTCTGCCTCTGTAGAGTCACGAGCATCTTTACTAGCGGGTTCAGGTCCGCCAACTTCTTCTCTTGCGGCTTGCTCTTCAGCTTCTCGTGCAGCAGCTTCTCGAGCCTCCCACTGTAATTGTTCGTCTGGAGTCTGATCAACATCGCCCAGAGCCTCTCTCTTCGCAATCTCCTTCTGCGCCTCCAGTAACCGGTCGTGCTCCTCTTTTTGACGCTGCTCCTCATCTGAAGGCCGTACCTCCTTCGGTGGAAGCACTTCGACTTGTGCGCTCTCTGAGTCAGGCGACGTGTCTGGCGAATCCTGGGGCGGTACTGGAGTGGCAGCTGAATATGGACCGACAGTAGATGATGGACTAGACGCAATCTCTGTCTGTGGTGCGGCGAGATGTTGCGATGACTTGGACTCAGCGTCGGACTGTCGTCGTCGCTCCTCCTCGGCTTCGCGCTCTCGCAACTTCGCCTCCTGCACATCCTCTGGCGGCAAGTGGACGACCTTTGCAGGCTTAGAAGGCTCTTGTTGATCAACATATTGCTGTTCAGAGGCCGTCAAGTCTGCCTCATCCTCCGGTAAAGGCGGTGCGACGTCTACAGGTGGAACATCCGGCCCATCTGGCTGATCTGGCGCGTTGTGCGTCGTAGAAGCTGATCGGGGCGCTTTGGCATCGTCCTGGGCTGCATTCGGCGTAGTTGGCTGGGTTGCGACGGTAGACTTTGATCCAGTTGGGTCCAGTTGGGCAGCGACAGCAGCTGCGACGCCATCCTCTGCGGTCGCATCGACATTTTCTGATTTTTCGACCTGCTGGATTAGTTCGGTAGAGGTGGAAGAGGGTTTTGATGCGTATATGGGAGCATCGACATGTTGTGGTGCGGTCGTCGGTGGGAGGGGTGGTAAAGACGCCGGGTCGAAGAGTAGGCCGCTGTAGCAAGTCAGAAGCGAGAAACAACACATCAAATCCGCCACCACGTACTTTGATAAGTCGTTCTTTTTGAGAAATATAGCCTCGTCGTCGGTGATGGCCTCAGAATCGCGTGCATGGTTTATTAATGAGGCGAGGTTGAGGTTGTTGTGGATGAGGGTGTTGACGCTCCACAAGCCGCGCAGCAGACCGCGATGGCTCGACGATATGGATCTGGAAGACGGTTAGCATCAAACTCGACCACTTCGCGTCGCATTCTATTCCAGCAAATTGCACAGCTCGGTTCATATAATATGAAAGAATATTTGTGCGAAAATGGAGGGTTTTCGGGGGAGTGGTTGCGTACCTTAACTCATGGTCGCGTTTGGTAGATGCATCGCGCCTGAGTCCATCGACGAGGGACATAGGTCGCTCGACAACCGCAGCGCTGCATCTGTTATTCCCCCGAACAACAGACGGAGCGCTATGCAGCGATGGGAGAGGGTAGCGCTGGGGATTCGTGGATTTTGGGGGAGTTGTTGTTGTTGTTGTTGGGGTGGTGTGGATGGGGTGTAGGACAGGCCCGTCGGTGCTCGCTGCTGGCTCCAAATCGCGACGAGCAGCAGAAACAGACAGACAGACGCAGAGGCAAAGCCCAAAGCAAAGCAAGCTGGGGAGATTGCGACTGCCTTGTCTCCAGAAAGCCCGGCCCGTTCCGTCTTGCCGAGATGCTGTCAAAAACTCATTCAAGCTTTCGTGAATTGTCTGCACTACAACACTTAGCAATTCTTCACGCACGCCGCAGTCATGGCCACAGTCACCGGGAAACGGAAGCGAGAAGAACATTCATCCAAGAAGATTCCGTTAAAGAAGCCGGCATCACAGAAGGCAGTCACCGGCAAGCCAAAACCTGCTACTAAGCACCAAGACACGCCCGCCTCCTCACATGCAACCACGAACGGAACCCTTGCAGAAGAACCTATCCACATCCAAATCGTCACCGGCTCGTACGAACGCGTTCTGCACGGCATAGCAGCAAGAATCCCATCGACCGACCTCCAACGACAACCAGCAAAGCCCACCAATGGCGCCTCCACATCATCCGAAGAAGTAGAATCCAACGTCACCTTCACAGACTCTTTCCTCTTCGCCGCCCACGTCTCCGCCATCCGCTGTCTAGCAATCTCCCAGCAGACCGACGACTCAGGGAAACGTCTCCTCGCAACCGGCTCCTCGGACGAGCGAATCAACGTCTACAGCCTCTCGACCGCGCCACCGCCCCAGAATGCCGTGGGAAAACTGCCTTCACTCACCGGAACGGCGACGGCCGAGAATCCCAGGAATAAGTCCTTGGGCAGCCTAGTCCACCACGACCGCGCGATTACGAGGTTGTCGTTCCCCACCAAGACGAAGCTGTTCAGCGCGGCGGAGGATGCCACGATTGCGATTTCGAGGACGCGGGATTGGACGATGCTGTCGTCGATTAAAGCGCCCATACCGAAACCTCAAGGACGGCCGTCTGGGGATACTGCTGGACCGGGGGAGATCCCCGCGGGGATCAATGACTTTGCGATCCATCCTTCGCAGAAACTTATGCTGAGCGTGGGTCGAGGAGAGAGGGCAATGCGGTTGTGGAATCTCATGACGGGAAAGAAGGCGGGTGTATTGAACTTCGACCGAGACCTTCTCGCGCAGGTCGGTGAGGGGAAGTATTCCAGCGGCGAAGGCAGAAGAGTCCTCTGGGACGAAGCAGGCGAGAACTTCGTCGTCGGCTTCGAAAGAGGCGCCGTTCTCTTCGGCGTCGACTGCCAACCAAGAGCAATCCTCCGACCCTCGCCACTCTCGAAAATCCACGAAATGCGGATTTTGACCCTGCCCAGCTCGCAAGGCAACGTCCTGGCCCTCTCAACAGAAGACGGCCGCATCTCATTCTTCACCATGGACGCCATAATCGAAAACGAAAACGGCAAGCTCCCAACCATCCCCTGCATCGCTCAAATCGGGGGCAAGGAAGCTGGCGTAACAGGACGTGTCAAGGACTTTGACATCCTTGAATTGTCGAGCTCGGAAGAAAGCGACGGCTCGGTCGCAAATTGGATCGTAGTCACTGCGAGCAGTGATGGTGCTATTCGATTGTGGACCGTCTTTGAAGATGACCTTGCCATGGGCATGGGCGATGCGAATAAAGCCCCTCGACAAGTTGGTCGTCCGCTCGCCCTGCATGAGACCGGGAATCGCATCACCTGTCTTGGTGCGTTTATCATGGATGGTAAAGTCAGTGAAAGTGACGAAGTAGAAGACGTCGCCGGCGCGGAAGAAGAGGTGGACTCAGAAGACAGCGATGAGGAGTAAATCTTCCTGTAGCTTACTGTTTGGCCAATAATGTGAACGGGGTATCCTCTACCCTTTTCAACCCTCCCATTTTCCTAACCCAAGCTCCCATGCTCAACCCAACTCAAGCCCCCCACCCCCAACACCACA